CATGTCAGGCTCTGACATAGATTCGTTGCACTACTCCAAACAAGAAGTCATTTCATCAACATGACGAGGGCGCAAAATTGTGGCATGTAACACGATCGTGACTGGTAAGAATTAAATTACAAATTGAAAGGAGAGCGGGCGGCAATTCTTTTGGGTTTTTTGTTTGTGCCTTTGACGGGAGAGAAATTAAGAGAATGTATCACGATTGCTTGCCAGATTAATGGGGCACCGCCATTTTCAAAGACTGCATTGATAAAGAAAATATCACGAAAAAAGCCCCGAATCTAAAGACGAATAATGTAAATACTCTTTAACAAATTTGAGGTAATTTTTTTCTTCTTCTTTTTTTTTACGTCTGCAAAAGAGGCTTTTATTTGGGTTGCTTTAATGAACGAACAAATCCACCCCGCGAGTAGAGTGGTTCCTGCCCTATGTTATCAATTCTGATACGGGGTTGGAAACCAGTCTGCGCGAACAGAACTATTTTCGGGCCTTAAGGTATTCGAAATTTGTAAAGAAATTAATCCATATCTAAAAAAATAGGCAGTTTTTTGGGGGGGTCGATGCCTCATTAGAGAGTGAAGAACTTTCTATTGCAAAAGGAAACACTTCAAAAAGTAATACATGTAATTATATAGTTGGACAAAATAATTGACTTCAGTCAATTTCTTAACTCAATTGTATCAATATTAGTGCCACTAGTCAGTTTCCCATTGTGATTGATTACATTAAAAAGTAACTAGGGGCCTATACTTTTTTGTCGGACTGAAACTCAACAATACCACGGTCAGTAAATCTTAAACATGTGTTTCTCTCCTTCAACGACACCAACTGCACGTCCCGATCAAATTAAATAATTCCCAGCTCGTCTTATTTCCAAAAGCAAGAAATAAAACAAACACTAATCAAATTCGCATTCTGGAATTGCTGTTTCGAACAATACAATTCCGTCTTTTTTGCATCTTGGCCAATCAGTTCTCATTGTAACCTTTTTTTGTTGGTTACTCCCACAAATCAAATTAAATACATGTGAGATGCATGTTCTTCAACGACACATAATGCACGTCCAGAGTAAATCAAACTTTTCTCGTCTTTTTTTTCTGAGAACAAGGTACAAGAAACCTTATTAAATTTGCGATTCGAAATTGCTGTATCGCCCCATGAGACTCGGTCCTATTTGCCTATGAGCAGGCCGCAGTCAATATTTATGCCCTTTTGATTTCTCAGACATACCAAATAATGTTAAAGGGGAAACGCATACATGCAACCTCGTTACCAGGTGTCAATCAGTTTTGATTACAACAAAAATATGTTCCAGATGATTTGGTTTTCAAGTTATATATCATGCACAGTTTATGTTATTCGTGCGATTTTATACCGTCCACAAAACTTCACTTTAAAGGTCTCTTTCCTTTTGTGTATTTTAGATCCCAATACGATTTTTTTTTACATAAGTAACCTTAAAATACACGTTATCTTAAAGTTGTATTATTTGTGGGCTCATTGAAAAATAATTCAAAAAGCAGAGCACACTTAATTGTTACGACCAAATTTTTTGCAACTGCTGCTTCCGTAACAGTTCAAGCGCGTCTTCGTAAGATGACACCACTGTTTTGGCACGAATATGGAAATGTCTAACAACATCAAAACCTCAAAAGCCAAAACAGTAATAAAAATACTACTCTAATGATTCCATTACAAGAAAAATTCTCCTCCACTTGCTCTTTAGGTTTAGCTGATATTGTTATTATTTTTTTTTGTCACCTTTTATTGAAAACTTAAAGGGAAAATACAACATTTGCAAACATCAAAAAATAAAACTACCAAATCATTTTGAAATACCTTGCTGGACTGTTAGTGAATGAAAGTGTAAAGCATCCTGTAAAATCATGGCACCTGGTATACTGTCATTTTCAAGAAAAGTGGTATTTTTGTATCAATTTCGGCCGATCAGCGTTGGAAAAAAACTGGCTTTTTATCAAATACTGGCCCCAATTGACCATCGCACTTGTTTGCAATCGATTACAAACCTATGAACGGGTACGAGCCAGCTAGACTGGTTCCCTGACCTTACAATTCCCCAATGTATGTAAACTGCTCTGTTTCTTCTTATATTGAGTCAGGGAACCAGACTACAGGAAAATGATTGTTTTTCTTGGTTTTTATAGCATTTTCGAACCCAAAACCTCAAAAAAAGTCAGTGTAACTATATTTGCTATATATTTCCAACCCCCCAATTCCATCCATTTCTGAAAATTACCGTAAAAGCAAATGATGTATATTCCCTTTAAGTACAAGATTGATAGCTAGCATTTTAGCCCCAATGTTAAACGTGACATCCATAAGCGGATAATACACAAGCATTATTACTACACACGTGCACTGTGTGATGTACACAAAACTGGTTTATGCTATACTTTGAGACCAGTTTTCTTTTCAGCTAAGAGATACAAATTGCAGAAGTAACAGTTTTGCATCAAAATGAAACGTGACCTCCATATATTGTCTTGATTTTATTTTTAAATTGATTGAATCTTCTTTTTTGCCATATTTTTACTCTTTGTGAACACATTTTTAAATTGATATAGGCTATATAACTAAGCTATTTTTTCAAAGAATTTTAGAAAAAAATTTCACAGCCTTCAGTGTGCGTTTATTGTTACATGCCTTGTTTTGCAGCGGTACCTTATTGAATATAAATGTCATAGCAAGACTCAATTCGGAATATAAGCCCTGAAGGACAGGAGTTCATAGAAAAACATGTTCTAGTGCGTCGTAAAAACCCTGCGTCTACCATTATTCTGAATGCCTTATATCGATTATTTAATACAAAAAGACCTGGCTTGTATGAAAGCAGGTAGCATGCACATTCAGTGTGACTAACGATCTCTTTCTCCTTTTCTTGGCAAAATAACAGAACTTAACAGTAGTCCGTTTATAACTTTGACCATGAGGGTTTTGCAGACGACGCAAATTTGACGTTTATGAAACATTCGCGGCGGCGATTGATCGGTTGATTATGGGGGGAGGGGGGGGTTGCGAAAAGTACCGGTAGCCGTTTACAAGGGCCATGATGTAGAGGCTTGGATAAGGCCTGGACCGTTATGACGTTATGAAATGACCTGATTCTGGCTGGAATTAATGTGTTCATATCAGTGGCGTACCTGGGTATATATTTGCAGGCGGTGGGGCACTTAGGGGGCCTCATTTTCTGGAAGGGGGCACTAAATGAATGTTTAACAATAAGAATACATTCTTCCGTCACAGTAAACTAATTTCTTATGAATACAAATAGCTATGTCTAGCAACGCATTAAATTTATACATCATTTTTAGTTTAGCCTCGATAAAAGAAATGCTTTTATTAAGCATCTCTTTGACAATATGATATATTTCAGATTTATCGAGTTAAAAATATTAAAACATTATTAACTAAAATGTATAAAAAGTTAAAGATTGTTGGTGTAAGTTTGGGAGATTTCTGGGCGCTATATTGACAAGATAAGCATGTACAAATATAGTTTACCAAATGCACTGCCAAAACTATTTGGGCCGCAAAAAAAAGAGGTAGCCTAAATCATGCAGAAAAATAGCACATGTCTGTTAACCCTAATAGGGCAGGGGACAGAATCCACCCCCAATTTTTTCGCGATACCCTTGCAAAAAAATGTTTCCCGACCCGAGCTTTCCTGACTTTTTTAGCATGGAGTCTTGCGCATCTTTTGATACATAAAACATACAATTCCGACCATGGGTTATCGCGCAGCGAATTTTTTTGGGCGCAACTGAATTTCCCCATTATGTAGTGTGTACACAAGCAGAATTACCGTTGGTACATATGAATAATTAATAATCCGATAATTGCAAAACCCTTTAACCTATAGTCATGAACTTTCTTGGGTATGTTATATTAAGTTGTTCTATGCATGCATCAAGTTTCATAATTTTTCGTCACTCTGTGGCCGAGATCTGAGGGCCCCACCCCTAATTGTGAGATGGTAAAAAAAAACCGGCTTCTTTAGGGTTAACCCCCGGCCCCATCCCCCTTGAGAGCTAACCCCCTCCTTGAGCCAAAACTGGATCTCTACATGTCCCATTACTAGATAAAACCACAGAAAGCCTTGAGTACACCAGAAGCCTCTTTGTAAGGAACTGACAGTGAAAGGCATGCCGCATAACCGAATCATCTGAACCATTTATTCGCTGACGGATAACCTCATTCCGACGACTCACTCACTTGTGGGTGTTGAATAACTGTCCTCGCACCTCTGACCAAATGTGTTCTTGCACCACGAGTCAGAATGTGTTCTACTGTATTTGTTGTGGGTCGTGGCACTCTGTTCACACCTAGTGGCCGTATGGCACCTGAGACAAAACTGATGGTGCCATGCGGTAGCTATACAAGGAGACGTATTGCACCCCCCCCTTCCTCTTCATCCCTCCCTCCCCCATCCCCTTTTGCCCCACTCAGAGTTTTGGAAAGGCAAAAAGGAGTTATTAAAGCACATTGAGTGCCTCCTCCAGAATGGAAACACCCCCAAAGTCCCTCGCTCTGGTGTCCCACTGCCCACTGGTGTCACGCATCCTCGCAATGTAGGCCTAACCTTAACCCTGCAGATTACCACGATAGTTCAGGGAACGCACGTCGCACGTGCTGCAACACACGCTGCTCCTTTGTGACGCAAATGATGTGTGACGCAAGTGTGGTTTAGTTTTTACAAACTTTACACCTGACCAGTATTTTTTGTCATGCCTTACAGTAAAATGAAAAACCAATATGACAATATTTCTTTAAAACCCGTATCATGTATACGCACTGTGGTTTGGCAGTGTTTTCCATCCGATAGAATCTGACAATCCCACACACTTTCTGTCCCCTCTCAACAGCGCAGTTATCTCCAAGGTGCGAATACGGAAACCAGTGGATCATCAGTAAAATCTGCAAGAGTTATACTCTTTCCAAAAATGAATTGGGAATTTGGATACAATTCGAGTGAAGTGATGGCACTTATGAACGATACCACCGTGCCCACGGAGGGCAGGCCGCCTGAGGACTTCGTCTTCAGCAGGGCGGCTATGATCGCCCTGACCGTGGTCATCTCCGTGGTGTCAGCCGTGGGAATACTGGGCAACGCCATGGTCATGTTCATCGTGTTCCGCTACAGGGACATGCACACTGTCATCAACTACTCGTTTGCTAATCTAGCTCTGACTGACCTGACCTTGTTGCTATTGGATGGCGTACCTACCGCGGCAGATACCATGGAAACCAACCTTTCGGCAAAACTTGGATGCAATGTTCCTATCTATCTACAATATGTAAGTATTGTTGGCCACATGTGCATACAAGTCCTTTTTATGTTCTGCATGTTCAGTACTCTTTAAAGTTGCGTCCCCGTGCTATTTGCGAGTTTCAAATAACTTTCATCCCGAAAAAGATTCTTTTTCTACATTACTATTCTAGCAATACAAAAGTTATTTCTACTTCGACCGAAAAAATGGCCAATGATTAGCAATTATTACTCTACAATTTCGAACTATGGGCAGCCAGACAACAATTCCGTTCTCGCAGGGTAGGCTAGTTCCCGCCCCACTATCAGTGTATTGTTAATGTACACATCTGGAGCCAGTCTGCTCGCAAAGCGGTTCTGCTTGAGCCCAAAACAGAGCTTTATTTTCAGAGGGTTGCCGGCCTCCAAAAAAGGGGGGAAAGGAAGAGATCTTTTGTTGGAATAAAACATACCAGTTGAAAATTGTTTAGTAAAAAAAAACGACCAAAAAAAGCAACCCTAAAACATTTGCTTTTAAAAAAAAGGGGGATCGGTGGATGTTTATGTTTTTGGTATCAGACAGTGTTGTAGGTCTCGAGACCGGTCTCGGTCTCGGTCTCGGTCTCGAGACCACTTTTTGCCGGTCTCGGTCTCGGTCTCGGGAGCTGTGGTCTCGGTCTTGGTCTTGGTCTCGGTCCCCTTTGGTCTCGATATTTTGGCTGGTCTCGAGTCGAGACCAGCCAAAAAGTGAGGGGGCGGATTCCGCCCTCGGCCCTTTTAGGGTTAAGTAAAGAATCAGTTTAGGGCAAATGTAACTGCAGTGTGATGCTAATGGACATGTCTCTCTTCACTTTCTAGTGAGTGAGGCATAGTCCAATAACCATTGCTCCTCTTCTTATTTCTCGTTTTTATTGTGGGATGATCTGTTGAAACAAGCACTTTATAGCCATCCTCATTGATTCCAAATACAACTGAGATTTAAATATTATGAATCAAGACTGAAACATTATTTTTACCGTCAGATTTTGTATTTTGAATATGAGGAACAATTCAACTCTTTTTCCCTAGAAATATTGGTGATTTTTTTTCTATTTTCCTTTAAAATTTTTCCTTTATTCGTGGAGGCGGGAAAACGGGGTTTTTTTTCATTATATTTATTAATGGATATTCATCAATTCGTAGACCGTTAAATTGGTATTAGTGGTGGACAGCTGAATTTTGTGATCTCTTTATTAAAATAGACACGACTTGGGAATAGAGTATGCAAATTATGTGAAATGTTCACAGTTACTACTCAATAACATGTTCTTTATCCCAATTATATTTGTTACAAAATGGAGCGTGCCATTTTTTTTTATCATACGGTCACTTTCTTTTTGACTCGCCATGTATTCATCTTTTCATCTGTGATAAACACAAATTGAGCTACTGCCATGGTCACACAAAAATAGAGTCTAATTGCCTGCCTCGTCTCCTTCCTAAATGTCCATTGCATTTGCATGAGTCGAGAAGAGTTGTGTTCCATTAATCGCTATATGCTGTTTATGGCCATCACAATAAACTATTAATATATTGGCAATATGTTGTACTTTTTAATCACTAAAATATTCAAGTAAATTGCCCAGCGAAGTAGCCGATGCGGGCGATACGATGGCACGGTACAAAACAGAGAGGCGTGCGCACTGAGCCATGAATCCTAAAAGTACATCTCGCCCACCACATTCAGTTTGTGACATGCAGCGCCATTCTATTGTGTCGGCCATATTCTCAAATAGGCTAATGGCGATGATGACGGCGGGCAGATTAACAGAAGATAGATCAGGCAAATAATTATGGTTCATCAATCTCCTGTAGTATATGTAACGTTATTGACATTAAACAAAAATAAAGTGGCATTACATTTCAGCCTTAGCCAGGCCTTCTTCAGAGGTAAATGACGGAGGAACAAGAAACAAACATGTAGGGGACACACAAACATGCAGGGTTGGAAAGAGAATCACAAAGAGGGATGGGGGGGGGCAGACCAATCCATATCTGGCTACCATCTCTCAATTTTTTGGTCTACATGTACAAATCTATATTCCATGACTGAAATTTTAAAAAATAAATCAATATTTTCTTGCTCCAAATTTTTTTCGAATCAGGTTTACAAGGAGGTCCAATGTTAAATTAAAGTTGCATTTAAATATCCGTTAGTGGTCATTGCTGAAACCAAGGTAGGGTCCGAGTTCTACCTTTAACTTTTTACTTTTGTCAAGTTTCAACATGTTCAAGTTTTGCAAAAACTAGTACAAATTGTCGTACTCCCAAGTTAGAGTTTCTTCATCAGATTTACACTTAATAGTAGTTAAACAATATTTAAAAAAAAACATATTTTTAAAAAAGTGGCAAAAATATATGGAGTTCATCAAATAAGGTTTTCCCCTTCTTTAAATTAGGTTGTTTCCAATTTTTTTAATTTATTGTGACAATAACAAATTCTGTTGCCATGTTGTAATTTATGGCATGAAGCAAACACGAGGAGCACTCGCATGACACAATTAAGCAGGTACAAGTGATTTCTAACTTTCAATCACTTCCTTCACATCCCCATGAACATCAACATCTCAAGGACAGATAAGGTTTTCCCCTTCTTTAAATTAGGTTGTTTCCAATTTTTTTAATTGATTGTGACAATAACAAATTCTGTTGCCATGTTGTAATTTATGGCATGAAGCAAACACGAAGAGCACTCGCATGACACAATTAAGCAGGTACAAGTGATTTCTAACTTTCAATCACTTCCTTCACATCCCCATGAACATCAACATCTCAAGGACAGACTGTTCAGCTGTAATTAGTTTATTTAGATTATTGTTGTTTATTATCCGCGGTCTCAGTCTCGGTCTCGGTCTCGGACCATTTCGGTCTCGGTCTCGGTCCGCCTTGAAGGGGCTGGTCTCGGTCTCGGTCTCGGTCTCGCAACTTCAGGTCTCGGTCTTGGTCTCGGTCTCGGACTATCCGGTCTCGACTACAACACTGGTATCAGATGAAAGCTGAGAGCTCTTTCTTTCAAATATTGAAAAAAAAATCATGGAAATAGCACTTTGGGTTGCTGAGAAAATGCCAATGATGTAAAAGTAGTCATTTTTCATCCTGTACACAAATACTTCAAACAGTGAAACATTTTACTGTAAGCCTACTGTGCAATTATCCTTCATTTGTGAAATGCCTTCAATATTTTGACATCTTTATTATGCTGAAAAGGTATAAAATAGGACTAAAAACGATGAGACACCTGTTCAGGTGGAGAATAAAAGGTATTTCCATCAAATTCATTTGAACTCTTGTAATGTTATGTGCCATGTTGTTTGTAAGGGGATTAGGGACCTGCACAAAAATGTACAGTGGAAATCCCTTACTGTGGTAATTTTTGTGTACAGGATAAAAAAATGACTGCGATTGGCATTTTCTCAGCAACCCAAAGTGTTTTTTCATGACTGTTTTAGTATTTAAAAGAAAAAGCTCTCAGCTTTAACTTGATACCCAAAACAAAGAAATCCACCAATCTCTTTTTTAAGGCAAATGTTTTAGGGTCGCATATTTTTTTTTGGGGGGGGGGATTCACCCTGTTTTGGACCGGTACACACGCTGACTTTGCTTAGCTCAAAAATTATTCAGCCATTTTTCTGTTAAGTAGTTTAATGAAATTCGGCCCAAGTCGGAGCCCACTCACCTCAGGCTAAGTCAATAAACGACCATTTGTTTTTAGCTCATTCATTATTTAACACCCGCAGGAATATTGATTTAGCGGCATGATTATTTGGTGCGTGGTTTTAATTTTGTTCAAGACAGACGCCCTGGATGCTGTTAAGTACGGAACTGAATCAACAAATTTGGCGCGGACAGGTCTTCATCAAATTATTTATAGCTGATAGCGACGGCTTACATTATGTAGCACAAAGAAAACAAAGCGGGAAAATGAAAAGGTAGATTTATTATATTATGGTTGAGCATAGATTCAGTCACATCACATTATTTTTTTAACACTTACATGACTCAAAGTTATGTGCCTTTAACTGTGATTTGACATGTGTTTGGTTTTATGGCTTCAGAGAACACTGTTATTCGAAAAAAAAACATTGAACTAATTTTTCCGATTGCACGATGTGACAGCCTCGCGTTGAATATTATGAAACAACCCTTTTTACTAAATTTGCTTCTCAAAATGTTTTAATGTCTTTGAAATGAATACGTTGTTACTACTCGCGAGTACACAGTGAGCGGTATGTCAAAGGAAAACTCTCTTATGTTTTTTTTTTATCGGGTACCCCCCCCCTTTTGTTTTTGGCTTAGAACACCTCCCCCAAAAATTATCACCCATATTTCTCGCCACGCTACTGTAAACCGCAATGGCACAGAAATGTACATTTTTTAAGCTCTGGCAGGAGCTTCTTATGTCACTTTGTGGTCGGTCCGTCTGTCCCCGAAAATTGACCAAAAGTATGGTGTTCTATATGTGCCATCGGCGTCACATTTTTCGGCGTCGCATTTTAAGCTCTGCCAGGGATCATTTTGATCGATTTTATGCAAGACTTTAAATGCAAGACTTCTTGCAACACGGCCAAAGCTCATTGTGCACTCGCACTTGTTTGTTTGTTTGTTTTTTGGGGTTTTTTTTTTTTTTCCGAAGACCAGGAATCCATCTGTACCATGCACGCGACCAGAAAATGTCCACAGCGGTTAAATTTAAAACATCAGACTATGCCGAGTTAATCCCAACACGATATCGCAAGGATGACGCAAGAATGACTCAAAAAAATAAGGAAGGGTTCATTTTTCCCGAGATCGTTCTTTCAGTCGGAAGGGAGAGCTTAATAAATCCCTGTAGGGGGGTTTAAACTTGAGCACACTTCATCCTGACGCTGTAATTGCCTGAACAATGGAAGAGTGGCGCCCATTACGGCGAATTTCTATATGAGTCTGATCTTCGGCACTGAAGTCGTTGAACTCAATCGTCGTTGAGGATGCGAGTTTAAATTCCAGCCAAGAGCTATCAAACGAGAGGCGGTCTCTGAGGGATCTTCTGGGTGATTGCATACCTGAGGAACCATTTTATTTTCTTCTTTGACATTATTTATAGGAGGAAAACTCGGAGGAAATGTAGGTGTCAAGTGTCCTAATTAATATTTCTGGCGATAATAATAACGTACGTACGTGGCAGACATGATTAAAACGATGATTTCGAAAATCACCATTTCTTTACGGCGCTATTGGGAGCGCCATTCTTTTTCAATTCTTTTTCTTTCTCCTTTTTTTTTGGGGGGGGGGGTTTAACACGTGTTCCACTTCTTTTAAGGTGTAACGCTTGGCCCTACATTTTATTGTTTGTAATTTGATAAATGAAATGTTGGGTACAGATTATCATGCATAGGTACGTCTACATTGCGCCCGTCTAATGAACCGCCTTAAGACCGATTTTAATACCTGGTATTACAACCCAGTCAAAATGACACATTACCTCTGAGGGCATATCTGTTTTCCTCTGTGATACGCACAAGTTGACAGTTTTTACTTTCATTGTCACTGAATTTAAAAAAACAACCAGTCGTCAGTGAGGGCGCACTGCATGTGCAAAGGGTCTGCACATGCTCAGAGTCTCCGTTTAGGTTTATTTCATTCACATTGAGTTTTGTCGTCTCTAAGTCAACTGCCTTCCTTGTGAAAGTAAGTAAATTAAACTCTTCGGTACCATGAAACGACTGAGAATATTTCTATTCCCCCTGGACGGGATACCAGTCCGTCGCAGGTTACTCATCAGCTAATGCCGGTACCCATTTATACTCCTGGGTGGAGAGGGTCAAGTGAGGATGAAGTGGCTTGCCCAAGGACACAACATATGATCAGCAGCTGGATTCGAACCCCTGACCCTCTGATCATGAGTCAGGAACCCTAACCACTTGGCCACACTTACCCAGCCTTCCTTGTGTACACACCATTAATCTATCTGGTCTGACAGCATATAGTGTCGTTGTTTGTTGCAAGACTTCCTATATGCAATAATTGTTTTGAATAACGATACTCGATACATTACGTGTACCTTCTCTAATTGGAAGAGCATTGACAGTCAAAACATATGTCCATGTATACCCCGTGTCATGATGGATCATTAGCAGTGCTCCTTAATCATTGCGTGTGTGCTACCTCTATGGTGCATCAAGGGATGACAGTCGTCTCGTTTACATTACGTGTTCTTGTCTTTTGAACAGCCGTGCTAATTGTTACATTGTCTGTATTGTACGTTGCGTGAAAGTAGTGATCCGTGTGTTTCGTTCCTTTTGCTTGATAATATAAGGCCTACGCACCTTTTGTCTGTTGCGTGTCACGTGTTGGATTGGTGATGTAAGTGTTGCTCTGCGTTATTTCGAACAGCAGTAGTGCTCCTTGACGCGTGTTTACCGTATGTGTTGCATCGGGGTCATTTCATGTCAGACCAACGCACTTTTTTACCTCATGTCTTCCGATTTTGATAAAAATTGCTGTGCTTGTAGGTCCTAATGAGCAATGAATACACACCAATTTTTAGCCCGATCCGACCTACCATGTGGTCAGGGCAGAAGCCACAAAAAATGGCATTTTTAGAGTAAAACACCACCCTTTTGGTATAAATATGTCCAAACTATGGCAATTTTCATCGAATATATGTGAATTTGGTATTAAAATAATGAGGATTGCATGCTCAAATCACTTCTTTTGTCAAAATTAAATTTTGTAAAAAGTAGGTCACGTGACCTTTAATATGCTATCGTGACCTTTGACCCATTTTTTGTAATAATGTATCATTCCGAAAATCAACGAAATAAAAATAACTTGCTAGAGCATGTCTTCCTCTATCAGAATCTACTAAAAATCAGTTGGGGTCTTTAAAATTTACAACTTTATGACTATTTATGTACAGTTGGTAGGTTACAAATGAGTCAATTTATAGACTTTACATACGAAATACACCAACACAACTTACTATTCTGTTTCTTAAGTTACTAAAATTTATCTAGATGTTTATGTATAAAGTGCAAAGCCAGGAAAAACAAAATTCTACCTTCTGATTCCAAAGAAACTGTCTAATCAGAATATCTGGACTCGGAAGTGTGCTAACCACTAACAGTAACCAGGCCTTCACCCAGTACAGCGGACTCACGTCCAGGTGAAATTCATCTCAAATGAACAAAATGCCAAGTTTGTGAGAGTCATTAAAGTTCAAGAAGCACAGTGATGAATGAGTAAAGGTTACTTTGATTGTAATGTTAAGTATTATCTTCAAGCAAACTTGAATCCTAGACCCTGATTAGTCCATCTATAGCAACAACTGTGTGATTTTATATAATATTGCACAGCTATATTGCACCCCAGATATTAAAAACGTACGTGTACATATGTTGTGTTATTTTCTGCTGGACGGACCAATACACTACATGTATGCACGTACATCTTCACCGCGTGTACGCATTTGATATCAAGTTTGCTTGAAGATAAATTGGTTATAAATCCCACTTGCGTTCGTGGAACACGGAATTATGTAGTGCATCGAGTGGCATATTGGTCACGGCAGCATTGCATTATTTCATATTCCAAGCGCGCTCGTGGGATAACTAATTATCAGTGGCACCCAGGGAGGGGGGGCTTGAACCCACCCCCAACATTGTCAATTTGTTTGTTTGATGTAGGCTAGTTTTGTTGGTCCAATCTTTTACAGAAATTTGAACAAAAAACGATTTATGACCCCCCCCCCCCCCCCACCAAAGCCAAATCCTGGGTGCGCCACTGCTGATAATTTACACTATGAGTCTGGACCTCATCAGCCCTCAGAATGAGAAATTCACAAACCAAGATATATTTTAGTAACTTTAGAAACAGAATAGTAAGTTGTGTTGGTGTATTTCTTATGTAAAGTCTATAAATTGACTCATTTGTAACCTACCAACTGTACAAAAGTAGTCATAAATTTGTAAATTTTGAAGATCCCAACTGATTTTTAGTAGATTCTGATAGAGGAAGACATGCTCTAACAAGTTATTTTTATTTCGTTGATTTTCGGAATGATATATTATTACAAAAAATGGGTCAAAGGTCACGATAGCATATTAAAGGTCATGTGACCTACTTTTCATGCAATCCTCATTATTTTAATACCAAATTCACATATATTCGATGAAAATTGCCATAGTTTGGACATATAATTTTATACCAAAAGGGTGGTATTTTACTCTAAAAATGCCATTTTTTGTGGCTTCTGCCCTGACCACATGGTAGGTCCGATCGGGCTTAAAATTGGTGTGTATTCATTGCTCATTAGGACCTACAAGCACAGCAATTTTTATCAAAATCGGAAGACATGAGGTAAAAAAGTGCGTTGGTCTGACATGGAATGACCCATCGTTGAGATGGCAGTGGCCCGCGATACATTATCTGCACCCTCTCAACCTGGCAAACAATCTCGATCATATGTATTCAGCCTGACAAGCGGTCCTTTTTCGATCGTTCATCGCCCACTTCGTCTCAGTCATTTTTACCAAGTTGCTTCCATCAATTTTCTAACTTTCCCCCTTTTGAATTCCCAGAAATTAACTTTGGTAATACTCACTGGAGGTCACTATGGCCAATTTAATAATTTCCCGTCCGTACTGATAGCCAAAACGAAGAGACGATCTTTGTGAAAAAAATTGAAAGCCCTATTCAATGATAGGCCTACTTTTGGGGAAACGAAAATGCAATTATTAGGTACAACGAATTTGTCTCATCAAACCAACTACCAACAAAGTGGATAAACAAGTCTGTAATCACGCGGACACCAATAATTGATGGGACAAATTACTACCGGTTGACCGCTGATTATGTTTGATTTTTCCAGATCATATAACGTTGCCTCCCTCGTTTGAAGTGTCTCACGACGCACGTGCGACAAACACAGCTCGTCTAATGTATAAACGGTGATAGTGCATAATAGTGCATCACGGTGGTTGGGGGCGAAGAGTTATAATTACACCACTAATTCCCCGAATGGAACAAGTGGCGTTAGTATATTAAGTAGCGAGATACTTAAATTAGCACTTGGACATTGAAATTGACTCGTCATCCGTACACAATTAGGAGAGGTGATTACCGGTTTTTTTCTTGACATGAAAATTGTGAATTGTGATATTGAACGAATGAGGTTACTGGACTTTATATGTCCTCTCCGCACCAATGACAGTTGCAACCATTCCATAATGCGTATGTTGCAAAATATCGAACGGCACAGCGTACTCATCCGGTATCGTGTTTTCAAACTCTTCCCCCAATCACAATCAATCACCTGGTTATTCTTCAAATCGGCATGTTCATTTTAAATTGCCCTTTGAGTAGATTTTCCTTCATGTATTTTCAAGAAATGTCCCCTTCTCTTGATTAATAGCTGCTAGACATTGACACACGATACACACATTCAGCGCTATCAATCAAGTTAAATGGTGTTCGGCGAGGGCCCAGAATCGATCTACAGTTGTTAAAGTATAGGTTAGGCTAGCTGTTCATTGCTTGTGGTTTCCGATGTTTAAGACGATTTTAAGTCGAACATATTTTGGCAGCTTCAAATTAGGCTCGTGGCAAATTTTGAATTTTGTTGCAGTTACAAATAAACACGGACATATGGCTGTCAAATTCATTACGCAAACAGGTGTAGTGACGGGACAGTCAGCCTTTTTACCCTAACAGAAATAAATGATTAATTATTTATGGACAACACGATGTACCAATTTAAGCAACAAGACCTGTAACGTACCCTTTTTAATGCACTGTCCACAGCTGCGACAGCGTATTCTTCCGAAAGCTTTATTGCCACTTTTTATGCAAATTTGGAAAACGCGGGTTTTTTTTTTTACTTTGTTTTGCAATCATTGGTGTTCACTCGTCGGTGACTGAAGAGGCGCAATTAAGGTATCAATTGAAAGCTAATGAATTACCATTTAGGATGAAGCCACTTTAACGTTGTACAATTTCGTAATTGCATATCAGCCCATTGTTTTTGGATTACTTTTTAGACGCGCACATTTTCAAGCTGAGGGATATCATATTTCGTTGTAGCGAGGCTAGAATTCACAGTGCAGCTACTTTCTTGACTTGTTTACAAAATAGCAGCCTGCGGCTACTGTACTGGCGTTAAGGAGTATTTTATGATCATGTGTAAACTATGTATTTTATTTTATTTTTTATGATCGCGCCTGAAAAAAAGAGTTCAAATTTTATTCAGCTTTTAGGCAAGTACACCCCCATGTCAAACCAAGTCACGTAACGTGCCGTGCTTGCTCGACGGTGAGGAACCTGTTTTTCTCCTTGACTTTGCTCAAGTAAATACCAAGATTTCAAGTATGTCGCGCAGATAGTAGCTGGAAGATGTTCCCGCTACTCAGCGTCCGAGGACAAAATGCCCGAACATATAAATCCATGTCAAGACTAAAGTGGGAAACGTCTACCATGATGCATACGCTTTTACAGACCATATTGAATACACATACCATATTGAGTACACAGACCATATTGAGTACACGACGAGGATTGATGATGACGAGTTACATTGCGGCTTGGTAACTCGGTCTTGCCGTCTTCATCAACCGAACAAGACCCATTCCCTCTCTGTGATAAATCACCAGGTAGTGGCGGTTGATCGGGAGGAACGTTCGTCCAAGCTAGTAGTCACAAGGGGATGGAGCGCTGTGTCATCCGGGTGCTGCTCGCGCCATGCATTACTGGTTTTAACTCCATCGCGCGGTAAATAACGAAAAATGGTGTACGTGACTTGTATCAATCAAGGATCCTAGACACCAGGATAAACGACTGTTCTGAGCTCTAGTACAAAATGCACTGAGCGAACTTGCCTTAATTGGTTAGACGCGTGATAACGGGCATTAATACCCGTTGGCGCGTAATCGCGAATTTTCCAGGTGTCCTATTGTGTTGGGTTTTTGCAAGACATCTAAAACGGAAATATTCATAAAACTGTAAGCAAAACTGCTCCTTATTTAAGATTTAATTGTTCCAAAATTGTTTAAAAATAAATACTTCAGGATATAACAGATGGTATTGTGCAGTTTTTGTCGTCACAGATGAAGTATTTACCCGGGAAATAAACGTCAAATTTCGTGGAGAACACCGTTTACCCAAATTTCGTTTTTAATTAGGCTTTTATTAAAAAGTTTTAGAGAGATAAGATGCCGAACCGATGAAACAAATTCGACATTTCATTGTTCATCTTAAAGCTAAAGATATTGTGCTCGGCATTACCATGGTTATGTAGTTATCACTTATCAGAATTCAATAATAAAGACCAAAAACGTAGACTCATTAATATTCAAAAATATAATTCGCTGGCTTGACAGACTTCGAGGCCAGATCGGGCGCAGAGCCTCGCAAATCTGAAAGCTACCGCGTGCAGTGGTCTTTGTTGATAAGTATTCATGGTATTTGCCACCAGGGCCCGATTTCACGGCGCTGCTAAGCACACGATTTTGTGCTAACAGAGCCTCCGTCTATTTCATGGAGACCGTAAGCAAAAGCACAGCAAAAGGCACGCTTACTTAAAAGGAAAAATTTGCTGAACTATAGTGACGTAACAATGGAAATCTCCATGCACGCGCGACCGTTAGCCCACACACGCCGTGAAATAGTGCTTAAGGTTAGCAAATGCTAAACACAACTTTTGTGCTAACTGTTAAGCAGCGCCGTGAAATTGGGCCCAGTACGGGACGTTATCGCGTCTAACCAGGAGTTGGGCCGAGTCGTTAATCCTTGTGTGTAGGATCCGTGTATCAATATGCGTGGTGGTATGGCGTCATCAATCTAAGGTCAAACAGTGTATTATTGTTTGCCACCCGCGCAGATGGAATTGACAGGTGATAATTCATATAAAATATGTCGGTGACTGAGTTCATGATTAACAAACAAATCTGGGTTTGTTACACCATTGCTAATTACTTATCGTACGGAATAGTCTCGAAGTCTGGCTTCCGACCCAGTATCCAATGAGATGGCATGGCATGATAAACATTTTTTTCAAGGACAGGTATAGGTGAACATTTAATTTAATTTAATTTAACCTAGACATTTTGTTATTGCATTTTTGTTTTGTTTTTAAAAGCGTTAAATAACGTCTTAGGTAAAGTTGTAGAGCGAAAAAAGCCCCTCGTCTTCTGACGTATTATACGTGCTATGGGCAGCCATTTTATGGGCAGCCATTTGGGCAGTCATTCAATTTTATATTCAGATCACGTCTGGAAATAGAAACGCTCTCAAAGCTTCTCCGGAACGCCATTTATCAAACTTTGTAACCATGGTGAACACATCACGTCAAGTGACTCAATCTGCTTTTCGCAGCAAGGTTTCCAGGCGGAGTTTCCTGACAGAACTACGATATATTCAAGAAAAGTTCTCGTTTCACAAATAAATTTGAATTATTGAATTGCCTTTCCATTCTAGCAAATTGTATTTTCAATCAACAGAAAAACTATACAACCTGGTCTTCCAAAGATATTTTTTTATGATGTGCCAAACAAAGTCATGAAGATGGATATACATTTATATGTGGTCAAAATTGCAACGTATTGAGTCTGCTACTTACATCCCAAGGGCGAATTTAGGGGGTGGGGATTCGGTTTGGGATGGATACCCCACCCCCAGACACCCACCCCACCCCACCCCAACCCGGCCACCACCCCTATCCCATCACCCCCATCCCAACCTTGCGCTTGACCACTGTTAACGTTTTGGTACACATTACTGGTAACAATTTCCAAAGTTTGCTTCTTAAAATATTTTCAGACCATAATTGCAAATCTCACTTCAAATATTTTGTCACCGCGTCTTGACTTCAAGATCTTAGCAACCCTCTTGAAAAATCCTGGAGCAACTTATGTAAGCCGTGACTTTTTGGGGGCTGGACCAAACTTTTTCTGAAATAGCTAAAGTTGCGCATCTTTTTAAATATTGACTTTAGCAAGAAGTCAAACAGTGTAAAGTTGATCTTACCATCAACAAACCAAGATTACTTTTTTTGGTTTTACCCTTTTCCTAAAAAATTTCAAACAATTTTTTATATCCTGCTTTACTAGTGTTGATCTTAACACGAAATGAACCATGCGAAAGAAGCTCTATCCAAATGTCATCTCGAAACATCCCCTACCCAAATCGCAAAAAAAACACAGACTGTAAATTTTGAAAGGGTTCAAGCAGAAATACATCGATTGTGAAAATATCCTTCGGACCGTTGAAGTGGTACGTTTTCATCCCATGCCATTTTCAACGTGTTGTGACGCACGTAACAGGCGTGATATCTGGGAAAATATGTATCTGAATGTATATTTGCCTTCGAAATGCGTCCGGATTCCTCTGAGACGCTTCGCCTGTAGGTGATAACAAAATACTGAGGGAAGTGTATTGCCGAAATCTGATACACCGAAGCTTTAACTCTGGGTACGACTTTTGTCTTCCCTGCAGGTGTCTGCCGAGGTGTCTTCTCTAACCCTGGCTTTTCTCTCCTACGACCGCTACCGCCTCATAGTGTATCCGATCAAGACACTCCAGCGGCGGTCACCCATGGCCCTGCTGAAAATCTTCCTCTGCATCTGGTTAGGTAAGGTATAAAACACGAACCGTGCACCCAGTTGTGATGCAACGATTACCAACAGAGTTGTCATGGTGAAAAAGGGTCATTGTTGTTGAAAACATCATTTCGTGTCAGGTATCGTTGTAAACATTTCGTGTCAAGTCGTCTGTAATTTCATACCAATGCACACAATTTTATTACCATTGCTGCTCGCTGATTCGTTTAAATGGCAACAAATCGAAGTCGTTTTTGAGCGGGGAGGTTTCGAATATGTTTATAGTCTTTCGTCGGCCATACTCTAATATCTGATTTAGTGCACACTCTTGCATGGCAACAATTGAAATATATAACGCTATATTTATCATTTCTCGCAAGAAATGATAATAATTGCACTGGAAAATAGTCACATAATATTAAGATTTGACTTAAAAGTTGAAACCAAATTTTTCCAAATGAAAACAGAAAACATTTAAACCATTTTCTCGTAAAAGACTCAACATACCTGTACATGGAATACGCTGAAAACTACTACATTTTATGACTCTTTCGAACCGACTTTAGTGAATAATCTTCCAATCCTCTCAACTCTCGCGGGACCACGCGAGATCCCGTGGCTGCAATCAAAGCAGTCGTGGTCTCGACGAAGCAGGCCGTAAACGCCCGCCCGTCTGCCTCGGCACGCACAATTTGCCACCCCTTGGGTACTGGACAGAGAAAATTGCAACAAAGTCGTTTCCCGATCGAAAAAAAATACCAACGGTTAAAATCATCTCAGTTGATAGTTCTCAGAGCTTTCAGATTGTCTCTTTCCAACGTGTAATTCGAGGGAACCTTGGGGAGCAATTTCAGTCGATAAGTCGAGATATATATCGAATGACACAACGCTACCGTGTTTTCTTTCGGCAAAGAGAACAGGGTGAGTAAATAAAAAACGAGACGCAAATGTCGGGACTATTGTTTTATTGAAGTTCTGCATTTAGCACTTTCAATATCTAGAACATAAAAGCCCAATTCAAAAGCTTTCTTTTATAGTACAAGAATCATTAAACACAACCACCGTTTTAAAGTTCTGTCCACGGATCACAAAAAAAGGTGTGCGTTCTTTCAGCAAAATGACAACGATTCACACACATCGCTATGTGATTTGTTTTCGTTTTGCTGAAAGAACACTGAATTTTTTTTGTGATCCGTGGACAGAACCTTAAAACGGTGGCTGTCTTTAAAATTCCGAAATTTGAAAAGTACATGAGTGATTTGAATGATTCTTGTACTACATGCAGAACTTCACTAAAACAATGATCCCAACATTTGGGTTTCGGGATTTTTTTTACTCACCCTGTAGATCGGTACAGACATTAGGTGGCTATTTTCATTTTCTCTGTCGGTATATTAGTATTAGTCACGATGGCCTTAATTGTTAACAATACGTTTAAATCATTTCTACTAATTAAAGGCATTGTCACGGGTTCAAATCGACCCTAAAACTAATTGATGTTCGAAAGTCGACCTCTTGAGAAAAAAAATGGACTTTACCCCTATAGTTTTTTTGTATTGTGTATTTTTCTCTATTTTTATGATGATTAACATTATTTATTGTTATTCTGTTTCAATACAGTGTCTTTCATAACGCAGATTCCCACTGCACCAGCTGCGGGTCTGACACCAGAGGGCGCATGCTCTGAATACATTGCTACCTGGGGACAGGAGTACTTCTTCAGCTACATTCTAGCCTCTCTGTACATCATCCCTTTCGGCGTCATCGTCATCTGCTACCTCCAGATAGGCCGGAAAATGCTGGAAGTCGGCCCGCCGAGCAGCATGAAGGCCCACCGGCGCAGGCGAAGTGTCAACATCATCCTGGGAGTCATCGTGCTGTATGCCCTCTGTTGGATACCAGTCCACATCGTTCACATGTGGATGGCCTTTGACCCGAAAGTCAATGCCAGGAGCCCGCTGTACGTGGAGCTGCATACCGCCGCCAACGTCTTGATTTTCTTCAACAGCAGCGTCAACCCGTTCGTGTACGCCCTCATCGGCCCGTCGTTTCGCAGACACATCAGGTTGATTGCGGTCTCTCTAGCCAAATGTCAACCTAGGGTTGCTTTTGCCGACCAGAGGAGTGAGAGTAATCAGAGCCTGTACGGGGCCAAAAACGCACCCGCATCATCGGGAGCTCCAGATCCCAAGACACCGGAAAATTCGATCCCCGGTACATCCGACAATGCATGCAACGGTGTACACGAATCGACTTGGCTTTGAGGTTATTGCCACCGTATAGTTGCACACATATTTCTGTATGAGATGGCATTCAAGTGAACTGCCTGAACACTTTGCACTATCTGCACTGACCTCACTTCTAAAAACATTCCTACTGGTGTGTGACCGATACTTACCTTGACGAAACTTTTCACCTCTGAGTTATGTTTACTTTTTGCTTCTGTATAGCATCCGCAATTGGTGCACTTTTAAGCCTTGCTGGGCATACGTTTAGTGAGGCTTCACGGCGTGAACGCACTCTTTTGGTACACTGTAGTTGGGCAAAATGGGTTGATAATTCGACCAATGCTGGTCAAATTATCAACGGCCTACACTGGCCTTTACTTTCAGTTTTTACCCAATGATAGCCACAAAATGGTTTCACAAATGTTCATCTTTGTACGAGTGCTCCGAGTTCCCCACATGTATTTTAGATTTGTGGAAGTGAACGAGTTGCCACAATCGTTCTCTTTTGTGTCATGCGATTTTTCAGTTTCCGTAAATTGAGATGCTAGTAGCAATTTTACAAAGGCCTTTTCCGAGGGTGTTTTTCTGAAGAAATCAGTGTACCAAATTTTTTAAAACTCCGACTTTTACATGCTAATTTTCCTATTCGAGGGGTACGGAAGCGCGCCACCAAGGGTCAACTTTCAGGCTCTATAGCTGGAACAATTTGGAGTCATGTGCGAAATTAAATTGAATGCCATAATAAAAGGTAGTCTATGTAATATACCCTGGTCCTGGCGAAGCCGACCATGGCGATTAATTATGCAACTAAACTGCGTATGACCTCGAAAAACTGATCAATCAGCAGGCGCCTTCTATACGCGCGTAAAGCTCGCCTCATACTCTGCGCGAAAGCGAAAGCAAACGCGAATTTATTACGTCATGGCAAGTTTTCGCGCTGCGAATTTGTAAAAGTTGAACACATTTCAACCGGGGCGAATTTTGCAGCGAATTTTTTATGACGTCAAATTCGCTTCGCATTCGCTTTCGCATGAAGTAATGAAGTATTCGCTTTCGCTTTCGCATGAAGTTAAGCCCGGTTCATACTTCATGCGAAAGCGAATACGAAGCGAATTTGACGTCATAAAACATTCGTTGCGAAATTCGCCCGAGTTGAAATGTGTTTAACTTTTACGAATTCGCAGCGCGAATGCTCGCCACGACGTAACAAATTCACGTTCGCTTTCGCTTTCGCGCAGAATATGAACCGGGCTTAATGCGAGCTTCCCGTGTGCTTAAACATCACGCCCAAGATAAGTAGCATTTTTGTACAGGTTGTTGTGTTACAAAAACGCGGCATCGAAATGTACCAATCTTAGTTCTGCTTTTGGAATGAAATGACGTCACGCATGCTTAGATACGCTGTATATCAGACGTTATACAGGAGACCTGGCTCCGTGGACAGGGTGATACTCGGACTTAATAAAAGGCAGATTCATACTCAACGCGCACGCAAATTCGAACGGGAATTGGTGACGTCACGTGAAGTTTCACTCTGCACATTTGCACAAGTTGAACTATTGAACTATAGTAGCAAAGGCCAACAAAAAAAAGTCTCCGGTTTCTGGTATGCGCGCGCGTCGCCGTAGCCATGCGCGTCGGCAAAATGAAAAAAGTTTTTTTTCAACGAAAGATGATGTCTCAAAACCGCCAAACTCACTGGTTTGACTGGAATCCTGCTGCTGCACAATTTTAATGTGTTTTTAGATTGGGTTATGGTCGAGAATAAGCTTTATGTGGCCTCTCTGGACTCCCATATATTTGCACTAAGTTTAGTCGGGCACCATTTGCAGTCATCAGCACACATTTGAAGCAAAAAAAACTGGTAAAAAAAAAAAAAAAAGCCGCGTCGCCGCACCACTTTTTGGGCAAGCTTCATACCAGAAATCAGAGACTTTTTTTTTGGCCAAACGTTTCATGACTTCAAATTTGCTTCGCATTGACATTGGCTTGAATATCGAACTTGAGTGCGAAACTCAAGCCCAGCCAATCGGGCGAGGTTAGATGACGGATGATCAACACTTTGAAGGATGTAGCAAACGAATTATTGAAAGTCAGACAAGATTTAGGTTTACACGGTGAAGTCAGCAATAAGAGTAAGTTGGCGGTTTCACAATGTGACAAGAAAGTCTGTTGTGAGTTTGTGTGGAGACATCGTCATTTCTTTGGTAACACCATCAAGTGGCCTGTACCAAAAATCGTGAGTTTCCCCCAGTTCTTGTCAGAACCACGCAAACACATAAAAGAGATATTTTTGGTCACATGGAGCGACATCAAACTTGTACTCTTAAATTGAATAACGAACCCGAATGCCTCAATTCTGAATCCGGGAGATCAAATGGATTTGCAGACAAAGTGGCTGAAATACGGGGCTCAAAAATGAATCCCAATGCTTATTTTACGAAGTTTGCCACACATTTTGTTGTCAATGAGGTTAGTTTTGCATTTGAAGTAGTACGTGCACGGAAGAATTTTGTTTTCAATAAACACACGGGGCGTCCTATGTCAACGGAGGTGCGTTTTTTTAACGAACCGAAGGACGTTAATTTTAAGACGGGTGAGATTTCGCCCCAGAAGGTTGTACACCCTTTGTTACTTTGTACAAGTACTTCACTTTTTTTGCAGACGTGCTATTTATGTCAAGGTCGCAATGTTTAAAGAAAATTTGAAAAGAAAATGAATTAGCCAATGGTGGTTACACCATAATTAATGTGGTTACGTTTTAATTATTATAGTGCTATGTCGGCTGCCGATGGATTTCTTTTTTACGGTGTTACTCTTGCGTTTGTACATTATGGGAAAACAATGTGTGTTATACAATCTCAGGGTCTTTCTAAGTCGGTTGATGTGGTGATTAAGGGGGAAGACACAGTCTTCAACATTGCCAAAAAGGCTCTAGCATTGTGAAAAGGCGAGTCGAGAAGGCACACAATTATATCGGAAGTTAATGCGCTTATTCTGGGTCCATTCCACCGCAAAAGATAATACACCTTATGCGTAGCAGCCATCTTAGAGGGCAATGCCTTTGTTTTGCTGGGATATCATTATGCATGAGTGAACCTTATGCAAATTCATTGTAAATGGCCGCTACGCATAGGGTCTATAATAAAAACTCTGAAATGGCAGTTTTAACTCAAAAGTTTGAAACAAAAGGGATGCTTGTGCCGACCAGAGAAGAGAGAGTAATCAGAGCCTGTACGGGGCTAAAAACGCACCCGCATCATCGGGAGCTCCAGATCTCAAGACACCGGAAAATTCGATCCCCGGTAGATCCGACAATGCATGCAACGGTGTACACGAATCGACTTGGCTTTGAGGTTATTGCCACCGTATAGCTGCACACATTTCTGTATGAGATGGCATTCAAGTGAACTGCCTGAACACTTTGCACTGTCTGCACTGACCTCACTTCTAAAAACATTCTATACTGGTGTGTGACCGATACTTACCTTGACGAAACTTTTCACCTCCGAGTTAAGTTTACTTTGCTTCTGTATAGCATCCGCAATTGGTGCACTTTTAAGCCTTGCTGGGCATACGTTTAGTGAGGCTTCACGGCGTGAACGCACTCTTTTGGTACACTGTAAAAACAAAAGTTGGGCAAAATGGGTCGATAATTCGACCAATGCTGGTCAAATTATCAACGGCCTACACTCTTGGGCAAATTCTACTCAAAAGTTTGACAGTTTTTACCCAATTCAACCCAATATGAGGTAATTTCATTCCAATTTTGGGTAAATTACATTACCCAACAGTGTTTTATCCAACCTTTTTACAACGTATAGATGTATAAACGTGGATTTACACTTTGAAAATGTTTCCTGCTTATGACCAAACAAACTTTGAGATTCCTCTTCTCTTATATTTTCAGAGAAAGGCAATCGGGCCGATTCCGCAAAAGTTTGTTTTCTCCAAAATTTGAGCGAAGGCTCGGGTACATACGGGAGCGGCTCCAAAATCACAACCAAAATCAACTGTCAGCTCCCATTTTTGATGAAGTTTGGTAAAAGAAATACGATCAAAGCATGCAATTACCCTTCAACGAAATGCCGACCATATTTCGAGCGAAATTGAAGTTAAGCATTCAGTGTGCTAGAACAATTATTTAGGTGGTTTTGCGTTCTTCCTTTTTTAGTCTTGCACAAGTTGTTTGCCCGAGCTATCTGTGTTACTTTCAAATTTGTTAACAGACGATCTCTTATCGCTGTCAAAAGATCCTTTGCCAAACATTTTGTATTGCTGCAATGGACATGCGGCTGCGAAGTTGACCCATCATCGGAAATCATTTATCGCACATTGATGTGAACACAGCGCGCTGTAAGGATATGAAACAAAAAGCGTTTACCGTCAGAGCCTGGAAGTATGGCATTTACTTTCAGTTTTTACCCAATGATAGCCACAAAACGGTTTCACAAATGTTCATCTTTGTACGAGTGCTCCGAGTTCCCCACATGTATTTTAGACTTGTGGAAGTGAAAGGTCAGTGTTTGACACGATCTTTCTCTTTCGCGTCATGCGAGTTTTCAGTTTCCATAAATTGAGATGCTAGTATCAGTCTTACAAAGGCCTTTTCCGAGGGTGTTTTTCTGAAGAAATCAATGTACCAATTTTTTTTAAAGTCCGACTTTTACACGCTAATTTTCCTATTCGGGGGGTAAGGAAGCGCGCCACCAAGGGTGAACTTTCAGGCTCTATAGCTGGAACAATTTGGAGTCATGTGCGAAATTAAATTGAATGCCATAATAAAAGGTAATAGACCCTGGTCCTGGCGAAGCCGACCATGGTCTATTATTTGTTAACACATTCGGCAATTAATTATGCAACTTAATTGCGTATGAATTCGAAAAAATGACCAATCAGCAGGCGCCTTCTATACGCGCGTAATGCGAGCTTCCCGTGTGAAACATCACGCCCAAGATGAGTAGCATTTTTGTACAGGTTGTTGTATTACAAGAACGCGGCATCGCAAGATTGACCAATCACAGTCTTAGTTCTGATTCGGAATGAAATGACGTCACGCATGCTTAGACCACTGATCTCTATATAAAGACTGGATAGCGGATATGCATACAACATTCACACAGTAGACTTTGCATATTGACCAATTCGCCCCCGGTCTCACGAAGATGGCCGCGTATATACGAACGTTCTACGCGTAAATACGCGCGCGTTGTATCAACAGTTGACGCGCATTTTGGTCGTGTACACATATTATGATGTTCTAAAAAGACACATTTCCGTAGTGATTATTATTTCAAAAACGCCGAAAAAGTGATTTGCGGCATTATAAAAGTAACCACGACGTTAGAAAAATTGTAGTAAACCTTGGTCAGTTGGTCAGTGGTGGTGGCCAAAATATAAGTCAAGTGAACCGCGACGTTACAAAAGAAATCATGCTGTCTATAAAAACGACAACTTGTCCTTTGTAGATCACCAGCCGGTCTCACCAATATGGCGTCAAATTCGTACATTGTGCGGCTCTTTATTAGCTATCCAGTCTTTATATAGAGATCAGTGGCTTAGACACACTGTATATCTGTATATCAGACGTTATACAGGAGACCTGGCTCCGTGGACAACGGGTGATACTCAGACTAAATAAAAGGCAGATTCATACTCAACGTGCACGCGAATTCGAACGGGAATTGGTGACGTCACGGGAAGTTTCGCTCTGCACATTTGCAAAAGTTGAACTATTGAACTATCGTAGCAAACGTTTCATGGCTTCAAATTTGCTTCGCATTGGCATTGGCTTGAATATCGAACTTGAGTGCGAAACTCAAGTCCAGCCAATCGGGCGAGATTAAATGACGAATGAGCAAAACTTTGATGGATGTAGCAAAAGAATTATTGAAAGTCAGACAAGATTTAGGTTTACACAGTGAAGTCAGCAATAAGAGTAAGTTGGCGGTTTCACAATGTGACAAGAAAGTCTGTTGTGAGTTTGTGTGGAGACATCGTCATTTCTTTGGTAACACCATCAAGTGGCCTGTACCAAAAATCGTAAGTTTCCCCCAGTTCTTGTCAGAACCACGCAAACACACAAAAGAGATATTTTTTGGTCACATGGAGCGACATCAAACTTGTACTCTTATTACATTGAATAACGAACCCGAGTGCCTCAATTCTGAATCCAGGAGATCAAATGGATTTGCAGGCAAAGTGGCTGAAATACGGCGCTCGAAAATGAATCCCAATGCTTATTTTACGAAATTTGCCACATTTTTTTGTCAATGAGGTTAGTTTTGCATTTTAAGTAGTGCGTGCACCGAAGAATTTTGTTTTCAATAAACACGCGGGGCGTCCTATGTCAACGGGGGTGCGTTTTTTTAACGAACCGAAGGACGTTAATTTTAAGACGGGTGAGATTTCGCCCCAGAAGGTTGTACACCCTTTGTTACTTTGTACAAGTACTTCACTTTTTTGCGGACGTGCTATTTATGTCAAGGTCGCAATGTTTAAAGAAAATGTGAAAAGAAAATGGAATTAGCCAATGGTGGTTAAACTATAATGAATGTGGTTATTTTAATTATTATAGTGCTATGTCGGCTGCCGATGGATTTCTTTTTTACGGTGTTACTCTTGCGTTTATACATTATGGGAAAACAATGTGTGTTATACAATCTCAGGGTCTTTCTAAGTCGGTTGATATGGTGATTAAGGGGGAAGACACAGTCTTCAACATTGCCAAAAAGGCTCTAGCATTGTGAAAAGGCGAGTCGAGAAGGCACACAATTATATCGGAAGTTAATGCGCTTATTCTGGGTCCATTCCACCGCAAAAGATAATACACCTTATGCGTAGCAGCCATCTTAGAGGGCAATGCCTTTGTTTTGCTGGGATATCATTATGCATGAGTGAACCTTATGCAAATTCATTGTAAATGGCCGCTACGCATAGGGTCTATAATAAAAACTCTGAAATGGCAGTTGTAGCTCAAAAGTTTGAAACACAATGATTAAAACTATTGGAATGTACTATGTGCAATCAACGTTTTCGTTTATGTTACCCAGATGCACTCGTTCCAAATCCTATCTCGACGTAGACGTCTTGCATCTGATGTCACATCTGAGAAGTCTTTGTTCCTCTGGCATAGGCATAGGCACGAGTTGATTCTTTGTACATTCATTGTCACTGAATTTGAATAACAAAACAGTGCGGAAAGAATGTTGCATCCTGACGCCATTTTTTCATCATATATTATCTCAATGAAGGTCATGCAAAAATGTTGTAGAAACATGAATCTGGGACTGAAAAACAGTTCCAGTTTTGTTACTAAATACTCTGAAAATGCACTCAACGCTCCATAGACTTATACACAACCAAAGAAGTGGCGTCTAGATACTACATTGAATTTCTTTCCAAAACTGCCCTCAGTGACGGGGCACAGTGCACATATTTTTAATCTTGACCTATAGTCTAAACCATTTTAATTGAGGCCACCTTAATTATTCACAGGGAACTGTTCCATTATTTTTGTACAGCATGAAAGCAGTTCTCCGGTTTTGTGGAATCGTTCAAAAAAAGTTATATTTTGTGACACTTTGCGACACCATTTGAACAACGTAATAAAAATCAACACTATATACACTTAAAAGTTGGTGTGTTTTCTATCTTTTACTCCGAAATTCCTTTGCCTTTTCCCAATTTTTAAACATTTAAACACTTTATTTTAAAGTTTGAAGCTTTTTACTTGAGCCATTCAATTTTAAATTGTGAAGAATATCCCACTAATGAAATTGAAATTGTGAAAATCGATGGAATAGATTTTCACGTTGAATGTTTTCAGCACGAATATACCGCTGTTAGTTCCATCAGGATTTGAAATATATACTTCGAACCTCGAACCTTTGGATCCAAAGCTTTTTGTTTGCATTTCGAAAGTGGAAAATACAGTTAAATTACAAAGTGCGTAAGATTTCATTCACATTGATAAGTCCGCACATAATGTTAAACTGACAAATAAATGCACACGTGACAGTTTTAATTTCAGAGAAATACATGGATGTTACATGTACCATGCTAAGTATAGTGGCACAGGTTCAAGTTTGCCTGCCTAATAAAGATAATGCAGAATTCTTGTAATATCTACTCATTTATCATAATTTCATTCAAGAGATTGTCACATAATTATGGCATATATTGATGACTAGCATTTGAATTATAAGCATGCACCAGCATCAAAATAATTAAACTGCCCGTATATGTCGGGGTTCGAATCCCGCAGAGGGCAATTTGCACATACAGCTCAACTGTCCATTCACAATTACACAGCGGCTGTGCTGCATATATACAGAAGGGGGAAAAAAGAATGACATTCACCATTCCTTTTTTTGTCGATGGTTCGAATCTCGTATGATTTCATCCGTCATAGCCAGTCCCGATTCATTGTGCTGGTTTTGCATATTGCAGTTCCGTCCAAATACATGCATGTTCGCTTGAAACCATGATGAGACTCATATGAGAGAAAGTGATCAGGACGAGGAATTCGGTCGGGAGTTCGAATCCCGTATATATAGCAGTCACAAGTGAGTTCCAATTATGTCCGTTGCTATCGTGGGTTTAAAAGTGCAGTGGTGTTTCGATCCGGTCCGTTTCCATCGTGGGTCTAGAAGTGCAGCTGTGGTGCAGGTCGTTTGCATATTCCGTGACGTCGCCAGTCACATGGAACATCGCTCCATTCACCAGTTTGCAGTACGTTAGCGCAGTCTTCCCTTTGACCAGTGCTGGGTGTAGGTAGGGTCTCCTCACTACTGCTGCTTCCTGCACGCCCCAAGCCCCCAAGCCCCACTTCCTCACGGGCCCAGTTCCTGTACCTTACATTACTGGTACCATCCTTGCACTCCCAGGTACCTAGATTTCAACGTAATTAAAAACAAATCATTAAAACAGCTTTCATTCACCATAACTTATAACGTTCACAAAACGTTCACGCTTCCTGCATCCTGTGGACCTCTTTGGTCAAAGGTCCACAAAGAGAATGCAAGGTTTAGAGCACATTTTAGAGCACGCTTTAGCCAACCGGCAGCGGTGATATAGCGGTGATTTTACAGAGCGAAATCAATCATCTTGACAAAATGCAAATTCTTCATTTTCAGAGCATCAATTTTAAAAACGTCTTCGGTTTACATCTCGGTGCAGTTAATCCAAAACTATGACGGCCTCACGAGAAAAGCCTGCATGGCGAAATAAAGAATTGATTTTCGAATAGACAAGTGAAAGAAGTGCACAATAAGCTCTGGCCGTGTTGCAAGATGCATGAAAGTCTTGCATGAAATCGATCAACATGATACCTGCCAGAGCTTAAAAATGCGACACCGAAAAATGCGACGCCGATGGCACATTTTGAACACAATACTTTTGGTCAAATTTCGGGGACAGACGGACAGACAGTCAGACTGACCGACCAACAAGCTCCTGCCAGTGCTAAAAAATAGTATAAAACGCACCTTCAGACTGCAGATCATTGCAGTGAATCCAAAACTTAGATGACACCAGACTCACGAGGAAATCAGTTTCATCGTCAGACTGTGGCACGACCAAGACACTTCCCATCTTGATGCACTCCTCCTTGGCCTCGGACCACGTCAGGCGCTCATCGGTGGCTTTGTAGCATCTGCCTCCCCAGTGGTTCCAAGTAGGAGGACACGCCCCTCTAATGGAGGCCTCACACATCTCACTACTACCCATACATCTGATCATCAGATGAAGGCTTATCAAGCTAAAGATAAGCCGTTTGGGCAACATGATTCCAAACTGGCGTCTTGTGGTGAAATAACGCAGTTCCCAGGTTGACCTGCAACGTACAGTTAACGTAATAATTAATTGAAAGGGATGACCATCCGACCACTTCCGAAGCCATTAAGCCTCGCACGTCACAGCAATATTAAGATTAAAAATGTAGGCTGCTGGTGCCACGTTTCTGGCCATAAAAGTGTGTCAATGAAAATTGACACTTGGTTACCAAGGTCACCGAGTGCACCTTTCATTAACTCCGTTTGTTTGGTTAAAACGCTCATAAAAGAGCTACGATTGACTAGTCTAATTCAGAGAATAACGGGTTCGTGAGACACCTAATTAGGCATTTTTACGCTTTATTGATCCCCAATTCAGCTGAAGAACTTATGGCCTTCTCTCGGGATAATTACCAAAACGCATTGTTGCAATTGTAAATCGAAAAAGCAGTTGGGCACAGTATCGCTTAAAAATGAGAGCGCTCTTTCGTTTCAGGTTTACGAAATCTCGATTCTACTATTTAGCGGACTGGCTTCAGCATCCAATGTCATGTTTTGAGAATTGGATCTATATCTAACAGCTTCGTTTCTGGTGTTTTTTTTTCTTTTTTCAATGCACATATCCAATGCCACCACACATCCGTTCTGCTCGTTATGTTTCTAGAGAAAAGCTTGCGACTTGACCACAACTGAAATCAAAACCACAATTTGGTAAACCCCGATGGATTGGCCATGCAGACGCCGACACTTTCTTTACGCGTGCAGGCCTGTATACTTACTTACTGTGGGAGTGCAGTCGCCCTCCCATAATTAAGCACACGTGTAAAGAAAACATGACATCAAGATTTAGGCCCAAGGGTTATCATTCATTAAATCAGTGAATAAAAGCAACTATCAATAAGAACGTAATAGCCCCCGCCCCCACCGGTTTAGAATTTGCAACGAATCCCGGACACGCAACTGTCATCTTGTTCCCCCTCCTCCCCCCCCCCCCCTCCTCCTCCTCCTCCCCCCCCCCCCCCCCCCCCAAACTTTGATTCCAGATCCAACGGGACTATGGAATATCCCCTTGGACCGTAGTCTGGTTCCCCGACCTGACAATTTCCCCCGATGTCTACACGTCTAAATTGTAGGTCAGGCAGCCTCCGTGGATAAAAATAAACATGACGACATTGACGGCCCTTTTTCAAAGCTCGACTTCGTTTCCGAATTCGCTTTATCACATAAAGCCTTTAATGTTCCGATAATTTTTTTAAAAATAAATCACTTGCTTCATATATCATACAGTTATGATATACAGTTTAATACTTCTGTAAAAAAAACATTGACTAATTTTCACCTGGAATCTTCAAAGTTGGACACCCAAACAGCACTGTTAGCAGGCGGAGCCGAATTGAGACCACGCCGCGTTTTGGAAAATGCCGGTAACGGTCGTCAAATTCAAACTAGTGCATGACGCAGCAAAAAGTTCGCCCCTCGTATACGATCCGAGTGCAAAATCGTCGTTGAATTTCAAGTTTTCTAAATAAAAGCAATGGATATTAAATATCAACTAGTTTTTAAAGTTTTTAATAAGCAATTAGCAGTTAATAAATCCTGTATTATACTCGGAAATACTTGGACACTATCCGATTGTCGACGAAATGAATTCGGTAAACTTCGGACAGTTTCGGAAAAAGGAGGAATTCCTCCCGTTTTAGCAACGTTTTAGTCACGTGGTGTAAATTGTGATACATTGTATTACCGGAGGCTACCTGACCTAAGATTCATCAGGAATAGTCGGAATCTTTTGGTCTGGGAACCAGACTACTTGGACCGGAGACAGAGAGAGCTCCGCGCGCCGTTGGACAACGGGTGATAGTACTCGATCGGACTACAGGACGTGCAGAGAATCCTGTAATCTTTCCGAATGGGCGCGTGCAGCAATCTCATTAAGGAACGAGGCTTAAGATAATTGAATGACCTACATCTGTCGACTTGAGATATTTACAAGCGCCATTTTACCGTTACGCCTTACTGACTACACGGCAGACGGATCATTCATGATTTATTACAGCGATGCGATTCCATTGTTACATTTTTATTCGATTGTCGCTGTAGCACCTGTTGAGAGGCAGATTCATCCGTGAAAATGCGCGCTTTCACTGTGCACGTTACGGTTTGTGCACGTTGTCACCATTAGAGTGTATCCCGCTTTTCACCCGTTCATCACGAGCTTGCTGTTTTTAATAATGAAAAAATATATATCTATCAAACCTGGCTCATTTTAGCCACCATACAATGTTTAAACACAGGTGGAGAGAAGAACCAACTAAAAATTCAATTTTGGGGGGGAAAGGTGTCATTGACAGCCTTTTGACACACTCAAACGAACCCTACAGTAGACCTCTTGTTTCGCCATTTCCTCGAAAGTTAATATCATCTTGAAACCTTCAGCGTAAAATATGAGTTATTGCTCCCATTCACGCCGCGGCTCAAAAAGCACTATCCGCCCATGGGAATGGGAAATACTGTTGAACAAATAGGATCATGAGGCGATATTTGTGTGCGAATCATAGTATACAAATTTCGGCCAAGTTCGCGCAAGGACTATAGTTGACCAATGGTTAACTAATTAACGTTTGCCCGAACTCTGTCTAGTCGACGGTGGTTGACTACGCTAGTCGACTATTTGGAACCAGCCTACTAGGGTTGGTTGCTTCGCTGGTAACTAACAGCCGCGCGCATTCATTACTCTAGCAGAGAGCCAGGATCCAGAAGTTTTGCGATGACATTTTGACCAGCGTTTGACTAGAGACGTTCGCACGTTGCTATCAGTGCGCAGGCGTAAGGTACGTCACAAATCAACCACTAGTCGACTAATGGTCCATGCCCGAACTTGGCCATTGAGTGGCTCAGCGTGGAATGGGAGGAAAATTTTTGCAAGGTAAAATCTAGCCTTGGTCAATGCTCTCGTCGTTATTCGTCCCGTATGCGGTCGATCGTCGGCATATATCCTCACGCGCTATGCACACGCATGTAAAAATACAGCGCGAACAGCGACCTCATGCGGCCACTATTTTTTTATGCGAATCAGTTGGGGACAATCGAGAGCCTTGGTTCAATCGTCGGCAAAAGCTTATGTTTTTCTTTACTTTGCGCTAGATTTCTATGCGAATACAGATAATGTAAGCGGGGCTAATATGTGGAGTGTCCAATCACACCTTGATAAATCCGGACGTCATCAAATTATTTGCAGCATATGGAGAACTAGGGAGCATTTGCTCACTCGCCACTAGTGCAGCTCTGTTTACGTGGGAAGACTGGCTCATGTCTAGGCGCTCTGAGCAAATTTTCATTAATATGCGGAAAGTGTGTTGGTTTAACTTACTTCCTCGCATCGCATCACAAAATACAGATTTTCCTCTTTCACATGAATATAATTTCTTCATGATCAAAGGCGAATAATTATGTGCACTTTTTCATTGAAAAACGGGCAACTCAGTGAAAATTTCGCGTTTCTTATGGAGGTCACGGCACATTTCCCCGATTTTTGAGGGTGCGGGTTTACTTCTTCGAACAGCACACGTGTGAACCCGGTCGCATACAATTACCTCGCACGGTTTCTGAAAGATAACACAATAAGCTTTCCATTCATGTAAGGCTATGCAGGTCGCCGGGTCAATGCACTGTTGTGTGTGACCGCAGAGCATGCAGGGCTTTGATTTTCTGCACACATGGGTGGCAAAGTTCTCCATATGCTATTCCGCCTTTTGCGGACGTGACAGGAACCACTGTTTTTGTGCATTGGTGCCGTATGCAGAGACACACAATGTGTACGTGCATGGATTATGTACGGTGCCACGTTTCACTATGGAAGTTTCCACGCAACCAATAAGAAAACGACATTTAAGGTCAGCTAACATAATGAGCACCACCCTCAAAACCTCACATGGACAATTGAACCAAGGCGCTAGATCGGGTCCAACTGATTTGCATAAAAATAGTGGCCACGTGAGGTCACTGTTCGCGCTGTATTTTTAATGCACTGCATGCATAGACATTATGACTGCATGCATAGCGCTAGCGAAGATATCGTTTACCGCGCTACGGCCGGATGAATAACAACTAGCGCCTTGACCAAGGCTAGGTAAAATCTGGACTTTTCCATTTCACGAGGCGAAGCCGAGTGAACTGGAAAAGTCCATATTTTACCTAGCGATAATATTCCTCCCATTTCACAATTTAAAGCCACTCAATATTTGTTTTATATAACTGACATATAGATCCTTGTCATATGATATATATTTGAACTTTTTTTCAATACAAAACTGGAGGAAAATGCATTTTTCTCTTCCAAAACCACCCTTTCACGAAAATGTTTGAACCCAACGCTGTAGCGCTGGCTCTTTGGAACAATACGCGCTACCCGCATCGCTGAACGCGCACACCAGCATGCATTTGCACACAAATACCGCGTCATGATCGTAACTGTTGAATAGTATTTCCCATTCCCCATGGGCGGATAGTACTTTTTGAGCCGCGGCATGAATGGGAGCAATAACGAATGCCACGTGATGTGAGTTCCGCCAATCAAATGACAAGGATCTTTATGTCGGTTATATAAAGCTTTTTGTAACACCTCACCCACAGATTCTGTGTCTTGGCGAGAGAGCGAGTCACATGTTACTTTCTATTTTTACTATCTTTCTATGCACGGCCAAAAGTACTATACCCGTAGCAACCAAACTACTATACCATTAGCAACCATTATATAACCGACATACAGATCCTTGCACTTTGATTGGTGAAACTCACATCACGTGGCATTCGTTATTGCTCCCGTTCATGCCGCGGCTCAAAAAGTATTATAACACCTCACCCACAGATTCTGTGTCTTGATTGGCCGAGAGCGAGCCACATGTTACTTTCTAATTTTGCTATCTTTATGTGCACGGCCAAAAGTACTATGCCCATAGCAACCAAAGTACTATACCATTAGCAACCTTAAGTACGTTTTACACGGCGCGGTATTTGTGTGCAAATGGATGCTAGTGTGCGCGTTGCGCGTTGCGCGTATTGTTCCAAAGAGATCGCGCCGCAGACTTGGGTTCAAACATTTCGTGAAGGGGTAGTTTGGAAGAGAGAAATACATTTTCCACTAATTTTGTATTGAAATTGAAGTTTATTTCAACTGTGTTCAGATTTAAACAATTTGAAATACTAAAACCAAGCAGAATCTTTGGATGAAGTGTTATAAAACAAATATTGAATGCTTTATCTCGTGGTGAAGTAAAACTAGCCTCCCTCGGTGATCCATGGACCATTCTATTTTCCCTCGGCTTCGCCTCGGGAAAATAGAATGGTCCGTGGATCACCTCGGGAGGCTAGTTTTACTACACCACTCGAAGCATTCAATATTTGTATACTCTCCGCCCATGGGGAATGGGAGATTCAACAGGTAGGATCATGACGCGGTATTTGTGTGCAAATGCATGCTGGTGAGCGCGTTAAGCGTTGCGCGTAGCGCGTATTGTTCCAAAGAGCCAGCGCTACAGCGTTTGGCTCAAACATTTTCGTGAAGGGGTGATTTGGAACAGAGAAATACATTTTCTTCCAGTTTTGTATTGAAATAAAAGTTCAAATATATCAAATGACAAGGATCGATCTATATGTCAGATATAAAACAAATATTGAGTGGCTATAAATTGTGACATGGGAGAAATATTATCGCTCGGTAAAATCTGGACTTTTCCGGAGTGATTGTTTCAAATCAAAACCAACTGACAGAAACCAACCACGGGTTTGTTGGGTTATTTGTTTATACTTATCTGTTTGTTGGGTAGTCGGGTTGTTGGTTTTTCGGGTTGTTTGTTTGTCAGGTTGGTTGGTTGACGGGTTGTTTGTTTGTCGGGTTGGTGGGTTGACAAGTTGTTCGTTTGTCGGGTTGTTTGTCGAGTTAGTTGCAGGGTTGGGTGGTTGCTGCAGGCTGGGTGGGTTGGTGGGTTGTGCGGTTGGTTCGGTTTTCGGGTGGGTGGGTTGTCAGGCGGGTAGGGTGGGCGGGTGGGTAGGGTGGGCGGGTAGGGTGGGCGGGTGGGTAGGGTGGGCGGGTGGGTGGATGGGTGGATGGGTGGATGGGTGTATGGTTTGTCGGGCGGGTGGGTGGACGGGTGGGTGTCTGTGTGTCTGGGTGGGTGGGTTGTCCGGCGGGTAGGATGGGCGGGTGGGTGTCTGGGTGTCTCGGTGTGTGGTTTGTCGGGTGGGCAGGCAGCTGGAAGGGCGGGCGGGTGGAGTTTTCTTTCTTCTTTTTTTTGGAGTGGTGTTTGGGAGATTCATCACAGCAAAGGTATACAGCCATTTTATTCGACGGAATTACCCTTTAAATTTTTAAGTTTATAACTGTCTTGTACGGGCTTGTCGTCAAGGGGGCCAGGGCGGCCGGGCCCCCTGATGAGCAACCCCCCCCCCCCCCCCCCCCCTGTTCTTTGGACCACATCATTTGCGGTCAACTAAGGCATGTGCTTTTCATAAGAGCAATTTTTCTGCATATCCACCACTCCCCCCCCCCCCCCCCCCCATGTGGTGTGCCCGCTGGTTAGTACTGTGGCCCCCCTAATGCCAGGAGCTGGCGACGGGCCTGCACTTGTATTATTGGGCAAATTTCCATACGAACTGTCATGTTATTATGCCTTTTCACATTTTTCCAGCAACATTCGGTGAAAAATGTCATCAAAATCTTTTTAACCAGAACATAACGTTATTTCGAAAATTACGAAAATGAAACCTATGCAGCCTCCATCCCTCCAATTCAGCGATTCATCATTTCATCCAGCTATCAATCCAATTACTTATTCCAATCAGTCAGTCATTCACTTGATGAACTGCAATTAAATGTTTATATTTAAGCTTTGCATTTTCATGCACGAATTTATTACCAAGCTAAAATTGCCCAATTATTTAATGATACATTTTTACACTGATACAAGTCATATTTACAATACTAACAATATGCCGACAGAAATAAATAATTGCTAAATGATACTGAACATGAAAATAGAATGGGTTCCCAATCCACAATGCGCAAAGATGCACAAACACTCATAACATGGGGGCCCGGGTGGGTGTGGAGTATGGGTTTCACTCATAGGGCCCGGGTATGGGGTATGGGTTTCACTCATGGGTTCCGGCTGTGGGGTATGGGTTTCACTCATGGGGCCTGGGTGTGGGGTATGGGTTTCACTCACATGGGGGCCCGGGTGTGTGGTATGGGTTTCACTCATAGGGCCCGGGTGTGGGGTATGGGTTTCACTCATAGGGCCCGGGTGTGGGGTATGGGTTTCACTCATAGGGCCCGGGTGTGGGGTATTGGTTTCACTCATAGGGCCTGGGTGTGGGGTATGGGTTTCACCCAGCCAAATCTGATTTTCTCAACAAATTCTGGCCTGTCTTCTTCTTTCATAAAAGTTAAAAAATACATGCAAAGTCTGTTTGAAGAGCTTCTTGACATCAGATTTCTTCTATGCACGACTTTAAGAATTCAACAGAATTTTCAATTGACACTGATGATTGAAGCCGTTATTTTCAGCAATTTCATCTTACAACAAATGCTTATACCTGCATTACGTGGATAGACGTTCCACAGACAGAAAGGCATTCACTTTTTACCAGCCCAATAAGGTATTAAAAACTTGCTTAAATTGATCTCAAAATATTGTACACAGTGACCATCATCTTTATCTCACATATCAAATACAAGGACGTTTTACGTAAAAAGAAGAAATTAAAGATTTTTTAAAAATTCCTAAAACCTTAAGTCATATTCATAGTAATTTACAGAATATAAGAAATACATCAACCCTTAACCAAATTGCTGTATTTTATAAGAAAGAAATGTAGAAGATTTCCAAAGATCAGCTGATTCCAACAATCTGTCAATTGACTGATTTTTGGAAATACAAAGTGCAATGGACAAAATTGTGTTTCATGATCAAAAGGTTGTGCATGGTTTTTCACTGATTTCTCAAAAGGTGTAATATCCACTGAGTTGAAACTTCAACATGCTAGGTTGTGAACACTCTTCTTTAGATTATGAGAGTGTTGTTATTGGAAACAAACAAAGTGCATGAAAAGCAAATGATCCTACATGCCTTTATGCTTGCTTGGCGGTTTTGCCATTTGTTGCTTTAGTGAGCTTCAGCCGTTATTAGACTTGTCTCCAGTTCTTCCTCCGTATCGGATTTCGTGCCTCTCACCTCAGAGTACCACTGGTTTGCAAGATGTCGCATCTGAATTCTACCATCCGTCAAATCCTGTAATTTTTGAAAAAAGACGCAAGCTCATTCTGACAATTTCTTTGCTCAATGCGACATGTTTTTTCCATACTGGTGAACAGGTTGCACTGCACCTTTTCCATACACGTATACAAAATTGTATACATGTTCGCTGGTATGGAAAAGGCGTGGTGCAACCTGTTCGCCAGTATGGAAAAAACGCTACAAATAGATACATAGGCAACTTGATGCAAGGTGGAGGAGTTCTGCTCAAGTATAAATGAGGCAAGGGTTAAAAGGTAATAAACAACATTTGCTTTTTCCGTAGTTTTGAGAAATGGATGTATTTGGTGTTAGTATTTTATAGCAAAAATGTTACACTGACCCGTTTAAAATTTTGTGTTTACAGATGCTGGAAAAACCATGAAAAAAATGCTGTTCTTGTAGTCTGGTTCCCTGACCCGTACTTCAGATGAAACGCAGCAATTTATAGACGTCGGGGAATCATCAGGTCAGGGAAGCAGACTAGCTGGCTTGCACCACAATCGCTAAATTAGGGCTAGTTTTGGAAGCATGTCTGCTTGGTACATATTGTTACAAGCTTGGTACAAGCAAAATCAACTAGGTTGGTTGTGCAGTCACATGTACCATTATGCCAAGTAATACAAAGATAACATTTTATTTTGATTGACATTTTCACGTACTCAACCAACAGTTTCCCAAGCTACTTTTATGTATACCTACCATAGGTTACTAAACCCAACCTTCCCAAATCCTCCAAAATGCTCTTTGCAAAATGCAGGATTTTGCAGGATTGAGGCAATATGGCAAAAGTGTGTTGCTGATTTTGGAGGATGCACTGTGTCAAGGTCTTGGGCCGGACCATGTGTTGTTTATGCTCAGCCATGCACAAATTTATACTTGAAATACTTGAACTACATTATACTTGAAATCCTCCGCACTGCTCCAGGATGCACTGGCTCTGCCTCAACATACTGACAGTGATTGCCAGAGGATTTTGCAGGATTCAGGCAGTGGTCAGCCCTCCAAAGACCAAATTCAAGAAATAATGGAGAATTTTGCAGGATTGAGGCTGTGTACAATTTGAACATGGAGGCAGTTGGAGGATTTTGCAGGATTGAGGTTGCATCCTATCAAATATGCCTAGGGAGTTAGGGTTAACCCTAACTCCCTGGGGGGTGTGCAAAATCGTATTGAATTTGGAGGATTCAGGACTGTTAGGGATCACAAATGGTATAAAATACCACTCTTACCTTGTTTGTCAATCGCCGAGTGAAGAACGGCAAAAAGTACTTGGTGTCCCACTTGACGAAGCCAGTCAGATGAGGCTTGATGTAGTTGACTTCATATTCCTCTTCTGTCAGCTCTGACAGATGCTCAGCGTCAACGGCACTTCCCTACACAAATAAAAGGATCCACAAGTCATCAGTTACTCTGAACATTATCTCTGGGTCATTCAATAAATTTAGGGTCCAAAGTAGGATATATTTCCTGTCCCTGTTACCTTGGTACTTTGTAATTTATGACTTCAAGTGATTTTTATTTGTTGGGTAGGTTGTTTGCTATTCATAATCACTCGGAGGATAACTGCACTATGGAGTCACGACTGCAATAAGGAAAGCAGTTATGAGCTGGAGTCCCATCACAATGCAACGTGCACGCAGCATCCCAATGTGAAAAGACAAAGTGTACTGGGCAGTAATGACTAATTACAGTATTATTGACGCTTTTTTGTGACTGTTTTGGCAGAGTTTTCTAAGGACTTGCCGAACAAAAGCTTGAGATAAACAGATGTACTGACGTGGACATTTCGAGTTACAGTCATTCCTAAAGGTTCACAACAATACATGAACAGGTTTGTTAATTCAGATCATGCTAGTTTTTCTTTTTTCATTTTTTTCTTCATAACTCACCAAATCTTCTGTTTTGCTGAGTGTGACTTCTTTCTTCGGTTTGCCCGACTCCGGTCCGATAAGCTGCAAGATGAGAAAAGACGTCAAATACTAAACAGCAATTGCAATGGACTATTGAGTCCGTGCATGAACAACAGAGGCCTCTAATCACCCAAGCGAGGCAAAAGCCTCAAGCTAAAATGAATCTCAGGACTGAAATGTCTACCTTCAAGACCGGCATAGTCAGGCCACCGATGACCACAACTGTAAACAGGACAACAACGAGGGTCGTGGTTACCAAGACGTGCCTGGTCTGATTACCAAACATCAAATGGAGACTGAGGGCGTAAGCGATGGCTCCCCGCAACCCTGGTGACAGGAGAAGCAAAAAATAAAACAAAAAGTCCAAATCTAAAACAAAAATCTGAACCACAACCCTTGTGGGCAAGAGTAATAAAATGAAGCAATTGATAATAACTTATGACACAAATCAATTATGGTTCAAAATTTTTAAGTCAAAAATTAACACAAGCCTGAAATTACGACCTTTTTTTTTTTTGAAAAGGACAGGGCTAAATTTCAAGGCACTGCTAAGTACATGAAACGCTAAGCTTTAGAAATACTGTTTTCTACTTCTTCTTTTTTACAGACATCCTTATAAGCAATGAAATGGCAAAGGGTACACTAAAGCTCCAAGGGTAACTTGCCCCTCCCCTCCACAACCAAACAAACGCATGAATTACTTACCACTGAACCACATGACCAACTGCATTTTCAGTGTGATCTTGTGTTCTCGGAACTTGTTGCAGAGAAACGACAGTGGGAAGATGTTAAGTGCCCTGCCAACCAAAATCAGCACCTACGTAGAAATGAAGGGGGGGGGTTGTTAAAAATATAAACAAGAATTTGAAATTTTGGTAAAATTCAACATCTGCTATACCTGGGTTCTTGGACTGAAGAAGGTAGCACCAATTAATCATTACCACAAATTCTTCTTTAAAATCGGTCAAATATCAGTCCTTCTGCTACCTGTTCTTAATATCATCTTAATAAGCTCCTTGTCAATGTCGGGCTGGCACATGTTAAACTTAATCACGCATTTTGAATATTGGAATATTCGGTCAAATTAATATTCGGTCAAATCCAAGTTGTAATAATCGAATGCTTATTGAGCCCAGGTGCAAATCTGAGACACAAACCAAGTCTAGTCCGGGGCCTAATCTTAACTCAACCCTCTCTTTTCCAGTTAGGGACTCAAGTTGAGCAGCATCCCAAGTCTTACTCCTAGTCGCACTTACCAACGTCCAGATGATGAAAGCTGGCTGGAAGTCGTGATTAAACGTCGGTACAGCCAGTCCCAGATACACAAACACACAGGTCTCTGTCAGGTCAAGAAATTAAAAAGTATTTACCTCTGAAATCCAGGGGATTGATAGATTGATCTGATAGATTGATACTGCAATCAAAACAAGTTCACTGCAACTCACTTAAACCGGCTTACCAACCACTATTTCTGTTGACATCCACAATCATATTGTCACTAACGTCCATAACAGATTCCGTCTTTATGACTGGAATTAATACAACCAATGTTGGCCTAACCTTTGACCTATGAGTTTTGATTTACCTGTTGGACTCTCTGCAGACATCATATCCATTAATCAGTGTAATAACTATAACTTATACTGAATAATAACTGTAATTATAACCTACACGGTTTGGGGACAATAGTAGTCTTTAAATGATTTCGAAAGTAAAACCAGGAATTCTTAATTTGCTTATGAAACCATAAAACAACCCGCAAACGGTTAATTGATCAGTGGCATAGCGAGAAATGGGGTTTTTGGGGGGGGGGGGCTTTACCAAATTTGATTTCCGCCAAAAAATTTTTTTTCATTTGGCAGACAGCCATGAAACAAAGACAAAGTCAGGGTTTGGAAACGTCCTGAGACTGATGGTTCAAGCAATGTGCACATACCAGCTACTCCTCCATTCTTTCCCCCCTCCCTTCCCCCAGTCCCTTTTTCACCCCTACTTTGTATGGGAGAGGTTCAAAAACAGGGGTTGGACCCTAAATCCCGCTCTCTATGCCACTTAATTGGATATCCCACAACTTATATATCATATTTGTAAACTTACCTGCCAAGAAGGCCAGCGTACGGAAGGTCTGTTGGACGTTGATCTGGGTGATGGGTGACAGGTTATGATGCGTGTAGTGAGACATGGTGATGCCACAAAACAATATAGACATGATACCTGAAAAGATTGGAAGGTTTGCACGGTGAAGAAAATATAAAATGTTGCGGTTGAACCATGTAAAAAATCCCTTTTGTGAGTTTGTGAGGTTTTCGAAAGATCCGCAGAGAGAACCCAACATTTTGGACAGTATGCTCTGCCCGTCATCAGGAGACATTCTGTCCAAAACGTGGAGTTTCCCCTTTTCTTTTCAGAACCTCAGAAACTCACAAAAGAGATTTGTGACATGGTGCTACTGCAAACATACTCTTATAGCCATAATATATGTCCAGCACAAAACTAGTATTCACATACATTCAGTGTGAAATATCACTGTTAGAGTATTTCAATGGTACTCTTGAAGATACAAGAACACACGCATTCTGTTGTACTTGAACTGGGAGCAACTTTGAGTTTTATGAGAAAACTTGTGGTATGTTATGCAGGTCTATAACACGCATACAGAGCATTTGTGGCGCCCATCTTCTAACAGTTTTTACGGCACTGGTGATCAGGTCTGTAATGTATGCTGTACGGTAAACAGCAGTACTACTTTCATGGCCCAAGGTGCAGGTCACACAAAAGCACTCGGTATTGGAGAAGCATATGGGCTCCGTGCACAAGTACCCCCTCAATGGTAAGAAAGGGAAAGTTGGGGGAGACCACGGGGAGAGACATTTGAATGTATTACCGATGACGCTGGCTGCTCACGTAAAGATGCTATGGTTTCAGCACATTCAGGACAAAAAGAAGTCATGCGAACTTTGCGCTATATACATGTGCAAACCAGTGCACACAGGAGCCCATGCACTGTACCTAGTAATGAGACAGTTTAAGCATAAGAATTATGGTATTTACCAGATAGTTTGAGTCCTTCCGAGAGCACGTAGGGCAGGTAGGAGAAGATGAGGATGAAGGCAAACTCTAAAGAAGGTGTCTTCCTCAAGTCAATATGCTTCAAGAGGTACAAAAAGGTCAAGGTCAAAGGTTATGCTAATATCTTACAAATAACTATAAGAAAACACTCGTCACAGAACTAATTGTGTTTAAAATCAGTTTCATCACATACCGGATGCACAGTGCCCTGCCTGTTACTCCTTTAGGCCTTTTCACACTGTCATCTCACCTACCCATGGTGAAATTAAAATGGGTCTACGGTAAGTGAAACTGCGTCCAACTATGGGTAGGCAAGGCGGTATGCGTACATGTACATGGGTCAGTTGTAGATTTGGGTTTTCTACCCGGGTACAGCCTCTCAGCCCTGGTCCTGACCAGGGTTGGATTTTACCCGTGTAGACAGCTGGACTTGTGAAGAAGTTGTGTGGGATTTCTGCTAGTGTGAAAGGGGTTCCTGAGGTCTCTGTGTTGGACCCGGGTTCAACAAGGAGATTTGATAGTGTGAAAGACCCTTCTAACTACAAAAATTCAAATTTTCTTGAAAATGACACCCCGACAGGAGCCATGATTTCACAAGACGCATGGGACATTATTCACTTACAGTCAAGTAAGGTTATTTCATAATAATTTGGTAGTTTTGATTTTGATGTTTGCAAGTGTAATATATTACCTCTGAAGTCTGGACAGACACCAAATCTACACTAATCTCAACTGTAAAGGATATCAAGGCACTGATGATACCAATCAGTATTCCGATGGCAGCCGAAGCAGAGAACATGAGACAGAATGATCCTACGGCGTAACCAAATGCCTCGCTAGACGTCACGTTGGCCATCTCTTGGCTGTTTAGATTGATGACAGTGCTGGAAGAAGACAAAGACAAGACACGATTTGATAAATGTTTCATATCAGCAGAGGTTACATTAACATGGTTTTCCCATCTTTTTCTGTAGACTTTTAACACAAATAACCCTTAGCCAAAAAAATATTATACATTGAAATATTAAAGGCATATAGGATCATTTTCATTTATCCCCAAAGCAATCTACCAAACTATCAAAAAGCTTACTTGAATTAAAGATCGTACTGGTACTAAACACCCCGTGAAATTATTCTGTCGGGCTTGCTGTCATTTAGAAGAAATTAAAAAAATGTAGGTGATTTCCAACGATCAGCCAATTGACTCATTTTTGCAAATAAAAGTTTGCTTTAGACGAAATCGTGTTTCGTGATTAAAAGGTTGTGCATGGCGTTTCACTGTTTTCTCAAAAGGGTAATATTCACTGAGTGAACATTCTTCTTTGGATTTTGAGTGGTGTTATTATTGGAAACGATAAAGAAAATGATCCTATATGCCTTTAAATTGTGCCCCCACATATGTAATGTTATAAGCGCTGTATGCCTGGTGCTGTCCAATTAACCCTAACTCCCTAATACTTCCTCAGGACTACCCTGCTACATCCAACAGAATCCAACCGGAGATTCCTGCTCAATCCACTGTGCCTTATTATTCAGTTGTCTGCTGAATCCAACGGAGTCCAACTTGGCGTTATAATGCGGTTCAGTACACAAGGGGTGTACTGCTCAATCCAACAGGCTCCATCGGGTATATGACATAGTTGGATCCTGTTGGATTCAGCAGGGTTAGGGTTCTAAGTCTTCACTTACGCCGACATGACAATGGAGACAGCATCATTTAGTATGCTCTCTCCAAACACCAGCATGTTGAGTAGAGGATGAACATCGATAGCTGAGAATATCGCCAGCGTTGCGACCGGATCAACGGCTGAAATCAAGGAACCAAAAGCGAAGCTCTCCACCAAGTCCAACTTGTAGGCCACTTGCGCCTGGAAACAGAACAGTAATAGCAATACTTGTGGCCATATTGGTCAACTTCCTTCCGTATGACTGACAACAATTAAGTGGTTGTAACCAGTACTGGTCCCAATCCAAGGCCAAAATTGCAAGAAAAAAATAAAACTTGAAATTTATAATTTGTCGTGAGTCCTTGCTCAAATGTGGCTATGATTTTGGATTCAACATTACTTTCTGAAAGTAATAATGATCTTAACCAAGACCTGGACTTTGTCAGTTGTGTGTCCGGATGCGAGTCTGAGACCATAAGAACCTTCAAAGTAAATTGCGCGTGTCCAGGGTGTAGTCATTTCCTTTTTTTTTTTAAATATTGATAGCAATTATGAAAAGTCTCATTTTGGGTCCATAAAAGGCCAATTAACCATGATATCTAATAAATGATGTACAGAAACGATCCCAAACTCCTAGTCTGTAATCTCATTGACAATTACTAGATGATGGATGCATAAGATTTTGGGGGAAAAAAATACATTTTCTGGTTTATTCACTGAGCTCTTCAAAGCTCTGTCATGGACATTACATCTCCATTTTTTTTCAGGGAATAAACAAACTCATCAGTTAATTTTCCGCATTTAAGAGTTTTCAACTCCGTGTTCATGTGTGCCTGTAAAGTAAATACATGTAACAGAAATTTTCAGAAATACCTGACCAAGTAGGTAGAGGCCTCCCCCCACCACACTGGCTGAAATAACGGTGCCAAAGACAGCAAACACAAGAATGGAGCCAATGTTCTGGAAGAAATTACCCTACAGAGGCAACAAGAAATTGTAAAGTAATTCAATGAATTTGTGCAAAAAGAAAGACAAAATAACTTTGAGAGAAACTTACATGCCATTAGTTTAAAGGACATACAACATTTGCTTAATTAATATGAAATACATAGCACCTGGTGTGCTGACATTTTCAAGAAAAGTGGTACTTTTGTGTCAAGTTCAGCCGACCAGTGTTGGAAAAGAACTGGCTTTTTTCAAATACTGCCCCACTTGACCATATTAAGTTAGTCCACATTCTGTTTGCAATCAATTACACACCTATGAACGGGTACAAGCCAGCTAGACTGGTTCCATGACTTTACAATTCCTGACGATTACAAATTGCTCTGTTTCATCTTAACTGGGGTCAGACTACAGGAATGTGATTGTTTTTCTTGGGTTTTTCCACCATCTACGAACACAAAACTTCAAACAAGTCAGTGTAACATATTTGTTATAAAATACTAACCGCCCAATTCCATCCAATTCTGAAAATTAACAGCAAAAGCAAATGTTGTATATTCCCTTTAATGCAGGGTCGTTGAAAAGAATTATTATCTAAAAAAAAAATTAAATCAACTTTTATTTCATTTCAATTGGATTAAATTGTTTTACTCTCAAAGAATTTTAAAAAAAATTATACAAAATATCTGCTCTAAAAAATGAGATAAATCTGCCGCATCACATTTGCCAAATCACTTGAGGTACTCCATCTGTTTATGGAACACTGAACATAAGTGAAGGACCCACTATGGAAGCCTAGTTTGTCATCTGCTAAAATGTTTCTGTCCAAACAAAGATTGCAGTGAGCCGGCAGTTGTACGTGTGTTAAATATTACACATGACGCCCAGGCTCTGACCTTGTGCAATGAGTAGCCGGACTCGAAGATGATCGGAGGCAGAAGAATAAGAAAGAACATGGTGGGATCCATCATCTCATAGTCCTGCAAATTGGCAAACAAGAAGAATTAATGAGGAAACACATTACTATGACAGGATGCGAACCAGCTACATCTGGAGTAACCTGCAAGCGTTTTACCAACCGTGTTTTATGATCTCAAGTTGGTTAACTCTGAACCCTAACCCCAAGGCCTTTTTGCTAGCAACCATCCTCAATCCTACAAAATCCCGCACTTGTACATGTACATGTATGTTCAAATGACTGCCTCAGTCCTTCAAAATCCTCCATCAGCCCTGCCTCTCATAAAACATTCAGCCTACATTCTCCAAAATCCTCCTCTTCTTCAAACAACATTCATCCTCAATCCTCCAAAATCAACCGATACTATGTCCATGTGCCCTCAATCCTCCACAATCACCCAAAAATTGAATGTTGCATTCATCCTCAATCCTCCAAAATCCTTCAAAACCGCCCGGAAGACTTTGGAGGATCGAGGAAGGTTAGGGTTAATCTGTCAATATCTTTCTTTTGCAGATCCTTGTAATGGAGAATCATGTTTCAATTAATTAATGCAAAAAGAAACAATAGGTGTGGGCGGGATTGCGTCATCCAATGAAAACATCTACTCATTTGCACACCAGATTTCATCAGTTGCTATGTGTTACCATTCAGCACTCCAGACTCAAGAACCATTGGGTTTCAAGGACACAGGTCTGGGGGCTAGATGAGCCAATGTAAAAAATATTCCTGGATGTTCACGCCCACCTGTTTGAAAATATCAACCTCTTCTTTGAGGAAACATTGGCTCTTTAAGAAACCAGTGATGTGAATGTTTTCTTGATGTTCTGAACAATATGCTCCATTTGTCTCCACGGAAATATCCAGATATATTATGTCTGGCCCTTTCCATCCAAATTTGTTTTAAAAGGGGACATTTAACGATGTTGCAAAAACTTCCACCTCTTTAAGACAATGGTATCTCCCTCCCCCACCCCAAGAAAAAAAACAAAACGTTATTTTATTTGTCTTCAAGGAAATCACACAGGAAAACTGACCAGGTGTGTTATAATTATTTGAAGGTAGAATAAAGTAATTGACTGAAGCGGGGTTTGAACCTGCGACCTCCGGAATGCCGTTCCGGTGCTCTACCAACTGAGCTATCCAGCCCTATGTTGGCGCCCCCCCCCCCCCATTTAGTCAATGTCTTTGTTAAAAAGTCGCTGGTCTAAAGTTATAGACCCATATATGCCATGTAGCTAGGGATCACGGCCAAAGTCACTTTGCTAGCAACATAACAAAATAAGACAAAGCTTCAGATCTACGATTGAAGCTTATGACATACCGTGAGTTTATACTCTGCATTCTTGGCATTCTTGGTGAGCAGTGATATCAGACCAATCAACACTCCCAGGCACACCACAGCGACACTCTCCGGTAAAAGATGGAACTTGAACTTGATCAGAAGATGGACCAAGATGATTGACAGGGCTGCAAGGGTGACAAAAACAATGAAAGAAGCTGATTTGTAGAAAGGTTCAGGGTGTTTTTTATCATTACAGTGCAAACTGTAAGTATTATCCTCTTTCTTCACAACTGCTTAAAGGTAATTTTGCAAACATTCAAAAATGAAACTGCTAAAATAACATGAAATATCACGGAGCCCATAGTATGGAATTTCCCAACTATTGTTGGGACTGTTGCCACATTTGAGGCGTAACATGGTCATACCTAGAATGAGTAGAATGAAGAACAGGGCCAGGCTGCTGGAGTGCTCTTCCTCAGCTGAGTCTTGAGCAGGCAACTGACTATCCTCCGTTGTCGTCTTGACTGGACCTGCCTCAGTTAAGGTCTGTAAGACTGACGCGGGGGTGGTGTCCGACTCATTACCAAGCCTGTCAAAATATATCACGGGAAAGAATATTGCAATCTGACGTTACTTCGGCAGTTCTGTACAAAGTCTATTGAGGGTCAAGAAAATTGTTTAAGTAAGCCTTTTTCCTAACAAAATTGGAAATGTTTTTCAGTCCCAGATTTATGTCTTATTATCATTTGTGCAATCACTGACCTTCATTGAGATAATGTATGAAGAAAATGTTGCAACATTCTTTCCATGTTATGCGTTTAACATTATTAAGGGGTTTTGTCAGCATACATTTCATCAATTTCTTTTATTACTGGGCAGTTTGTTTCACTCTTCCAGAGTGGTCATATAGAATTCACTTCTCTAACAACAAATGAATGAATCTCTACCATATCACATCCTATTGCCTACACTCTACAGTTGTTTGTGATGCTGCTTTTGAGGGGCCAGGAGTTTATATCTACAGTGTTCTGACTGCACCATAGCCAAGGCCGATGTCTTTTTGTCTTTGCATTGAGGAAATGATTTATAAACATGCATAGCCATGTTAATAGTGTGACTGGCTCACAGTCACATAGTATTTCCTGGCATCCCAGAAATCCCTGTTTGATTGTGCTGATTCAATGGCAAGAAACATTGAGATGAAGTTGATTTATTAAAGATAGTGGATATTTTGCGGGAGGTAATGACGGCAAACTAACGTTTACTAAAGGTTTGCCGGCGGCAATCCATATCAACAGAGGGCGCTGTACTCTTTAAGATAGGGCTGAATTATAAGATGTATTAAATTCCCACCAAAAGTTGTGTAGTACGTTTGGTGTAGGGGTTAAAGCGAAGGCTCTAGTAAGCGGGATGACTCGGGTTCGATTCCGACCGCAGCACATTTTTAAGTTTTTTTTCTCATCCCCAAATAAATAAGAATATTCTTCTTTTATTATTTAAACATGTCTCAAACATTTTTTTGCAGAGTATTACATTTTCTTTTTCAGATTTGTGGCTCTGGAGGATTTTTTTTAAAAGGGAAATAAAGTCCGAAATTATAAAATGGTCTGAATCCCATCTTGTGAATACGAGGTTACAACGATAATTTTGGCATGGAGCCAGACTAAAATTTGTCACCGGAAAATGTTTAAGCAGTGTTAAGTAGGTACAAAAAAACAGTAACTGCGCATTTACACAGCTTCTTGGATTCCTCTTGGGTGAAATCACAAGACAAGGTGAGGTGAAAATTGATGTGTTTGGCGGCTACTACTAGAACTATGATGCTCCGCGTATTTGGCGGCAGTTAATTGGTGAGCTAGTAGTACTAGTAAGTAGTAAAAAAATAGTATGGACATTTTCCCGCAACATTCTTCCCAAAAAGATTATAGGCCGTTGGCCTATAATCTAAGTATTAGGCCGAACAGTTTACCCTGTGCCATTGATCTGTTCTGTTGTTGACATTTCGCTGGGTTGTTCTTCCGGAGGAGCCGGAGGTTTTGTTTCCTTGTCATTCTTGTCATTGTCACCAGACCGGCGCACTCTTTTGACCTCCTTTGAAAGTACCGATCCAAAAGGATCAGAAGCAACACATCCAGACCAATCTATTAATATCAAGGCTACTAACAGTCCTCTTAATACTGAAACATTCATTCTTGTTGAGTAATAAAAGTGCAGACAAATTCTAGGTATGTTGTCACAATTAATTCTTCGTACAAAAATGATGATTTGTTTCTTTTTATACACAACATGGTACCTTCTTCAGATAGCATGTATTTTGCAGAGCGGTCGTTTGGGGTCCCAACATAAGTTGATAAGTTAGTACAACAGAGGGCGCACTAGTATATTCCGATTGGGGCATCTGCAAAAAAAAAAGCAATTTAATTTGTGCACAAAATGAACGTGCCCTGCGACAGCCGAATTATTTTGCAGCCAATAATTGGATTATTGTAAAGAAAAATGTAATAACTGCATTTCTGTGGATTTTTTTTCGTTCGATGTCTCATTCGAAAGTGAATAACCTTTATATTTATAGAAAATCAATTGAACAAAAAAACGTATCTGTATAATTATTGAGGTACAACTCGAAAATAGCACGTGAGGAATAATCTTTCAGGTTTACTCAAATTTGTATAAAACGGAAATTTTGTTTTGTCCTTATTTTGGTTCCATTTGTTCGAATGGTTCTGGAGGATAAGGACTATACAATGTGAATATTGATGTCAAGATTATCAGCAGAAACTGCATTGTTTCCTTTGTGCGCCCCCCCCCCCTCCCGCAATAAAAAAAATATATAGGACGACAGGCCTGAGGCGGATCCAGAGAGTGGTTGTGGTCGACCAACTCTCCCCCTCCCCCGCCCCGAAACCGAAAAATTATAACAAATTATATGCTGGATCTGCCCCTGGACGATTTTACGTAGTAAGTGGACTATCGTGTACTAGGCAGCCCCGTGGTTAAAGTTAGCAATAAGATTCAGTTTCATATATGGATATGAAACGTCCCATCGTAATTCTTTGTTTCCAGGTCTTTATCTCACTTTTACCACATAAGTCATCCTTGCATGTTCAAGTTCCTGCCTATATACCTTTTTCCCTGATATTGCATCTCGTAGACGGTCGGGTTAGTTCAAGTTCCACAGGAATGCAAACCACTGTACACCACAAATAAATCAAACTATTATATACCGAAAGCCCATGGACTACAAAATCAGTGGTAAAGGAGCAAAGATACGTTTTTAGTATACGGTCAAATTATCAGTCTTTATTACTATTTATTCTGCCTTCTTGTGCTCGTGATGCCGAGGCCGGCGTACGTGAATCAGTAATTTTTTCAGGTCAAAATACTTGACGGGTACAAAGTTCACTTTTAGTGGCTGAATATTTACCAGGTTCTAGTTCAATATGATGTTTCAGTGACACACCTGCACGCATATTTTGTCTGTATATGTCTATGCACTGTAGCCGTAATGTAATTCGGCCCATAGTCTGGCTTTTTTGCGCTTGGTGTGGTTCTTCCTAATGCATTCTAGGCGAATTCGACTTCAAGGCTGGTAGATCTATACATAAAACTAAACTTGGTAAGGAATGCACATTATCAAAATTTCTATTAATATGCCTGTCTTTTTTGATATTTACTATTTCGCTGTATCCAAATTGAACTGGATCAGACTAGCAAGTTTGAAATTGTTAACAGGTTTTATTCATACACCATTAAGGTGCAGTATAGCCTTGTTTTAATAAGGTAGGTTGTTGCGGTAGCACCATGTGGCAAAAATCTCTCTTGAGTCTGAAAAGAACCGGAGGGTACTCAACGTTTCGGACAATATATGCTGTGCCCGTCGTCAGGTCATCGTTGGAATCCCTCAGTCACCTGACGACGGGCAGAGCATCATCGTGACTGTCCGAAACGTTGAGTATCCTCCGGGGTTTTTTTTTGTCAGAACCACACATACTCACAAAAGAGATTTTGCCACATGGTGCTACCGCAACAACTTACGTTATATAATAGTTTTGTTTCAGTTTGTTTTTCGCTTGAAAAAAAAATGATGTATTAAAGACACGTTCGGTTATGGCTCTCGGTATACCAGTAGGCCTATAAGCTTAAAAACCCGGCTTCCTTCTTACACGACAGTGAAAACACAGGACACTTACTGATCTGATAGGCCTACCCTATAGTTCCCAAGTTAATCGAGTCTGAAGATCATGGCCGAGTTGAACCAACACGATGTGGAGTCCAGCAAGGCTCAACCTAGCGGAGCTGGTCGGAAAAGTGCCTGCTGTGGGATGGACATGGATTACGTCAGGTCAATCAATGGTATACTGAAAGGCAACCAAATCGTAAGTCCTTTTGTCCATTAATTTTTAATTCATTACTTTTTATATAGGGAAGGAACAGTGTCCTAAAGCGTATAGAACGATGTCTAACCCCACGTCACCTCGACACCCACCCCCAACTCCAGTCCCCACCCTTCTGTTCGAATTACTCCATATTTTGGTTCCCCCCTCCCAAAAATATTAAACTGACAGCTCGCCATACTCACTGTTGGTTTTCTCGGTTCCAGGGCTGGACGTGTCTGGCGTTCATCATGAGTTGGTTTTGTGGATTGGCTGCTCTATCTATCCTGTTTGCAATTGCCATGTGTTTCGGGCTTGTATTGACGATCGTGATCTTCGTAGCCTTTGCCTTTTCGCTTAAATCAAAGAAGATCGACTTCTATTTAGCGGTGAGTTGGTATGGCCATTTTATCAATTTCGAATTCGTGATGAAGAAGTTGCATCCATGACAGTTTGTGTCGAGTGAGTATTGTGCATGTGTGCCTAAGATGCAATTTTCAGCATCAGTCAATTCTTTTAATTTTTTTTTTTCATTTACGGGAGAAATACAGGGTGAGTCAAAAAAAAGCGGAACCCAAACCACCCCCCCCCAAAAAAAAGATATTCATACTAAAAAAAATGTAGCATCAAAAATAATAATGACTGAATAGCCAATTTCATAAGCTACTTTTAGATTAAACAATTACTGAAATTACTCCATCCGTCAAAGAATATCACCATTTAAACGCAATGACCCTAAAACCTGTATCGTCCAACAAAAATGCTGACTGTTTGGAACAACAAAGAAAATGACACAGGATACTTGTTTCAACAACTGTCAACAACTGTAGTAAACAATATCTTTATTAACAACCAATAGGCAAACAATATGATTTTAAAAATGGTTTGAGAAATTAATTTTTAGTCGTTTGATTTCTTTTGTAACCAAAAACAGTTTTCTCACAGACTGTCAGTTCGGTTTAGAAAACATAGATCGACTGAAATGGCTGTAGTTCACGCTGTACACAAAATACTTAATGCGATAGAGCACCAAAAAATGTCAATAGGGATATTTTTAGATTTGTCTAAAGCTTTTGATACGGTTAATCATACAATACTTATACAAAAGCTAGAACACTACGGAATTCGTGGAATAGCCCTAGATGGGTTTAAAAGTTATATTTGTAATAGAAAGCAATTTGTTTATTATAACTCTCAAACGTCTGTTCAACAGTACATTTCTTGTGGGGTTCCACAAGGCTCGGTTCTGGGCCCCTTGCTTTTTCTTATTTACATAAATGATATTTGTTATTGTTCCAGTATAATATCTTTTTGTTTATTTTCCGACGACACGAGTTTACTTTATGACCATGATGATATTGATAAAGGGGTTAGTATACTTTATTTGGAACTTTAAAAAATAGGGTCATTGCTATTATCAAATAAGTTATCCCTAAATCTCAAGAAAACAAATTATATGATATTTAGTACTGGAAAACGTAAATATTCTCAGACAGTCCCCTTGATCCTCAATGGTACTGTCATTGATAAAGTATCAAATACAAACTTCTTAGGAGTTCATATTGATAGTCATTTAACTTGGACAAACCATAGAAATTATGTAGCTACCACAGTTTCAAAAAACATTGGAATTATTAATTGATTAATTAAAAAGCATTTTATTCCAATTGATACTTTATTAACATTGTATAACTCGTTTATACTTCCTTATTTTAACTACTCAGTAATATAATTGTTTGGGGCAGTTCCGTTTCACAAAGTAGTAAACTGGTCCTCTTTATACAAAAAGAGAGTTGTTCGTATAATTTCAAAAGCTGGTTATCTTGACCACACGGCTCCTCTAAGCTGTTAAAATTGGAAGATATCTACAATATCAATCTGGGCAAATTTATGTACAAACTTATGAATGGCCCGATGCCTACCTGCATACGTTCATACATTTCATTTTCCGCTGATGTACATTCATATTCAACGAGAAGTTCATCTCGAAGTAATCTGTATCAAATCCATAATCGAGCCACTTTGTTTAAAAATGGAACATTGCAACGCGGCATCAAGTTCTGGAATATACGGTGGCCTTGGAACGACATTTTAATATTGACCTTTTTAATGTGAACCTTGTAACCTCTGAATATTGACGTTGTACCTTCGCAATATGCACGTTGCACGCGGCTTAGTATCGCATTTTGGAAGTTGTTCCTTCTTAATGTGAATGTTCCAACTTGTTGATATTCACGTTCGATCTTGTCAATGTACACCATTGATCATGCTTGATGTCAACCTTGCACCTTGCTTCTTCGCAAAATGAATCATGTACCTTCGCATTGTGAACGTTTGACCTTGCATCTTGTTAATATCATTGTTGAACCGTCCTCCTTCGCAATGTGAATCATGCATTCTAAAAAGTACGAAGTCCTTGCCAAGCCCTTTAGTTAGATAACCAGTTATGATGGAGTTTCAATCTGACGGCTGTTTAATGTCACTTAACCCGGGCGTCTACCTTGTAGTGATTTTTATCATGACTCAAGGCTCTCTGTTTTATTTCACTCATCTTTTATAATTCATGTTCAGGCTAACCATAACCCAAGGTTGGGCATACATGTAAAAACATGCATCCTGAAGCAAATTTGTCATTGTTTCAAGGCGATCTAATCATTTCAACCGTTTACTATACACAAATTTATACCGGTTTGCTTTCTGAATGTAATGATTTCTTTCTTCCTGTACTTTCATCTTTGCCATATCCCAATAATTTTTGACTCGCCAACAGGGCTCCTTACCAAATAGTATGAGGATCCCCGCTGTTTTGACGAGCATTTGGTTTTCGGGCTACTGCTAAGTCGAACCCTACATTAATGAAAGACATATTAAAATAAATGTTTCTTAAAGGGAATATACAACATTTGTAAACATCGAAAAATAAAACTACCAATTTTTTACGAAATACCTTACTAGGATGTTGGTAAATGACAGTCTAAAGCATCCTGTAAAACTATGGCACCTGGTGTGGAGTCATTTTCAAGAAAATGGTATTTTTGTATACATTTCCAACGGTCGTCGGCCGACCACCGTTGGAAAAACCTAACTATTTTCCAACTACTGCTCCAAATTTACAAAAAAAAATTCAGTCCAAATGTTGTTTGCTATTGGTTACATGTTCATGAATGGGTGCAGGCCAGCTAGACTGGTTCCCTTATCTTACAATTTTCCGACATCTATAATTGATCCATTTTATCTTTAGTGGAGTCAGGGAACCACACTACATAATTTGCATTTTCTCAGCCACGCAATGTACTGTTTTTATGACTTTTTCAGTATACAAGAGAAAAAACTCTCAGCTTTTATCTCATATCCAAAAACTTAAAAATTCATAGATCACGTTTTTGAATAAAAAAAAAAGGGACAAATGTTTCAGGTTTGCATTTGTTTGGGTCACCTGTATGGGCGTCGGGAGGGGGGGGCAAGGGGGGCACTTGCCCCCCCCCCCCCTGGAAAAGCAAAAAAAAAAAAAAAAAAAAAAAGGGGGGGGGGGGAAAAAAAAAGAGGCGCGAAGACAAAGTGGTGTAGATTTAATGAGTTGGGGGGGGGGCAAAATGTCCCTGCCCCCCTCTAAAACTGATAAATCTAGAATGTGTTGAGAAAACAAGCATTTTTTTGGCAAAATTTTTTTTGTCCCCCTCTAGAAAAAAATCCTGGCGACGCCCATGGTCACCTGTATATATAGTAAGCAATCATAGACACCGATATTTTGCCATCGGGAGACGAGTATATCTTTAATTTCAAAAATGTATGTTTTGGTTTACATCTTGACCGGTTTTCTTTTTCTATGTATAGCCATCCATGCACCATTTTCTGGAAAGAAATGTAATCTACACCGTATAGATTACCTTTCTTTCCAGAAAATGTTCCAATTCTAGTCTAACCCCATCCTGTTATTCAACCACATCATATTAGGTTACACATCCTCATCTGTAGTTAGTCAGGTTTCGAGGAAGAGGCCAACATCGAAGGCGAAACGACAAACCATTTCCATCATAACTGGTTGTTTAACTAGGGCTTGGCAAGGACTTCGTACTTTTTAGAATGCATGATTCACATTGCGAAGGAGGACGATTCAACAATGATATTAACAAGATGCAAGGTCAAACGTTCACAATGCGAAGGTACATGGTTCATATTGCGAAGAAGCAAGGTGCAACGTTGACATCAAGCATGATCAATGGTGTACATTGACAAGATCGAACGTGATCATTAACAAGTTGGAACATTCACTTTAAGAAGGAACAACTTCCACAATGCGATATTAAGCTACGTGCAACGTGCATATTGCGAAGGTACAACGTCAATATTAAGAAGTTACAAGGTTCATATTAAAAAGGTCAATATTAAAATGTCGTTCCAGGGCCACCGTAGGAATAGCCTTACAAAACCATAAGACAGTCGGGGTCCCTAAATGTATTCACAAAGAAACTTAAAACCAAGTTTACGTCAAACATTGTATTACTCTATTCTTTGTTGTGGTCTGATCTCCTGTTGTTTTTCATTGTATTGTGTTGTTAATTGTACTCTGGTAATAAGTCACTTGTCCTTGTACTTCTATGTTAAACACAGTTAATGTTATAATGTAACTATAATACGGGTGATAATGGAAATGGGATAGGGGGAGGGATAAAAGCCCTTGGCTTCTCCTGACCCCCTGTGCAGACGCTTCTGTAGGTCATTCTAGTAAGTTAATCCAAAATTTATTTAAAAAGATTGGCCTTCAAAGGACTTTGTTAAATATTTTTAAGTTTTAAACTGAAGTTTTATCGCTGGTGATGTTTGAAGACATTTGTGACGACGATTCTTGAAATCGCATTTTTGGACGAAAGAGGTTTTTGGGTCGTTTGTGATTGAATGGTGATATTTTTCAACGGATTTAGCAATTTCAGTATTTTTTTTCGTCTAAAAGTAGCTTATGAAATTGGCTCACCAGTCATTATTATTTTTGGTGCTGCATATTTTTTTTTAAATATGGAATATAATTTTTTGGGTTTGGGTTCCGCTTTTTTTTTACTCACCCCTGTAGGAGGATTTTTTTTCCGGGAAATCTCGAACATTCTTCAAGTAGGATATTTAAGAAAGAGATAAATTTTAAGAAAGCCTAGGTTTGTCTGTCTTTATTACAGGATTTTCTTGTCAGCATCGTAGCCACAGTTGTCTACTTCGCGTTGTCGTTGCCTATGCTCATTCTCTCCGGAGGGGCGCCACTCTTTATTCTTGCGGGAGTAAGTACATTACATGGACTTACTCGACAAATACTAAAATTAAAATCATGATGTAGACCTTTCTCTATAGTTTGTAAAATTGAGCGCCGTTTTGTAAGGGCTGCCACAATAACATTTAAACCATGGTTGGCAACAGACTTTGCCCAAGATTGCATATGGACATATTCTTTTCTTTAAGAAAGATTTCATTAAGTTTTTTGGTAGAGTTTGTTGGTTATTTTGTAATTTTTAACAATCCAATGATATGTTTGGGGACATGAATAACTTTCTTTGTGACTTTGACCTTCCATAGTTTGCCAAATCATGGTTGACAAAAATTGCCAACAGTAGGTTGGCGAGGGAAAAGGTCTGGTTAAATTAAATGATACCACATTGTTACATAATTATAATCAACACAGAATATTTTACGTTTTTATGACAGTGAAATCATCCAATGTTTCCCATGCAGTTATACTTCATGGATACTTTGTTTCAAAATTTTACGATTGCCATCGAATCTTAGAGATTTGTCCTGCGAACTTGTTAAGGAGGGGGGATGTGACTATTTTGTGGGCGAGTACAGTGTATTAATTATGTGCTAAAATCTCAGCACTGTCGAGAATTCATTCAGAAACATTGCATGATTTATATATAGAAATGTAGACAGGTATAACGCATGCCGTAAAAAGCGACCATGGTCAAAAAGATAATGGGGATCTTAACCTAAACGAGTGTCTTTAAAAATTAAAAATTAAAAATCTTTCTATTTTTCGTTTTCAGATATTCGGCTTTCTGGCGTTGGCTGGCTTCTTCGTGAATATTTTGTTCAGTTTCAAGAGATGGCGATCTTCTGGCACGAGAGCCGCTAGCGATAACCAACCCTACGATACGAACCAGTAAAAAAAAAGACCCATCATTCTGCGGTGCCAAACAAAAGGCAGATAACAGAACGAGACATAAAACTGGGAAACTCAAAAGATGTAAAACTTGTTTCGAAATATAACCGTAATCATTACAGAAACTTGTACTGCTTGTGAGGGAAATGTAACATTATATTTAAAGGTAATTGGTATTTAGTTTTAGTCATTCAAATTCGGAAGAAAAAGTCATTTTGCTTACTGCATATTAAGTCAGTAGTTGACTTAGTGGGGCGCGTCACGTAACAAAATATTGATCACCTGTCGCGCCCGACCGATTCAAATCTTGGTCATTTTCGAACTCAGTTTTGTTTGCATGCAGCTTCGATTTATCTCAACCTCCAGAGTCATATGCTCGTTTGGTCATGTTGCTGAAAATAACGATGTGAGATTCCGAGTTTTATTTGAAGCTTTAGCTCATATGTTTCAAAATTAGTGAAAGATTCGAATCGGTCCCCAATACTGAATGGCGGCTTTTTTGTTGCTACACTGATGCCAATGACTAAATAAAATAGCGACGGGATTACGTTCTACACTATTCCCGCTTAGATAGTAGCATGCAAATTGATTTATTCAAAATTCATGGCATTATGTATTTCATTTATAGTACAGCATTCATTGCGTATGTTCCGAGCTTCAGTTCCTCGTTTTGTAAAGTTTCGAGTATAAGCGTGTGATTGATGTACTTCTTTTCAAAATTTAAGGTTAGGTCTATTTTCCAGCTGTTTTCAATAGCTTTTGTCAATTTCGATGTTTTGGAGAGACGTACGTAGCTTACATTGCCATACCAAAATCTGTTAAATAATATTTTGGTCCTGAGTTTGTACATTTAAAAAGGTAGTTACATATGTATTTGGAAACGACACCCGATCTCGATATCATTGTTGCTGGAAGGGTACCAAATCCGCAGCCCGACTCCATTTTGCTGTCGTATTTTCTTAATTGACTAATGTCTTAGGATTTCATGGTTGGGCACTATTTAGTGGATGCGTGATATCTGTAAATAAAAAAAGCTGCGGGAGATTGACAAGCCTATAGTGAAATGCCTAATGATGTAGAAACGACTAGTTGGCTGCAAAAGGCTGCAGAAGCGCCCTCACACGACCGTACGCATGACATCAATGTCACGACCAATCAAAATCAAGGTAGCCCGGCCCGTACCCGCCTACATAACCTGACGTCATGAATATCTTAAACTTTCTTTTGAGAAAGTAAAATAAAGGCATCGAGTTCAAATGGCATACTTATAGGAAAGAATGTAACTACGAGACGCCACTTCAGCGGTTGTGTACAAAGTCTATGGAGAGTCAAGAATATTTGCAAAGTATGTCCCAGCAAAAATTGGAAATGTTTCTCAGTCCCGGATTCATGGCTTATTTTTGCAATGACTGACCTTCATTGAGATGATATACGAAGACAAAAGTTGCGTCAGGATGCAACATTCTTTCCTGCTTATAAACTAAGCATTGAATTAAATTCAGAAATAATTGAAATGCTTCATACGTATGTATTCAACAAAACAGAACAAAAACCTCTTTTCACTATACACATAAACAGAAAAACGATCGCAATGCTGGGAAATATCTAAATTACCGTTTATTTCAACTAGAACTTAGGCGATAAATTTCAGCGATAAGTTTGTCGACAAATCTTCAAGTGATATAAAGTAGCGGTACAGTTAACTATGCTTTATACAATCATTAGCTGCAATTATATAAACCATTTTAATAGCAAAACAAAGCAACCACTCATATTTCTTCTGTTCACATGCCCTGTCCAACAAAAGGCATCAGACATGCAGAAAGCTTGCACTTGGTTTTCTAACTGCATGCTGCGAAGAATTATAATTTATCAACTTTGTTTGGATTCCTAAACGTCATAGCACAATTCAATACATGTAAAATATCAAAATACTACATGTAACAAAACAGTGGAATATCAAATCATACCAAACACTTGATTTCAGTACATGGCCATTACTTGATGTATTACCTTTCATAGTCATTTGGCATTCCATACAGGGCGAGTAAAAAAAACCGAAACCCAAATGGCAAGATCAATTTTTAAATAAAGTTTGCCTGTAGCACTTTCAAAATCTAGGACATATGAAAACCCAGTCATTAAGCTTTCTTTTAGTACAAAGAATCATTCAAATCACTCATGTATACACTTTTCAAGTTACGGAATTTTGAACACAAACACCGTTTTAAAATTGTCCACGGATCACAAAAAAAGTTAGTGTTCTTTCAACAAAACGAAAACAATTTTCATTGGGATGCAAGTGAATTGTTTTCGTTTTACTGAAAGAACATTAACCTTTTTTGTGATCCATGGACAGAACTTTAAAACGGTGTTTGTGTTCAAAATTCCGTAACTTGAAAAGTACACGAATGATTTGAATGATTCTTGTACTAAAAGAAAGCTCATTTATTGGGCTTTCATATCCTGGATTGTGAAAGTGCTACAGGCAAAAATTCCTTCAAGAACTGGTCCTGCCATTTGGGTTTCGTTTTTTTTTACTCGCCCCGTACAGATGACAAATTAATAACTGTAAGTAACACAAACCAGGCTAAACTTTGATCTAAATTTCTCTAAGATAGCTGAAGCATGATTGCACCGATTTCTCTTTGAGGCGTATACAATGACTACAACAAATTCTTTAAGTGATATGATTATTTTCCTATTCATAGAAATAATTGTATTAATTTAAAAAATGTTATAATACGGCTACATAACTAATATTTTGGCAAATAATTCTGGAGTTTTTTTTTTAAAGATAACTGAGGTATGATTCCACAGATTACTCTTTGAGGCTTGTGCAATGATTAAAATAATTTTTTGTATGTATTATGGTTCAACATAGTTCTTTTCATAGATACAATTTATTTATTTTTTAAACTAAAACGTCTTATAATAAAGCTACATAACTAAGATTTTGGCAACTACTTTTTAACAATACATATCAAGTGCACAATTTTATGTACACAAATGTTTTAACAATTTTTTTATAATTTGAGTTAAAATACATTTTCAGCAAATTCTTCAAAGACTTCAACTACATTTGTATTACACACACTCAAAACTTATTTGATAGAAATCAATATCATAAATTATACCCGTTAATTTCAGACAGATATTTCAGACATTACAAAATATACAAATTACACTTAAAATTTGGTTTCAAAATTTTACGCTTGATTGTCAAAGTGGCTACGGAATGAATTTGCAAAAATGTTTAAGTGCAAATTTATTGTATTTCAGACATTACAAAGTTTACGATTGATTGTCAAAATGGCTATGGAATGAATTTGCAAAAATATTTAAGTGCAATTATTTCATTTAAAAACAAGACAAAAATGGCAGCATTTTCTTTAATTTGGCAACAATACAACATATGCAGAGGTGCAATTGGTCACAATTCAGCCTTAGAGGAAACAAATGCGTCAAAGAAAATGTCAAATGTTGGAAGCCTCGGGACATTCAACTAGCATTGTGCTAGCTATTGTTCAGATAATCCGTCATGGGGCAGTTGCTTTGTGCAATAGCCTGCACAATGGTTCCTGCACTTGAGGGGGCCACGCGAGTGTACAGAGATTACGGATTCGTCTACAATTCTGCAAAGCAAGCAATGGGTATTATACAACACCTAAATAAATCCCTGTCATCTGATTGGTGGATCGTTGATCACATGTCATTGAATTATTCGTCCCAACGCACGGCGCGCGCGTGGCGCACAGCGCACAGTGCAATAGAAGTTTTATTGCACAGTGAATAGAACTTCCACTGCACGGTGTCACTCCTGCCGGTGGTGGCGCTGTTAAAAATCGAGATAAATTGAATATGATTGTGTTCAACCTGTTGAACAGTTTGCATAAATTAAATATGATGAACTTGTCGAACTTTTAAACAGTTTTTAACCTAAATAAATTGGCTATTAAAGTCAACCAATCCGATGACAAGGATTTATTCAGGTGTTATATAAAACAAATAATAAATGTTTCACGTTCATGCAATGGAAAGAATAATTTCATTCGATGACAGATGAAATGTTCCATTCCACTCGGCTTCGCCTCGTGGAATGGAACATTCCATCTGTCACCTCATGAAATTATTCTTACCATTGCACTCACAAACATTCATGATTTGTAATACTATAACTAAGTATGGTTTGCAGATTAGCATGATGAAATGAAGACAAGAAAGAGGTTTGCAGGCTACAACATCTGGTGTACTTATCTCTTCTGTGAAGAACTGTTGGCTCTGACGAAAGAACAGGGCCAAATTCCACTGCGCCACTAAGCACAACAATTTGCTTAGCACATAAAAAGTCTGGCTTATAAAAGCAGGTTACCAGCCAAATTTCCTTGTGATATATAAAATTGCTTGTGATTGGTATTTAGCTACTGTTTGCCTAGCATGAAAATCACATGGAGTTTTGGCTGGTAACCTGCTTTTACAAAGCCAGACCTTTTTGTGGTAAGCCAATTTTTGCGCTTAGCAGCTCCATAAATATTGGCCCCTGGTGGTTAGAGAAATCACCCGGAACACAATGTTGATCGCTGGCCTTTGAGAATCAACATGTCTTCACTCAGAAGATGAATTCTCACACGATGTCATCGGCAAACCTCATTTTTGAAATACAGAACTCGTTGACAAACCGCCCTCTACAGACACTGTGCATCCATGGCACATACTTTACGACATCACTTCCCTGGAATCAGCCACTCCCCTTCTGTAGGCGGAGTCATCGTACGCGACACTATTTCTAACTGGAGACCCAGTGACCACAGTGACAACATCAGTACTTGCTGTGTCTGGGTTGCTGCGATCCTTCAACTGTTTGGCCCTCGGCGGGGTGGGGAGGAGGACCTTCTCCAAGTTGGCAAACGGGTACTCGATGGCCAGTGATGCCAGGACGGCAACGAGGTACGACACGGAGACCACGCCGGCAAAGTAGAAAGCCTGTCAGGTTGGAAAACACGTAAAATATCAAGTCAAATGGAATGATAAAATCAGTAAATAAACTAGAGGTTCGCGTTTGTTGTTACAAACGTAGAGTGGTCGGGCAGGCATTTTTTTCATTAAACACTGTTAAGTTATGAATATTTTTATGTAAGAACAAAGGATCAAAAATTAAATCCTTTACAGTACAATCAATTATTTTGTGATAAAATTCAGTAAACATTATCTGTACACATTTAAGTTATTTCTGGCTTGATGACGTAATTATTCAAAAAAGGGAAGTGAATACTGATTTAGTTCGGAGTGGATACATGTTCATTGTGTGGAAGTTAAATAATGTATGAATATATGAAAAATGTAAGTGTATGTATTCATAACATCTAACATCCGGTTTGATAACGTCACAGTATTTGGAAGCATGCAAAAAGTGAACATTGTAATGGATATCGTTATTTGGGCTACGAAGATATTCGACATGGATCGAATGATATAAAATAGACTTAAAATGCGGGTCGTTTTCAAATTCTCATAGAAGTAACTTCCGGTCTGATGACGTCACGAATTTGAAACCTTGCCAAGTTATTTGTGGTTATTCAAAGAATATCAAGAATCGATTTGATAAAAATGGATGGTTTTCAAATTAAAGAAAGCAAACACTGTTTTATGTGTCGCTAGGGGGCGTCCTTTCGAAAGATGACGTCATCACACTGCGTTTTTGTCTGGCATTCCTCACTAAACACTTTCATAATTTGTATGTGTGTAGTAAAATGATTCCGCTTTTGAGTTATATTCGGTTTTTATTGCATTTCCGGTAACACCGGAAGTGAAGGTCAAGCGGTTTTGTGTCCGTGAACAAGAAATGTTTCTCACGGCATAGTCTACAACCTCAGGAAAAAACGAACACGATTCTCTATTTACTTCAAAAGATATAGCGCAAACTATTTTGTCAAAATTTGCCCTTAAATCGCTTGTAATTTGATACCTGATGACGTCATGATGACGTTACAAAATTTATAACATCTTCGTCAAGGCCGTAGGAAGCGGTACGGCAGGTACGGCTATGGCCGTACCAATAATAACAGGCATATCTTTTTTTTTTAATGTATACAAGGCCTTGCAAGGGTGGATTTTTTTTTTTGGTTTCTAGATGCTCTGTGGTGCGACTCTGAGGCAATTTCTGACCACTTTAACCATTTTTTTTAAGGAAAAGGTGGTGGTGTATGCAGTACCTGCCTCTATTGCGACGACACTGAAAAAAAAATGGGTTACATTTTTTTTGGGGGGGGGGGGCATGGCCCCCGTTGCCCTCCCCCAAATTTTTCTTGTGTTGTTTTTGTGTTTTGCTTTTTTTTTGTGTTTGTGTTTAAAGGGAAAGGGATCATACATGTCGCCACTAGGCCTACATGTTAAGTTAAACGTAATGGCGATTGACCGCCACCATGAATTTTAGTTGTCCTCAGACTAGTACTTGTGTTTTCTTAAAAAGAAGTGGTTTTCTAAATGAGAAAGTAGCAAGGAAGAACCGGTTTTGTGCAAGCAAAATTCAGGGAATAATCCGTTGAAGTTAATATCTTGTTGGAAAATTCCAAAATCATTCAAAGAAAGTAATTACCGCTGTGAATCAGAGTTTATGAAGGGACGGAAAGTGGGATTTGCTATCAACAAGACCGTTCGTCATTCTTTACCTGATGGGATGTGAATCAATTGGAGGATGAGAGACTCTGCGAGCTGATGTATTTTTTTAAGAAAAAAAAATACTTAACAAATACGCTCGGCAGTGCAATCATGTACGTACACTGGTATCCATACCGGTGAATTAAATTTCTAAAAAATACATCAGCCCGCAGAGCCTCTCGTCCTCCAATTTGATTCACATCCCATAAAAGGTAAATAATGAGGAACGGCCCTGTTGATGCTGATAGCAAATCCCACTTTCCGTCCCTTCATAAACTCTGATTCACGGCGGCAACTTTCTTGAAATGATTTTGGAATTTTCCAACAAGATATTAGTATGAACGGATTATTCCCTGAATTTTGCTTGCACAATACCGGTTCTTCCTTGCTATTTTCTCAGCTAGAAAACCACTTCTTTTTAAGAAAACACAAGTACAAGTCTGAGGAAAACTAAAATTCATGGTTAAATTCCATTTAACTTAACGTGTAGTGCATGGCGACATGTATGATTACGCCCTTTCCCTGTAAACACAATCATGGATCAAGCTAAAGAGCACAAATCTAGAAAGAGAGTCAAGCTACAGTTTTGATGTGATGCTTGTGATGTAATTTATCATCTTTGATGACCCACCCACTAAAACACGAATACATTTCATTCAAAAAGTCAGGGGAAAGTGGCCAGGAAATGCCTCAGATTGCACTACAGAGCATGTAGATCCACAAAAAGTTTTGCGATGAGCAAATGTCCAAAACTTTTCACTACGATAGGCTAAATTTTGACGAATTAATTTTGACGATTTATGTAAAGTTCATCAAGTGACATATACTGGTTAAACTTGCAGATGTGCAGTGCTCCAAAATGTGTCTTGTACAAATTACGAAGAAAGAAATTCCCTGTATACATAGTGTTGGGGGGGGGGGAGTGGCTTTTGGTTACATTTGGGAGGGATTGGGTCAAATCCTGGATCTGCCTCTGCAGGCCTGCCAACTCTAACACATTGAGCGTAAGACTCACACATTTCAGGTTATTCTCATGCTTTAACGCCGACATGGGATTTCTCATGCAAAAAAAAAAATATATAAAAAGGTAATTGACTCCAAACTTGAAAATAACAGCGTTGCTGTTGAAACCCCTCAGCCAGAGTCAAGTTATCATCCGGAAACCATTAACCTTTAACTCAACGTGGTGACCTTTGGCCTTTGGCCTTTGACCCCAGAACCAGTCCCAACATGCCTGTACCAATGGGAAACCCCCTACCGAAGTTAGACACCAACATTTCATTTCTAACTCAAGTTATCATTCGGAACCATTTACATTGAACTCACCACGGTGACCTTGACCTTTGACCTTTTGACCCCAAAACCAATCCCAACTTGCCTGTACCCAAGGGCAAACCCCTACCTCAGTCAGACACCAAAATCTCATTTCTAACTCAAGTTATCATCCGGAAACCATTTACCTTTATCTCACCATGCTGACCTTGACCTTTGACCTTTTGACCCCAAAACCAATCCCAACTTGCCTTCTCCCAAGGGGAACCCTCTTCCAAAGTTAGACACCAAAATCGCATTTCTAACTCAAGTTATCATCCGGAAACCATTTACCTTTAACTCACAATGGTGACCTTGACCTTTGACCTTTTGACCCCAAAACCAATCCCAACTTGCCTACTCCCAAGGGCAACCCTCTACCAAAGTTAGACACCAAAATCTCATTTCTAACTCAAGTTATCATCCTGAAACCATTTACATTTAACTCACCACGGTGACCTTGACCTTTGACCTTTTGACCCCAAAACCAATCCCAACTTGCCTACTCCCAAGGGCAACCCCCTATCAAAGTTAGACACCAAAATCTCATTTCTAACTCAAGTTATCATCCGGAAACCATTTACCTTTATCTCACCATGCTGACCTTGACCTTTGACCTTTTGACCCCAAAACCAATCCCAACTTGCCTTCTCCCAAGGGCAACCCTCTTCCAAAGTTAGACACCAAAATCTCATTTCTAACTCAAGTTATCATCCGGAAACCATTTACATTTAAAGGGAATATACAACATTTGCAAACATCGAAAAATAAAACTATCAAGTTTTTGCGAAATACCTTAACAGGATGTTGGTAAATGACAGTCTAAAGCATCCTGTAAAATTATGGCACCTGGTATACTGTCATTTTCAAGAAAAGTGGTATTTTTGTATCAATTTCCAACGCTGATCGGCCGATCAGCGTTGGAAACAACTGGCTTTTTTTCAAATACTGGCCCCAATTGACCATTGCACTTGTTTGCAATCGATTACAAACCTATAAACGGGTACGAGCCAGCTAGACTGGTTCCCTGACCTTACAATTCCCCCAATGTATGTAAACTGCTCTGTTTCTTCTTATATGGAGTCAGGGAACCAGACTACAGGAAAATGATCGTTTTTCTTGGTTTTTATAGCATTTTCGAACCCAAAACCTCCAAAAAGTTAGTGTAACTATATTTGCTTTATATTTCCAACCCCCCAATTCCACCCATTTCTGAAAATTACAGCAAAAGCAAATGATGTATATTCCCTTTAACTCACCACGGTGACCTTGACCTTTGACCTTTTGACCTCAAAACCAATCCCAACTTGCCTACTCCAAAGGGCAACCCCCTACCGAAGTTACAACCCCAAACAACATTTCTAACTCAAGTTATCATCCGGAAACTAAGCTGCCCGGACGGACGGACGGACAGACACACATACATCCGGACGGACGGACGCCCTAGGCGATGACAATAACCCTCGAGCCTCTCGGCTGAGGGGTAAAAATGATGATAGCTCAAAAAAAGGTTAAAGTGGTCAGAAATTGCCTCAGATCGCACCACAGAGCGTCTGGAATCCAATTTTTTTCGGGGCCCTTAAGCGGGCCCCGAACCCCACGCCGTTAGGGCTTCGCGCTACGCGCTCGCATCAACTGAGCTTCCTGCCCTGAGATGAGCCTGACCAATAAATTTTAGCTTCCTACGGTTGTGATCTTCGTAACATGGTACGAGTTCACACTAGGTTTTAGGATCATACCGTAAACCGTTTGGAAGAAACGGTGTTTTGTTTTGATTTCAGGCTAATGTCAACATTTTGAATTCACCTAACTTTGACCTTCCGGTAGCCCCGGAAGTAAAGGTCAAGCGAGTTCACGCACATGACAAAAAATGTTTAGCAATTAATGGTCTATCTGATTACAAGGTTGGAACATGATTGATCATTTTGTTCAAGAGTTATAGGTGACAGAAGATTGTCATTTTTTTAAGTTCATATAATAAATCGTTTAGGAGAAAACCCGCGGAAACATGCTGTACGGGAAAAAAAAAAAGATTAATCGTAACAATAATAGAGAGTGGTCGGGTTGTGCCCGACCACTCAAAAAACTTTGGTACAAAGTCATCATCTTATAACCCCCCCCCCCCCCTCCTTTCTTGTGCATCAAATTCATGTTAGCTCCGAGCCTGACAGTGCTGACTACTTGGCGTAGTGGTATTTTTTAACCAAAATTGATTTTCACTCGGCCGGCCTGGGGAACAGTAGTAAACTTCTACAATTCAAGATTTGAAAAATTTGGTACGCTACAGGGAAAATCCTGAGAATAATGCAAGGATTCAGGAAACATACTCACCAACAGGTACACAGAAAAATGGAAGGGAGACGCAAAGTTGTAGTAGAAGACGAAGATGACGATGGGATGGAACAAGTAGGCTGGGAATGTGACGCGGGCCAGCGGAACCCAGGCACTCCAAGACAGAAAGGTGTTGATCCAACCTGTGAGGGAGATATAAGGTCATGGAACTGCTAAACTTAATGATCTAAACCCTTTGGGATTTAAATTTGAAAAACATCTGGTACACTGCACTAGCTCAGAATGCTTGGCACATTTTACTTTTGATTTCTCCAGACCAAAGACACTGTTGTTAATCACATGATTCGGGGCAAGCTCTTGCATAGTCACGTTAGAGACACTCAGCACCAATACATTGTTCACAATGGGTGAGAATGGCACAAAGACATCAGACCATGCCGGAGCTGGGGTTGCTAGCATAAGGCTGGCCCTGAATCACATGATATAGTAACAGTTTCTTTAGTCTGAAGAATGCACAGTTAAAACATGCAAAGCATTTGGATTCTGTCAGCGTTCCAGATTTTATTTAAATTTAACTTGCAAATGGCTTATTGACAGAGATAGGATTGGATCTGTCTATGAACTCTAGACACTTCTTCAGCATCATGGCTAAACATTTTCACAGAATTCCTGAAATGTACCTTTATCCCATCCACCTTAAAGGGTCCATGAGATGAATTTTTCTTCGGAACAGATTTTGTGTGACTTTCTAACCTCTCAAATGCATGAACACTATTTGACATCCCTGTTCAGTTAATTTTATTGGAAAAAAAAACACTTTTTTTTTAATATTTAAAATCTTCCATGCTTTTCCTGACAACCGAGGGCACTGTTGCTGTGATATCATTTCAGGAAGCCACTGTTCAGTTTAGGGAGTTCCTGTTAAAATTGTGAACCTAAAATTTGCTTGTTGAAAAAAAATTTGAGAAAAATTTGCTCACTGGCTTTTATCTGTTCTGGCTTTTATCTATTCGATGCAGATTTAACAGAGAAAGTAAAAAAAAGGAAAAAAAAAGTTCCCGACCCATTTGAACATGTATTTCATGATACTGACCTCCATATCCATATTTGCAAGCAAACACCACCCAGGCTAGAGCCAACGCCCAGACAAAACGACTGACTGAGCCATAGACGATATTGGCTGCCTTGGTCATCGGTGGTGTGTGGGTGGTTGGGTACAGACCATAGACCACGCTCAGTGCCAAGCCGGCTGCGGCTAACCAGCCCAACAAAGCCAGAACCTGGTCAAAAGAAACAGGTACAACTACTGAATGGTGTCCCACAAAAGACTTGCAGTCGATTTCACATACTCACTGTTGCTGCCGATTTTACGAACTTTACGCAATGGCATAAGTCCACTTGCGCCATAATTTATAGCACAAGTTGTGCAAAATTTCAAGCTGTGCAACATTTCAGTTATGACAATTTCACGACAGTTTCATAGTACGCAAGTCTACAACTTGCGCAACAAATGACGTTACTTGCGCAATCATTTTAGGGGGCATAAGTTGTGGCATAGCAACAACTTATTTTGCAAGCAAATTGTGATCGCCGTGGAGCCTGTTATTGCACAACCTATCAAGGATGATACAAGACACTCACAGCTTTCTGTTTGAAGTAAAAGTAATTAAAGTGAAGTATTTTACTTGTGACAGAGTTTTTAGAGTTGCCGCACAATTCCGAAGAAAGTCAGACAAAAATATTTTTAAAATGGCGGGCAGAGGTGATTCAACAACTGTTTCATGAACAAACAAAATCATACACGAACAGCCATCATAAATGCTGTTATTTGTCCTCGTCAAAGATGTTAAGATTATTTAAAGCAAATTTACTGCACAGCTGCACATAACTTAAGATGGATTTCACGAAACTTGGCGTAGCAAGTCCAGTCATTAGTAACAGTATTGAACAATCAAAGGTAATTTGAATAGCTTGTGATTTTTTGAGTGCAGGACTTGTGATGGACTCGTTACTCGACTACGTCCATGGTTATGATTTATCTGTCTTCTCACGATGCCTCTAAACCCATCATCAGTTCATCCAGTATATTCCAGGCTTAAAACTTTTATTGAACTTACTGGAGACATCTTGACTCTGCGTTTGCCGATCCGGTGCATGATGTAGCCGAGACCGATCCCCACCAGATACGGAGCAATGCGGCAGTAGGGCTTACCGTACACCATGCTTGAGAAATCAGCACCAGGCAGTTTCTGTTGTCTGGGAAAAACACGAACAATAAAATAACGTGATAATTAGAATCCAATGACGTTTATCGAATGAATGTGCTGCAGTGACACCATTTTCTGAGTATTGTGTAATACAGGGGTGTGATTGGACAAAAATGAAAAATCCACGAACTTCGGTTGACATGTAATATACATGTACATGTCATGTATTATTGTACATGTACTTGTATAGATGTACATGTATACATATGCATGCACGTATGTCCATATATAGGCCTAGGGCATGTACATTTTATGTACTGTAATTTCTGTAATGTTAGCAAATTTTGTCGCTTCGGTAAAGAAAACAAATGGGGGAAAAATTAAGAAAAAACGTCTGGTAATTAAATAATATAATCCATATGTGATTGATTCATAAAGGCTTTTTCTGTGTGTGATGTTATTACTTTTGCATGTTGCAGAGAGAAACGATTCACACAAAACAATATGAACGGTGCTGAAAAAGTTTAATCTTACTTTAAACTCCAGTCCCAGGCTTCCAAAACATTTTTGAAATTTTGTGTTGGTGGTGGCTATTTTTCAAAGCACTACTGCAGCTCAAACTGATTTCCATCCACAGTGACACTTTATTACCAGTTCTTCCAGCTATACTCTTAAATTCCTTGACAAAATCGCGACAATAATGACACCAATGTGTTTGCGAATTGCTAGCACACGATCGTCACTGCACAATACATGCACAATACACACACTCATCCACGTCCACACGCGATATACAAACACGAGGTGCTGCAAACCCATTGAAAATTATTTTTAGTCTGGTCCTCAAGTACTCCACTGCGCATACTGCATTAATGTCTACTAGGTTCTTGACCGCACTGCATTAGACTTGTCACCAGTCCATCCATTATCGTAAATTAGAGCCTATATTTCGCCAGAAGTTTTTGGGCGATATTATTACGGAAACAGAAAACGTTAAAAATCCGGAATCCGCAAAAAAATTCCGCAGACGTTAGATTAAAAATCCGGAAATCCGGAAAAATCCGGAAAAATCACACCCCTGGTAATAACCTCATTTATTGACTTACGTTGTTTGGCCAAATAGATCTACACTGAGGTCGTTGGTACCAATGATCAGCCCAGTTGATACAAAGGAAGCTATCAGCGTTGCTACAAGAGCCAGCCAACCAAATATCGGAAAGCTGTAAAATAAAACATTAAAAAGGTGTAATCAAAGAATTGCAAACAATCCTGAACACCATCCAAAGGAAATTGACCTATCTTGGTAGAATTGCGTTAGAATTGCGTCAACGCAGCCTGTGAAATATTGTCCAATTACATGATAAACAACTGGACGCGGAATGCGCAAAATCTGAGACAAACAAAACTGAGTGTACAAACAATATTTTGCTCAGGTAAGAGGCTGCATGAAGCTAAGGTTGGAAGGTGTAAATAGGTCAGAGACTCAACAGACTGAGGCTACTGAGATGGTGTGGGGCAATCAGATGGGGTTTGGACTAGGGCCACATATCAAACATTTTCGATCTCAGGCTGTGCTCCGTGGTCATATATGGGTTGTTGTGGCCGGCTGCCAGAGGTGCCTTTACGTGCCAGCAGCCCAACAAGGTTGTAGCCGCGTCCTTCACAATTCAGCTTCTCCGCTGCCAGTAAGGATGATTAGCCTCCCAAATTATCATTATTGTTATATGGGCTTCGTGCACAAGTACCCCCTCTACAGTAAGAAAGAGAGAGTTAGGGGAGACCACTGGGAGAGTAATTCGAACACAGCTTGTCAACAACACCTGATGCTCACGCCAAGACGCAATGGCGATGTGCACACTCAGAATAAAACCAGTGCATGCACACGGGGTGTGTTCCATCCACTGGAGTCTCCAAAGTGGTCAAAAGTACCCATTGTTTTTCACACACGGAGCCTATAAAGAAGGCTGATACTAATAGCAGGAACATATGAGACAAATAAAGAAAAACAAGTCAAGAGAAACTTACTAGAATAGGGGTGCCAAGAGCAGAGGACTGATGATGAAAAACTGCATATCATTGGCCAAGTACCAGGTCCATGCTATACACTGCAGTCAAACACATTATAATTACAGACAGACTAATCACAGAGAGTAAAAATTTTTACATGAGGTGTCCAAAAAAAATAACTCTTAATTTTCAGAGAGTTGCAGACATTCAAAAGGGGGATTTTTGGAGGGGCTTTAAGGGCACACAACTTTAAAGAGACTCTTGGAATGAGACATACCTCGCCTTCGAATGCCTTGGGCCAGAAGTTATTGATATAAAGCAAGTCACTCCACCAGTATTGTGAACACAGAGGTCTTGCTGCAGAGCTCTGCCACAGAGGACCCGAGCCAAAGAACTGAGGGATGTACATCCAGATGAGAATGGTGAACGCAAGCAGGGGTGTCAACCTAGAGACAAGGAGGAAGTAACACAAAGCAACTTCAGAAAACCTTTTGAAGATGCGTGATTCTACATGTAAGGTTTAATGAGACGGCAACAATATTATCAATTTCAACAACAATACACAGAACATTTTGGATTTCACCCAAGCCCACTGCCACCGTGATATTCATAAGCCTTAATGGGCAGACATTAGCTTTAATCCTGGTAATAAATTCACCATCGCTGGCCCCTCTTTTGTTGTATTTTCCCCTGAAGATATATTTAATCCCTAACCAGAATACCACATAATACCTGTAATGTAACGTCTTGTTCACAACCCCACATGCACAGTGGATAATTTTTGGAATGGTATTTCCAATTATTTACATTAAATCAGGCATTGGGGCATTTGTTTCGTCATTCTATGTTGGGTTTTTCTTTTCGCGGTTTGGTTCCCGTATTCTGTGTTCTCCTCCAGCCTTGCAACTGCACTGGTCTTCTTAAGGCAAAACAAAAAATAGTCGGTCTCTGGTCAGCGCGCGCATCGATTTTGATCATGTGCATCAATGCCTATTGTTTCAAAAAAAATTCCGCAGTAGCTAAAACAGCGCCCTCTATTGCCGCCCCACCTCAAATTTTCATGGGCAGCTCGACTCCAATTGAAAAAGATATTCATTATTACAAATTACCTCCAGTAGCGATGGAAGTAGAACAAAGCCCATGTCTTGACACTCCTTAACTCCCGAAAGCGAGCAAAAGTGAGAAAGGCAAGCAAGAACCCACTAAAAGATAAAAAACAACAACAAAATTAGACAAACTGTTCTACATTTTCACCCACTAAAATTGTTAATCAAACAATGATAAACAATATGTGGTTGAGTAAGTATGTTAACCTTCAAAAAAATGAAACTGAACTTGAAAGACAGAGAACATAGGAACAAGCTGACAGAAAAGTAGGTTCGATTTCACCAAAAATATGACAAAGACTAAACCTATCAATTTGTTTCTTCCGTCTCCAAATAATGAGGCAAGTCTGGCTGAATCGGTGAGATCCACCAGTAGGTTACTTTAACCTTTCTGCCGTGATTAATTTGCAATAATGTATTTTCACCTGAGGAAAAAGAAACTGTCGACTGAGAAGTACGCATTGGCGATTGCTTGGAATCCAGCGTGTGTCTTAACCCAACTTAGTAACGTCGGAAGGTTGTCTGTTGAAATAATAAAAAAAACACAAATCTCTTTCAATTTTCAAACTAATCTTTTTCAAAAGAATGACATCATTGGCAGTTTTGCAGGTTGTTGGTTCTGGTCCAGCCTGGGGGAGGGTGCCTTTGGCCAAAAATGTGTCACTAATTTTTTAGCCCCACCACAGAACAAGGGCAGAGATGGTTATTGTGTTTGAATTAGCTGTTTACGCCTACGATTTTCATTGAAAACGCTACGGGCTCTGTTCATAGGTACCCCCATAGAGCCATAGGTACCCCACAGAGCCATATACACCAATCCGATTTTGAAATTACCGTGACTGCTCTGGTAGCCATTACTGGGACGCCTTCCCACCTACACGCCCATCACACGTGAGTTCTGTGCACTCTCAACATGTCACTCAAGGGGATCCCATTGTGTGAAATATCAAAGTGAGCTTTGAAGCGTCCCAGTAATAGTGGAAAGCCACCCCAGTTATCACATGGGCGACTTGGATTGGTATCCATGGATACCCATTATTATTACCTGAGGAACCCAATCCAAAGACCAACGTGTGACCTAGCATGACCCATGTCATGCTGATAACCCTGATGCCGTTCAGGGAGCCGATAGTCTTGTCTCCTTGCTTCGTGTCCATCAGTTTGGCCAGGTTGCGATTCAGGGCAAAACACAGGAGAAGTCTGGTTGCTAAATCTGAGGATACAATGGGTCCAAAGCTTTAAGTCATGCTTATAATTTTTTTTTTGGGGGGGGGGAAGAGACATTATAACTAAGTGGCTAACATAACTGGCAAACACAACTAACATAACGGGGCCGTATCATAATCCGACGCCTCATAGTCCAACGCCTCATAGTCCAACGCCTCATAGATCCGACGCCTCATAAGTCCGAAATTTCAGACTTATGAGGCGTCGGACTATTAAGCCATAAATTCCGCCTCAAAGGTCCAACGCCTCATAAGTCTGACGCCTCATAAGTCCGACAATAAGCAAACGCTGTTTCGGACTTATGAGGCGTCGGCGCTATGAGGCGTCGGACCTATGAGGTGGAATAAATAAATTGTATGCCTCATAAGTCTGACGCCTGATAAGTCCGACGCCTCATATGAGGCGTCGGACCTGAGGTGTCGGACTTATAAGCGGACCCCAACATACTTTTGCTACTATGCACCTATGCTTAGTTGAAATTCTCTCATTCAAAAATGCTCCAGGTTTGTGAACATGCAGTTGACTGTTGCTTCCACCCACTCACAATGCAGTTCGCCACCAAGAGTTTGCCAAGGAGAGTTCATTTTTCCCAATGCATTGTGGGAGATGGTCTTCGCAGTGCGGGACATTTGAAATTGTCAGTTTTTCCGGTCAGTGGTTTCGTAAGCGTATGATTCCGAGGATCTGTTTGCCCATTTCTTTTCTTGTTATCAATATGGTGTTTTTTGTAAGGCCGCAGAACGCTATGCCCCAATCTATAACATTATTAGCTCAAGTTGTCTACCAACACTCATTCAAATGAACCATGTTTTGTCAACCGTAAACTTGAAAAATGGACTCTCCGTTGCAAACTCTTGGTGGCGCACTGCATTGTGAATCGCCCGAATTTGTGAGTCAGTGAGTCAGTGAGTGAGTCAGGTACAGAGAACAGCTGTCCCTCTTTGGATCCAGCTATGGCTGTGCATCGGAACCGGGTACCTGGGAATCAGGTCAACCAACTTTACAAATTACTTCTACAACAATGAAAAAGAAAGGTTTCTAATGTCACTGGTGAGGGCATTTTCAAGTGACAACCAGGCTACATGGAAAAACAAAACAAATGTCACGTTTATGATGCTCGCGAAAGATGATTTTTTTCACCATAAAGCTAAAGCTCACTGTACACACTTAATGATCACTGTATCTTAATGACCATGTCTCCAATGCCAAGCGCTGGCCTTTCCTATAAGTTAACTCACTCTGTTTCTTCATCTCATTTCCCTCCCTATTGATGGACGGCCCGGCAGTCCCTACATCCTTCAGTATCGGCACATCATCATCGTCATCCGCCTCATCTGAGTCATCCAGTAACCTCCACGGACGTCGGATTCTCAGACCAAGACTTGGACCCAGCGGCTTCTCGGCTTGAAGCTTGAGGAACTCATCATAGAGGGCGCCAACTATCATCAGCGAGGCAATGAAGCCACAAAGAATTCTAATTTAGAGAAGAGGTCAAGTTAAATATTTGGATTAAAAAAGTAAAGAATAGTAGATTTCATGGATTGAAATTGGTAAAATATATACACTCCTTTTGTTCTTACAACCCTACTATCAAGTGTGGACAATTAATGGGAATTGTGTAACCTAACAAGAGTGTGTGATAGATGGTTAAATCTCAACCAAAAAAGTCTTTCTTTATTTAGAAACTGGGAACAAATTTCAAATAATTTCGAAGACTTCTGAAGCCATATTGTTACGTAAATCCTGTCTCCCCCTTAAAACAAACAATGGGAAATTAACTATTTTACAATAAGAAAAACAACATTTCAAGATTCTCAGCATTTTAAGTTTAAAATGTATGATAAGGTTAACAACAAGTTGAAATGTTATTCGATCAAAACACCTCTTGTACTTTGGTCAGCTTCCAAAACCAACAATACACACGATGAAGTGCAATGATATGACCCCCATACACTGTACTTGGAGGTACACAGAATTTAATACATGGCTAAATGAAAGGTCATTTTTTATAGCAAAGATAAAATGATGCAAGCCAGTTGAGTTGGATGCTTCTAAAAATAAAAAAAAAATCCAAATTCACTTTATTGCACAATTACAATAATAATTTTCATAATATAATTCACACAGGAAGGATTATTGTTGGATACGTTGCACTACATGTTAGTTGTTGAAAAGGATGTTGAGAAACAGGCATAACATGAGTTTAAAATAAGCCTTTGCAATGACAATGTCACAGTTTTTAAATATTGTCCAGCCCCTCCCCCCAAAAAAAGTATAACAATTTTTTAAAAAGGCGATTGCCTTGTATTTGAAGACAATTCTTTATATTTATTCTTTCTTTTCTATTTGATTCAAACTCCACGTAGCATTTTTAAACAAGTCAGGTGTGTTTACAAACACAAATGCCCCGCAACCGTGACTGTTTCCATGACATAACACCACTCTAACATCAACTTACATACAGTACCTTGGTCAAATGGAATGTTCATTGACAGCATTAGTGTCTTCTGTAGGTTTTATATGAATTAATCCCTAATCCCTATGATCTCAGAATAAATACAAGATTTCTATTGTTTTAGCCACTGTGACCTTGACCCTTGACCTTTCGACCCCCCAATGCGATAGGCTCCTTAGGATTGCCAAAGACAATCCACAAACCAAATTTGAAGTTCATATGTAAAGTATATCTCAAGTTATCACGCTGACAAAATTTCTTTTGTTTTTGCCACTGTGACCTTGACCCTTGACCTTTCGGCCCCAAATGCAAAAGGCTTCTTAGAATTGCCAAGGACAATCCACAAACCAAATTTGAAGTTCAAATGTAAAGTATTTCTCAAGTTATCGCGCTGACAAAATTTCTATTGTTTCAGCCACTGTGACCTTGACCCTTGACCTTTCGGCCCCAAATGCAAAAGACTTCTTAGGATTACCAAGGACAATCCACAAACCAAATTTGAAGTTCATATGTTAAGTATTTCTCAAGTTATCGCGCTGACAAAATTTCTATTGTTTCAGCCACTGTGACCTTGACCCTTGACCTTTCGGCCCCAAATGCAAAAGGCTTCTTAGGATTACCAAGGACAATCCACAAACCAAATTTGAAGTTCATATGTTAAGTATTTCTCAAGTTATCGCGCTGACAAGATTTGTCCGGACACACACACCCACACACACACCCACCCACGCACCCATACTTGTTTCACATGACTAGTGTGGACTTTCCATTGCTTTCGTGTAGTTAAGAAAAACCAGTGAAAAAACTCATTTTTCTCAAACTGTGAAAACTCTTTCAACCCAATTTTTTTTCTATGATTCCCTTTAGTGTTTCTCTTCATTCTGCTACAGATAAACCTAACCCAAAAATGCCTCTAAACCTGTTTTCCAGAAATGGGGAAACACTGTGTGGACGTGGGGTAAGTCCACACAACGTCGGTGCTACCTACATTATGTGGACGTCTTTTGTTCGGAAGTCCACACTGCGTATGTAAGACAAACTCACCCCCACCCACACACACACCCACCCACACACCCACCCACCCACCCACCCACGGAAGGACAAGGCGGAAACAGTATGCCCCTTCGGCTTCGCCGCGGGGCATAAAAATGTTCCAGACTTCTCCTTAATCTACCTCTGGGGTTCATTCTTGTACTTAAACTTTAGAAAGATTATTTCAAGCCCTGCGACTTTTCCCTTTCTCAAAAATCCTGCAGAAAAAAAGCAGATGGTCTTTGAAGGATATACAAAGGTTTGAGTTTGTCAGTAAAGTTAGAGCAGGTTTGAGTTCATCAGTAAGATAAGAGCAACATTTTTAGAAAGACAGTTAGTAACCCTAACCCTGCCATACGCAACACACTCAGTGCAACAAATGTACAACTCTGTGGGACCTAGCTTGCTGCATTGAGCCAACACCAGTGCACAAAGCCAAGTCTGAATCAATGAGACCTAGGCCCAATTTAACGGCGCTGCTTAGCACACAATTTAATGCTAACAGAGCCTCCGTCTATTTCATGGAGAACGTAAGCATAAGCACAGCAAAAGGCACGCTAAACCCCAGAGGAAGAAGTTGCTTAGCAAATCTCCATGCACACCCGACCATTAGCACATCCACGCCGTGAAATCCTGCTTAAGGTTAGCAAATTATTCTGCTATGCTAAGCACAAATTTTTTGCTAACTGTTAAGCATCGTCGTGACATTGCGCCCAAGTCCCATAGACTTTACCACAGTTGCATCCTACTGCAGTTGTTGTGACCATACTCGGAGGCAGTTGGGCCCTAAGACTTGTGACCTGATGAATCTTGCTACACTGATCAAATCATTTTGCCGTAAGTGCCGCAAGTTGTTGCGTTTAGCAGGGTTTCTGGCCAGAATACACTATGGGGTTAGGGTTAAAGGGAGAACTCACATTGTGCAGATAACACCTGCGCTGTACGGGATTGTTGGATCCTTTGCACACGTAACACTCTGTTCTTCCAGAGCATCAAGTGGTATGTTAACGCTCTCAAAAACCTTGAGGGCATCTGTTTGCACCACCGGAGAGGAATAAAAGTTAGTTGTTAAGGAAGATCCCGCTCTGCTAGGAGGAAGAAGACTTCTCTGTGTGTTCTTGGGCAACACACTTGTCATTAATTGCTCCGCCCAACCCAGAAGAAAATGGCAGCAGAGTTGCAAAATGTTGATGTGTTTCGATTAATTGTTAGTACCACCAGAGAGGAGTTATTAGGGTTAAAATGTTAAGGATCTCCATCTGCAAGGTGCTAAGAAAACTTTTCTCTGTGTCCTTGGGTAAGACACTTGTTATTAATTGCTCCGCCCAACACGGAAGAAAATAGATATACATTGAGAGCAGAGTTACACTACATTTCAGATTAATTTTATTGTGACAAAAGAGCAGCATTTAGCTATAGTTACTTCTGAAGGAGCTAAAAGAAAGTTGCAGGAGTATGTTATGGGATTGAATAGCATGAACAATATTTTTTCTAAGTATTTTTTCCTTTTCATACTCTGTGTCTAAAGTTGAAACTAAAAGTAGTGGGCAGCTGTGTTACTTAGTAGTACTTAACTGAAAATAGCAAACTTTTGTTATAAACTAGTCATTTTACTAGTGCTACCTTACTTTTCCAATTTGAAACTAGAAAGAAGTGAAGGAGAGTGGTTTTACTTACCCAGTAGGTGTGTTAAGACAGCGCTGATGTCATTTTCACTACAGTTGCTGGGTAGGCATACCCCCCATTTCATGCCAAATAAGCCCACTTCCCCCAGACTTGTTGCTATATTCTTGTTGGTCGTGCTTTTCTGAAAGGCAAGTTGTCAACAAAATCAATCAAAAGAGACTAAAAGTCAAAAAAAAAAAAAAGAGTGGAAAATAGAGGGCTGAACATCCAACTCTAGCTGGATTGTAGAATCTCTGCACCAACTTTAAAATCCAGGAATTTTAGGGTAAAGTTTTGTTGACTAATTCTCAAGGTTATAAAAAATATTCTTCAATGTCCTTTATCTTTTGGAGGTACTTGACAACTTTGTAGGGGAATGTGGCACAATGCATCAGGATTTGAATCCGGCTGCTTACGTTGTTTTTTTTTTCAGTCACTTCTCCAACACTTGTTTCCTCGATGTAGTATGGGTTTTCCCGGCTATTTTCAAACGTTTATCATTCAAATTCACTGTTTCTAATATTCAAATTCGTCCATCAACTTCGATTTAGTGCACTTCCAATGTTTAATTTCCTCTTTTGTCAGTTTATTTCAAATTCAGTTCAAGTAAATTCAAACAAAGAATTTGTTTTCATCCCGAAGTATCAATTTTGTCTCGTCCACACCAAACCTTGTTATTCAGAAATCAAATTTGAATACGAAATACGAATTTGATCTGTAATGATGAATATTCTCGACAGTGACTAAAGAGGGTAACCAAACATTGAAATTGAATGGTAAATGACTAAATTGGTTTTGTTTAAGCGTGTGAAATTTTTCTCGAACAAACTTGAATATTCGAGCCGGGAAAACCTATAATAAATGAGTGCCAGTATTTACCGAGGACTGGAATAGCCTACAGAAAATTGCTATCCAGGGGGATATTCTTGTTTCATGAGAACAAAACAGGAGACAACTACCGGCGTGATAAGTTAAGAGAGTATTTCACTTACTGACAACTTGGTCGTGTTCACATTTAAACCAATCAAGCAGTAGTTGAACCCGTCTATTGTCATGCATTCATCATAGTGTCCAAGCCAGGCCACATTTAACTGGAGAATTCCGGCTGGAGGCTTGCCAAATGCATCCAGAGCTGCAAAACATGAACAAGATCAGTCCACCTAGATGTCCTACAGTGAATGCCTTGTATGATTTGATTAGAAGAGGATGGATTGCTCAACATAAAATTTTCATTAAGGTCGGGTAGGGGGCAAATTCTCCTGATGCAAGTTTTGTCTTCTTTATCAAATTGTTAAAGAGCTCATGCAATGATTTTTTTAATGCAATCCTTGAAAATGCACCTTTGTGTCCCATTTAAGCCTATTTTTTTAATATTCATTTTGCCGTTTTCAAGGGTATATATTGGTGCCTTTTTAGGTATTTATGCTATGCACATTTTCATATTCATGAGCAAATATGTGATGTCATTCCAGGCAGAAACCTCAATATTACAGCTATTTCAGCACCAACAGTTGCCAGAATTTTGGATATTTTGCTGTCGTGAATGTTCTTTTCTTTGGCGATTCGTTTTTGTATCAGCACATGGCAGTAAGCCGATGAGCAAACTTTTCTCACAAATGTTTTCAATGAACAAATTGTGGGTTCACACTTTGAACCGATAGCACCTAAACTGAACAGTGTCTTTAGTCTTTCTGAAATGACGTCACAACAACAGCGCCCTCAGATTCCGGAAAAACATGGACAATTTTAAATGTTTAAAGAAGTGCACTTTTCAATAAAATTAACAAAAAAAACCTAGTTTTCATAATTTTAAGAGGAGTAGAAAATTGCACAAAATATGTTCCCAAAAAATTCACTTCCAAGTTCATGGGTCCTTTAATTAATGTACCTGCTTCAACGTCAGGCTTAGCTAGTTTTTAAGCCATTAGCAACTGTACTACATGTACATTGTGTTTATTCACTGATGCATAATTCATAATCCATAAAACCATAGAACTCTCGGGCAGTTTTGGGTAAGCAGTAATAGTATAATGGGTTAACAAAGAAGTAAAAGTCTACTTGGAATGCTAGTTGAATCAGTCGAGAGTTTAGTATAAAATGGTGCTGCATATACTCACCCATAACAACATCTGTTTCAAGGGTTTTCGGATTACTATTGATAAGCCTGTTTATTTCAGCTTCACACTCTGCCGAGACATCGTAACTATCCTGTGCCATGCTTTGCATTGGTGGGGACCAAGATTTGTACAGTATGTCTTTGAACTTCAGTGGATTTACTTGTACATCGGCAAAAACGGCGCAGCAGCATAGGGCTAGCACCAGAAATTTGACATTCTGTGCTGCCATGGTGACAACCAATTAATCTGGCTATAAAAAGCTTTTGCAGCTAGTTAGAAACAGTAATGGTATCAGTTTAATCTCTGTGATCGTGAGTGGAGCTTGTTTCAGATGTCTGTGAAACAGAGAGAGATGAACCTGGATATTTCTTCCTGCAAAAAAAAAAAACAGACAGAAGTGATTTGATCATTGTAGCCCAACTGTCACATTGTACATGTAGCCCTTAGGGGTGGGGGTGGAGGGGGGGGTCCCAGATTCATGTCTTTTCAATACTGTTTGAATGATCTCTACTTTCTGACTCTAGTCTAGCTCTACTGAGTGGAGCGTTGAATTACGGGTACCCCTCCATATGGATTGGAGGGGTACGCTCCACTCAGTAGAGCTATAACTCTAGTCCAATTGACAATGATTGCGATGATATATGATGAAAAAAAAGTGGCTTCACGCCTTCAGAATCCAACATTCTTTCCAATTCCGAGATTACAGTTACTGCGTGATTTCTGATTAGGAAAAATAAGACAAAATACATGAAAAATTTTACTCAAAATTTCAACGGAAAGTAGGCCTATGTTCATGATGTTATTTGTTATGTACTGATGTAGCTTGAGTAACTCCAGCTCCAATGCTCATATTTTTTACCTGCAACCTTTTTGAATGTCTTTTATAAGTTTTAACGCAATTTCAATGCCCCCTTTTTAAAGTAAGATATATTGATTGCAACACAGTCTGTAACAATAATATGTATTTCTCTATATAGACAATTTTCTGTAGTCAGATCTGTATGCACAATGTTTAAACCTTTTCTAATATTAGTATTTAATGTCATATTGTGTTTTTTAACTCGGTAGGCCTTTAACTTTTTTTTAAATGTATTTTTTTTTAAATGTAAATCACGTGCAGTTTAGCTGTGGCTGCCATTCATGATTTGTTAATAAACCATGTTGAATGAATGAATATGTCGAATTCCTGATGAGCAATGGAGCTAGTCCCATAAATGTGACTGAAATATTACTGGACTACCTAGTCCAGTATTTCAGTCACATTTATGGGACTACATTGGAGCAGTAGTAGTGATGTACGTGAGAACAGAACAAAACACGATGTGCACACTTAGTTATACTCACTAGATCATGTCACAAAAACAAATCTTACCTGGTTTGCCGAGCCAGAATTCTGTGAATTTTTAATCAATAAAAAAAAGCGCTAGCGGGATCGAATCTCGAGATTTCCAATAAAAATGCCGGATCATGATCGCGCATATCATGTGATTGCTTGTAGTTGTACTTTGATTGTGTAAACAACGGTAACGATTCTGAAAGTTTCTGACCTTCTTCACAATACTGCAGCATGCAAAACGTCATGTCCAAATACTATGCATATGGAACGCCAAAGCCGCACGGCGGTACGGTACGGTACACCCGCGTTAAAACCTAGACTTAGCTCAAGGCGTATAGTCTGATGGTCGTACACGCAAGTCCGATTTATACCCACGATGAGTAAGTTTGCACTAGTGGGAGACTACACCAGGGATGTCCACGGGGGATTTTACGAATAACTTTTGTCAGCTGTGGCTCCAGTCCAGCTTTTTATTGTATATTTTAATAGTCTCTGCCAACTTGCAAAATACCATTTTTTACCACCTGATGTTATTACAATTTATACAACACCTGAATAAATCCCCGTCATCTGATTGGTCAATTGTAGATCATGTGACATATTATTATTCGGTATAATGCACGGTGCGACCATGCGTTATACCCATGCGTTATACCGTTTCACTTTGCGCTTGTTCCATGACGCGGTATTTGCGTGCAAAATGCATGCTGGTGTGCGCTCTCAGCGTAGTGCGTATTGTTCCAAAGAGCAAGCCTTACAGCGTTGGGTTCAAACATTTTCGTGAAGGGGTAGTTCAACATCTTTAAAATCAAAGCAAATTGTAGTTTATAATTTACCAATCAAATGACGAGAATTTATTCAGGTGTTGTATAAAACAAATAACGAATGTTTTACGTTCGTGCGATGGAAAGAATAATTTCATTCGGTGACAGATTGAATGTTCTATTCCACTCGGCTTCGCCTCGTGGAATAGAGCATTCAATCTGTCACCTCATGAAATTATTCTTACCATCGCACTCACAAACATTCGTTATTTGTATAATAAAAATATGCAGTGCAAACTGTTTTAATAATAGAGCATTTGAATAAAATTCATATTGTGCAAATTCCCCGGCCTTAATTATATTCGAGCACCCTTCCGATGCGAAGTTTTTTAACCTGTTTCTTCATATATTGTGCGTACTATTTTATAATGAGGACGCTTGTCGGGTCTAGCAGGACTGAGTTTACAAAACGCTTCATCTGATAGTTTTTTAAATGCTCTAGGTATAGTATGCCAGATATTTTTATAACAACCTTGTGTTGCATTTCTGAGAACAAAATTATGACAGAAACAGAAAAAAAAGTAGAATAAGAGTCTCTGGGGGAGACGGGGGGCCGAACTTTTTACGTTTGTTGTGACAGTCTTATTGAAAACTTTTGAAACTAGTGGGAACTATTCCTTTTACTGGATTCAGTCACTGAGGTCTATTTTCTGGAATGAAAAAGCTAATTAAAAGTATAATAGCTTAATTAAAGTGTATTGGGTCGCTCGAGTAGCGTCTGACTTGGGTTGGTAACAAGTCATTTTTTGCAATCCCAAGTCAAGTTACAAGTCATTGTTTGCAAGTCCAAGTCAAGTCACAAGTCAAAGCTGGTATTTACAAGTCAAGTCACAAGTCACAAAAATAGCGACTCGAGTCCGACTCGAGTCCAAGTCACATGACTAGAGTCAGCAACTCTGTCGGTAGCTATATACAATGGCTCTTTGGCTTTGTTTCAGGATGATCAGTGTCAAAGAGGACGGCAAAAATTGAGTCATAAAATTTTGCCATCGACCACCCCAACATAAGCCACCCTAATATCGAATGACCCCCTTAACCCCCTCCCAATTTGCAGATTTAAAAAAAAATAGTGTCCAATTTGACTCCTTCATGTCATACGAGAGTGATGTTCCATTTTAAATAGTTATGTGTCCAAAGTGATCCGCTGTTTTTTCATATCATAGTAATTTTGGGTCGACACTCAATAATTTTAATGAAATATTCCTCCTTAAATGCCTGTAGCCACTTGCTTTCCAGGAGTCGCGAGAAATGAAATAGCGCCCTCAAGCGTTCGCTAAAAACGCGCCTGTTTTCTTGCGATTGTTCACGAAGTTTGTTTGTCGATAAAAGTTTTGTTCGACAACTTTATCCAGAATCATCTTGCTGTATAGTCGCTTTTTGAGCGAATCATCAACCTATTGTGTGCCTCAAGAACCGTTATTTCTGCTCAGCATACTGTTGGCTCTCAGTTCTCAGGTTCTCAGATACAAGTGAGAACTTCTTAATCTTAGTCTCTCTTTGAGATAACTGAAGGGACGACCTCACCTGATTGCCGTTTGCCAGATCTGAATTTCACCTGATAAAGAAATCTACTACAGTAGGCCAGTGGTCATCAGAGGTGCTCCGTAAAACTACTGGAGTGAGCCTACTCAAGGAGACCAACGACTTCGTCTGCCTTGCAGTACCGGGCCAGTTTACTGACTTCGTTGGAGTCACCGGTTCAGTCAAGTCGGTTGACTGGACGTCACTATTTTGGAACTGTGAAAGCTCCAGCATTGACTTTCTTGCCGGCCGGCCATTTACTGTGCGCATCATTGGGCCCATTTTTGTGTGTATTACTTGAGCATCGTGGATCCATATCCTTTTAATTAAACATTGATTGTATTTTGATTGAATTGTTTGGCCAAACGAAATTGTTGTTACACAATAAAAGCTGATTGGAAATTAATTTATTGTTATTCTCCTGTGTCCTTCCCTAAACGGTTACATATTTGGCGATCCTGCCAGGACACATTTTATTTAGGGTTGGATTTATAAAAAAAAAAATAACCTTGTTTGTTGTACAACTGCCTGTAAAATTGTAAATTAATAAGGTGATTGTTCACATGTATTGAGAGCCAACAGTTACAAATTCTTTTTTGTTTTTCCCCATTTTAAATTTGAGCATTTTTCTAGCTTCTTATCTCATCCATATAGTTTCTAAATTCTAAAACCGAGTGAACGATGGCAAGCGAAGCTCCTTCGCAGGTTGAGATAACTGATTGGTGTAAGAAGGAAGATATCCGCCCGAGCCATGCCCTCCTCCTGAAAGCAGATGGCATTCTCACTGACACAACCGAAGACATCCTGATCGCTCTCGCTAAAACCGTACAGCACATCATGAGTGTCTCGCGGAGGGAGAGAGATGTTGCTACCCAGCTGCTCTGTGAGTTTGAGAAAGAGGCATCGGATGTCGTACTGCCCTCCTCAGGCGAGGTTTCACTGAAGCTTGGTGGCCGACATGTCCCGCTAAAAATTAACCGGTTGGGAGTGGTAGTCAAGAATCGGGTGAGGATTCAGGATCTTGTCGAGAAAGGCTTGATGCTGACAACTCAAGAGAAGAAGAATGCGAACCAGTTGGGGGAGGCGTTGGCACGTTGCACACTCAACAGCAGCAGAAAACTAAGGCCATTCTCTGGAAGCAAAACACCAGCCAAAGATGAAGATGTCTTTGACACCTGGATTGAGCTGGCGAAGGGTCAACTGGATGAGGAGGAGAATGATCAAGAAAAGAGGAAGCGAATTAGGGAAGCTCTTCGCCCTCCAGCGGCGAACATAATTTCTGATCTTAGACGAGACCAACAAGCTGCAACTTCTGAAGATTACTTGGGTGCTCTTGAGTTGGCTTTTGGAGGTACAGAATCTGCAACCGAGTTGCATGTATTATTTCATTCATCCCATCAGAAGCAAGGGGAGACACCGTCAGAGTACTTGACTCGTCTTCAGGATATTCTTCGCAGATTGATCAGGAAGGGTGGAGTGGAGAAAGAGAAGAAAGATGGCTTGCTGCTCTCTCAGTTCATCAAGGGTATTCTTTATGATGAGATGCTTTTGGTTAACTTGCAGTTGAAGGAAAAAGTGTCACAACCCCCCACCTACCTTCAACTCCTCCGAATGGTGAGACGTGAGGAGGCTGAGCAGATGGTAAAAATGTCTCATCGTAGTGTCGATGCTCCTAAAAAGGAGGCCAAAACATTCCATCAATCTGCAGGTAGCAAGGAAGTTGGGGAGAAAAGGAAGACTCCTACAAACAGCCGACCCAACTTTTGTTACAAGTGTGGCTTAGAAGGGCATTATAAAGGGAAATGCCCCAATGAGCCTGATGTTGAGAAGGTTAACAGTGCATTGATCAAGTTCATCCATCAGGGAAACGGGACAGGGCATCTGAGGGGGGCCGCCCAGAAGCCCAAAGAACAAGGCCCAATTCCAGTTGTACAATTGGCACAGATATTCCTGCTTGTTTAATTGGAGAGCAGCTGATCGTGAAAGGCTATGTTGATGGAAAGATAGCCCATTGCTTGTTAGATACAGGGTCACAAGTGACTCTCATATGTAACAGTTTCTTCCAGCACCTGCGGAGGACCCTGTATCCAATGAGTGATTTGGTTTTGTGGCATGGTGGAAGTGGCACAATGCCATATCTTGGGTGGACCCAAGTTGAAATTGGGCTTGATGTCGGGTTCTCTGGCACAAACGAGTCTTTTCTGACACTGGCATTGGTGGTGCCAGATGGCAGAGATTCAGATAGGCACTAGTTGGTTGTTGGTACAAATTCTGGTGTACTGCGGAATTGTTACCAGGCTGTGTTTGGTGGAGACTTCCGAAGAGTAGACACGACTGGACAAATGGATGTACACCCAACCTGTGCCAAGATTTACAGAGACCTCGAACTCTCCAAAAGGGTTCGATCTGATGGACGCATTGGAGTCATAAAGTTTCATTCTCGGGGTACACTTACAATTCCTGCCAATTCAATGAAGACTGTAGCTGGCACATTTCGTAACAGAGTTGGCGGACAAACTACTGTACTGATTGATGCTGCTGTGCCACGCAAGTTGCCTGGTGGTTTGGACGTAGCGTGTTCCCTGGTAAAAGTTGGTGCTGGATTCAATAGAGTCAGCGTATGTCTGTTGAATTCGACAGGGAAAAGTGTACAGCTGCCGAACAAGTGTGTTCTGGCAGGGGCATTCATACCTGCCTGGACAAGTGAATCTGTCTGCAGCAAAAGTGCAAATAGTGGCAAAATTTCTGCAAGTCCATCAGACTCGTCAAATTCACACCGAAATGATCGACCGACGACAAGGACAGAGTTTGCTAACTTACCTTTCAAGTGGGGTCCCATCAGTGAAGAGTGGCGTGATAGAATTCTAGGACTTGCCCATCAGAGGTCAGAGATCTTTTCCAAGCACGAGTGGGATGTTGGTCTCACTGATGGAATTCAACATGAAATCCGACTAAGTGACGAGCAGCCTTACCGCGAGAGATCTCGGCGTGTGTCCCCGGCTGACTTGAAGGATCTTAGGGATCACTTGCAGCGACTGTTGGATATTGGAGTGATCACTGAATCCAAAAGTCAGTATGCATCTCCAATTGTCATCGTCCGTAAAAAGAATGGCCAGATGAGACTCTGTGTAGATAACAGGACTTTGAACTCCCGTACCTTGCCCGATCAGTATGCAGTTCCCGTTATTCAAGATGCTCTTGACTGTCTACATGGATGTAAATGGTTTTCAGTGCTAGACCTGAAATCAGGTTATTACGAGATTCCAATGAAGCCTCAAGACAAGGAAAAGACGGCATTTGTGTGTCCAGCTGGTTTTTTCCAGTTCGAGAGAATGCCCCAAGGCATTAAGGGAGCACCAGCAACATTCCAACAACTGATGGAACAGTGTATGTCAGGTCTGAATTTTGATGAAGTCCTGGTGTACATGGATGATATCATAGTTTTCGCTCCAACCCTGGAAGAGATGGAGAAGCGGCTGGGTAGGACCTTTGATCGTCTCGCTCACTATGGTTTAAAGGTGGCACCGGAAAAGTGTCAGCTGTGCTGCACCTCAGTAAAATATCTTGGCCATGTGGTTTCAAGGGAGGGTGTCGAAACTGACCCTGCAAAGGTGGAGGCGATCAGATCCTGGCCACGTCCAGAAACGTCAGACAGCTGCGCTCTTTCTTGGGGTTTTGTGGCTACTATCGCCGATTTATAGAGGGTTTTTCCAAAATTGCTAAACCTCTCCATCAGCTCACTGCAGGTTTCCAGCGGCACGATCCTTCAGCAAAGTCTGCGGGCAGGACACACATGGATAGACGGGTGTCATTCGGTCAGTTGTGGACGGCAGAGTGTGACAGTGCGTTCAACATTCTCAAGGACAGGATGTGTGCTGCTCCTGTATTAGCCTTTGCGGATGTAACACAGCCATTTGTGTTACACATAGATGCCTCCCGTGATGGTCTTGGAGCAGTCTTGTGTCAGGAGTCATCAGGGAAACTGCGCCCAGTAGCTTATGCTAGCCGAGGGTTGACCCGCACTGAAAGAAACTACCCCGCACATAAGTTACAGTTTTTGGCCCTCAAGTGGTCCGTCACCGAAAAGTTTAAGGACTATTTGTACACAGCAAAAGGGACGAAGGTGTATACAGACAACAACCCCCTTACTTACATACTCACCACAGCAAAACTCGATGCTACGGGCCACCGCTGGCTAGCTGCCCTCACCGTGTTTGACTTCACATTGCACTACAAGCCTGGACCAAGCAACAAAGATGCTGATGCATTGTCTCGAAGGCCTCACTGCCAAAACTTGGATGTTGTCGATCAGAAGGAAAAGATCCACATCCTGGAAGCTCGATTGCAGGGTGAAAGTGGCGAGACTGAAAAGCACTGTGATGTTGAAGTCATCCATGCTATTTCTGCCAGCCTCTTGCCAAGCTCTGCAGGCAGTGAAGTTGATGAAACCCCAACCTATCCTTTAGTGCATTCCTTGGCTCTGGGTACTGAGGCTATTCCTGCATTGTATTCTACGCCAGATGGGAGTGGATCTGGTGAACCAGTCGAATGGAAGAAAGAACAAGCTGGCGACGATACATTCAAAAGAATCCTTCCAGCAGTCATAGATGGCAAGAAACCCAAAGTTGTGGCTGATATGACTCCCCAAGAGAGGATGATGGTAGCCCAGTTTGACAAGCTGGTTTTGAGAGAGGGAATTCTGTATCGTCGGGTCATCAGTCCAGCTGGCGAGGAGACGTTTCAGTTGGTGTTGCCTAAGAAGTTCAGAGAACAGGCAGTGAAGGGACTTCATGATGACCTGGGTCACATGGGAGTAGAGAGGGTGGTTGCTTTGGCTAGACAGCGGTTTTACTGGCCCAAGATGACTTCGGAGATAGAGGATTGGGTTTCTCATTGCCTTAGGTGTGTCTCCCAGAAAACAACGAAAAAGGCCGCTGCGCCCTTGGTGAATATATCAACCAGTTCTCCTCTTGAGTTGGTGTGCATGGACTTTTTAAAGTGGGAACCTGATAGGAGTGGATACCAGTATATCTTAGTCATAACCGATCATTTCTCAAGATATGCACAAGCTGTGCCAACCAGGGATAAATCATCCAGAACTGTTGCTAGGGTGTTGTGGGAACGTTATTTCCTGCACTATGGGCTCCCAAAACGCCTTCATTCAGACCAGGGGCGAGAGTTTGACAACAAGCTTATAAAGGAGCTTGCGTCTCTTCTGGGGGTGTCTAAATCCAGGACAACTCCGTATCACCCACAGGGCGATCCACAGCCCGAGCGATTTAATCGCACATTGCTCAACATGTTGGGTACTTTGCCTGTCGACAAGAAGCATACTTGGAGCAAGTTTGTAACACCCCTGGTTCACGCATACAATTCCACAAGAAACGATAGCACAGGGTTTTCCCCCTATCACATCATGTTTGGAAGGGAAGCTCGACTTCCCATTGATGTGTGTTTTGGCACAGCTCCAGATGGCGTGTCCCACAAAGAGCACACAAAGTATGTCCAAAATCTCCGACGTAACCTGGAGAGTGCTTATCGACGTGCGTCAGAGGAATCTGCTAAATCAGCAGCTGCCAACAAGCAACGTTATGATGTGAAAGTGCGAGGGAGTGAGTTGCAGACTGGTGACAGGGTACTCGTCAGGAACGTAGGTTTCAAAGGCCCTCATAAGATTGCAGACAAATGGAATCAAGACGTGCATGTTGTTGTTGGCCGCCCAGATGATAATATGCCGGTGTACAGGGTCAAGTCTGAGTCTCGACCTGGTATTCTGAGAACACTGCATAGGAACATGGTCTTACCAATTGGTGGTATTGCTCCTGAAGTAAGCCCCAAGGTTACAGCCTCTAAGGTTCCAAAACCTGTTGCCCAGAAACTGCGGACATCAAACTTAAAACCTTCACCAGTACCAGCTCCAGTCCAGAGTGAGGAGGAACATGACACTACTGCCCCTGATGAAGATCAGGAAGTAGTTCTCATTTGGCCTAAAGTTGGAAATCCAAATGAGGTTACTGATCAGCCGGACCCTGTTGAGGAGACACGGGTGGACCTGAGTCAACGTCAAGAAACCAGTATGAAACCAGGCTGTGAGAAGATGGATTCGGTCAGACTGAGAGTGGATGCTGATGTATTTGTTCCTGCAACTGTTCCACTGACTCCATCATTGAGTTCAGTGCAGCAGGATACAAGTACCTCCACAGCCCTGAAAGTAACTGATCAGTTGAGAGAGACGACGACTTGCGACACAGGTGTGACAGAGACTCTCACTGAAGAGGGTATTACCTCTTGTTCAGAAGTACCCACACCTATTAGCCAGTCCACATGTTCTGACAATATCCCCACAGTTACTTCAAAAGCAGCCGGGGCTGTAGATGTATCAAATTCTGATGAGGAGAAAAGCTTCGGAGAAGTGGGACTTCAAATCAAAACTACTGTAGAGGTTGAGCATGATGGCGGTGGTGTACATTCAGACAAAACCGATGACCTTGGAGATGGAACTGGGATGATTGATGATGATGGTAGCCCTAACAGCTCAGTGGTTGAAGCTCCTTGCCGTGAGTCTTCTTTTCTTGATTCAGTAGCTGAGTCCGAGTCTGAGGAGGGCACTATCAGTGATCCATATCCCGAAGATTCTGAAGAGGATGAAGGGTCCTTGCAGAGTCACCCTTCACGTCCCTCTAGGAATAGGCAACCACCAAAGCGATACACTTTTAGGGTTTTGGTTGATGGAATAATGGAGTACACACGATGTTGGTCGTACAGCAACTTTATTCTAACAATCGAACAACTAGACTACCGTATTTACAAGAGAGGATTTGGAGACATGTGTCTCGTTTGATGGTTGAAAGAAGAGTGGGCGAAGAAAGTAATAAAGGAGAGTGAGTGAAGAATCTAATAAGTAAGGTGGGGCTGACTATCCAATTTAAAAGCAATAAAAAGTAGAGACTGAAGGAATGTACTAATGGACTTTGTGGTTAGGTGATAAAATGTGGTAAGAGGGACAAAGTAATAAAAGTGGGGCTTGGCCCAGTAATAGTAATCAATCAATTAGGGAGATTGATACCATAGGGTCATAACTTTTACCCACCACTGGACTGTTGCTGGGGGCAGTGTACGAGGGGTTAAAAGTTCACAGATTAAGCTATAATTATATGGAAGAAAACGCTACAGGAGCCCCCTTCCAGTGAGTGAAAAGTAACAAAAATTGATAAAACACTTAAGAACGAACGAATGTGACATAGCGTTTGGGCCACTGAACTGTGCGGCCTGAGCGGGTTGTACGAGGAGGTGGAATATCTGAGGTTGGGATATTCTGCTCGGTATTTACAGGATTGGTTTGAACTATTGGGATAGAGTGGTTGGGTTTGGGAAGAGCAGAATTCATAGCATGACCTATATCCAAATGGGCAGATTTAAGGCGATCTATGCTAACTGTGTCATGACGATTGTTCAGTTCAATGACGAAATGTTTAGCTGAACGACTGAGTACTTTGAAAGGTCCGTCGTACGGCGGTTGTAGAGGTTTGCGCACTGCGTCACGACGAACGAAAACATGAGTGCATGTCTGAAGTTCCTCGGGAACATGCGCTGTGGGACGCTGCTGTGCGCGGGTTGTTGGTGGCTAAAGATCCTGCATGGCGCGTTTCAAGCGATGAACATAGTTCGTAGGCTCTAAGGCAGTGGCATCAGCGGTGTTGTCAAAGAATTCGCCAGGCAGGCGAAGTGTGGTGCCATAGACGCGTTCGGCAACACAGTGACCGAAATCGGACTTGACTGCAGTTCGGATTCCCAAGAGAATCAGCGGCAAAGTCTCTGTCCATAGGCTTGCGTCTGGTTGTGCCCGTAGTGATGACTTCAGTTGGCGATGAAAACGTTCCACTAGTCCATTCGCGATTGGGTGATAGGCTGTGGTACGTATGCGGGTGGTACCAAGCAGATTTGTGAGTGCGCGAAAAAGTGCGGATTCAAACTGGGCACCGCGATCAGTGGTGATTACCGATGGAACACCAAATGAGGCAACCCATCGCGTTACAAAAGCACGAGCGACTGTTTCAGCTGTGATGTCAGGTAGAGGGATGGCTTCTGGCCAACGCGTGAAACGGTCAATACAGGTCAACATGTATACACATCCATTGGATGTGGGTAATGGTCCAACAAGATCAATGTGAACATGCGCAAATCGGGCATCTGGAGTAGAAAACTCAGACAGGGGTGCAAAGGTATGGCGATGGACCTTTGAGCGCTGACACTGTATGCACGATTTTGCCCATTGTCGCATTGGTGAGATAGGGAGTGTAGAGCGTCAAACACTGCACGACGCATCTCCACTGGAACAAATGGACGTGCGTTTCCAGTAGAAATGTCACAAGTTAATGTAATGTCACATGATGGTAGGGGAACTTGTTTGAACGTGAGCGAGGATGACGATGTGCGCAAGCGTTGAAGTTCCTCGCTGGTGTTCTGCAATTCCGCCATTTTGTGGAAATCGATGAGTGCAGTATGATCCGTGCGAAGAGCATTTAGTTCGACACGAGATAGGGCATCTGCGGCAGGGTTATCTCCACCTTTAACATGTCTGATATCACAGGTATTGGGAAACAAAATCGAGGTGGCGAATTTCGCGAGGGGAGTGTCTGTCCGTTGTGGTGCCGTGAGTATATGTGAGCGGTTTGTGGTCCGTTAGCACATGAAATTGACGACCCTCGAGTGAGTGACGAAAATGGCGGATGGCAAGGTATATGGCCAAAAGTTCGCGACCAAATGTGCTGTATCGTGTCTCTGCTGGTTGAAGTCGCTTTGAGAAGAAAGCGAGTGGTTGCCATGCATTGTCAATTCGTTGTTGAAGAACAGCTCCCACTGCGACATCCGAAGCGTCCGTCATGACGCACAGAGGCGCGTCTGGCTTTGGATGTGCAAGGAGAGTGGCGTTAGCGAGGGCAACTTTGATAGCGTGAAATGAAGCGGTGGCAGAGTCATTCCAAGGGAGTGGTGCCGACTTCTTTCCGGCATTAGAAAGTAGATCGGTGAGTGGTTGGAGGACCTGGGAACACTGGGGAATGAAACGGCGGTAGAAGTTGACAAGACCGAGAAATTCCCTGAGTTTGGTGAGAGTTGTTGGTTGGGGAAAATCACGGATAGCACTGACCTTTCCAGCAAGTGGTTGCACTCCGTGACGGTCAACGTGATGTCCAAGGAATTCCAGTGACTCTGTGCCAAACAGACATTTCGCGGGGTTGATGATCACACCGTATTGTTGGAGGCGGTCAAACAGAAGGCGAAGATGCGTTTCATGTTGATCGGCATCAGTACTGGCAACTAAGAGGTCATCGATGTAGGCATAACAAAAGTCTAAACCTCTTGTTACTTCATCAATGAAGCGTTGGAACGTTTGGGCGGCGTTGCGCAAACCAAATGGCATACGGGTAAATTCGAAGAGCCCAAACGGAGTCGTGATAGCGGTTTTAGCAATATCGTCTGGTGCCATGGGAATCTGATGGTATGCGCGGATGAGGTCGATCTTGGAAAATATCACAGTGCCATGTAGTGATGATGTAAAGTCTTGGATATGTGGCACTGGATAACGATCAGGCACTGTGGATTTGTTGAGAGCCCGATAGTCACCGCATGGACGCCAATCCCCAGGTTGCTTTTTGGGGACCATATGAAGAGGTGAAGACCAGTTACTGGCCGAAGGGCGCACGATACCTAAGTCCATCATGTGTTGGAACTCGTCTTTGGCGACTTTCAAACGGTCAGGTGCAAGACGGCGTGGGCGTGCGGCTGTAGGGGGGCCAGTCGTGATGATATGGTGCTCAACGTTGTGTTTGATTGTAGTGTCACTATAGGTGGGACGCGTTATGCTGGGGAAATCCTTCAAAATGTCCGCAAATCGAGATGGGGTGGGCGGTTTAAAGATGGGGCTGAGCGATGGCGATGTTGATGCTTTTCCATCGATGCTTAAGCTGGTCGTAGCATCAACTAGCCTGCAGTTGCGAATGTCAACAAGAAAGTTGAAATAACGAAGGAAATCTGCGCCTATGATTGCATGTTGAACGTCGGCGATGATGAACACCCATCGGCATGGCCGCCGAATCCCAATGTCAAGTGTCAATGACCTTTCACCATAAGTAGCTATTTGCGTTGCGTTAGCTGCTTGAAGGTCATGTCCATGACAGCGGTGGGCGCGGTCGTGAGATGAAGGAGGGATGACACTCACCTCTGCTCCTGTGTCCACAAGGAATTGTTGTTTCGTTACTCGATCTGTGACATAAAATAGGCGATGAGATGGGGAACGGCCGGCAGAGCATGTCGCCCCTACTTGCCGGCTTGGTCGTTTTCCTGGTAACCGGCCTTATAAGAACATGGCTGCGTACATTTGTGGGCCATAGCTCCAAATTTCTGGTGGTACCAACACTCTGCATCGTGCGTGGCCGTGGCTGCTGATCTACGGTCATCAGTGCGTTGGCGACGCGGTTGACTGCGGCTGCGACTGCGTTCACGTGGACGGCTGGTGAGGGTGGATATCATTGATGCCAAATTCGCTACTTCGGCCCGCAGTTGTTGAATTTCGGTTGGTGGCGGAGATTCAATGGTAGTGATGTGTGCAGAGACGGGTGCCTGGGTAGGGGAGACTTCCATGATTTTATCTGCTAACTTTGCCAATTGGTCGATGTCGACCTCTTCTGAGGTGGAAGCAAGAATTAGCCGAGCATTGGTTGGAAGCCGCTGGAGAAAAAGTTGTTTCATTATTGATGGCTCCAATGTTCGCTCCCCCAAGAGCTGTTGCATCTTGCGGAGCAGTTGGGAGGGCTTTCGATCCCCCAACTCCTCTGTTGTCAAGAGTTGATGCAAGCGTTTTTGTTCAGATTGAGATGTGCGCTTGATAAGCTCCTTTTTTAGCGTTGTGTATGGAGCCTCTGAGGGTGGAGTTATTAAAATATCCCTCACCTCCTGCGCTATAGATGGCTGCAGGGACGCCACCACATAAGCATATCTGGTGGGTTCGGAGGTTATGCCTCGAGTGGTGAATTGTGCTTCCACTTGGGTGAACCATATTGTTGGGTCAGATGGCCAGTATGGTGGGAGTTTGAGGCTGATGGTAGCGGTTACGGGTGGCTGTGCTGTTGCGCCGGTACTAGTTGTAGCAGGAGTAGCAGGCATCGTTGCAGTTGATTCCAAAATTCCACTGTTTTGTTGTATAGATCACGTCTGGGTCACCAGTTTAGGGTTTTGGTTGATGGAATAATGGAGTACACACGATGTTGGTCGTACAGCAACTTTATTCTAACAATCGAACAACTAGACTACCGTATTTACAAGAGAGGATTTGGAGACATGTGTCTCGTTTGATGGTTGAAAGAAGAGTGGGCGAAGAAAGTAATAAAGGAGAGTGAGTGAAGAATCTAATAAGTAAGGTGGGGCTGACTATCCAATTTAAAAGCAATAAAAAGTAGAGACTGAAGGAATGTACTAATGGACTTTGTGGTTAGGTGATAAAATGTGGTAAGAGGGACAAAGTAATAAAAGTGGGGCTTGGCCCAGTAATAGTAATCAATCAATTAGGGAGATTGATACCATAGGGTCATAACTTTTACCCACCACTGGACTGTTGCTGGGGGCAGTGTACGAGGGGTTAAAAGTTCACAGATTAATTAAGCTATAATTATATGGAAGAAAACGCTACACACTTTATATGATGTGTTGGGTCAACCTACTTGTAGAGCAGTACAGGCTAACGCACAAAGTAGTTGGATTCCGGAGTTCTGTAGATCATTTCTCTCTACAGACAGACATGTTATCGGGACGATACAACATGTTTAGAAAGGGAGGAGTGTAGCCACTTGCTTTCCAGGAGTCGCGAGAAATGAAATAGCGCCCTCAAGCGTTCGCTAAAAACGCGCCTGTTTTCTTGCGATTGTTCACGAAGTTTGTTTGTCGATAAAAGTTTTGTTCGACAACTTTATCCAGAATCATCTTGCTGTATAGTCGCTTTTTGAGCGAATCATCAACCTATTGTGTGCCTCAAGAACCGTTATTTCTGCTCAGCATACTGTTGGCTCTCAGTTCTCAGGTTCTCAGATACAAGTGAGAACTTCTTAGTCTCTCTTTGAGATAACTGAAGGGACGACCTCACCTGATTGCCGTTTGCCAGATCTGAATTTCACCTGATAAAGAAATCTACTACAGTAGGCCAGTGGTCATCAGAGGTGCTCCGTAAAACTACTGGAGTGAGCCTACTCAAGGAGACCAACGACTTCGTCTGCCTTGCAGTACCGGGCCAGTTTACTGACTTCGTTGGAGTCACCGGTTCAGTCAAGTCGGTTGACTGGACGTCACTATTTTGGAACTGTGAAAGCTCCAGCATTGACTTTCTTGCCGGCCGGCCATTTACTGTGCGCATCATTGAGCCCATTTTTGTGTGTATTACTTGAGCATCGTGGATCCATATCCTTTTAATTAAACATTGATTGTATTTTGATTGAATTGTTTGGCCAAACGAAATTGTTGTTACACAATAAAAGCTGATTGGAAATTAATTTATTGTTATTCTCCTGTGTCCTTCCCTAAACGGTTACATGCCTATAACTATTACAAAAAAAAGAGCCACTTTATACACTGTCTGCTTGAACCTTTAACTTCTACACAAAAAGAACAATGAAAAAGGTGGGTTTAAAGACAGCACAGAAAGTTAACTGTAGGTTTTATGGGCCCATATCAGTCCCGGATCCCGTCGCCAGCTCCGGGCATTAGAGGGGGCATGCACAGTACAGCTGGAGGCACACCACACAAAAACACACAAATACATATAATGTTCATGCTCATGGTTTTTGCCGGGGGAGAGAATTGCTTGCCAAGGGGCTTCCCCCCTCCCCTTAGCGACAGGCCTGGAGCTAGTAGTATCCCATAAAATAATGTGAAGTTAATCCACCAAAGTTCACAGTTATTCGCCGGGGGGGGGGGGGAAACAAGAGCTAAAAAACGTTTAAAAACTTTAAATTCATAGTATTTTACTTCGGGTCTAAAATGTATTTTTCTACTGTAGCGAGTAAAATGAGCCCAATTTAAACAATAAAATGCGAAGGCCCGAGGCCCAAGTTATTCACCCCCCCCCCCCCCAAAAAAAAAAAATACCCAGAAATATAGGTTTAAGTAAACAAAAAGTCGGTTTAGAAACTTTAAATCTGGAATTATAATAGGCCTATTAGCAGGCCCGGATTAAGTGTTTCGTAGGCCCTAGGCACCAGTGTTCAGTACTTCGCCCGGCCTCGGCACCAGTGTTCCATAGACCCTACTCCGCCCTGGCCTCAGCACGGGCACCAAAGTCATGTTAATGCTATAAGTACAAATCACTGTACAAATCAAGCCAGGCCAAACTGGTATAGGCCTAGGTGCTAGCTCTAAAAGCCTGTTGGCACCAAGGGCGTCAATCGCTTCTTAAACGTGGGGGGGGGGGGTACATAATGTGTATCTTGATCAGAACTATAAATGTGAGTGCGAAGTCTAAACGGCGTGGGGTTCGGGGCCCGCCTAAGGGCCCAGAAAAAAAATTATTCTAGACGCTCTGTGGCGCGATCTGAGGCATCATGTAAACATCGTTTTCGAGTTTGGAGTATTTGAATCAGCTATTTTGTGCTACAGAATCAAATGTAGGCTACACATTTTAATTCAGGGACAAAAATAGTTGGGGGACCGACATGTCCCCCGTCCCCACCGATCGACGCCCATGGTTGGCACCGTGCTTCATAACGACAGACATTACACGTAAATTTTATGTGTAGGGCCTACATGTATATGCCTATACATAATTATACAGCGTCAGTTGGTGAAATCGAAAATTGTAAGAGAGACCCTAAAACTTTTTGAAATCTTTTCTCTGCGCGTGGGTACGGTGTGTGTGTGCATGTGGGTATAGGCCTATGTGTGTGTTTTATGGCACACTGCTGTATTTTCGTATATACGGCCCCCAATTTTTTTTAGGCCCCCGAATTTTTCGTGGGCCTATAGGCACAGTGCCTATCATGTGCCTATTGGGTAATCCGGGCCTGCCTATAAGTGCGGTTTCTCCACCTTATGCTTTTGCCCTAAAGTTCATTTGTCTAAAGGTTTGATGTCCATTCCTGGTTCCAGTCGTTTGAGCAGAGGAACAAGCAGCATTTGTAGAGCACAGATGAAATAGATTCCAGCCAGCATGTAATATACAGAGTTGTAGCTGGAAGTCTCATCGAACAGCCAACCTGTGGTAAAACACACAATAATGGTGAACGTTTTTTTCCCCCCATACAGAGCTAAAGGTCAATAACTAAGCGTCTTCAAGATTGAGGTAAGCTCAGTAAGATCAGATGGAGCTGTATTGCCTACCACGAGGGTAACCACAATAAATACGTTTGCAAGCACTTGATTCATGTGAGCGTGTATAAGCCTTTACATTGTATAAAACCATCTTCGCATAATGAGCGCATGGCAGAAAACAATGCTCGTATATAGTATACTATGACTGGTGCGGCACCACAGCTTTCAAAAAGAACTAAAAAAGAAGCTTGCTTTACTGATACTTATTCATAAGATGGGATTTTTGCGTCGGGGCGATGTATTATCAAATATACATCATATCAAATTTAGGCTTTGCCCTTCACCGACGTATAAACACTGTATACTCAGTATGTTACCTCCCGAGTGAAAGTTGGAAAAACGTATAGTAGGCCTATACGTATATATATGAGTGATTTTTTTCCAACTTTCACTCGGGAGGTAACATACTGAGTATACAGTGTTTATACGTCGGTGAAGGGCAATGCCTAAATTTGATTTACTGATACTGACAGTGTTTAATGAGACAACACCACTTACCTGCAAGTATGGGTCCACTTAGCATTCCCACGCCCATGAAAATATGAAAAAGTCCCGTGCAGATAGCGAAATATCCCATTCCCACAAACCGCCGTGTCAAGACAACCGTAATGGCGTAAAAGGCTCCGGTAGAAAATCCCTGCACGATGGACGCAACCACCAAAACGGCGTATTCGTCGGCGTTGATAAGAAGCGAGGAAACGCCACACAGGAATAAACAGGCAGCGCTGACGTTTACAGCGGAAATCTTCCAGCTTATCAAAAGTCCGTTCCCCAGCTGACCAACAAGACTACCGATACCCAGTGCGCTGATTAGAAACGCGGCTCTAGAGGGCGTGACAACCCCAGTACCGACAGGCCCATCCTTTGAAATGCTCTGTGCACGTGGAACGATAAACACCGCAAATGCTGCATAAGGACCGGAGAATTCAAACAGGGTTAAACACAACAATGAAAATCGGTAACTTTGCAGGAAAATGTTCAATCCCAGTTCAGATGATACTCTCTTCAGGTGTTTGATAACAGGTGATTTCTCGCAGACTGGATGTAGCTTGTCTGTCTGTATCTCTGGCCCTCTGCACGGTATGGTACAGCCATCCTGCGGGTCAACAGAATCACTGCAAGTCACCATGACAGATCTGGATTCGTCATCACAAATTGGATCGTGGTCTATGTCTGTGATTCCTTCTTGGCTATCACCTGACACATTATCATGCTTTTTGAAATCGTGTGAGGTTTCAGTTCGCCTGGATCGGCGCCGATACCGAGGTCGGAGAAGTGCCCCGCATACCACGACATTGGCCACGATTGCAGATATGACTAAAACGGCGCCCCTCCATCCGTAAGAATCCAGAAGTTGTTGAAATACCGGAGGCAAAGCCATTATTCCTGTCCCTATACCGGAGAAGGCCACCGCATGAGCTACTTTGTATTTCCTTTTAAAATACATAGCCACTGCCACTAATCCAGCATTGAATGATATCCCAAGGCCAGCACCTATAAACCAGAAAAGGTCAAACCAAGTTCTCTCCGTAATAGTTTTTACTTTCAAACTTTTACACCATATGAAGTATACACCTCAGTCACGAGGAAGCCATATTTGATCGTGTTCCCTGAATGTATTTTATAAATTGTAAACTGTTGAATTGGATGGTGCCAGACTATTTATACGTTCCAAGCCTCACTTTCAATTGGTTTTTAAATGTGGCTAAAAATGTAGGGGATGTTTAATCAAACATTTGAAATTATTCATCAGAGCAGACTGATAATAATTTGTAATAAACTTTATGTCATGGCCATCATTTCTATTCACAAGTTCAAAAAATGAAGATTTTACCTCGCTTTCAATTGAATATGGTCGACTTGTGAATACAGACCCGGTGAAAATCCAATCAGAATATAGAAACCTAATTTGTATAGTGAAATTACCTGCTATTGAAGCCGTTATGTACAAGTGGAATATGCTGCTAACCCAAGCGCTACAGAACATCCCGAGAGCAGTCGAAGTTCCTCCGACTATTGCAGAGAATCTACAACCGTAGCGTGTCGTCAGAACTCCACCTAACAGGACTGCCATAAGATAATGATATGAGCTGTTGCGATAATAAAAAAAAAAGGTATGAAGTGGAACAACTGCAACAGTTAAATACCGGTACACTTTTGAATGACTGTAACAAGATAACAGATCGAAAGGATTAATCTTCACCTAAATTATTTCGAGTAGGTCCTAATATTTTCTCGCGCTATGATTTTGAGTTTCCCATCTAAATTGCTTAGTCTATGTAATGTAATAATATTTGAGCAGATTCGCTGATTAATTATGCAAGACAACCGCATCTTGACCTCTAGATTTTGACCAATCAGCGGGCGCTTTCTATATCGGGTCTACGGTCATTCACCGTTGTCGCGTCATAGATATGGATACAAAAGTACCCTAAACACTGCAACAAAGGCTGTGGTCACGCGCTCTGTATTATGTTACGCGAATACGCGCCCGGCTGTCGTTGTATTACAAAACACTGCATTCGAATTGACCAATCAAACGTTTAGTCCTGATTTGGGAACGAAATGACGTCACGATTTAGTAAAGTCGGCTCCGATTGGCTGAGGTGCGAGATCGCATAAATATGCATGCTTTGACATATCAGACGTTGTACAGGAGACTTGGCTCCGTATTGTCGTCATTAGGAGTACAATATTTCCACACTACCGTATTACACCTATTATAGATGTATGAACCATGTACTTTTGGTCGCACGTGATTGATTTTTTTGATATGTGTGTTAATTACGGTAAACGATAATTTTATTAGTGAAGAGTCCAAAGGCATTTTATGTGTTTGTGTAATACGTAAAAATGACAAACGGGTGAATATTAATACAAGTCATGATATTCGCTCTTTTATCAACTGAAGTATATTCGCCTTTTTGCAGTATATGGCGCATGGCAGGACCAATAGGAGGGGCTATTTTGGACTAACTAAACTCTTAGCGCCCATATTGTGTACATTGTCATGCCGGTGCCATGCCGCTCAGTTAAACGAGATAACAATGATATAGTCTATACCGTATTTAGGCACATCCTTTCCATAAAAAAAAAAATCGGTTTTGAAACAAGAGCCTAACCGCAGTGCAACTGTGAAAACCATACAAACATGTGGGGATGCTGCGTAGCACTGTAGAGCATTTAAAATGTCAATAGTAAAAGTGAAACAGTGCTCACCGGATACCCAAGCTTTCGGTGCGATGGACCTTCGTCAGGGGAATTATAGAATCATATATACATGTTTACTGTAATAAACACGTGAAAACCATACATACTGAAACAATGTACATGGCTTGTATTACCAAAATGACAGATGATGATGATCTCTTACCACTGAAGCAGGAAACAGCCGTTATGAGGCTCTGTACTGCCGCTGTCTCCTTAGCACTGGCTTCAAACTCCGTTTTCCAGCTCAGATACAAGACTCCAAATCCTCTCATCAAACCGAATAGAAAGGCGAGCTTCAAATGAGCTGCAATGACCACTACTATGCCCCATCCTCCCTCAGCTGGGATCGGCCTAGATCGTTTCTGGGCCACAATGGTGCTCCGCATTTTGGTATAGCTATTGCAGCCAGATTCTCGTAAACAAAATTGGTAGACAGAGCGCCTGGTGAATTTATATACTGCCAAGTCTTCCGTGTTCACAGCATATATGCAACATGCTAGTGCAGTATAAAATACACTAAAATAATGGTGCTGTTTGGTTAATCTTCCCGGGGAAGCACAGACGTGAAATACAATGCTGCCCCAAAGTCCGTATTTTGACCTTTGATTTCATATGGCCTACGTTCAACCATAGCAGCCAAATGCTGAACTATGGTCAAATGACATTAAACATATAAAACAAGTTGAACATACTTAAAAAAAAAAATTAAAAAAAAAGAGAGAGGATATTACAATGACATTGAAAAAACAAATAATCAGTTATGTGTCTTGGAGATAAAATTGACTTTAACTAGAGTTGTGTTTACAATTGGGAAATATTAATTAAAAAAATCTTTTGAAGAAGAAGAAAAATGTTTCTGCACCAGGCGGATTAACAAAAATTAAAAGGTATTGCTTTTAAAACGTGACTAAGCTTTGCAACACTGTGAAGATTACTTTCTATTAAAAAGAAAAACAAAAAAAATTACATGAGGCACAATAATTTCTTGGAAGAAAATACAAATACATGTAGTGCTCAAACAGTGTTTGACAGTTGTTCATTTATATAAAGACCATTCAGGGATGGGATATTGCACTGTTTCTGAATTAGCGCTCAGTCAGTCCTGCATCTGATGTTTACAAAGAACTGTTGTGCCTTGTATTCAGGGTGATTCCAAAAAAAATGAAACCCAAATGGCAACCTCTATTTATTTTTTTAAAAGGAAGTTCTGCATGTAGTGCTCTCAAGATCTACAATAGAAAAGCCCAATAAGCTTTCCTTTATTTAAAGAATCATTCAAATCACTCACGTATACTTTTGCGGTTATAGAATTTTAAACACAAACACAGTTTTTAACGTTGTCCACAGATCATATTAAAGGTAAGTGATTTTTCAGCAAAACGAAAACTATTTACATATAAAAAAACTATTCACATAAAAAACATGCACATCAGAACACTCTTATAACCAAGATAACTGGCACTTATTATAACATTATTTTATTGAAAAACCTGCTGCTTCCAATACAGCTTTATAACGTCAAGATCAGGACACGACATAGTTTAATTTTCAGGTTAAAAAAAACCCGGTGTTTGTGTTCAAAATTCCATAACTCAATTCACTAAAAGAAAGCTTATTAATTGGGCTTTCACATCTGGAAATCGCTAGTGCAGAACTTTAATAAAAAAAAAGGGGCACTATTTGGGTTTCCATTACTTTTTTACTCACCCTGTATGTAGGCTGCCCTCGTTGGAATAGGTATTGAAAGGTCGCCAAACTGATTGTGTAACGTCGTCGATCACAGATTCAGTTACGAAGATTATTCTGTGTAGTTTTGTTTGGCTAATGGAGCTCACAAGAAACAAGCGTATGCCACAATTCTTCAAAACTGGGACATAATGTTATTATGTGCAGGCTGAGACTGCGCAGTAATCGCGACAAGACGTATAGGCAAGATAATTTAACTATGATGATAGCATCGATCCACATTGTTATTTTAGTATTATCCATTAATGGAATGTGTAGTATTTTATTAGTATAATGTTGAACTACTGTATCACTATAATAGATTCCATTTGTGGATGGCACTAAACTGTGTTGTGACTTGCCTGACTTGACTAAACATTCAGTCCCACTCATCGACGTTTCTATCGACGGATATTCTCCAATAAAATTTGGCTTGGTGTGCCTCACTTTTTTGGCTGCTTCATGTTTTCTTATAAACTTTTTAAAACACTTCAGACGTAGCTCGGCCGAGTGACATTGTATGATCTTCAAACAAAATACCGTATGCTGAAAATTCGAGATAATTATCTTGTTTTGCGAGAAATAATCCATAGGCATTATGAGTGCTTATATAAGGAGCGAATTGGGTGATGATAATTAATTGCACTACTGGAAAAAAACTCCATGTCTTCAACTCAAAAACACATTTTGACAACATATTTCGTTCTCAAGTTAACCTGCTTGCGCCTTCGTATGGCTGTGGCTTTCGTATTGTCGCGCCTAGACTCCTAGCCCAGATTCTGGCCGTTATTTTATTTTTTTCTGTAGGCCCTGCTGTCCATACTTATTCAATTGTTTTCCTTGAACGCATTTTTGTTTGTCTTTTGGGGGTGTCTGCACCCCTCTGAGAAAGAGAGTTTGTCGGTGACTATGTTATTTTCTAAAGGTATGGTTGCAGACCAGTAAATTGGTCCGAAATTGCCTACGCCGGCCAAATCTCGATTTGCATGCCCTCAAAATCTTCAGTATTTGAGCAAAACCATGAACTTGAGGGTTTGTAAAAAAAAAAAAATATGGGTGGAAGCCGAGCATAGGACTGGGAGCTTGCAGTTCTGTGTAATTTGGATGTAATTTGGACCCTAAAAGCGCTCTATTTTGCAATGGAGTGTATGCATCGTTGTTCAAAATGGCGATGGGCTTCAGGACTATTTTCAGGGGTGATCATCTTCGGATGGAAATTTCTCCTAAAAGTCATCAGTTGACCCCCAAAAAATTTAAAAGAAAATGAAAGATGATGAAAGCTTTTATTTGATGTGTGTCTCGAACAATACTAAACTGCGTCAACAAGCGTCAACAAGCGTCAACGGTCGTCAGCAAGCATCAACAAATGTTGTATATGCTTTTGAACATTAGGGTTAGGGTTAGGGGTTAGGGTTTTCAAATAATTTCAACTTTAATTGATATGCAGAAGATGTTCTTTATTGCTTTTTCTACCATATAAAGCTACTTTCAATGTTCAAAAGCATATATACAAAATTTGTTGATGCTTGTTGACGACCGTTGACGCTTGTTGGCGCTTGTTGACGCTTGTTGACGCAGTTTAGTAGGACCTATTGAATAAACCAGGGAGCCGGTGTCACATGAAAATCCGACTCCTATGAAAATCGGACCCCTTTTCCCTATTATTGGTTAATCCCTCTCACGTGACCGGTCACTTTCCAAATTACCATACTTACGCATGCGCGTTATGACCAATGAGTCCGAATTTCATAGAAACGTAAATGCACGCTACACCTGCAGAGGCGGACGGACTTCATTGCATCGGGGAAGATCAGACAGTCCGCTGATAAAAGTGAAACAGGGGTCATGGTGGGGAAGGGCGCCCCATTGCGTTGGATAGGTAAAAATCAGATTTGCTCCATGTACTAAAAGTGATAAACTTAGTTGAGCAAAGCCGCTATATTTTTTGGTAAAATCATGCAGATATGTAACATTTTAAAGCAGTTTATTCTCTGATTGATAGAGCCTTAAAAATGGATAGTGCATTACGGACACACTCTCGCAAAATGTGGTCCAGCAGCTTTCTATACAAAAACCTCGTTGTCTTGGGGTTTTGTACGTAAACCTTATCAGTCAGCCGATCACGCTCAATTGACTTCGGCCAAACCGCAGTCCCATCATAAGAAATAAGTTAACAATGTTATCCGAACCATTTTTTCCGAGAGTGTGTCTCTAATGGTACAGTTTTATTGTACAGGAACGTTACATGACAGATACAGGATTCAGAGATATGGGGTGGTAATTTGAAACACCCCCCCCCCCAAATATATATATATATTTCCACTTTTCATCATATGTATTATTGTTTATGGCTTATTCTCAAAAGGATTTTTTTGTAAGTACACAATATATTAATGAAAGGAATTGTTAAAATAATTAATGACATTATTTTTCTTTCTCAGGAATTTGCGTATTTGGTGTTTTTTTTACAGTGAACAACGCTTGTAATGTGACATGAAAAGCATTTTAAAATTAATTATTTTTATACCGTAAAAAAATGAAGGGGATCATATAAGGAATTAATACACTGATGCTCATATGAGCAATGGGTTCTACTTAGAAAATGATTTTATTCAAAAATAAAATGTGGATCATTGCGAAAAACTTGAAGCTGGTTTCCATATTTGAAAAATTGCAGGAAAGTTTTGTAAAATTTGAAAGCAATTGCCGCGAGACTCCTTATCGTTTACATTGCAGGTCTCCTCACCCAAACTTACATTTAAATTGTATTCTCTGATACTGATAAGCATTGCCGAATCTCAACATGTTACTATATTCACTGACAGGTCATTTGTTTGTTCAGTTATTCATTCCTTTATTCATTTCTTCATGTTTTTAAAGTTGTTTTTCTCTTTCATCAATGGAAATCCTGCTCGCATTTTACACCCGAATCGGGTCGATGTTGTCATTTACGTGTAGATGTAGCCTCAGTGGCGTGCCAGGGGGCACGTGCCCCCCCCCCCCCCCTGGAAAACCTAGTGCCCCCCCCCCCCCCCCGAGTGCCCCCCCCCCCATCTGAGATTTGGGTTGGTTAAAAAATATATATATTTTGTTATATTCAACTCCCATCATCTGAGTTGGTTTTTCAGATCGAATTTAGCATCAAATGTGGCACCATTTTGCATCTAGCCCATCCTCCGTATGCGAAAAATTTCTAAAGGGGAGGGGGGCACCTTAGACCCCTCCCCCAGGACGGCGATCCGTATCCACCTAAGTGCCCCCCCCCCATCAAATGCTGGTGCCCCCCCCCCTGTGCCCCCCCCCCCCCCCCCCCCCCCCAAGACTGAAAAATCTGGTGACGCCACTGTGTAGCCTCACACGCGTTTACCTACTTAACACTAGGGCGATCGTGTTTCATAGGTCTCTGTACAAAAAGATACCCAGTGTCCAATCCTTTGCTCAGGGTGACCGTTTTAGCCGATTTTCGGCTAACTTTGACAGAATTTTTGTTAAAAAAACGAGTTTGACAGAAAATTTGACAGAATGAATTTTTTGGCAGATTTCTGGCAGAAGTCTGCAAAAATGGTTATTTGACAGGAAAACATTAAATTTGAACAAAATGGTACATTTGTTAAAAAAGCTTCAATCCTTTCAAACAAACCCGTACCCTTGCATAAAAGGGACAGGTTGGCTGGTCTAGGTGCTGAGGTTCACTTAGTCCGAGTAACTTGGACCCAACTTATCGCCTTGTTAAAAAAGGCGATAAGTTGGGTCCAAGTTACTCGGACTAAGGTTCACTGGGAAACGGACTTCGTCGTGGCCGGATCCGTTTGCCCGAAATTTACGCGATAATTTCACAACATCTTTATGAGACTATAGATTGTTTATAATGTAATTTGAACCTCAATTAAGGCAAAAGTACCAATCTGCATGTGATTTTTTTAAGTGTTTATAGTGTATTTCGACTTTTCGAGTAATTCTGGGGAATTTGGCAGATTTTTTTATAAATCTGACAGATTTTTGATGTGCATCTAGCAGAATTTGGCTCTGACCTTACGGTCACCCTGCCTTTGCTGCACTCACATGACGAGTACAAGAACTTTAAGATTAGAAGTCAAGTTCTCGAAATTTGTTTTGTTGTTTTTCCGGATTTTATGAGAATACATGTAGTACAAGATGGCAGATCGGGTTCAGGACTACGGGCCCATGTCACCCGCGTGCGCTCGAGCGCTGAGTGATAAAATGTACGAGAAAAGGAAAGGAGCGGCTTTGGAAATCGAAAGGTAGGCCAACGTAAATAAACGAATGCACATTGCCATTTGGCATTGCCATTATTAGGCAGTGTATATTTTGCCGGAGAGGGCAAACCTTTACTAGTTTGCCCATGGAGGAATAAGACACACTTATTCCTCCATGGTTTGCCGGATATGCACTGAACATGCGCAGTTACTGTTTTTTTTTGTACTTGAACATTTTCCGGTGACAAATTTTAGTCTGGCTCCAAAATTATCGTTGTAACCTCGTATTCACAAGATGGGATTCAGACCATTTTATAATTTCGGACTTTATTTTCCTTTAAAAAAAATACTCCAGAGCCACAAATCTGAAAAAGAAAATGTAATACTCTGCAAAAAAATGTTTGAGACATGTTAAAATAATAAAAGAAGAATATTCTTATTTATTTGGGGATGAGAAAAAAAAAAAACTCAAAAAATGTGCTGCGGTCGGAATCGAACCCGAGTTATCCCGCTTACTAGAGCCTTTGCTTAACCACTACACCAAACGTGCTACACAAGGTTTGGTAGGAATTTAATACATCTTATAATTCAGCCCTATCTTAAAGAGTACAGCGGCTGCGCCCTCTGTTGATATGGATTGCCGCCGGCAAACCTTTAGTAAACGTTAGTTTGCCGTCATTACTTCCGGCAAATATCCACTATCTTAATATTAGCCCCATAATCATCACCTGATCACAGTGATCATGCTGTTTGTTGTGTCTCATCTTTAATTATTACAATCTAATCATGACTTACCTTATTGTGAGCCCCACAGCAATGCGTGCTAAATTTCCCAAAAAGTTATGTTCCTTTATTTAACTTAAAACATGTAAAACATAAACGCTAGATTGTTTTTGCACTTGATTATTGCAAAAATTCGCTGCTTTTGCCTGCTTTTACCGGGTTAAAAAAAAATCAATGGAAAAGGGAAAGAATGTTGCAACCTGACACCACTTTTTTCTTCATATAATTCATCTCAATAAAGGTAATTCATTGCAAAAATGATGATAAGACATGCATCTGGGACTGAGAAACATTTCCAATTTGTTAGGAAATACTTTAAAAATTCATAGACTTTGTACACAACCGCTGAAGTGGCGTCAGGTTGCAACATTCTTTCCGGGAAAAGATAACATTTCCCAGGGGAAAGATTTCCGTACCTGGCCATCACTAATGTTTCCCTGCAGTGACCTATCAGCCATCATAAAGTGGTAATATCTCCTAAAAAGTCAAATTTAGCAGGGAAAATATTGAAGCATTTACTGAGAAAACACTTATAATTTTTCAGACCAGTCTCGTAGGGTTTGTAAAGTGCACAGGGTGACAAATGATGTCCAGGTATGGAAATCAAATTTTAAGGGGGGCGATTTAGATAATATTTGTCCGAAATGATGGCATAACATTAGACCATGAGCAGATGAGAATGAAATGTTAGATTTGAATCTGAACATTTTTGGAAAAGTCAAGAGGACCTTTTTTCATTGTTCATTATTTTTCATTCTGAAGTTCAAGTTCAGTTTCAGATGACTTTTGGTGTACTTGTACATTTCAAATTAGATCGGCAAATTGCAGTTCTGACATTGTCTTAACATCTATACTTTAGCATAGTGATTCATTTTAAGCAGAAATATGGAAATTTTTACAACGGAGTGCCCAAAATGTTGCAGATTTGAATCATGCTTTAGTAAATTTTCCTCTTTCAAAGAGAAATTTGTTTTTAGAAAACCTAAAAAATAACGGGGAATTGCCTTGAATATCTTCAGATTGGTGCGAGATTTAATGCAGTCGAACAGCACAGACCAGATTGACAAACTCCTACACATTCTGGGCACAGAGTTTGCATTGTCTGCTAATGGCCACGCTCGTAAGGGAGGATTGATTGGGCTCGCAGCTCTGGCTATTGGTATGGGAAAGGTAAGAGATTGCCCAAGAACTGTAAGGTTTAGCATCATCTTTGACTCTTTGAATATGAAGTAAATTGCATCCAGAGGGAATTTTAAAAATGTGCTATGAAATATACAGGGTGAGTAAGAAAACCGAAACCCAAATGTCAGGACCATTGTTTTAGTCAAGTTCTGCATGTACATGTAGCACTTCCAAATCTAGGATATGAAAGCGCATAAGCTTTCTTTTAGAACAAGAATCATTCAAATCACACGTGTACCTTTAAACATAACCACCGTTTTAAAGTTCTGTCCTAGGATCACACAAAAAAGGTGTGCGTTCTTTCAGCAAAACGAAAACAATTTACATAGCATGCATAGGGATGTGTATGTTTTAGACAACCAGTCACTTAAAGACGATGAAATTAAATTGAATGACAGTTAGCCCATAATGTGATCTGAAAATTGTACGAGAGACATTAGAGAAACTTGGCACTTTATTATTTTTTTTAAAAATGTTGCCAGGATTCAACTGCTTACTTACCTCAACTGATCCAACCTGTCATCGCCTGCTTCAGTGATCCTGACAACAGAACCAGGTACTTCGCCTGTGAGGCGTTGTACAACATTGTGAAGATTGCACGCAGTGCAGTACTCTTGCACTTCAACACAGTCTTCAGCATACTTAGTCAGGTATCTGTTCTAGATTCTTTTGTAATATTTTCCCAAATTAAAGAAGTCCTCCCTTCCCGTTTACACTCATCTTAAACTCTTCAAAGGCATATAGGATCATTTGCTTTTGATGCATTTTGTTTGTTTACAATAATAAACCGCTCAAAATCCAAAGACTAATGCCCAAAATCTAACCTGTTGAAATTTTGCCCAGTGGATACTACACTTTTTGAGAAAACAGTGATAAACAATGCACAATCTTTTGATCACAGAACACGATTTCGTCAATAGCACTCTTTATTTAAAAATCAGTCAAAATTGACCGATTGTTGAAATTCAACTACATTTCTTGATTTGTTCTAAATGATGGCAAGCCAGACAGAATAATTTCACGGGGTGTTTAGTACCAGTACGATCTTAGTAGGCTTTTGGATTATAATTTGATAGAAGACATTTCGGATCAATGCAAATGATCACGCTTATAAACCCTAAGTATCAAACATTCATCAAAATCCATTTCCCAGCCACAATTGCACTCTCTGTGTTGTAATGGTATTTCTACCTGTTGTATCTAATTTGGTTGCTTTTTCCCAATTCAGTTAGCGGCTGATCCGGACATCAACGTTAAGAATGGATCGGAACTCCTTGATAGACTTATGAAGGTGAGCTGAGTACTGATAACTCAACAGTATAGACCATTATCATGTTGCGGCCATCTTGATTTTTCCCATTCAAATCAACGTAACCAAAGCAAGGCTGGAAGGAAAAATAGTCTGGCTCCTTTTTGCACAAAAACCATTATCATTCAGTACTATTATTAGATACAAGGAACATGACTAAAATGGTGGCAGCATGAATAAAGGTCTGTTGCCGAGGACAGTGGTCTGATCACCAGGCATACCTAAGGGTGGCGCTCCCCGCACTGACTGGAAACTTTGAGAAAATTCCCCCAGGCTGAAAAAATAGTGCACCTCTATAAAACTGTGTGCTACATGGAATATAAGAGTCAATTTGGCTTCCCTCGGCCTGACAGAATCCCCAGTCTTATCTTTGTCAAAAGCCATCAGTTTAAATTTTCCCCACCCTTCATGAAATCCTGCTGACACCGCTGACTGATGACAAGCAGGGGTGTGTGTGCATGGGGAGTGGCCCTCAAAAGATAGCAAATCTCCCATTATTCCTGCAATACAAAAGGTTTTTCCTGAATCTAGATTTAAAGATGTATTGTCCATGCTATTTTATAGATCTTCTCCCCCAAACATGACATGTTCTTATAAGAATATAAATGTATTTCACTTTTAATGAAACATTTTGCTGAAAATTGGCTTACTTAAAAATTACTTTACAATTTCTTAGTTATATGCGGTAGACTGGTTCCTGCCCTCATATCAGAGTTGCTAATGTAGGGACCAAGATCAGTCTACTCACATGGTGGATCTATGTTTTGTGCAAAAATAAAAGTCTCTTTCAGAAGGTTGCATATGCCCACAATAAAAAACACCTAGTTTTCTCATTTAGATTAAACGTATCAGTTTAAAAGCTGTAAGGAGAAACTAATTTTGGAAAAAAAAAAAAAATGTTGAATAGCACAGCCAGTCATCTTTCAATTTGTGATCAAATCCCTGTGAAGTTTTTTAAGAAGTGACATTAATGTTATGTGACATTGGCCACATCTTTATTATTCTCTATTCACTGACAGGATATTGTGACGGAAAGCCCTGCCTTTGATTTGGTCGCCTTTGTTCCTCTTCTAAGAGATAGAATTTACTCCACCAACTCCTTTGTCAGACAGTTCCTTCTCTCGTGGGTAAGTGGAAGTGTCGGTGCTATTTATGAAGGCTAAACCCTTCCTATTTGAAACACTCTTGCAGAAACATTCCCCCCCCCCCAAAAGAAGATGTTCCATAACATTGTTGTACTTGGAGCCTTGCCATCTTCCAAGGTAATAATTAAGAAATAGACGTAGAATCTGAAGGAGTGTGGAACTGAATAAAAAATATGGCTGAAGAGCAGTCTTAGCTGTAGCCCTGGCTTCAGCCCAGATTTTACCCCGGACTTCAGGCATACTTTATTAACCCTAACTCCCTACTGTCTTTTACTAAATGTAATTTCTGGATCCAGTCCACCAAAATCCATCAATCACATTCCAATGCATGCTTTGCTTTACGCCTCCAGGCCCAAGTCCATCATACTCCATCAATATTTAGTCAAACCAGGCCTGCAGGACCAAGTCCCCCAAAAATCCACCAAAATGGGGGGATGGATTTTGATAGAGTTGAAGAGGTTAGGGTTAAAGGTCCTAATGGTCTTCGACACACCAGGTCCAACTGAAATAATTTCCATGTTTTCATACACTCAACCAAAAAAAGAAAGTCCCCCCTTCCAATACTTTTTTGTCTAACTCAAAAATTACTAAGCCCCTCTCACTCAAATAACGACTAATCAGTACAGAAATTCCTTAGCAATCCAGCCATACTCTTTATTTGGCCCAAAACAGTGCTAATGTGTACGAATTTATGCAGTTTGTGACAAATGATACCGAAAACAGTTGCACTTTTGTATACGTGCAAGTTGTGGTTCACACTCACCTTGTAGTATACAAAAGTGCCACTTTTTTGGGTACCATTTGTCATAAATTGCATAAATTTGTGCACATTACCACTGTTTTGTGCCAAACAAAGAGTATGGCTGGATTGCTAAGGAATATCTGTACTGATCAGTTGTAATTTGAGCAAGATGTGCCCAGCAGTTTTTGAGTTAGACAAAAAGGTGTTAAGGGGGACTTTCTTTTTTGATTGAGTGTATTTTGGGATTCCTTCTTAGATCACCACATTGAACTCAGTACCAGACATCAATCTCCTCGTCTACCTCCCAGAGATTCTGGACGGAATGTTCCACATCTTGGGAGATGCCAACAAAGAAATCCGAAAAATGTGAGACACCATTCAGCTTGGGTTCATGTATTGTAGTATATTCTTCCCACGGCGTCATTGCATACAGGGCCTTTCAAAAACAGGTGGTAGAGAGGAAGAGAGTAGTTTCCACTTTGAATTGTGTGCAGGAATTATAGATGAAGGAAGGACACATCATGGTGGCGCATTGGTTTGTGCACACGTGTGACAGGCTGTCATATTTCACATGGGTCACTCTCAAAACCTTTTAGAGTAGGAAAATGTCAAGTGTGCTAGGGGTGTGCATCGGATACCCGAGTACCTGGCCGCTCATGTCAAGAACCGTTTCAGATCGAGTACCCGTAACCAACTTTACAAATTACTTTGTAACTTTTCAGACAATGAAAACGAAAAGGTTTTAAATGCCACTTTTGGAGAATTTCAAAATTAAAACCAGGCTACATGGAAAACCAAAACAGATTTCACGTTTATGTGCATTTTGCCTTACAGTTGATGTACGCGAAAGTTGCAGTTTACCTCGTAAAGCTGTACAGCCCTTCAGACTACCTCTGGGATTTGAATTTTGGGTTGTTTTTTTACGGGTATCCGGGTACCTGTGTTTTACTCCAATAGGGTACCCTGTTCCTGTACTACCTGAAAATGCACACCACTAATGTGCGCATAGCACTGGAGTCAAATTTCTCGAATATTAAATGTTGTTAGGCCTAACTGGCATGCACAAAATGGCTGCTGAAAATAGCAAAAGGCAATTCAAATTATTTTTGGATGTGGAAATTTGTGTTAAAATTTAAATATTTTTGTTTATCTATAAAATAATGACAGTTTATACATAAAAAAAAATAAGAATCAAGATTTTGTAAATATTCCATTTGGAACTATGAACTTTGAACTTTGACCTTGCAGGTGTGAATTCTGCCTGGATCATTTCATGAAGGAGATGAAACAACTGCCGTCCAGTGTGGATTATGCGTCAATGGTTAACATACTCATAGCACACAGCCAGGCACATGGTAGGTCAGAAGAATAAAATACTGCCCTTTTGCGGTCATCACGCACAACCCAAAGGGGCAGATAAACATAGGCTGATGACCCTAACTCACTGGGTGTTTTTGCTAGGAACCCGACGGAATCCTCCAAAATTCTCCACTGTGAATCAGATCAATTATTTTTTCCTTTCGGACTCAATCCCATGTGAATCCTAAGCTTTTATTCAGGGGTGGAGAAAAAAATGATATCATGAGACCTGTTGGCTCCGTGCGCCAACAAAAGAGGGCACCTTTTTACCTTTTTTGAGAGCCCCTTGAATTGGACGGGACACAGTGCATACTGTACTCTACTGGTTCGTGCGCGTAGTACGCACGACTACCTGAATGTGCCAAAGCTATTAGCCACAGCGTCTTCACGTGAGCGTCAGGCATTGTCGTCGCGCAAATACATTTGATTTTGACTTGTGATGGTCCCCCAGACTAATCCCTACCCCCCAATAACTTTGGATCATTCGAAATACGCAGTGGATGGACCGGGAGCCAGTCTAAGTCTCCCCCAACTCTCCTTTTCTAGCCGTTGAAGGAGTACTTGTGCACGGAGCCTATTGTTGGCTGGAACGTTATGATATAAGGTATTCAAAATTCAGTGGAAAGACATTTTTAGCAACTAGGCAATACCGTAAGTACGGGCGTACATGTCAGGCACTTTAATAAGCTGCTGTTGGAAAAGTAAATGTGATACATCACTAATAATGTGACATCTATTGAGTAGAAAGCAGTTACAGACCAAACTAAGGTACCACCACCTTAAGGACCTTGTACATGTTCATCATGTGGCCGGTCGTACATCGGATTTTAGGGACTTGCCCAACTTCATAATGTTGCCTCATCACATAATTTCGTTAAGAATAATTTCAGATATGTTACACTGTCAGTTGCTAAACTGCCATGGGTTGGCTTTCAAGTTTGAGCAATTTTAAGCAAGGACAATGGATGAATTCTGAATTAACCTATTTTTCGATAAAAGAAATTCTTGATTTGTCTTTATATTGGTTTCAGATGAGGTCATCCAGCTGACTGCCATCAACTGGCTGTTGGAGTTTCTGAATCAGGCGGGACGTACCATGATACCCTTCACTTCGGGATTGCTCAATGCCACAGTGCCATGTATGGCATATGATGATGTACAAAGGAAAAATATCCTTTATTACTTTTAGGTGCTAATCTGGAGCCAAAGGGGTCAAATCACAAGATACCCTCTGGCAGTCTCGTTCAAATCACAAATCCAACATCTTGATGTGAACATTCTGAATGATTAATAATAATAATGATTATAAAGCAGGCATTTACATAGCGCTTTTACGCCACAACGAGGTATCAAAGCTCCTTACAATTATTATTTTCCCTGTTTCAACGGGCACACACTCATGAAACCTGTTCAACTCCCTGGGGAGCATACACGGCCGGTAGGCAGCCATTTCTGCGCTCTTGGCCGTAATCAACCTCCCATAGACACCATCTCTGCCCTCACAGGTACCCATTTATTCCTGGGTGGGGAGAAGCAATGAGTGACAAAGTGCCTTGCCCAAGGGCACACGCACCTTGACCCCGGGCTGGACTCGAACCCACAACCTGCAGAATTACCAGCAGACCACAAATTCAATGCTCCAGACCACTAGGCCACGGCACTCCACCATGTCCACTGATTGAGATTGTACTTTTTATTTGTAAAATGAACTTACACGGAAAGACAAATCACACAGAAATATGTAGTGGTGTTAATTTTTGCTTTATAGCTGCTTTCCTTAACAGTTGATTGCTCCTTTACGCATCAAAGAAGCAGCTAAACTAGTCAACCAAAACCTTATGAGGCTCATTACCACAGAGGATGACAAAGATAATGACGAACTAGAGGACAAACCCCAGCACACAACACCCTTGGGCCAAAGGTGAACCTAATAGGGTTTGGATTGGATATAAATCCGTACAAACATATTATTTGGAAACCGAGTTGGCATAGACCATGTGCCCTTTAATGCCATGTCAACAGGCAAACGCTGGGCGACATTGAAGCATCTTTTGCATTTTATTTAGCCCACATTAACCGAAAATTTTGATTTTCGCAAAAGGCAAAATTCCCAGCCAACTTCTGATACACGGCCAAACGCCACAGAGTCATTTCAACAGTAATTGTACGATTTTTCTTGCCAACATCTGTTTCAATACTCCGGGGTGTGCACTGGAGCGTAAATTGTACAACAATAGGCCGTGCACAACGGCCAATTCAGGATCCACAACACATGGTCCGCCTCCACAGACTTCATGGAACCTGTGTGTGTGTGTGTACAAAAGGCACGAGGGATTAGCATATTTAGACGTGACCCGGTGGCAAGTCGAGGCAATCTTGACGTCTTAACCCGTCAGCCGTGCCTGTGTACAAAAACAGCCAGTGCGTGTTATCACGTCCTCTGACGCAAACTGGTTAAACAGTGTAATGTCAACACTTTTAAACTGATCACACATCAAGAGATACACATGCAGTGCAGAAGGGAATAATTTGCTATAAGTTGGCAACACGTAACCATATAACACTCAATTTTGTAAGCAAAGGTCTTTAGGTTAATGACATTTGACTAACACCCCTTCAACAATTTGGGTAACTAGCCAGTTACTGTTCCTTGCGCACACAAAAAGTGGAAAGGAATCCTACCGACTAATTTAATGATTCAAAGTAGAAGGCTTTGTACAATGACGTTGACTTTTGTGTGATTTACTCTCTCCTTTGGTTTCAACCCCTCCAATATCCAGAGCGATAAGATTGGACATAGCCCCAACGGTTGACGTAATAACAAGGTGCATGCAGCATGATTCCATGCAGTGTAAGATCACTGCGCTGAGATGGACCTATCACTTACACATGAAGACACCAAGGAAGGCAGGTTTGATTTTTAAAAACCAGTCTTACATGTATTTTCCATTTTATTTTGGGTGTTTGGAGAGGAATTGATATTACTCCAATGCATGCTGCGATCGCAGGTTAAGAGTCATGAAAAAATTGAATGAGCTCCATTCATATATACAAAAATGCACCCACTCTTGTTTTACATTACTCCCGAGGACATTGCTTTGTGTTTCCCTTTGTCCCTGTAATATAACACTCTCCCACTACAGAGGACCGTTTTGAACAAAAGACCCAACTCCCTAGGACTGAAAGGATCTGTTGTTCTCACTTTATGTGTCGGTCCTCAGGGTTATGTAGAACACCTGCATATACGTGTCCATTTGTAGGACTGTTTAGAGCCGTCTTTCATACTGTTGTCACTTTTGTCTGGAAATTGAAAACCCTATTGTCTGTGCATCTTAATATTTGTTTGAATTTGACTCGTACATAATGAATAACATGGGTATGAATATCATTACAATTTGATATGGCTAAATTTTGTAAATATCAGGGCTTCAAGCAAGGATGGTAGATTATTTTTTGACAAATGTTTCATTTCTTTGATCAATTGGCAGATTTTTCAGCATGTTGAAGACATATTCCCAGTACTTGTAAGAACACTGTCCGATGTCTCAGATGAGGTGAGCATTGTTCAGTCCAACTTCTGGCCTGTCTTACATTTAATCATAATAGTGGGTATTTATAAAGCGCACATATCCACCAGGACTGGTGCTCAAGGCGCTACATCATTATTATTACCCCTGCTCATTGGGCCCATGAAACATTCCAAATACCATCTCACTCAGCTCCCTGGGGAGTATACAGCTCAATGCTGCCTGCTAGGTGCAAGGAAGCTACTTCAATCACAACAACCATGTCTGCCCTCACAGGCACCCATTTACTCCTGGGTGGAGAGAAGCAATGAGTGACAAAGTGCATTGCCCGAGGGCACACGCACCATAGCCCCAGGCTGGACTCAAAACCCACAACCTGTAGCTTTACCCGCAGACCACGAATCTAATGTCCTTAACCACGAGGCCACAGCACTCCATCGTATTTTTACTAGTTATTCTGAAGACATTCATAATATAGTAATTGAAACATTGAGCGGTTTACCTTTTTTTTGGTATTGTTGGAAATGCTCTTCACCAGGTTGTATTACTAGATCTTGAAGTCTTAGCTGAGGTGGTTTCATCGCCGGCTGGACCGGCAGCAACTGCGCAGACAACAGAGGGCGCTAGTCAATCAGACCAGAGGGGTAAATCAGCCTCTGCCACCAATGCTTACTTCCATAAGTTCATGACTAATCTTCTGCAGCTCTTTGCATCCGACCGCCAGCTCTTAGAAGATAGGGGGTCCTTCATTATAAGGTGAGTGTCATCAGGTATCACTCATGAATTGGTCATTTGTTTTTAGTTGGGTCATCTTCTCATTTTTTGTGCCATAAAGAGCATAATACCAGCCAAATTGGACTGACGTGAATGACTTTGAAGTTACTCTGCTTATCTCATGCTTAAAAAACACTAACTGCCAAGCCATTTTCATAGCTGCCAACTGTTACGAATTTTTCGTAATTATTACGAATTGTTTATTAAATTACGAAAATACGATTTGCCACTAAAACATTACGAATTTCCCATTTTCTACCTAACGAAAAAAAAAATACTTGTAAGGCAAAAAAAAAAAGTCGCCGGTTTCTGGTATGCACGCGCGTCGCCGTAGCCATGCGCGTCGGCAAAATGAAAACGTTTTTTTTTCAATGAAAGATGATGTCTCAAAACCGCCAAACTCAATGGTTTGACTGGAATCATGCTGCTGCACAATTTTAACGTGTTTTTAGAATAAGCTTTATGTGGCCTCTCTGGACTCCCATATATTTGCACTAAGTTTAGTCGGGCACCATTTGCAGTCATCAGCCGACATTTGAAGCAAAAAATCAGGTAAAAAAAAAAAAAAAAAAGCCGCGTCGCCACACCACATTTTGGGCAAGCTTCATACCAGAAACTGGAGACTTTTTTTGGCCTTAGAAGACAAACGAAGGACGCTCACAGGGGGGAACTGAATGATAGAAACGCGTTAAAGGGCATGAAACGAACTCCAGTGATGTGCACTGAATGAGACGCAATAGCATGAATCTGGCAAAGGGACAGAGACAATGAGCATACAGGATGGAATAATACTTTATTTATTCAGATTAATTGGTAAAAACACCTGTCTCCCAAAAATACAACTATCCAATTAAAAGTAGTATACTAAATTCGATTAAAAACCGTCCAACAGAGTAAAAATACATTAACAACAATAATTCCCTTAATTACAATAATTCCCTGAATAATATGAAAAATCTGTGCGACAATTACATGTAGTCGTGTATATTATAATTATTTTGAGTTGCATTATAACAGTGTGTTAATTATCTCAAATTTAAACGAAATACAAAGTCAATTGCAAGACTGAGCAGGAAAATATATACTAGAAAAACTGCATAGTTATATTTCTACAGAAATTCTATTGATAGAGGATAGTCGTTGCGTTTTCCAAGCTTTTGATAGCATTTTTGAATACAACAGTTGAATGTCCATGAATCGAAAAATACAAGTTTTGAATTTATGGGACGGAGCAGCGTTTTGTGCATTTTCACTTTGACGTAGGCCATGATGACATTTCATGCCAGATTGACTTATTCCTTAAACTTAAGCAGCCTTCGTATTTCTTAGACCTCATGGGTAGACTTTATGAGTATAGCGGCCGTCTTATAGGGCATCATTTGTTATTTTAATTCAGTAACAATGAGTGCTTAAAAGGTTTATTTCTGGTATGTCACAGCAAGACAAATGTATTGCCTTGATGACTGCTGATGAAAGATGATGTCTCAAAACCGCCAAACTCACTGGTTTGACTGGAATCATGCTGCTGCACAATTTTAACGTGTTTTTAGAATAAGCTTTATGTGGCCTCTCTGGACGCCCATATATTTGCACTAAGTTTAGTCGGGCACCATTTGCAGTCATCAGCCGACATTTGAAGCAAAAAAATCAGGTAAAAAACAAAAAAAAGCCGCATCGCCGCACCACTTTTTGGACAAGCTCCATACCAGAAACCGGAGACTTTTTTTTTTTTGGCCTAAAGTATCGTTTTTGACCGAAAACTTCTGGCGAAATGTTGTGATAATGGATGGACTGGTGACAAGTCTAATAAGAATGCAGTCAAGCACCTGATAGACATCAATGCAGTGTGCGCAGTGGCGTACTTGAGGACCAGACTAAAACTACTTTTCAATGGTGTGTCATTTGTGTGCATCTCGTGGATGTGCAACCTCGTACCCAGGGTGTCGAGCAGTACGCGCCCACCACTACCAACCTTGTCCTCAGTGCTTACTTTATTTCCAACCGCGTTTCCAATAGTTTCGAAATGCACATGTATGTGTTTACAAACGTGACTCATTATCATAATCGATGCATCGCGCGCGCTCAGTAACGGAATCGCACTCGGGATACGGGGACCATCGAATATACGCTGGGCATGAAGAAGAAATCGCGTCGTTCAAACATTAAACACGATCGGAAATTTAACGTGTTCAAGATCGCGAGGGGAGCTCTCCGAATTGAACGGAAAATTTCACTTTTTTCTGAATCGTAAGTAAACTTCAGTACAACCATCTTAATCATCGATGTCTACTTGTACCTCAGGTGGCATATCTAGTAAGTTGGAGGCCATTTTGAAGGTGAAATCTGATGTTTTTGTTGGAAAATGTTGGTTTTTGGGATGGGACCGTGTTGTCCAGCTCGCGGTATTAGCTTGGACCTTACTATCGCCAGACCATGTCCAAATGTTAAAAAAGGCGATAAGTTGGGTCCAAGTTACTCAGACTAATTGCATACGGTGGCCCTAAATCATTGTGTGTAAAAATATTGATACGAACTCGAAACCCCGCATCGATAGCATGCATCTCAAAAAAAAATATGCGCACATGTTATTATTGTTATTATTTATTTGACTTCAACAAACAAATACAGACATTAAAACAAAATCAATTTAAAAAAATTATATATTAAATGGTTGTTTTTTTTTTTTTTTATATTATCTTTTGGCCTACAGTACATTATTATTCACAACAAGAAGGGTATGCACATGTATGTGTACATGTAAACCATGTACCTGTACTCGATGTTTGTAAAGCTTTTGATAAAACGAGCTGTTGAAAATGACCGCGCGGGTTGATTACTAATTGGGATTTTGAAAAGTTGGCAGCTATGCATTTTGTTAGGGCTTTTCCTAAATCCTACAAAACGCAGGATCCCATTGACACATCAAGCCCCATATGGGCTCCGCTGTTCATGAAGCCGCATAAGGACAGATCTGTGACATGAGTGTCCTATAACAATTACTAATCTAGTTCATACCTTACTTTATATTTACTAATGACTACAACCAATTTTTTTTATGTTCGCCACAAAAAGCGAGGGGGGGGGAATTATCCAGTGGCCCATCCCCCGGTCAAAAAGTAGGGTGGATAAATATCTCCTGTCCCCCCCCCCCCCACCACCCTGAATTACGCCCTTGCTGTCCACCACTGAGTTTAACTAAAAGCACGGTAAAGTGTGTCTATCGCGTCCAGTCTAATGTCCCGTCTCTTATCTGTAGGCAACTGTGTCTCCTTCTCAACACCGAAGACATCTACCGGACCCTGTCTGAGATCCTAGTTGATTACAAGGATCTCCAGTTTGCAACAGAAATGGTCCAAACGCTCAACAGCATCCTACTGACGGCAACAGAGCTGTTTGAGCTCAGGAATCAACTCAAAGATCTCAATTCGGAAGTCAGTATTCCATATTTGTTCAGTTCAATTCCAGAACAAAAAAAGTAGCACTTCAAGTCCAAGGCCCGATGTCGCAATGATAACAAGGGTTTCAGCTAAGTTGATACTGCTTGGATTTTGTTGACAGCAGGCTTGATGCAACAGATGTTTTGATTCTGTTGTTGTCTTGGTTTTTTATTATGGAATCTAAAATGCTTTGATTACAAGATTTTTATCTTGTGAAATTCACATTTATGTCACTATTACAATTTGTAATTTTGTTCATTGGGGCCTGTTACTAAATTGGCAGTATGTTGGGGGGTTTTTGTTTGGTTTTCTTTCCTCTACAGAGCAGCTGCAAGTTATTCTGCTGTTTGTACAAGTCCTGGTGCCACAGCTCCATTGCCACCGTGTCCCTCTGCTTCCTCACACAGAATTACAAACATGCCTCTAGTCTCATCTACTCCTTGTATCCTTTTTGAAACAAATTGGACTGAATGTGGACTGGAACCCGTAACCCCTGCAAGTAATTCCAGTGCTGTGCAGTGTATCCAATGTAACTTTTCCTCAGCTGTTTTTTTTTTTTTTTTTTGTTCTTCGCTTCACATTTATGCTTTTAAAAATTGACAAAAACGGTAAAATTCTGGTAGAGCTTCTAAATTCCTCTTCTCTGTTACTTCCATTTGCATGCCTGTTTGTTGAATTGAATTAGTGAAGACAACTGAACCTGAGACCACTAAACTACTGTTCCAGTGCTCTTGCCATCAGTTTTTGTATAAATTGCCTGGCTGCTTTGTCATCCATACCCAAAATGCAATAGGAAGCTAGAAAATACAACTCAGTAGTAGTAAACTTTAGTATGCAGTACTAGCATACATATTTGTTCGTAGTACTATGTGGTATGTTCTTCGCTTCACATTTATGCTTTTAAAAATTGACAAAAACGGTAAAATTCTGGTAGAGCTTGGAAATTCCTCTTCTCTGTTACTTCCATTTGCATGCCCGTTTGTTGAATTGAATTAGTGAAGACCACTGAACCTGAGACCACTAAACTACTGTTCCAGTGCTCTTGCCATCGGTTTTTGTATAAATTGCCTGGCTGCTTTGTCATCCATACCAAAATGCAATAGGAAGCTAGAAAATATGACTTGTGGTAAACTGTAGTATGCAGTACTAGCATACATATTTGTTCGTAGTGCTATGTGGTACTTAATACCCCAAATGAACTCTTTGGGTGTTAGGCTTAAAGGGAATATACATCATTTGCTTTTGCTGTAATTTTCAGAAATGGATGGAATTGGGGGGTTGGAAATATATAGCAAATGTAGTTACACTGACTTTTTTTTAGGTTTTTGGGTTCGAAAATGCTATAAAAACCAAGAAAAACGATCTTTTTCCTGTAGTCTGGTTCCCTGACTCCATATAAGAAGAAACAGAGCAGTTAACATACATTGGGGAATTGTAAGGTCAGGGAACCAGTCTAGCTGGCTCGTACCCGTTCATAGGTTTGTAATCAATTGCAAACAAGTGCGATGGTCAATTGGGGCCAGTATTTGGGGAAAAAAGCCAGTTATTTCCAACACTGATCGGCCGATCAGCGTTGGAAATTGATACAAAAATACCACTTTTCTTGAAAATGACAGTATACCAGGTGCCATGATTTTACAGGATGCTTTACACTGTCATTCACTAACAGTCCAGCAAGGAATTTCAAAATGATTTGGTAGTTTTATTTTTTGATGTTTGCAAATGTTGTATTTTCCCTTTAACATAGATAGTCCTGCTTTTCTTGCCAAAAAAAATAGAATCCATTCCTTCCTGGAAAATCTCCTTATCATTCTGACATTTAGCGGTGACCTGGAAGTCACAGTGCACTTCCTGACAGAAATCGACAAGTTGGTCCAGTTATTAGAATCCCCCATATTCACATGTAAGTACACATTCTATCAGGTTTCTAATCATCATTTCCTTCTCCATGTAAAATTTACAAGAAACAACCTTGTTACTGTTTAAAATTTGCAGCTCCATGCTTTCACAATCAAATTATCACTCGACCATTTGACCCCAAAAATAAACAATGCAGTGATGAAAAATTATCATTTTAATAGGCTTTTTAAAATCTACAAATCTGGCAAAATCCAGAAAAAAATCACACTTGGCTCATACTTTAGTTGACAAGGTTGGCCGAGTTCTAACTTTCGCAAAAAATAATGAAATTAGATAAGTCAAATTACACAAAAGCAGCTGTTGTTTTCAACAGATTATGGAGGTATAATGGTAATGGCAAGTACAGTGAAACGATGCTATAACAAGTGAAACGATGCTATAACCAACACCACTATAACGAACATATGGCTATAACGAACATCCCCTTTGGGTCCCGAAATAGTAAATTTGTTATAGTGGCGTTCTACTGTACTATTGCGTTAAACCAGGGATGTGATTTCTCCGGTTTTATCCGGAAATCCGTTTTTTTTTGGCCTCAAAAGTCCACCAACGTGAATCGTGTGAATCCGTTGAGAAAATAGGGGGGTAGAATGTGCTAATTAATTATTCATAATGAGTTTTGCTTGCCGAAATATCCGAAATTTACTTACGGACATAAACTTCGTTGATCGATATGTATGCCGCACGCACATATTGGACACCCGATGTGAGAACGAAGTTGAAGACCATGCGTTGCCATTAGTGCAATTATGATTTTTCGCTCGGGGCCGAGGTTGTGGTTATGTAGGTCTAGTTCCTGTGTCGGTAGTCGAGATGCACGTGTTGCGCTTGTCAGGTGTGCAGACGAGTGCAGCATGGTACACTGGTACCCTTCGCGTGCTAACAGAATCAATGCTATGATGAAGGACCGGAACCAGTGACTACTGCAAGTACTCACAGTCACAGGTTCGTTTTCCGTGCGTATAATCGGCCGAAGTTGGATCGTAAAAATAGTAAAAATACCAAACAACCATCGATGGAAAAAGAGGATTTCTGCAAATTAATTCACAGAACGTGATCTTCATTTTCTGTTTATGTATTTTCCATTGAAATGACGAGATTGCAAAACTCGAACCTGTGGACAAACATCGTAACGTGTTTCTGCAGTCCTGCAGAATTTTCGGCCAATTGGGACGGGCCGCCGGCCGTACACAGTGCAGCAATGCACACTATACTGCGCCGGGCCGGCCGTGTGTACGGCGCGATGTTCGGCCGGCCAGACTGAATGTTTGCGGCGCTAGCGGCCGTGATGTACATGTACGTTAAGCATAATTGTGGAATGACCCACCTCAAATATATAGATTTTTAATTAGGTGAGGCAAGTTTTAAAGGGAATATACATCATTTGCTTTTGCTGTAATTTTCAGAAATGGATGGAATTGGGGGTTGGAAATATATAGCAAATATAGTTACACTGACTTTTTTGAGGTTTTGGGTTCGAAAATGCTATAAAAACCAAGAAAACGATCATTTTCCTGTAGTCCGGTTCCCTGACTCCATATAAGAAGAAACAGAGCAGTTTACATACATTGGGGAATTGTAAGGTCACGGAACCAGTCTAGCTGGCTCGTACCCGTTCATAGGTTTGTAATCGATTGCAAACAAGTGCAATGGTCAATTGGGGCCAGTATTTGAAAAAAAAGCCAGTTGTTTCCAACGCTGATCGGCCGATCAGCGTTGGAAATTGATACAAAAATACCACTTTTCTTGAAAATGACAGTATACCAGGTGCCATAATTTTACAGGATGCTTTAGACTGTCATTTACCAACATCCTATTAAGGTATTTCGCAAAAACTTGGTAGTTTTATTTTTCGATGTTTGCAAATGTTGTATATTCCCTTAATCACTTTTGATGGCTAGTCTTGATAATTTTTGTGGCGCAAATGAGAATAATCCAGGCACAAAATACATGAAATATAAACGATTTCTTGCTTTACTACAAATATAGAAATGGTGAAATATTTTTTTCCAACAATACTACCGACGCTATTTTGAAAGGCATGTTATCGGAAGCAGAAGTGATTTAAGTTTACAATTTTTTTTTTTTTTTTACAAAAATATTACAAGATCTCCTCTGAAATGCTCTAAAATGCACCAGAAAGCTTCTAAAGTTCAAAATTTTTCGGGGCCCTTAAGCGGGCCCCGAACCCACGCCGTGGCTTCGCAGGTTGTATCACAACAAAAATTCCCCTACAGGGTTGAAAAAATTCTGGGGAGAACAGCATGGTTCTCAAGTTTGAGTACAGAAAAAACTTTATTAGAACAAGAGTACATTTAAACAAATAAAGGAAAATTCTTCATAAAATGAAAACAAATTCTGCTTCAGAATTTCAGAGGAAAGTGCCCAGTAATTGCCTCAGATTGCACCACAGAGCATCTAAAATCAATTTTCCGGGGCCCTTAAGCGGGCCCCGGACCCCACGCCGTAATGGCTTCGCGCTTCGCGCTCGCCGGAGTTTGCACTTCATGCATTTAAATTTTCAGGTTTTTTTGTCACAGACCAATCACATCCCTGATTAAACTTTCAAAGTTAAGCGAAGTTCTCAATATGTCACTGAACTAGTCTTGATACAGAGAACTGAAAGCAGTATTACAGGTTTTTTTGCTGATGTTTTTGTTTTCAGATCTCAGGTTACAGCTGTTAGACACTGAGCGTAACCAGCACCTGGTAAAGAGTCTATACGGACTTCTGATGCTTCTGCCCCAGAGTACTGCATTTACCACATTGCAGCGTCGGTTAGCATGTATACCCAACTTACTCCAGATTCCTAAAGATCAGAGGTAATTATGGCCAAGCAGTGTTATGGTTGGGTCTATCGCAATTCCTCACAAGTCTTTACATGCCTCAAAAGTCCATCACAAGTCCACACAAGTCCTCACAAGTCCTCACATGACATCACAAGTCCTCGCAAGTCGTCACATGCCTTGCAAGTCCTCATAAGTCCACACAAGTCCTCACATATCAATCGCAAGTCCTCACAAGTCCTTACAAATTCACATGCCTCACAAGTCCTCACAAGTCCTTACAAATTCACATGCCTCACAAGTCCTTACAAGCCTTCATCATTCCTTACAGTTGCTCACAAGTCCTTCAGAAGTCCATCACAATTCCTCGCAAATCCTCACAAGTCCTTCAGAAGTCCATCACAAGTCCTCACAAGTCCTCATAAGTCCATCACAAGTCCTCACAAGTCCTTGCATGACCTCGTGTGTCTGCCAGTCTCGATTCAAGTCACAAGCTATCAAATGAATTTTAGCAAAGGCATCCTTTTGTTATTGCCTGTCCCCTGTTAATTGTTGCCGGAACTTGTGAAAGACTTTATTAACGGAAGGAATTGTGGTGGTCTCAACTACAACACTATGTCCCTGGGACAATGTTAGTTTCAAATTCTATTTTTTTGCCTAGGCTCAATAAGTTATTTGCAAGTTTACATTGAAATATTTCAAGAATCCTGATTTTTCTGGTATTTTAGTTCTAATCCTCCAATTTCACTGGGCTGCTTAAGTAAATAAAAAAAAAGGCAAATAACCCATTGGTAACCCATTTATTTAAGCAAAGTGCTTATGTCGGAATTTTTCTCACCACGTAAATAAACTAAGAAGTAAACCAAACTAAGACCCCGTTCCCACTTGATCCACCAATTGGGGGATCTGATCCACCTTTTGCCAAATTGCCGGATCAGATCCTTCAATTGGTGGATCAGATCCAGCAATTGTGTGTAGTGGGAACACTAACCGTTATAAGGTGGATCAGGATCAGATCCACCTTTCTTGATCCACCTCTGGACTAGGATACAGATCCCCCAATTGGTGGATCAGATCCGGCAAATGCCGGATTACGATCAGATGGGAACGCAAAAGGTGGATCTGATCTGGCAATTTGACCTGTCAACATCCGCCCGGTGCACGAGTGGCGCGAAAATGTTGCGGTCTTATGAACGAAGAAACACGTTTTCAGGCATGTAGATCGTGTGAAATTTCCAACATACACAACATGCACAATAAACAACCGCTGAACTACGAGCTAGCACCGCGCATGCACGATGCATGCAGCGCATGTGGTATATCCTAAAACTAGGCCTTTTCAGTTTTTGTTTGCCTATTCGTCCATTTATAAACCTTTTTCATTCGTGAACATTTACTTATTTTTAATCCATAAATAACTCTGAGTCCGCACTCACCAAACCGCGTCACTTTGGCACAGAATCATAGAAAAGCTTACGCATATGCGATGAGAATAGTGCCGATAACACGGTACGTACGGAGGTGACAAATCTGTAGTATTGATTATAGAAAATTAGAAAATGATGTCATAGTACATCTTGTGCCCATTTTTAACCAATGAGAAGCTTCAGAACCAGAGAATCCCTTATCGATGCAGTGGTTTCTTCTGATGTCACGCAATGAGCGGCGCTGTACGATTTCACCAGTTAATTTATGCACGCATGGACCCTCTACGGATCCGTGATTTATGTTGGTGAATTCGCGTAATTTTTTGTCGGTAAATTCTGATAGCACTATTTGAAAACTGGCCCGTCCTAGTATGCAACACTGGCAGTCCCACAGAGCGCGCGTAATTCAGAACTCAGTGACCTTTCGGACTCGACATTTCTGTTCGAAAAGGTGGATCAAGCAGAAGTGGGAATGCGACTTGCGGTTTAGTTGCGGTAAGATAACGATCACACCAAAATGCCGGATCTTGATCCACCTTTTCCCAATTCAAGTGGGAACGCGGTGTAATTTCTATGGAAGACTGCATTGCATTAGCACCGTGGTCTAATAGCTTTAGACTATGCTTCTGATATTTGTTTTGGCCTACTGTTTGTTTTTTTATAGAAAGATCCCAGGCTTAATTCCAGAGAAAAGACCATCAATCAGGTCCATCAATTGGGAAGAGATGCTCGCTCACTTCATGAAGATCCAAGCGGAGCACAACAAGACCAAACGTCTCCGCCTCCGATCTACGGATGACCAGCTACAGTCTCTCAAAATCTAACCACTCTCGCAGTGGACCCGAGTTCTAATTCAGGCAGCCACATGTCAATCACATGTCAGTCACCTGTCAATCACATGTAATTCACATGTTGATCACAAGACGATCACATGTCAAGCACATGTCAGTCACGTGTCAGACACATGTCAATTACATGTCAATCACTAGTCGATCACATGTCATTCGCAAGTTGATCACACTAGTCACATGTTCTATACTATTGAGGTCACAAGAAACAGGGCATAAACCCTGACACAAGTGTCACGTTCCATCTTAGCTTTGGACTGAATGACATTTGATGATTTTGTGTCGACTTAGATGACTTCATTACAACTTTGTTGAAAAGGGTAACAGGGAAGAAAGGGGTTCATGCTCAAGCGTTCATCCCTATCCTCTGAGAGTGCTTGCCAAGGACAATCCTGTTTTGATGAACATCGAAAGTAAAGTGGGGCACTACATTGTGTTCTAGATTCCAAAGGTAGGGCAAAACTGTAGCATCATATGTACGCAACCACTTTCCCGATGTGAATAAAAAAAATCACATTCTCATCTAAATATTGTACAGATTTTGCGTTAATTGAAGAAAAAAATGATCGTTGTTTCAAGATAATTGCAGGAAGCCTCTGATTCTGGTTGGCCCACCAGCATTGAAAAAAAATGGCTTTTTTCAAATACTGCTCCTAATTGATCATGTTTAGCAATTAGTCCGCATTTTCGTGGCAATCGATACCTGTGAACAGGTACAAGCCAGCTAGACTGATTCCCTGACCTTACAATTCCCTTATTTGCACTCTGGTTAAGATATCCTATGTGCATGTGTCATATTTGTGGCTACCATCAGATGGTTTTTATTGTCAGTTTTACTTTTTGTAATGTTGGAAACTCCTTTTGGGTAGGGTGGGGGGGGGGGGGGCAAGGGGTGGTCTACTTTACCCTTTGGTCGAGGAGCGTATTTACTCAAGGTTTTTATTATATTGCATATATTTCCTTTGCTGACTTTTGTTAAATGTGAATAATCACTGTTTGTTTGTTTTATACTGTTGTAATACTTCACAAGTAAAGTATTTAAAAAAATAGAAGATTAAAAGTGCAACAATTTTATTTTATAAATGAAATCTAAACATATTTCTTTATTGAAAAAATAATGACTGACTCTAATCTTATGAAAACAATTTGTCCATGAAATATGCCACATCTTAAGTGTATATGGAATATGATGGATGGAATAAATATACTTAAAGATTATGTTGCCAAGCTGTGTGGTTTCATAAGCATCATGGAAACTGGGTGGCATGGGTGGCTTGTGCGTAAAGCGCTCGCCTCTTACCAGGTTGACCAAGGTTCAAATCCTGGCCGCGGATCACATGCGAGTAGAGTTACGCGTTGGTTCTCTCCTGTGCCACGAGGGTTTTTCTCTGTGCCCTCCGGTTTTCTACTCTATGTACATGTAATAGACCACGGTATGAAGCCCGGGAAGCACGAATTAGTAATTCGTTCGCACGAATTAGTAATTCGTGGGAACGAATTAGTAATTCGTGGGAACGAATTAGTAATTAGTTCGCACGAATTAGTAATTCGTTCGAACGAATTACTAATTCGTGCGAACGAATTACTAATTCGTGCGAACGAATTACTAATTCGTGCGAACGAATTACTGGAGTTTGCTAATTCGTTCGCACGAATTACTAATTCGTTCGCACGAATTACGAATAGGAATTCGTTCGAACGAATTACTAATTCGTGCGAACGAATTACTAATTCGTGCGAACGAATTACTAATTCATGCGAACGAATCAGGAATACGTGCGAACGAAATAGCAATTCGTGCGAACGAAATAGTAATTCGTGCGAACGAAATAGTAATTCGTGCGAACGAAATAGTAATTCGTGCGAAAGAATTAGTAATTCGTGCGAACGAATTAGGAATTCGTGCGAACGAATTAGTAATTCGTGCGAACGAATTAGCAATTGCCTAAAAAAAATTCCACCCTGTCCCTTCCCGGGCTTCATACCACGGCGCCTATTATGCACGAGCAGATTTGCTGATTAATTAGGCAAGACCCCGCCTCTTGACTTCCTAGATTTTGACCAATCAGCAGGCGTTTTCTACAGGTCTATCGGGTCTTCGGTCATTCACCCGTGGCGCGTCATAGACTAGTCTGAGTGTCACCCGTTATCCATGGAGCCATCTCCTGTCTAACGTCTGATATGTCAAAGCATGCAGATGTATGCAAGCCGCGCGCATAAATCTGCATGCTTTGACATATCAGACATTAGACAGGAGATGGCTCCCTGGATAACGGGTGACACTCAGACTACCAGAAATCAGGAACTTAAAAAAAACTAGGGTATATTTTTAAACAGCGCCCTCTTGCTTTTAATACACACTGTTCACGAATGCACGTAGCATGCAAGTGCACATTATGGGTGCAATGTGTTTCATAATAAATTTGGGGTTTTCTGCAACTTACCCCCCCCCCCCCCCCGAAAAAAAAAGAACCGAGTTTTCGAATGCAATTGATGTCTTGGGCTGGAATTCGTTGGCAACAAAAACAAAATGAGTAAACACGTGAAAGACAATCAGAAACGTATCGGTAGACTACTTTATATTTTTTTTAATTAATTTTTTTTTTATTGGCAATGACTTCCAGTATTTACTCACATTCCACCAGGCCCGTGTTTTGGTGTGTACTCGGCAGCCTTGAGTATGGAAGTGTAGATAGGACATGGTTAAAAATAAAACTAATTCGTACGTACGAATTACTAAACCGTACGTACGAATTACTAAACCGTACATACGAATTACTCAGTGGCGTAGCCACGGGAGGGGGGGGGGGGGCGTGGGGGCATTGGCGTAGCCAGGTTTTTGTCAGTTAAGGGGGGGGGGGAGGGCCGCTGCTGGGGGGCTGGAACATTTCATGGGGGTGTCAAGTAGATCAATGATAACTTTTTTAGAAACTCAAAATCTCAGTGGGGGGCGACAGGGGGAAACAAGGTTTCATGGGGGGGGGGCTGTCACCCCCACGGCCCCCCCCCCCCCGTGGCTACGGCACTGCGACAGCCCCCCCCCCCCTCTGAAACCTTGTCGCTCCCCCAAGTCGCCCCCCCCCCCCCCCCACTGAGATTTTGAGTTTCTAAAAAAATTATCATTGATCTACATGAAGCCCCCACAACCTGAAATGTTCCAGCCCCCCCCCCCGGCCCCCCCCCCCCCCCCCCCCCACGGGAAAATTCCTGGCTACGCCACTGGAATTGCTAAACCGTACGTACGAATTAATAAACCGTACGTACGAATTAATAATCCGTACGTACGAATTAATAAATCGTACGTACGAATTAGTAATTATTTCGTACGTACGATTTAGTAATTCGTACGTACGGTTTAGTAATTCGTACGTACGGTTTAGTAATTCGTACGTACGGTTTAGTAATTCGTACGTACGAATTAGTAATTCGTACGTACGGATTAGTAATTCGTACGTACGAATTAGTATTTTGTACGTACGGTTTAGTAATTCGTACGTACGAATTAGTTTTATTTTTAACCATGTCCTATCTACACTTCCATACTTGAGGCATGTTAAGGCCAAATAATTTCCAAGCAAATGAAAAATAATTACTAACACCGGAACAAAAACGAGGGTGAACAAATAGATTAAGGTGCGTGCGTCGGTCTAGCGATAGCCAAAGTTGTGGCCTTTCTCAGTGGGTCAGCAGTTTTTCCAACAACTTTTACCCAACTTTCGACACTATAATATTACATTTGGTAGTTATGCGCCATCGAGCCTGGCTAGGCTGAATGTCTGGAATTGCGCACGTGCTGGGATTAATGAGAAGTCCAGACAGTGTTGTTGCGGGCGGGGCGCGGCGTAGACATGAACGAATTATGATTCTGCCTGTTCCATTCATTGTTTTGGACCAACTTTTCCCATGTACGCAATATATGATGATTATTCAATGAACCATTTAAGAGACAATAACCATTAATACTGATACTAGATCGTTACAGCAATCTTCGATAATCAAATGGTTAAAGTATCAGTTACCAAATGAGTCGAAGGGGTCCTGTTTTCAATCTTACGAAAATGTCCCAATTTATTCATTTCCCTACCACAAAATGGTCGAGTCTTCTTTCACGCGGGATTGTAGACCACGTGGTAAGTATTGCGCCAGCCAGTTACGATTTTGTTTACAAACTGACCGATTGTCCATTCATAAATTCACTACAGACACAAAGGAATGGTGGGTGTGTAACTGGTTCGAACCGGCTTTTTTGCATATTTGCCACGTACGTACATTTTTGTATACAAAGTATACGTTTCTGCATATCATCATAGTAACGTGCATGCCGCCGGTATTTTCGCGCTGTGATGTGAGCACATGTTGCGATTAAATTCTCGAACGGAGTGTTTTCTCCACATTTTGTAGCCAGCAACCATAAGTCAAGTTTGAGAAATCGTTTCAGAACAATCTGGACACTGTTCACGGGTTGTTTGGTAGTAGAATCGGTTTGCTCTTTCGAAGAGTGTTGACACGTAAGTGTGGGGACTTTCACCAGTGCAGTTTCACTCGCATCATCAAGAGCCAAAACCATCCGGATTGACTTGTATTTTGTAAGTTGTAAGTTACCTGTACAGTTGTATTAGGCCTACAGAAAAATGGGGAAAGGCAAGCCAGAGAAAAATGGTGTGAAAGCAGTGGAAGGAAAAGAAGATACTTCTTCGAGTGCCGGTTCCAGCGATGTAGTGGTCCTGAGGCGTGAGATCGGACTTTGGGGATGTGTCTCCATTTGCGTCGGTATCATGATCGGCTCCGGTATTTTCATCTCGCCCAAAGGAATCCTGCAAAACACCGGCACAGTGGGCATGGCACTCATTGTCTGGGTCCTCTGCGGTGTGATGTCGGGTCTGGGAGCCCTCTGCTTCGCCGAGCTCGGCACCACCTTCACCAAGTCTGGCGGCGAGTTCGCCTTCTTGTTGGAGGCCTTTGGCCCCCTAGCAGCCTTCTTGAGACTTTGGGCTAACATTATCGCCATCGGTACCGGCACAATCGCCGTGCTTGCCATCACCTTCGCTCATTACACCCTGGCTGCGTTCTTCGGTGATTGTCAAGAAGTGCCAACCAATGCTGTTCGTCTCGTGGCCGCATTAATCCTGTGTAAGTACATGTAGGCCTATAACAGTTACAGAGACTTGCTCTATCAAAAGTATCATGTCTATCATTTTGTCTATGCAGAGACCTACATGTTTCCAAATTGAAATTCATACCCCCCCCCCAAAAAAATATAAGCCTGGACCGACTGAAAATCCTTGATCATTCATTGTCGATGCCTAATTGTAATAGGGCCTATCATATGCCTATCAATTGTGTCCCCCCCCCCCCCCCCCCGGCTGCTCCACCCAAGACGTGGGGATTGTCATTAACCCACACCCATGGCATGACTGGGGTGCACTCATCATGGTCAGAATGCTAGTGATTGCCTTTTAGTTTTATGATGTAGGTAGTACGCCAATGTAAACAATGTAATTTGAGTGACCAAAATCCCTTTTTAGTCTAGTCTTACTCACTTTGGCGTTCACATATAAAATTAAAAACCCTGAATTTCATTTTGTTCTACATTTTGAAATGTTCATTTATCTCTGACAGTGACAGTTGTCAGTAGGTCTTCCACTTATCAACATGTTTACTTATCGTGTAAAAAATAGAGATGCATTGCCTTTTCTCCCTCACTTCTCAGACCCCAACCAACAAAAAGCTAAGAATTTGAGAGACCCTTGACAAATGCAGACATATTAATATTGTGTAAAGTTATCAACTCAATTAAGCCATCTGGAGGAAATGTCGGATTGTCACGAGGGATGCTTTTGTCATTCCTCCGGTCCATTGTATTAAAAGCACAGAAAATGTCGGCCAGTCATGTGGTCATGGTTCACGTAAAACTGCATGGGACCGGTTCTGAGCGGACTTTGCTTGAATTTGGCAAGTATTGCAAGTTGAATTTGGCAAACATTGCAAGTTGAATTTGGCAAGCATTGCAAATTTTATATGGCATCATCTTGAAGTTGAAGGAAGAAAGGTAGCCTATTTTACCACCTGTAGGCTGTATCCATGTGCTCGCTTCATCCCAGTGACCTTTGCTGGTATCGTGTCGAGAATCATCCCAATTAACCTAATTTTGTAATAAAATTGCCTGTCATTTGTGTATCTTTACAATTAAAATTTCAAAAATCAGCATGAGATGCTTGGCTCGGGGTTAGTAAGGTCAGGGGCATGTATGGGGCACATTCCCTAGCATTTAGAAAGGATCAATGAAAGGAGTGGTTGCCTTTAGTGGAGGCCTTTCATTCATCAATTTGAAGTGAAGGTTTAGCGTTTTTGCCAATGAGGCGCAACGCAAACCACAAAATTCATGCTAGATCTGATATTCGGGGACCCTGGAATCAACCACAGTTGATTACAGTACACATTGTTCCGTTTTTGTCACGGTTGGCTGTCGAAGCGATAATCGGATTAAAAGTGAAAGAAAAAAATTGCCACCAGTGCGTTGTTGTTCAAAGCGGTATGCAGTGCAGATGTTGCGCTTGGTTGCAGTGGAAATTATTGGAGCAGTCTGTAACCAACCTAGAATCGTGCATGCACGTTACATTATGCTTTGAGTTGGAATGCACAATACAACTTGGCAACAGGTGTTACTAAGTGTACTGATGAACCATAGCACTACCATTCAGTTCACTGACAAATTTTATGCAATGTTCCAGGAACGCCAAATTCCTGCGCAGCGCGCATAATTAACCCTTCATCATTGATCACATGCAGATTTCTAATTATAACAGACTTTTCTGATAATCATGAGCATGAAGTGAACATTTGGGCCTTCATTTACAATGTATGCGTACATAAAAAGTATGAAAAGGAAAATTTTGACATTAAAAAGAATGTTTGCCAAAGTTTGATACTACTCGAGATCATCTTGTCATCTGATTTCAAAGTTTGTTTTGAGGGGTCGTGCTGCAGCTAGGCGGTACCTCACAATGCCTTCCACGTGACCTTTGTTAAACAAGGTTGTCTGTACCTTTTTGGGTTGGGTAGTTGTACATGTGTGTAGCTCATTACAAACCCCATACCATTACCAACCTCTGAACTTGTAAACTGGATTTCTTGTACCAGTGTCCACCGCCCTTGATCTGATGCCACTGCCCTGCAAAATTTGATTACAATGGATTCGAGGATGACAATGTGGTGGTTGGTTGTTTTTTTAAGTGCATGATAGAGGTAAACTTCAAGGTCCATCGCTGTTTCACTGTTACCCAGAAACAACCGGTTTAAATTTTAAAAACTTTGCTCATTAAATTAACCCTAACCTCACCTACATTGTAAATCTACAAAATACCCGGTACTTCTACTACTGTAATATATGCCCTACTTCAGGGTATACATGTGAGTGGGCTTAGCACTCAAAGTATTTTGTAGCATGTGGTACTTTACCCCCAAATGAACTCTTTGGGGGAATAGGGATGATCATTAAACAATTAGATGTTACAAAGTGTTTTCTGTTCGAGGTTTTTAAATCATTGTTTGAAGTTGTAAAATCATTGTTGTCAGCAAATATCAGGTGCAGAATTTAAAACTATTTAAATTTTCAGTTAAACATATAAAGTTCTATTTTGATCTTAATTGAAGTACATTATTTCAAACCGGGGAGGTCCTAAATCTCAAGATTTTGAAAGGTTTCAAGAGTTTTGATGTATTGATCGGGTGTTGGGGGGGGGGATTGGGGAAATTAAATACAAGTGCCGAAAGCTGATTTTTTTTTGTGTACTTAAGATTCCCTCCTGCAAGGTGCATTTTGATTCAGTCTCAGAGCAAAGTGCGAAATGGAGGAGTACTTTAGCGGTTGTTCAGATTTGGTTCTTGGGGAGGGGGATCTTCTTGGTCAATAGGGTGCTCAGAGGGTGAATCTGAAATCCTGTAGGCCTCTATTTTAACAGGTTAATTTCAAGTAGTGCACCTGTGCTTTTCAGAACTTTCCTCAAGATGCCAGCTGTAGTGTTAGAGCGGCAGTGTTTTGTGTTTGGGGTGGAGATAGATTTTGAGAAAAATACCAAGTAAGAATGTCCATACCAAATTGTGGTATTAAAGCTCTGATGATCTGATATGTACCATCTTTCCAAGTCAAAATACCACTTACTGTTTACAAACATACTTTTTTTAACACCATCACAAGGTCTTATGCCAACATTTCAAGTCTTGCTGTACATTGGGTGCTGAAAAGTTTGTTGAGGCGGAGGCCTATGAAAGGCATCACAATGGCTCGTCATCAAAGATTACATCACCTAATTAACATGAGAATACCTATACATACATAACCTAGAGTTAGCAAGGAACTTCAGTGTGAAGTTGTGATGTTGTTTGCAACCCATAGATACGCCCACAAACACACATGGTTTAAAAGTAATTCCTTTTCCGTAGTACATGTTTTATGCCCCAAATCTGCCCCAAAAAATGTAGGAAAGTGCAAATATTGAATCACTGGTTGTGTAGACATACATGTATGTTCAAATCTCATTCAAAATTTGATATTTTAATGGTATTAGTTCAGCTGTAATTGTAAAAGTTTGAGTCGTTCTCATTTGAAAATTCATAACATTGTCATTAGACAATAAAATGTTAAATTGAAGATGTAATGCATCCAGAGCACTATAAGATTTACACTGCTGGTCACCAGTTAACACGTGGGAGTGTGCCTGATCTGCAACAAGATTGCAAATTTCTTCCATACGGTTGCTCCTTAAGTCACTGCTTAGTACCTTGAGTGTCTGAGAAGGTTTTTGTGCCTAAAAGACCCCCTTTTGTACTTCCTACAAGCAGCCAACAATTGTGTTACTGATTATACCAAGCAGACCCATTAATTGATCTTCTCTTATGTAACACCTTGCAATATTTCAAAAGAAAGCTTAGTGCTCGTAGGTCTGACCTCTCTTAAAAGTTCGTCCAGCCAACATCCTCTCTTAAGCATGAGAGGGCGTAACTTAAGTCTTGGATTTCTGGTGTCTTTGTTGCTTAAATCTGCACTGGTATGCAATAGTTGAATGGTTGAACAAGTTTCATTTTTAGGTCTCTTACATTGTCATTTATTGACTTAAATATAACAATTTTATGGATACTATATGTAACTTTTATTGATTGCACATAGGAGAGCATATCTCATGTAATTTTTGACGTGACATATAACAAATTTGAATCTTTAATCTTTGAATCTTGAAGTATTGTGTCTGTCTGGACAGTATCTTGATGTAACTGTCATTTGTTTTCTAAATAAACATTTAAATGATCTGTCATTCAGAATTATAATTTACTTGTAAATTTAAACTAAGCTAGAAATTGATTTCATGATCAGAGAGTCCAATAGATCTTACATGTACGTAATTACCTAATTATTCCTGGACATTTGCCGAACTCTTGAATAGCAGAACCATTCTGACATTTTTCCTTACCACATGTCCACCACAAAAAAAACAAAGTTCTTCCTTTTTTATTAGCACATTGAGCACAATTTTATCTTTAAAGTTTTGTTCCTCTTTACATTGGTTTTTTTTTTTAAATGTATTTATTGTAACATACAGAATGTCCATGTATGCATATTACTGTGGTAAATACCCTGCAAAAAAATCGAAATCTGTCAATCATGTCATGAAAAGATAGAAATCAGATAATAAAGTTCTCAGCCATTTAAGATTATTTGTGTACAAGCATGCAACAAAAGGATAGACAAACGAACAAACACTTACGTAATTGACTTTACAAAGATAAGATAGGTTGCATAATGATAACAATTCCCTACATGTATGTACTTGTTCACTTCATGTACTGGCTTTCTTTTACACATCGTGTTTTCACAAAAACAAGTAAAGAGTCTATTTTTATAATGTAAATTTACTTTTGTAAAATGTCTTTGAATCAAACAGGCATTCCTGTTATACAAACGTGTGTAATGGTAGTACATGTACGCAAGTGTTTCTGTACTAGTACACATCAATTTTATAGCACGATGTCGCCGTCAAAGCTATTCAAAAGTGGACCTGTGGTTTTGATATTTTTGTTCAAAAACTTGTTCTCCTATTTCTCTTTGTGCTGCAGTTGTGGTTTTCTACCTGAACAGCGTCAGCGTGACATGGACCACTAGAGTTCAGGTGTTCCTGACCATTGCTAAAGTCATCGGCCTCACTATCATCATCATCACGGGCATTGTGCTCCTCTTCAAAGGTACAAGCCTTTTTGTATTTCTTAGATGGGAGGCGTGGGGGGGGGGGTGGCAGCTTCGTCTTGATGACAGGTCTTGGATTACGAAATCAATTGTAGTATGAGCCGTGTCCGAAACAGGGATTGTTAACCATTGGTATTCTCTTCCATTGGCCAAAAAACAAAGCCAAAGGCACACAATACCTGCCTGGTTCAAATATGGCTGGACTATTTGGAAACTAGTCTGCAGGTCATGGCACTGGTAGCCTCACTGGCAGGGTACCGTGCACTGTGGAGTGTTGTGTTGACATAATTGAAAAATTTTGACCATCCTGATTGAGATTAGGCCTCGGGGTTGACACACGATTGAAAACGTGGCGTTCCACACCTGAACATTTTTAACCCTGTGTCAACTCTGCTTCCACCCTGAGAAAGATTTTGCCCCGGGTTGAACTCAACCGTACTCCAGACCTGGGTGGAGATTTCTACCCAGGTTGAAACTCTCGCCAGGGTTCGAAACAGTAGTATTACCGAGCAAAATAAGCCCAGTTTGTACAAAACAAGTGTGAAACAAAACAGGGGTGAATGCGGGGTTGAATAATCTCAAAGTCAACCCAGGGTTGCACTGGATTCGGCCAGGGTTGAGTTCAGCCCAGGTTGAAAGGCTGTAGTGTGAAAAGGCCTGTAGAGTAGCCAGACGCACCCCACAAGATGCCCGCGTAACGTGGTCAAGTGCACTGTGAACGTTGTGCTACATGAAGTAATGTGAAGGTGTTATGCATTTGGCAAAGATTTAGTGCTTGTAGGAGTTCACTCAAAAATATTGCCTGTCTCTCAATCAAGTTTGAAGATTGACAAACCTTTTTGTAAAGTCACCCAACCCTTGTTGTCAAATACAGGGAATAAGCAACGTTTTTATACCATAAACAATACTCTTAAAAGACATCTCCAACCGACTGTAAAGTACAGGTATTTAGTTTTTCCCATAAGTGTGAAAGTTTTTTAGTTCAAGACAACTTGACAGCGATGCAAAAATGAACAGATTCCAAAAAAATTGAAAATGCTGATGCAAGACGTCTGGCAGTGACGCAGCAGGCATGTTCACTTCCCTCAGGACCTACGGGTATATGAAGTCTGAAGCAGATGTGAGAGCTGCAAGTTGTTCAAAGATATCAAACTGATTTGAAGGGGAAGTACCCAATAATCCCTGGTATGCTGGCATTTTGCCAAGAAGCGTGGACCTGGCCGATTGCCAAGAACATATCCAGGACTTGGCTCGCTGGCTTAGCCCAAGTATTCATGTATCAAAAAGAATAAATAAGACTCTTGGCATGTATTCATGTATCAAAAAGAATAAATAAGACTCTTGGCATGTCGACCACAGTAAATGTAATTTATGGACGTAGGTAGGTGCGTCAAATGTTTCTCTTTATTAGGATTCCTTGCCAGCGCAATGTTTCAGCTTATCCAAATGTTCACAGATGACCCAGAAATGAAACTCTACCCAGCTCGCGGGGCACATGAAATGTTAACTCCTGCCTCGAGAGCACTGGTTTGTTTTGAGGTTGTCTGCGAGAGCAAATTGATTAACGACTTCACAGTCTCTAAGAAGGCCACTCTGAGTGGGGGGTTAAGATGGATGATACTGATCAGTCTTAAGATGCTTTTGAGTCTGCACTTTCAAAGGTTGAGCTTCAGACATTGAATGTTGTGCTTTGGATGTGTCGCCATTCCATGACCGAGTCAGGTTGGGCATCTATTTTACTGTCCCTCAACAGATAACAAGGACAAACGGATTTAGACTTCAAGTCTCTATGTATAGGCCTGATATTTTTCAGATTTTTGCCCGAAATCAGGCTTTTTGAATCTGAGAGAAAGACATCAGTATAGAAAGAAATGCATCTTTCAGACCTTTCATCCAATTTTCAGACTTTTTTTTTTTTAATTGACAGTCGCATCCCTGTATCACTGTCTAGATTGTGAAAAGCATGACTTGCAAAATCACTTGAGTTGGTTGGAGAGATTATACAAACCACAAACCTTTTTGTCTAAACGTGATCAAACAGGTATGTTGACATAAACACTGTTAATTTTACATGTAATGCGAAGTGAGATGTTTTTAAAAAACAATTAATTTCCTTTGACCTCGAAGAACATTCTGTGTATTCCGTTGTCTAGAAACCTTATTGTATGACCAGTGTCTGACACTTGACCCAAATAAAACTGAAGCTGTTTGCCTTTCCGACATGTTTTCCTCGCTGAAATGAAACGTTTTGAAAGTCGAAACGGTTATGACTGGGCAAATTTCAAAAATGGACACAAATTCTTTGAAGGTCTTGTGTAAGTAACGGATTAAATTAGCCTGTCACTTTGGATGCGTAGGGTGTCTATCGGCATGTTGAAAGCTTCCTGAGTAAATAAATGACTTGGCAGAGTGCAAGTCATCGATTGAAGCATCGTGCTTCTCTCTAGTGCCAATATATTAAGATGTGGATCTTAATTGAAGAAAAAGAAAAGCACAAAAAAGTTATTTGAGTTCTTTCAAAATCTTTTGTATCATCTTATTTGTTGCAACTAAATCATTGGAAGTTGTGTAAAGGGCCAAGGCCGGTTAATACTTCATGCGCATGCAATACAAAATTCACGCCATAAAGCATACATGCTGCAAAATTCCCCTGAGTTGAAATGTGTTCAACTTTTGCGAATTTTCAGGGCGAATAGTTGCCCTGACGTCACAAGTTCGTGTTCACTTTCTCATGCCGAGTGTGAACCGGCCTGTTGCCTGCTCTCACAGACTGATTCCATCTGCAGTCTTGATTCGAATTCTTGTTCATTCAGTAACTAGTACAGATATGTTGTTATGGTGCTGCACAAACTGGAACGACCAAATATATGCTCAAAATTTGTTAGGGAAATGACGTTTCCTTCCCAGGAGAGCTGAAAGTGTCACCTTTGCTCAGAAAATCATTTCCTTGTGACATGTTGAAAACGTTTGTGGATAAGGTGGTGTCAGCCAAAATGTAATTTAGTCAGATTCATGACTACCAGTGAAGGGGGAGGGGGTAGGGGGTAGGGGGGGGGGGGGGGGGGGGGGGGGTTCAGCAGCGGTCAGTTGGGGGAAATCTAGAAATAGGAAGAATATATTTGAGAAGAAAATTAAGGAATCACAGACTCCATTTGTGAACCTGAACCTGTCTGTGCCAGCTTTTTGGAGGAAGGAACAAGTGATATGGGAAAGGATGTTGCGTTATGGTTGTCTTGAAGACAAGAATTAACATGGTTGGGTGAATGACCTGCAGTGCAAACTGACCAACCACTTTTAATGACTCGACAGTAATTTTTTTTTTAACATGTGACACTTCTGGAATGTACAATGTATGCTGGATGACAATGCATGTTTTCACTGACTGTTGGTTTGAAAAGTACATAGTACTGTTAGTGTTATTGGATGTGCTCTCAGCCATGTGGTTGCGAAGGGCAATTTCTAAAGGTTACGTAACACTTTATTTTGAATGAAACTACATGTACATAATGTACACAGACATGGTCATGTTGGCGGGTGAAATCTTTGAAAATTAATTTCTCCAGTTTGGAAGACTGTATCTTCATGCAACTTTCAGGATTTATTTCCCATATAATGATCCAAGTATGTACTAAAAGTTGTTGTGATATGTTCATTACTTTTCGTTGAAATTGGAAACATAGGCCTCGCTACGTGCAATTTTGAAAATTGTAACACTGCAATATCTATCAATCTTTTCAAGCCTCACAAATATTAATGAGGATAAAAGCCTCCTTCACGAGTTGTTAAATAACAAATATCACCCTTTTTGCCGGCTTCCATTGGTCGATACCGAGACCCACGCCATGTCACGCGAGTGACGCTAATGAATATGCTAATATGCCCGTCATTATTGTGGGCTGGGCCGAAATCAGTCAGCCATAGCGCCTACGGCACTTTGCTGAACAATGCACATGGTTTGGGCCGCAAATTGAAAAAAAAAAATCGTTTTCGAAATTTTGCATGGAGATGGTTCACGTTGCCACACTAGCGTCCGCAACAACAGATTAAGCTGAAATTCGGAATATACTTGGATGATATAGGGTCTAAGTGTTCAATTTCTCGTGAAATAACAGCCAGGATGAATTCCTATCAATTGGGATAAATACATACATTTGGGGAAGTTTTCAAACGATTTCTTCCAGACTTTGACACTAACCAGTATTGAGGTTTCGGCATCGATGATGGCGATTTTTTCACTGACATGAAGTTTAGAATTTCTTCTTCAATTAGAATGTAACATTTCAATCATACCGAGCATATTTTCTGAGAAACACAACGTTCAAAAGGCCATGTTTTTGGGGTGCATGAATTTCACTGCTCCATTATAGCATCTAAGTACGTAATCGGATTAACTTCAAATGCCTAACAATGGCGAAGCTTTGCGATTAGCAACCATATGGCTGCTCTGCTTTACACAAATTCAGTCAAAAAAGTGCTTACATCGTTCTCGTGCTTACCTAATTACCTTAAGCTACAAACTCCAGACAAAAACTTTTTAAAAGATTTAATTAACTATTTGAAATGTTACATAGGAATTTGGTTTTTACAAAAAGAACAGTTTTAGATCAGGTTTTTTTTTTTTACTATTTAGGCTTTACTTTTTTTGTTTTGGCTTGCAATGATTTTTGATCAAGGGTTAGGACAAAAATGTTGGATACAGATACATGCCAAATACTTTCAATTTGTAACTGACTATCGTCAATAATGGATGACGCATTTGTACATGCTGCCGTATTGCCAAAACCTAATCAATACTAACAACGACACTGGATTTACATCAGCTGATGGAAACGCTTCCGATGTTGGTCTTGGAAGCCAGAACAACTGCTGCGTCATTTGGCCTTGTTAAGTTAATTAATAATAGGATGGCAAGCATGTCATGGCATTGGGACGACAATCTGTATTTGTTTTGATTTGACATCAGAAGGTGTCACTTGGAGATGTCAGTGACTGGTGTATTTGGGTGACCGGTGTTTTTTTGGCCGAGGCTTTGCTTGGCCTGTTTTATCAATGGTTTCCATGGTTACTTAAATTACCTTTATTTATCTTGACTGCTGCAGCTGTTGAGTTTTGATATTGATGTTTCCGTTTTCAATTTCTGTTTCTGCTGTATCTTAGAGACAATACTAAAATCGCTGAAAACTATAAATTATAAAGAAATATTCATTTTTATTCTCTACAGACAAACTTGTTGACTTGTAATTTGATTTATTTTTTAATGAACGGCACCTACGCTTTATTGTAACAACTGTTTTGTTTTTTCACCTTTATTAATTAATAATAAAAATCAACACTGAATGTAAAAAGGTTACATTTTGTTCGTTTTTTATTGAATAAAATTTAATTGGATGTACTGCTTTGTTATAAATGTTGTTCACTTACATTGTAGCTCCATGTTTAGAGTAACTGATTTAACAAGTATACACATTCAGGATTCAAATCCTCCTTTATTTAAATTGTTAATTTAATTATTGTATCAATATAGATGACAGTGTATTCACAAATTTTTAAAAGTTGATTATATATTAACAGTTGCAGATTAATAAAGGAAATATCAAAGGAATACAATTTTTAAAGGATGATGCAACCCTATTAAATGATCAGTATCTGGGCTGTTTTGTTTGATAGTTTCATTTTGTTATCAAATACTTCCGGCTTTCGGTACATGCACATCATGCTGTTAGATATTAATACTAGAGTGTGTGTGGATGTTTGTTGTGTTTTGTCTGGGTATGGAAGCTCAAACAGATGTCAGCTTTGGCTGAGTAACTTTTGTAATTAATAAATCTGATATTTTTTTTTTTTAAAGTGTCGGAAAATAAAGAAAGGATATCCTAGCACGCAAACTTTTGCGACCCCGCACACCAGCCAATCGGAGATGACTTTAGAAACTGTGATGTCATTTCGATCAGAAATGTGGACTAAGCTGTCGATTTGTTAATTGGCTACCATGTTTTGTAATACAACAACAGATTACCGAAGACCCGATAGAAGGCGGCCGCTGAATGGTCCTAAGACTCTTGAGATCAAGGCGTTGTCTTGTTTTGCATAATTAATCGCCAAATCTGCGCGAGTATCATATATACACTTTTGTGCAAGCGGCTATTTAATAGACTAAACCAGGTCTGCCAGGAGGGTGATGTTAGTGAAATGTTTGTCCTGGATTAAAATATATTGGAAAGCTGGGAGGTGTTAGTTGTGCAATACAGGGTGGTCCAACAAAACGGACCCTCATACTTCCACTACCCTGAGACTCAAACCACAATGCATGGGGAATCTTTTTAGAAGAAAAATGAAACCAAGATCGCCCGATTCGGGGCAATAGCTTTTGTTCTAGAGCCTGTTTTGTGAAGCAAGGTGGGGGTCATTTTTTTCCCAATGAATTACTAAACTGCACCCGGAAATTTGACTTGCATTGATAGAGGGATTGTTATCGAATAATACCCACATGAAAGAAGTATCCTTCACAAAATAGGCTCTGCAGTAAAAATTACTGGTCCGAATTGGGATATTTTGGTATCATAATTCTTCTAAAAGGATTCTCCATCAATTGGTACAGGTGGTTTGAGTCTCAAAGTAGTGGAAGTATGCCGTTCCGGTGTGTTTTTTTGGACCACCCTGTATTGGGATAAAGCAGCAGTGAGGTTTGCCCCACGGAGAAGTGTCAAGTTTTGGTGGAGAATTTTGCCATGTGTGATCAGTTGACAAGACTCCTTTTTACTTTTCTCCAAATGTTTACAGGACAAACTGAGCACCTTCAGGATGCATTCCATGGTTCCGAGAACACCGACGCAACCAAGATCCCACTGGCGTTCTACGCTGGCCTCTTTGCATACGCTGGATGGTAAGATCTGGCATCTTTGCTTCTAAGTTTACAAATTTGAACCAAAACCAAGAAGTAAGATTGAAAATATGCTCAAAACCAACATGTTCTACACTGGCCTCTTTGCGTACACTGGATGGTAAAATCACACACGTATACATTTGTCTCTAATTTTACAATTTTGAACCAAAACCAAGAAGTAACATTCAGAGTATTCTCAAAACCAACATGCTATGTTTTGTCCACTTTTCATTGTTTATTGAGCTTCAAAATTGCATGACATGGGCATTGCTTTGTGCAAGTCTGTGCTGAGCGAGAATTGATGTCAGTTTGAATGGATTAATTTGCAGGCAGATGCTGCCGCAAGTGACGGAAGAGATTCAAAATCCATCGAGGTAAGCCTTGCCAAGACGGGAGTTGTGACAACATTCCTTCATGTCTGATGGCGCAAACTTAGTTTGGTGGGAACTCATTTTATTGTTGGCGCTTAGCCAGAGATACGTAGGCGGTCACCAAGTTGTAGCTGCCAGGGTATCAGAGCATCAAGAGCAAATGTCAAGAGAAACGAATTAACGTAGAGAAAAAAAGAAATTTACGAACATGCAGTTATGGTCTAGAGACAGCCTTTGGGACAGGCCAAATTCAAACTGGATGTTCCAGAAGATTTAAAATGTGGGGATTCGATCATTTAGTGCATTATTGCTGAGTGTACACAAATGCTTTCAACAATGTTTGCCATTTTTCAAAAAAACAAACCTGGTAGTCGTCCTTGGCTGGTTTACAAAGGGCTTGTTTGTGGAATGTGTGTGTTCTTGATGTAGTTTTTAGAGCTGGAAATGCAGTGAATGATGGTTGCGTGATAAAGGCTTTTTGTCGTGTACATTTTATTGCCAAAATGTTATTGAAGTCAAAGGCACAAAAAGCATTTGTGCCCTCTAGCAACTATATTTGTAAGGATTTCAAACAAGGAATTTAATGAATAATTGCTATAATTTGTTGGTTAAGTGCGCGTATCTGCAATCTGAATGAGAACGTGTCCCGGACGCTGAATTTGGGCGCAATTCAAACGTGACTCTGCAATTTTTGATTTGAAATTGAGATCCTAGAATATTGGGGTTTTTTTGCGGAATATACAGCATTCACTGAGCTAAAACCTCTCAGGTTAGTTGTTAAAGGGAATATACATCATTTGCTTTTGCTGTAATTTTCATAAATGGATGGAATTGGGGGGTTGGAAATATATAGCAAATATAGTTACACTGACTTTTTTGAGGTTTTGTGTTTGAAAATGCTATAAAAACCAAGAAAAACGATCATTTTCCTGTAGTCTGGTTCCCTGACTCCATATAAGAAGAAACAGAGCCTTTAACATACATTGGGGAATTGTAAGGTCAGGGAACCAGTCTAGCTGGCTCGTACCCGTTCATAGGTTTGTAATCGATTGCAAACAAGTGTGATGGTCAATTGGGGCCAGTATTTGAAAAAAAGCCAGTTGTTTCCAACGCTGATCGGCCGATCAGCGTTGGAAATTGATACAAAAATACCACTTTTCTTGAAAATGACAGTATACCAGGTGCCATGATTTTACAGGATGCTTTACACTGTCATTCACTAACAGTCCAGCAAGGTATTTCAAAATGATTTGGTAGTTTTATTTTTTGATGTTTGCAAATGTTGTATTTTCCCTTTAAGCACCCTTTTTTTTAGTTTTTGAGCACTTTTGAGCTTCAAACAAACATAGTGCAAATGATCATACCTTAAAAAATCTGAATGGCAAATTACAAAGGGGTCATATGATTAACTTAGAGATTAGTTAACGTTAGACAGTACCACTGCTCATTCTTTTGCACTTCACATACATTTTGTACCAGGGCATTTCTGTCTTATATTTATAAATATACACAAAACCGTGAAGTTCTGCTCACCTGCATCCCTTGATTTTCGTCTTTTTTATGTGAAAGTTAGGTTTGTGAGATCATGAGAAGGCTCAACAAGAATGCCTTTTAAGCAAAGCAGGTGATTCAAAGAAGGAAACAAGTTTTAACCCAAGTCCATAAAAAAATAACTTTTAAGAAGGTTCTTCCCATTCGAATAGCAAGGCCCTCGATTTTTATGTGTATTTTCCTGGTTTCATCAATTTATCTATTGCAGATCTCGGTATAGATTCGTGGAAAGTGTGTCCCCGTAGAGTTAAGCCTCAGACACGAAACAGCATAACAGGAAATTATTGCAGTCTGTTTTCGGCTTAGGGTAGTCTCGATTTCCCCCATCATGTTTTCATGTCTTGAAAGCTTCTGAAACATGAGAAAATGTGCGCTTTTTTGGGTGTGTTTTTTTAAGTCTGGTCCAGTAGCCACTTGAACTAGTAAAGCTACAAGAAGTTTTGAATGTTCCCCCCAAAAATGGTCCAAATACATTGCTGTATCAGATTTGGGGAGAGGGGTCTGGGAATGTGTCAAACCCTGTTGGTCTTTCTTTCACTTTCTCTCTTTTTCTCCCTGGCTGTAAGCCGGAGGGGGATGTTGCGAAAGCATATTCCTTCTGTGTGTATGTATGGGTGTATATGTGTGTATGTGTTCATCTTTTCAAGCCATCGATGAAAAAATACCAGAGAACAAAAGAGAACAATATCATCCACGATTCCCAGCATACAAAACCTTTGGGAGTCTTGCTAAAAAGTTAAAGGGCAATAGGACATCCACGATCGACGGTGAACACACGTTTACCTGCGTATGTGTTTGTGTATCTTATGTCTTGGTTAGGTTAACTTTTGTAAGCACGATAACTTAAGAAATACTTTACTTAGGAACTTCAAAATTGGTTTGTGGATTGTTCTTGATAGTCTTAAGAACCCTATTGATTTTGAGGCCGACAGGTCAAAGGTCAAGGTCACTATTCCTAAAACAAACAAAATCTTGTCCATGCCATAACTTGAGAAAAACTTTCCTTTGGAACATCAAATTTGGTTTGTGGTTGCTCCTGTTAGTCTTATCAAGCCTATTGATTTGGGGGTCGACAGGTCAAAGGTCAAGGTCACTATTGCAAAAACAATAGAAAGCTTCCATTTTGGTTAGGGACACTGACTTTATAAAAAAAATGCCAGCATGATAGGGGGATTGCGCAAGTCTAACTAGCAGTATTTTTTTGGCTTTTTGAACCTTTGACCTTTTACTCCAGACAAAAAAGGAAGTGACTTGATGTTCAGTTGAATGCCTCTTTTGTTAAGCTGTGCAACTGCAATAAACACTTCAAAAAATCATTGTTGGCAGTGAAGAGTGTGCATGATAGATGTCACGCAATTCTTTTTTGAATCATGAATAGACTGCCTCAGGTCGAATGAGAAGTTGGCTGCATGCCAGAAATATTTGGATTTATTTTGGCAATTCTATTAAACACAATGTGGCCAAATGTACATGCATCAACAGCATTTCACATTAATACCAACATGTAGCCTACTGGGGTTGTTATTCAAATCCTTTTTATTTTTTTATTTTTTTCCTCCAAAAAAATTATGTCTGTCCAGAAAAGCTGTCACCAACAGCTTTAAATAATAGACATTTTTAATTTCTTTCTTGGTGGGATCCGAGTATGGCATATGATTTGAGGATGTCAGTAATTGATGATAATTTATAACCAATTTACCAATAATATTTGAATGTTATTCAGTCAAAAATTATTAATACCACATTAGGACAGGAAATTGTATCGATCGGTCTATTTTACTGAAACACTAACCAAATTTGACAATTTGCCAAGTTTCTGATGCAATCAACTGCCTAGTCTGAGCCGAGAGCAGACAAGGGTTTTTTTTGGTTATCATCAAAACAGATGGATTACTGGGAGGAGACGTAGCAGACAAGTTGAAATTGGGTTTTTATTTGACATGGACATTAAACGGTAAAATGACAGCAGTACAGAAACTAACAAGTAGGGGACATACAAGCATGCATGGGTGGAAGGACAAACAAACAGAGTGGATTTTCTGGATTAAACATTCATAAGATTTGTGAGTGCATTGTTGGATGTCTGAGGAACTATTAGGACATTTTTAAGCAGACTTTCCAATGCATAAGTACAGAATGACAATAAAGCGGTAAGTTCAACAGGGCCAACTGGGTCGAAGCAGAACTACGTTGGATAGTCACAAAGTGACTTATGCAGGCCGGAATTAATCCGAGTGCAGACGCACCGTTGGCAGAATAGCCACAACAGAATGTTGACAATCTCTCACGGTTAATTTTTTTTCAAAATTAAATCCAGCGCAAACCCAGATTTAGATACAAAGGAAAGAATATTCGAGAAGAAACTTCTTATACACATGTACAATGTACAGTATGTAACCTATAGCACTACACAAAACTCACTCACGGACTGTCCCTTATATCATTGATTTCCTTACAATGTGGTGTTCTTTCTTCTCAACAATTTCCTCTTCAAACTTGGACACCAAATATTGTATTTCAAATGACTATTGAATAGTCCCACTCTTTAGCCAACAGAAACCCATTCTTTAGCCAACAGAAATTGGTCCATATGGTACTGAGCTGGCAACTTCACAGTTCATGAGTTCAGAGCACTGTCAGTGTCATACTGCATGGCTGGCCTTGTTCACACGCAGTCAATGGGTTTGTTTTGATGATGCAATCACACTGGATGCTGCATGGTTGGCTGTTGTGGTGTTCTAGAAGTAGAACAGCATTCATTTTTTCCCATAATACATGGCTGCAGTCGCCCGCAACTGGTTTAATGATTTTCACATTCTGAGTGAAAGACTAAATTTGTGTTTATTTTGGGGTGTTTTTTTTTGGGGGGGGGGGGGAGGGGGGTGTGATGGGAAGGTTATGTTTATAAACAGTTAGGTAATTAGGTGCTGAAGTGCTGAAAGAATGTCTCCGCTTGTGTGTCTCGTTTGTTCATTCTTAAAAATTGGTCAAGCCTGAAGAGATAGGAAAGAGATTACAGTATATAATCTCACATGTATTTGGGCAACTCTCTAGTAGGACACGAATATTAAAAACAAAACAGCAAGTAATTGTGACATGTAAATTTAAAGTATGTGGATAATGGCACAGCCTGGTAGCAGCGTGAATGGACTGTCCATATTGGGAATTCTCCGGTCATCGTGTAAATTCTTCATTCATTGTGTGTTGTAATGACATGGTCAGAGTTTATTTTGGAAAGCATTGTGATATTTAATTGGAGAATTCACCCAATATTTTGTTAGTCTAGTTACTCCCATTGTCTGCGTGGATAACAGTAATTTGGTTTTTTTTTGTCAAACATTTTGCGGAGAAGAAAATTAATTACCCAAAGGCCATCGAGACGTTTATTTCCTGTGACTGATTCTTGTTTTGTTAAAAATTATTGAAGAAAAATCTGCTTTTATTACACAGAATTGGGCTCTAAATATACTTGATTTGAATCGGGGCAAGAATATGGCACGTGTATAACAACTGCACCGACCAAACGTACATGCATAACCTACATGTACACCATTGTGTCATACAGAAATTGAATATACTGTGATTTGCTCAATTGTTTTTGTTTGTTTTTTAACTTGCCAGCCTTGAAATTTATGTAACAATATTTTCCTAAGGTCTTCTCTCTTGTAATCCTTTTTTTCACGGACATCTGTTTCAGCCAGCCATTCACTCAAAATAATATGGACAAAAATGGTCTTTTTGTTGCTATAGAAACCTGCCCCTGGGAGTTCTGTTGTCAGTGGGCATCGTGATGGTCATCTATGTGCTGACCAACATCGCTTACTTCACTGTCATCTCGCCTCAAGAGCTACTCATCTCCAAAGCTGTCGCCGTGGTAAGTAAGAGGGTGACACCTCCGCCTCCCTCCCCTCCCCAAAAAAGTACCAACAAGGAGTAGCAAAAAGGATGGCAGCCATCTTTAATTACCGCCAACTCTAAGAACTTCTCTTTATTTTTTTCCATGTCATTTTATTTCTACAGTAATTGCTAATTCCTAAACCAGCCCATGACAGATTTCTGTTCCGTTTTGGGGAAGTGTCGGGTAACTGGGTGGGATGAAGATGGCCGCCGAACTTTAACCCGCTCTCGACATGTACGTCTCGTTCAGTGAATTCTGCATCACAACTGACTGTTAAGATGCTAACTGGTGTGACTTTCTCAGACTGAAGCTCAGAAGTTGAAGAATACATAACCGCGACCCCAGGTGCCGAGAAATCCAAGCAACTCAATTGACTGAGCGAGCCAGAGTTTTCTCCATCAAACTTTTTGCCGCCTCAAAGTTCAATGTCAGCTGAGATGAAACGGCTTCACTTCTTCGTAATCTACATCTGACTACAAGTTCTGATCTTTGATGCATTGAGGTCGAACCAGAGCCTCATCTATTGCGTGCACAGCTTCTCTACCATTGTTTCGACTCGTATCTAAACTCCTATGGCATGTATGGCATACTAATGAACAGTCCTAAACCCCTCATAATGCCATTAGAGGATGGTAAGTGTCACAGCTCAAGTCCTGCAACGAAGTTTGATGTATCTCAAATTTGCTTTTATTGTTTTATTTGCTAGTAAATATTCAAGTGCCATACGTTTAAAAAAAAACAAAATGGAAACTGACTAGGTGTATTATAATATTTTTTGAAGGTCTCCTTTTTTTCAAAAATGGGGAACTGCCAACATACATGTATGGCTGGATAGCTCAGTTGGTAGAGCACCGGAACGGCAATCTGGAGGTCACAGACTCTAACCCTGCTCTAGTCATTTTCTTTGTTTCTTCAACTATACCAAAAAAGGGGGGAAAATGTGAACTTGTGTTGGCCAAAGTACACGTACCTGTGTGTAATACCTCTTGCCTTGAAGCATGTATTTGAATCATTATTTTTTTCCTTCTGCACAAATTTACATGTAGTTCTTACTAAAATGTACAAGTCCTTTTCTGGTAACAAACGCCATGCACTCTGTCTTTATAGTATACGAGTATACATGTATACTACACTAGTGGACTAGAAGTGGCTTTTGTCATCAGTCGGCATGAAATTTGGTGGCATATTTCAGACTTTTATTTTTGCTGGTACAAGGTCATTATTAAGCCTAGTTCATACTTCATGCGGATGCGAAATCGAAGCGAATTGGACGTCATGAAACATTTGCTGCAAAATGGGCCCGAGTTGAAATGTGTTCAACTTTTGTGAATTCGCAGCGCCAATACTTACCATGATTCACAAATTCGCGTTCCCTTTTGCTTTCGCACCGAGTATGAACCAGGCTTTACGAAGGAAACGGAGAGAGACAATTAATTGTATCCTGCCCGTTGTACAAGAGATAGATTAATGATTTTCGTTATTCCGGGTGTTGAGATTAATCTGATTTCTTTTTCCGTCTTTCTTTTCCAGGGTTGATTTTATTTTAATTTTGGCTGTTCTCTTTGAAATTGTTAAGAGTGGCATAGCTGGCTTGCTTCGCGACACAAAAAGTTGTCAACTTTTCTTTTGTGTGCAAGAACATGAGTTTTCCAAGAGGAACCCAAAAGGGCCGTTTGGCACAGCAAAAGTTTCATATTTTTTCCATCTCATTTGTTTATAGACTTTTGGTGAGCGGATGTATGGACCGATGTTATTCGTCATCCCTGTATCTGTTGCTCTGTCCTGCGCTGGTTCCATCAATGGCAGTCTTCTCAGTGATTCTAGGTAAATTTAGATTTCAATTCAAATTTTGAAGCGTTTGGCAATTTTTTTTGGGGGGGGGGCATAATAGGACCTACAAAAGTAAAACCAATTTTAATATTTTTTTTTAAGTGGTAGGTAAATGAAATTGCTATCGGCATTGAAGAACATTAAAATGTACCATTGGAAGTAGTTAATTGAACTTGTTCACTCTTTTGAGACTTTTGAAATAATAGGATGTAGGGCCCACTAATTAAATCTTGGTTTAGTTTTGGAAAAATGCCAAGTTTTTACCCATCCCCTGTGAATAAAATCGGATTTTCATCATCAAAATCAATTAATTGAAAACAAATTTAATTTGATATGATTTGATTTAGATCCAAACATCACAATTACATTAACTTCTTAGATAATTTGGGGTAATTTGGGTCAACAACTTAAAAAAAAAAAAAATAACATGAAATTGGAAGATTGGCATCTTTCATTGTTTGAACGTGGTTCCCAGCTAAAAGATGTTCAAACCAGCTGAATCCAGATTGAATAGATATCTCTTCTTTAACAACCTGTTGAGGCATTGTACTGCAGACAAGTGTCATTGAACTGATAACAATATTTGCATCTATTGGTAGCATTGTGTGACAATGGGTGCTGGATAACATGGAGAACTTTGATTTGAAAATAAAGCACTCCTAAGCTTGTTGACCTTGCTATAAAATCATCACCGACACCACGAACTGACACCCTCTGCATCACATGTGTACAAACAATTTTAACATTTCAAATTTTCTTTTTTTGCCGATATTAGCAGTTTGTTTCATGAAGTTTAACATGACGAAGTTAAAATTGCTGAAATCATCTAAAATAAGCAAATTTTACTAATGAATTTTCAAGAAATTTGTCAATTCTGGTGTTTTTTGTTACCACGAAGTGACACTGCACAGGGTGTCAGTTCGTGAAAATAAAAATTTACGTGTTTTTGGAGAGTGTGCGCATGCAATAGTGTAAGGGAGTGTCAGTGCGCAGTGTGTGCGCGCACTCTCCCAAAACACATCAATTTTTGTTTTCAGGAACTGACACTCACTAATGCTATTGCATGCGCGCACTCTCCAAAAACACATACATTCTCGTTTTCACGAACTGACACCCGTCTTAATCATTTAATTGCTCATTAACTAAGCATATTTTCACAATATAACGTTTATAATTGAGTAGTTAAAGCATTTTCACGTTAAGTGATACTAAAACCTCTAAGATAGATGGATTATTTTACTAAGTAAATTTGTGTCAAACCTTTAAAAGCGTTTTTCTCCGATTTGTATTTCTGCAACACTGACCACCGGGTGTCAGTTCGTGGTGTAGGTGACGAAATATGCAATATTGCTTGTATACAAGATGTAGTCAATATGACCCATCTGGCCGGTTTTCTTGGCATGAAAAGACTAAGAATATTTCTATTCCCCCTGGATGGCACGCGAGTCCATCGCAGGTTACTCCCCAGCTAATGCCAGTACCCTTTTAAACTCCTGGGTGGAGAGAGGCAAGTGGGGGTGAAGTGGCTTGCACGAAGACACAATGTATGGCCAGTAGCTGGATTCGAACCCCTGACCCTCTGATCATGATTCACGAACCCTAACCACTTCAACTCCACTTCAGGTGAACACTTGAAAAGTGCGAAAAAATAGTTGTTTTTAGAAACCGAAAAAGGAAAGATTTTGTGATATGTTCCGAATGGATTATGTTTATTGGTTGTTTTTTTCTTCTAGGACCACGTTTGTTGCCGCCAGAGAGGGCCATCTTCCAAGGATTCTGTCCATGATCAGCATTAACAAGCGTACCCCACTGCCTGCTGTCCTCCTGATGGTAAGATATAGAAGTCACCGAAAGAACTGAGTCAAGGGGAAGGAAGGGCCATTGAAAATTGAATGTAGCAATACCGAGACACAAGCACACAATGTGGTGTCCACCTGTTTTCCTGACCCTGTTAATCTGACAACTATGCTTTTATAATTCTGATGCACTCCTTTATGCAGTCGTCCCCCAAGAGAGATTAGGAATAGCAAACTGCCTACCCAACTAAACAATTGTTTGAAGTCATTCTTAATTGTACTTGAATGGCAAATTACAAAGTACCAAGGTAACAGGGACAGGAAATATGTCACACTTTGGACCCGTAATTTACTGTATAGAATGACCAATTTGTATATGAGGATGCATACAAGTCTCGACGTAGTTATGGCAGCCATAATTTTTTTCTGGACTGTTGACATTAATATGGCAATTTTGTACTAAGATCCACTTGTGAGTTACTTTGCTTTGCCAGTAAAAGCGAACGCAAATTTGTGACATCAGGGCAAGTTTTCGCACTGCGAATTCACAATTGTTGAATACATTTCAACTCTGGCGAATTTGGCAGCGAATGTCTTGTGGCGTCAAATTCGCATCGCATTCGCATTAAGTCTGAACCGAGCTTACAGTTTAAACAGAAGTTTACATATAACCTCAAAGGCGCCACTGTCAAACATGTGGGAATCCTAAACTTTGCGTCAAAGTTCAAATTAAAGTTGACTCATCTCTGTCTTGTTTTCCCCTTCATGTCCCCTCAGCTGCCCATCTGCTTGATCATGCTTGCAAGCGATAACGTCTATAGCCTCATCAACTATCTGAGTTTTGCCAAGTGGTTGTTCCTGGGTCTGTCCGCAGCTGTCCTGCCTTACATGAGATGGAAGAGGCCTGATATCCCAAGACCTTTCAAGGTAAAAACCTGCATTTCAAACGTACTTTAAGAAAAGTTGATGCAATGGCAGGCTGAAAGCTTTGATCAGTAGTAACCCTTTTTCAGTGTACATGTATGTCACATCAAATAACCTAATATTGCAAGCAGCTGGAGTAAACAGGGCACCCAATTTGCTGACTAACCGGTTAAAATTGCACATGCATATTCAATCCAAAGTTCCATTGGGGTCATCTAACAACAGCATACAGTCTTTCCCATTCAGATGTTATATGTCTCATTCAGAATAATTATGTCTCCAATTTTGTTTGCGAATATATAACCAACGTTTCAATCAAATCCCCCCCCCCCCCCCTCATGTGCTGCAGGATAGCACCTCAAAAAATCATCATGTTTCTCTGTTAGGCGGTTTGTTAGTGAGAATGTTGACATTGTCTGTTGCTCCTACATATTTTGACCAATTTCAACAAAACTTTGTCAAAAGTATCAGTAGACCAGCCCCAACATGTCACATGACCAAACTGGGGTCAAAGGTCATCATGGGGTCACTGGGGGCGCAAACTAACCTGATTTTGTTTACTCCAAACACACTCCTTCCAGAAATTACATGGCACAATCATGTGACTCATGTATGAACACAAAGTCTTGGCCCGCAGCGTCCAGGATATTTCCGATCGAGCTTGTTTAACAGAGCAGTGTTTTCCCAAAAAATTGCAACTCTGTAAAAATTTTATGAATGTATGCAAATCTAACAATTAGAAATAGGACATTGTTTAAAGTGTTTTAATTCTCATCTTTGTTTTGCTTTGACTGTATTTTGTAATTGCTTTACAGGTCAACCTTATTATCCCTGTCCTGTTCATACTCTCCTGCCTCTATGTGGTTGCCGTATCCCTCTACTCTGCCCCATTGGATTGTGGGATAGGTCTGGGCATTCTACTGACGGGCGTGCCTGTCTACTATCTGTGCATCTGGTGGGAGAACAAACCCATTTGGCTTGATGACTTCATGGGTGAGCAGAGCTTTTATCCTAAGACGACAAAATTGTCTCAAGTTCAAAAGAGAACAAATTTCTATCATTCAGTGCCAAATTCATTTGTTTGCAGTTGTTGGAAGCAATGTTATTTCGATTTCCATGCGTAGAACACTGTATGGCTATACTTTGTAGAGTACGTGTACTTCTGAAAGAGTGCTTGAAATCATTGGAAAAAATCCATATTCCCCCCCCCCCTTTTTCTAAAGGCTTTTAAAAAAATGGTTTAACCCAACTGTGCAATAACTGGTCAGTGAACTTGACAGTTTTCACTTTAATTCACTCTTCTTCTTTTTTGCAATATAGTAAAATCCACCAAGTTCCTTCAGAAATTGATGCTTGTCGTCGTCCAGGAGAAGCAGACATACTAAATTCTGGAGGAAACAAATCCCCATGGAGTCTTCCCAGCAGGAGTCAGGGGACTAGACAGCAAGTGCATCTATCGTAGACTTTAGTTCGATGATCAAGGCTGATTGGCAAATGGGCAATTGCAGCGTCACAGACATAACACATCTGACATTTTTGGGGGGTAATTTAAGAGCTCAGTGAATAAACCTGAAATTGTGTTTTTCAAATCTGATACACCCATCATCTAGTAATGGTCAAGGAGATTACAGACTTGGATTTTTGGATCATTTCTCTGAATCATTAACTAGATTGGTTTGTCACGGACATTACATTTTCTTCCATAACGCTGGATTTGCCCAGTAGTACTGCTGATCTGTATATCTCTAGTTATTTGAATGGTGAGTTTCCCATAGCAACAGTTTGGACAGTGGCATGGAATTATTGTCCAAACTGTTGCCTGGTATTCGAGATGTAGAACGTGTCTCTGTGCCTTTTTTTGTTGTAAAATGTCGCTTAAGCTTGGACTCCAATCACGTGGTAGTGCACAGGGAACCTTAGGACCATTTGGAAAAAGCAATTTACATAGAGTTATATATTTTTTTACATGGAAACTAAAACCCTACAAAAAATGGAACTAACAGAGACTTGAAACAATCAATGCAAATGACGTCTTCACTCTCGGGCATTGGGATAGGGTGTGGTTGAGTTGCTAGCAGTGTAGATGTTAATGACTTCATCTTTAATAAGGGGGGGAAAACAGTGTGGAATTAAAGTTACGAATGGCGACTTTGCTGCATATATATTTATTTTGCTGTATTGTTGGGTGAAGGGTTGTAGTTAGGAGGACATGGGGTGTATGCGGGGGGCGTGTTGGTGCTGTTTGACATTGTCGTTCCCATTGTCCTCCAAAAACACCCCCTCCCCTCCCCTCCCCACCCCCCCAAAAAAATTAATCAAATAGTTTATTCAGCACAATGATTTACTCAGAACTTTTACTCAGAATCATTTATTTTTTTGAGATATATCATTGATTTATTCCCTTTTTGGTTTGAAATGCTTGTCTATTTGTAAGGAGTTTCTTATTTTTGAAGCTATACAGAAATCTGCCTTACTCATTTTTTTTTTTTTTTGATTTGTTTTATTTTTAAGATATATCTTTAATGTGAAAACTGTTCAATATATACTTCTTGTTATATATGGAAACAGGGTCAGGATGTTACTATATGTCTGGGAAAAAAATAAGTAATGAAAATATTAAAATATGAAACTTCTTTGTAGATTTTTTTTTGTTAAAGTCAGTTGACTTTTATTGATATTAGTTTCAATGTATTTATTATTTCTGGTGCAGAGTCTGCTTCTGAATTTCTTGAAATATTTTTGCTGGTTTTTTTTTTCTAATTGTTAACTGCTTGTTATATAAATCAACAAAGACAAGCAGGAAAGAAATACTGTAGTGGTTGTTTTTATTTTATTTATTATTTTAAGGCCATGTTCAAACCAAAAATCTTTAGATGGTGCCAGAAAAAAAATCATTTGAAGAACGGATGTACATGTATGTACAATTTAAAATCGTTTGATTTTGTTGAGCTCCATGTAAAATAAATATAAACCTGTGACTGGTTTAATTGATGAGTTTTAAATGTAGTTTAGTAGGTTTTAAGGAGTCGCCATTTTCATGGCTCTAAACTTGGAACTCTATAAACTTCACTTTTGTTAACGATGAAATAGAAGAATGGGAAAAAAACAATCAATGCAATATATTTCTAATTTTGTACATACAAAGCGTAATTACAAAAGTTGAATATTTTGCTGCTGCCTTTCAGGCGATATATCATTAAGTGAATTTGATCAATTCTTGTTAAACCGTTGGTTTGAAGAGAGTGTTTTCAATGCAAGAAAATTTCATGTGAAGGGATTTTTGTACAGTGCATTTATTGCATGAAATGATACTGACTTAAGTATCTGTAAACAATATTGACTTGGACTGAAGCTTCTGAAAAAAAACTTTGTTTAATAAATGTTCTTCTTTCTTTAAATTTGAAACAAATATTATAAATGCAAACCAACAAATTCTGATAAAGGGCACGTCAAATGCCATTTCGTGGTGAAAATGGCACAACTCGTGTCATTTTGGAACGCTTTTACATGCTGTTATCATTCACCATTCTATGAACATAGATGGAAGAATAACAAATACATGTATTTAAGATTGGAACAGAGGGTTGATTTTGCTGTATATTTAAGAAATACATTGTAATTCATAAGTTTTATTGAACAACATTTATGCACTTTTTTTTCCTGCAGAAAACTTCTGTAATTTTGTAAATATAATCTTCAGAGTTATGCTTGTTACCATTTTTGGGGAGTTAGAGAAATTTGTTTAAATTTTATTTCAGATTTTGAATTCTCCTTCAGTTAAAGTTTGCTACAGTAAAATTTTAAATTGCAGTTTAACTAAGGTAAAAAAGCATGAATAATCCAATTATGATTTATGGTATTTGTTTAGGTAACCTGCATGAATTAAGCAATTTGAAGTATTCTTTCGAGATTTTTGTTCACCCTAAATCTTCCAGATCTGTCCAGATCTGTCCAGATCTAAAAACTGAATTGTGCCTAATTTTGATGAATTCGAAATTGTACAGACCAGATTGTAATGATAACTCTTCAATAGGATTTGTGTCTTAATATTGATTGTAATATATTTTGTGGACTCTGGAAGATTTAGCCGGTATGTAATGTAACACTCAATAGTAAATACATTTATCAGTATATCTCAGCATGAACTGTTTAAAGTTTACAATAATGCTACTTTGTTTATTTTTGGGAGCAAAGTGCCTTTGGGCATTATATGTAAATATGTTAAATTCTGACCTTTTTCTGGGATATATATCAATGTTCAGATATCATATTACATGTATTGGAAATGTTTGAAGTTCAGTGAAGTGTCTTCATTTATGATTGGGATTAGGCCAAGGAAAAATAAACAACAGTTGATCACCCAGGATTTTTTTCAAAAAGAGGAGGATGAGGGCATTTTAAATTTATTTTATTGAAAAATAGACTAAAGTAGTCATATTTAGCTTACACGATATGTGCCTTAAAAAGAGGTCCTTTTTATTTGATAGTTCTGGTAGTTGTCTACTAGTTGCGACCACAAAACCCTCTGAAAGTACTTATTGAACATTAGTAAAGCTATTAGAAGCATCTGAACCTCTGAAACATCTTTTTTTTTTAAATCTTATGCCGAATTTAAAAAATTGATGCAGCCTCAAAAAAGGAAGCAGGCGGTGACGATCCACTGGTATTTTTTTTTTTCCTTGGCCTTACTAGAAGTCAATCACCGTGTATAAATATACTCTCCATTTACTGAAATATTTCAAGAACATTACATAGTTTGTCCCTTTCAAAATAGACACTTTGTCGCATTTACTTTATCCTTTTCTTTTTGGTTTGAGTATTTAAAAGACAAAGACATTTTTTTTTTCCTTTCGAGTTCAACCTGTAACCATTGTATATCCTGGTGGATAGAAATATAGAAATAAAAACTATTGGAATTATCTGCAAAATTGGATGTTTTCATTTGATTGATGTGATGCATTCCCGACAATAGAGAGGTTTTGAAACAAATGGATATGGCTAGCACACCGGAAGGGTCATCAGTTGGTGTGGGTCTTGTGACGACAAACGCAAATCGCAATCTGCTATGCATGTACGCAGCACGGATGCATCGCGTCAGTGTGAAAAACATAGTAAATAAACAATTTTCACCCTCTATTTTCAACCAAGAGATTTAATTATGTATGATTTGAACCCACTGGCAAACCTTATTTGAAACAGGAGTGTACTTTTCCCAGTAATTTCCTTGGACCTCTAGTCTTAACATAAATATAATAATAACAATCAAATCTGAATTATGATCAGGAAATCTTACTTAAAGTACAAAAATATAATCTACTTTTCAAAAAATAGATTTTTGCTTTTAAAATAGTGGGAAAACACTGTGGCCTCTACTATTGATAAATAAATGACTAATATGACTAATCGTTAGCTTCATTAGTACCAAAAGTAATGGAGTCAAAGTACAGTTTCATCAAACTGCAAGCTAAAAACTCCGTTTAACAAATTAGTTTAAAATCAGCACAGAATTGGTGAATATGCAACAGATATCTGATCTCTTGGTCAACTTTTTTGGGCTGTCGATATTTGCTCTGTAAAGACCAATCCAGGCACGCGTTTCACTTTTATCATGAAGGGCCCCTTCAATGGCAGAAGCATTGTGCTAGCTATTGTTCAAATAATCCGTCGCAGGGCAGCTGCTTTGTGCAATAGCGTGCACAATGGTTTCTCCATCGAAGGGGGCCTCGTGCGTGTGGAGTGATCAAACTGCCCGGATTCATCTAAAAATCACAGAATTGGTAAATACGCAATAAACATCTAATGATATTTCATTGTCCAGTGAACCTTCCTTACTCTATACATCGTGTGATATCCAAAACAATGCGGGGCCTAATCCATCATTTTTAAAGCATTAATCAATTTTTGTAGTAAATCAGGTGCTGCCTTAGAGCTCCCTGAAATTCGGCCCATGTCTTTGTAAACCATTATTACATTCATGTTTCCTGGGATATATCACAATGCACTTAATCTTTGACTAAATCTTATTATGGACGAAATCTGTTAAAAGATGAATACTTTTAAACTTGTAAACAATAAATAAGATATGTAATATCGATTAAAGAATTTTCAAAATATATTAACCAATAGTTTTTCTAAATTAATTTGATAAATTAATATATGATTTAATATATAAATTAATGATATAAAGTTCAACTTCCAAATGGAAACAACATTCTCGACAACGACATTGGTGGAAGGCAAAACAAAGAATTAAAATTTACATCGCTGGAATTCAAAATTCCATAATACCTGACAAATTTCTGCAAATTAATAAACATTACCTTTAAAACTCATAAAACAAAAACATTAAGAGCTTGCAATCGACAAATAAGATGAAGTCTTGTAAGCCTAAGAAGTTAGTGAAAAAAATGTGATATTTTGCACAATTTCCACTATCCATGTCATTTTTTAACTTAAAAATATTGTTCAAATGGACTCCGTGCACGAACTATTTTAACCAGTATGACTGCATGGTTAATATTGCGAATTGAATCTGACTGAAATTAAAACTGCTGTGGCAATGACCAATGACAAAACATCTCTGGGTGGACTTGATGAAGCAGGCCCTTTTTCGGGGGTGACATTATTCTCTACCACATCCATCTCTGGTGCCTGATTCCTTTTGCCAGGCTGACACTGGAATGACACCAGGCTGTAGAACCACTCCTCATTGATGCACTCACATGTTAGGTCAATAGCATTGAACTTTGACCCTTGTGGGCAACCTTCAGAAATAAACCCAACACTCCGGAGCTAGTGAAACAAAAAGTGGAAAAACTTGTCATTTGTTTATATAAAATCTTGTGAAATACATTTACATGAAAATTGGCCAGATATAGGCCCATTTTGCAACCACTCTGTTGAAAAGAATAACGGCAGACCTTAATTGTTATGTTTTCTGTTTTTTATGTCTCTTTTGCATGTCATTAATGATGGCCATTTCATGTACGACACTAATCAAAATGTGTAATGCTATTTTGCATTCAACTGTGTCCCCAACACGCACCTGGGGTAGTTTTGTCGAAGCGATCAGCGTTCGTTTCGCCCGGTGCCCATCTCGCCTGGTTCTCTCATCATCGGTGCTCACTAGCGTGTATATTGTCGTCATGGTGTACGAATTCCTCTCCTCTGTAAAACAATGTGCATGAAGACATTCCAGTTTATTTAAAAATGGTCTTTTGTATTTGTAAACATTGATACATTTGCTACATTATTAAATACAAATAATGAATGTTTGTGAGTGCAATGGTAAGAATAATTTTGCCAAGTGGATCGAACATTCCATCTGTCACTGAATGAAATCATTCTTTCCATTGCACGAATGTGAAACTTTCATTATTTTGTTTTATACAACACCTGAATAAATCCTCGTCAACTGATTGGTCAGGGCCATCAAAAGTGTGATCGTGCAATGGAACTTCCATTCACCGTGGAATGGGACTTCTATTTTTGCCGTGCCGCCACACTGGCTTTGGGACGAATAATTCAATGACATGTGATCAATGACCAACCAATCGGATGACGGGGATATCTTTTAACCTGAAACCTAAGTGTATAGACCCAGTGCATTCAGCAACCATTTCTGAGGTACTGTCTGCTACTGACAAACAAAAGCATGACCTCAAGGATGGCTGCCGTGCGTACAACCCTTAAACAAATACCAAGAAAATTTGACAACTTTTTCTTACGGGATAAGACAGTATTCTGGAGCTGACTTCGATGCACATTTTTCTCTCGGTCATATTCCTCCAGGCGAAGTGCACTGCCAGGAGGCGGGGGTGAGATCACGTCTCTTGTGTAGGTGACGGGTGGGGGCAAGGTGGCAGGAGGAGGAATATAGACTGGCGACAAAAAAAATGAATGCACTAGTTTTGGATAATGTGAAGTAACAAAGAAGTTGAAAATCAGCATTGATAGACAGCTATGTTTTTAGTTTAGAAATTAGCCTGTTTGTATTAGTAATTGTTTGATAGTGGAAAAACGGACTGCACCCTTCCAACCCATATCTGCCAAATGTTAATTAACATGAATTTTAACAGACTTGGGCTAACCCCAAGACTTCTTAAATTTGTAAAAATATTCCAGTTTGTTACAAATATTTATCCTGGTAAATATGTCTCAATGAAGGTCTATTCATACCTGATTTGGAATATTTTATGAAGATGGCAAATTCTTCAGCAGAGCCAAGCTGCCCTACATGACACGAATGACAGAAAAAAAGGAATACTACAAATCAAAACATGTTAGAATACCAACCAATAGAAGAATTGCATTTGCTCATAAATATGTACGAGTTGTACTCATTCCATACCAGAGAGTTGCCTGCTCACACTGTACCTCTTTTGAAGTTGGTCATAGTGTTGAGCTTGCTATAGTAGAAGGCCGGGTAGGAATGGTGTCTTTCCCACGGACATGGATGGTCGTGCTGCCCACCGTCGAGCACGACCAGCCAGCCCAACTGATGACCACAACCCTTATACCAATGGCTGATGAAGAAACGACGTCCAAGATTGCCATGGCTGTATATAACAACCAATAAAATCGGTTAACACAAAATAAGCCTATAACCATAAACCTGAACCCTAACACTAATCTGGACCTAAAACCAGTAAACAGCACATTAAAGTCCACACATTAATGGAATCATCATTTTCTTTGTAATCAAACATATTTAAAAAATGAATGTCAAAATTGTTGTCCAGAAAAAAAAACATAAATCACAACCAAAAGTAGGAACAGTACCCTACTAAAGTTCATGGCTTACTTTTGCTGAAAGGCATATATCGGATTCTTTGCTTTTTGTGCAGTTTGTTTGTTTCTAATAATAACACAACTCAAAATCTAAAAAAGAAATGACCCGTTGAACTTTCAGCTAAATTATACTTTTCGAGAAAACAGTAAAAAAAAAAAAAACCACACACAACCCTTTGATAACAAAACAGGATTTGGTCCATAGCATTCTGCATGTTCTGTATTTCCAAAAAATCAGTCAATTGACTGATCATTGGAAATCACCTACATTTCTTGATTTCTTCTTAAAGACGGCAAGCCAGACGGAATAATTTCACGGGGGTGAAACGACCTTTAATCCAAGTAAGCGTTTTGATAATAATTCGGTAGGTTACGTTGAGATAAATGCAAACGATCGGATGTGCCTTTTGAAGTTTAAACCTCTACATCTGCTTTGGAAATAATTAAAAGTTTAGTTTTTCCCATGAAATTGAACAATATAAAACTGGCAATTTGTGAGATAATTACCCTTCTATGCTAAAGAAATTCTTGCTGCTCCTGCTGATGTCTTCAAAAGGAGAGGATATCAGACGATTGTCGCTAAACCAATCCATCTTGTTGGAGTCTGTACCATCAAAGGTTAGCTCTAGAAGTGGCTGACGACTCTGGTACCACAGGACTACCTTCACCTACAATCAAGGGAAAAAATGCACACCATGACTTGAATCCGAGCTGGTAAATGTCGGTTTAAATTTGCCTCAGTGCCCCCTCGGTCAACGCCTTCTATTCCTAAAGGGTGTCTGAAAAAGAAACAAACCCTCAATGCCCGCTCTTTTTCATAGCTTTCAAAAAATACCTCGCAAATGTTGAAACATTTGTGGAGAGTATAGTTCATTAGCTTTTCACCAACGAAACTATCTTTGGGTGATAGCATCTAGCATAAGAAAGTCCAATTCATAAGCTTTCTTTTAGTACAAGAATCATTCAAATCACTTGTGTACTTTTCAAGTTACGGAATTTTAAACACAACCACTGTTTAAAGTTCTGTCCATGGATCACAAGAGGTAAGTGTTCTTTCAGCAAAACAAAAACAAATCACATAGGGATGTGTGTGAATTGTTTTCATTTTGCTGAAAGAACGCACCCCTTTTTTGTGATCGGTGGACAGAACTTTAAAACGGTGGTTGTGTTTAAAATTCCGTAACTTAAAAAGTACATAAGTGCTTTGAATGATTCTTGTACTAAAAGAAAGCTTTTGAATTGGGCTTTCATATCCTAGATTTCAAAAGTGCTACATGCAGAACTTCCCTAAAACAATAGTCCCAACATTTGGGTTTCCCTTTTTTGACACACCCTGTACACTCTCTAAATGTGTATCAAAATTTGCGATTAATATTTTTTAAAAGCTGTGAAAAAAGGGACTTGAGGGATCGGGGTTTGTTTTTTTAGACACCCTGTATTTATCCCTATAGTCAATACCTTCTCTACAGTGATGGAGTCTGCCCATTCTTCTACCAAGCTGCTCTTGTACAGGTCCGAGTTGACTGCCGAATCCGAGGTGTAGTCTGACGAAGCCCAGAAATCATAGATGCTATACCCAGTGTGCTGTGTCGCTTTGAACACTAGACGGAACCCTGTTGTTGAGAAATGTGCATGGAATAAGTTTGCCCTTTTACAAATATCTTTAGCCATTACCTGCATGATATACATGACGTTGTATCGCTCGATGCCACAGTGAACTGTTGAGGCATGTTCATGCATACTTCTACATGAATTTCAGTGCGAGGAAATTGTTAGGGCAAATGTACATTGCAGTGAAAGTGTAGGATGTACAGCTTTTATTAACGATACAAAAACTTACCCTCACTGTCGTAGAGATCACAGTCTTCTCTGTTGCATGAACTAGTTTGGCTGCTCTGGCCGCTGCATCCATTCTGTGTATCTATGCATTCTCTCTGTCTGTTGCGAACACCGCCCCCACAGGACTGTGCGCATTCGGTCCACTCCGACCAGAAACCCCACCCTCCCGGCAACGCCTCCAGTGTGGTAACGACAGGTGATGAGTACGCCAAGAATGTAATCACTTCCACCCAGTCCATTCGACAATGCTCCGAGTAACCTGCCAAGAAGCGACCATTTTGACACGTGGGAGGCTCTAGAGTTATCTCAGGATTGCGAGATTCTGTCGTATAGAAATTTCCTTGGTAAATTCCACTTCCCAAGCTGCATATGCTCCACAGGAATCGGTAAAAGGAATCATCAACCGCCAAGCTCTGCCAGTAGTCTTCATCCAAACTGTCCGAAGATTCCGATGAAAAGCTTTCTGAGTCTTCTCTCTCGTTCTTCGTGAGTTCTGAAACTATCTGTAGCACTTCTGTCAACTGGACATTGTCATTTGTATTCAATCGCTCAACTGATTCGATGACATAATCGCTGAAACTATGAACCCTATCGGCAAAGTACTGCACCCTGTCTCTTAAATTGCTCAGGAATCCAGAGGGCTCAAACCCCCGAATGATTTCTTCATCTTGAAACAGCAGAATGCTATACAGGGCCGTATCAACGCTCTTCAAGTCCGAGTTTTCTTGAAACTCAAGGAGTTTTCGGAAATAACTGGGTTCCAGATGTAAGACTTGTAGCAAACGAAGAGTCTCCACTGACAGAGACACATCCTGACTGGTTGCGACTATCTCTTGAACGAGGTCCCTCAAGTTAGTCAACTCCTGCAAAAACTGACAGGTGCGAGATGACAAATCCACCCAGTCTGGTTGATAATGGTACCGATAGTGCCTCTCGGTATCAAAATCTTCACAGTGGAGGTTGACTGGGTCTGTAGGCCCCACATACGAAAGGACCTCAGGCTGGCTAGTGAATGCTGAGTAGACAGTTTGGAGATCTGAATCCAAGCTGGCGTCAGTTCTCGTCAGAACCGTCTCGAGGATGTGGTACTGGTCCAAATGAGGAGCAAAGTGCAACTGGAAGGCAGGGTCGTCTACGATAAATGTCGGCTGTAAAGTCGGAGGACTTGATGAGGACAAGGGCTCAATCATATACAGCACGGCCAAGCTTGCATCACCTGTGTCATCTTGAAGGAAATAAAGGGATGACGTAGAACTCCCTAGAGAGGTGCTGATGGTAGAATCATGATGAGGTCGGATGTAGACACTGTCAGCGACCACTCCAGTCAAAATGATATACTCCTGGCTCAAAACTTTCTCAACTGTCAAGAAAAAATACTATCAATAATAAATTTACAGAACTATACACAGTTTGTTGTGTGCTCTTAATGTAAATAAATTCCCCAAACTACAACAGCTGGATTAAACAACCCCCCCCCCCTAAATTTCACATCGCAGGGAAAATGATTATCATGTGAACTTTCACAGTTGAAACATTTTTAATGTTTCATTGCAGAAACAATATTTTGTTTAACCAAAAATATTACCTGACATTGGGCACATTGTATTTCTCGTCAAGGACCATTTAGTTTTGCATATCTGTATAATCAAAAGTCCTGTAAATTTTTCTTGTTTGTTAAATGTGGGAAATGAAACAACAAGGTGCATATCCATAATAATTCAACATGGGGACTGAGGCAATTTAAGTCTTACCTGTGTATGTTTGCGGGACAGGTGTTGGTGGAACCACTGTTTTGAAACTTTCACCGACTTCATCTACAAAATTACCCAAATATTGATTACAACTAAAGGTTGGGACTGTTACTCAATAAATATTCAATTAAATAAATTTTGGGGGCTAGTCGTCCTTACTCGCGCAGCAGAAGCTGAATTGCGAAGGATGCAGTTACAACATGGTCAAGCCGAAGGCATGTAAAGGTGCCTTAATACCGGAGCACTCAGCCAGATCGAAAGTGTTTATTTGCGGAGGGGGAAAAACCTGAGAATTCAGAGGAAAAACCCTTGTGGCACAGGAGAGAATCAACGATTAATCTACTCACTTATGACCCAAGCCAGGAATCGAACCCGGGCCATATTGGTGAGAGGCAAATGCTTTAGGTACTGCGCCACCCATAAACTTTCAATTTTTCTGTTGAATGGTGATAGGTCAAACATGGCTAAAAACATGCATGTTCACACCTAACAAGAACTATTTGAGCTTACCTTCTGATGGTGCATCAGTTGGCAGGAGCATGGCCTGGTATTCCGGCTCCTCAGCAGGGTCAAAGGTGTAACTGAGATCCTCACCGACAAAGGCGGAGTACCTGTCCTCTTCCCTGGCTCCAAGACAACCCTGTACAAAGACCCTTGAAAGTCTGGTTCATATTCTTAACGGGTGAAGTCAAAATGACATCTCAAAACATGACATCAGCAAATTTTGCTGTGGTGTCATAAAAGTCCTAAAAGAGAGTCATTTTTTAAGATGCATACACCTCTTAAAAAAATTGAGTTTTTTTTCTCCTAATAAACTTTCAATTTGTATGTTTTGTTTTAACCAACAAAAAAGCTACTTTATTCTGATTTTAGGGCATCTGCAACCCTCTCAAAAGGGTTTTCATTTTGCGCACAGATAACCCACCCTGCGAAAACCAAATTATTGTCTGGCAGCCAATAATTCAAATCTTGTGAGGAAATAATTCAATAACTAAATGTCGGTGGATCTTTTTCGTTCAATGTCTCTTTGAAAAGTGACTGACTTTTATATTGCTAGGAAAAATAGCAAGTGAAAAAACAAATCCATTTTTTGAGGTGAAACTGGAAAATAGCACGGGGAACACGTCTTTAACCATTCTTGCTCATAAGCAATATATCAGTACATTTGACAGCTTCTCTTTTTAACCCCTTGATGCCGGGGCATAATGGGGACATTCCTCCATACACAGAGCAAGTGACCCGCATGACTGCACAGCCGTTGTGTGGTAGCGGGACTGCACAAAAGCAGCAGCTGTGGAACTACCCATTGGCCGTGTGCCACGGCATACCACAGCTGGCAACTGCATTCCAATGAGGATTAGCAGCCACAGCTATAGCCGCTCCCCGGCTTTAAGGGGCTAACAACTTGTCTGCAATGATTTGAGAGAGAAAGAAATCAAATTACCCTGGAAGAGTCCATGTGTTGATCTCCGATGCAGACCATAAAGAGCTGTAGCTCAAGGGTGTAACTAGACCGTAAGAACGCTGGGTAGAATCGGACTTCTACAGTGATATTCTCCATGTGATTGATTGTCCTGCCGCCTCGCATATCCTCCCCTCTATCATTGGCTAGCTTGACAATCGACAGCTGGTGACAGGTTATGGAGAACAACATAAAGTGATGGTTACAGTGAATGACGATGGCAATGATTATGCAGAGTGACAACAGACATTGGCAACAGCCGAACAAAACAAAGTTTTCTTACTAACAGAAGCCACGTCAAAGAACTAAACTCAGCCAGTCATTCAAACAAAACAATGCAAAAACAAAATGACTCCCAAAAAAACAAGACAACGCAGTTACAAAGGGCACTAAAAAAACAGAGCAATGATTATTTTATTAAAACAGTAGCCAGCACCAGCGACAAATTGTAAAGGAATGACCGATCACAAATGATATAACCAAACACAAAGTTTCTCATCAATGGAACAATTTTTCTAAGGATGTCTCCAATTTAATGGAAAGTGTCTCATGCTGTTGAAACTTTTCGAACCAAGGCTACGAAAAAAACCTTGTCATTAAATTTTAGACCCCTGGGTAAAAAAAGTCATTGAATAAACAATCATCCAAACTTACACAGTGAATGTTGGAGTCCAGGGTGCATTCCATTCACCCAAATGTTGCCAATGTTTCTCATCATTTTGTGCATAGTAATGTTTGCGCTGTTTGCCTAAGTGGCATGAATTCATTGTCTGCCGATAACAAGTGCCGTGTACAAGCTACAGATGGAAGTTGATTAATAATAACTTGAGGATTTGTGAATGTTCTTTTCACGACCTCTAACTTTTATTTTCTAACCAAGATAATTGACTGACCGTGACGCTATCCTTCTGTTCATCCACTGCGTCCACAGTTGTCTGGAGTGTCAAATCAATCCTCACTTCCCACGGTGGTAGATCACTAGTCATATTACAACCTCAAAACAAAAACCAATTCATGGGCAGCGTCACTCAATGTAAAGAAAAACAATGCTAGATTTTTCCCAAATCTATCAGCCAAGCAGTTACAACAAAAGGCAAAGCCAAATTCTATTTTGCTCTGGAATTTGATCGTCCCACTAATTTTTTATTTTAATATCAAGTTTTAAACCAGTTCACCCCGGCATTATTTTGACAGTGACCAAACCCAGGTGCGGGATTGTTTTTCACGAACCTCGATCCCCAGACGGGTTCAGGCCGTCATCTGCGGGTAGCACACCCAGATATTTCCGGCCTCGCTCGCTGCGAGCGGGTCGCAGTGCGTGTTTATCCATCATCCATTCCGAATACTGCAAAACCTTTGGTGTATACACGTCATCCGACGCAAACTGGTTAAGGGGCTGCTAAAGCCTTTTTTTTTTCTTTATGAGGTGGAATTTGCCTTGGGGAGATATAAGTTGTATAGTGGGTTTTTTGGCCCAATAGATCAGCGAGGCACAAACAAAACCAACATAAACAGAAAACACTACTTTACAAATATTTCTGCCCATCTCTGCCCTCACAGGTAAGCATTTACTCCCAAGAGGAAATAACAATAATAATAATAAAAAGTTATAAAATGCTGGTATCTAGAAAAACCTTTTCACTGCGCTGTGGTCTGAAACAATTAATATTGTGACAAACTGTCCTGCCCAAGGACAAACATGCAACAATGTTATATAGGAAAGTATTGTCTCACCCTCAGTCGTGTTCAGAGTCTGGCATATGTAAGAGTCAAAGTTGAACTGGAAGACACCAGTAGCATCCAAGGGAAGCTCCTGCACCAAGGCTGAGATATCCATCTTCAAAACCATCTCAAATTCCCAGGATTGTAGACAATACTTGGGCTGACGGAGATTACATAGCGAGGTTTTTTCCAACGTGGCGGGAGGCTGTCAGAGAAAGATCAGATGGGTGAGTTTTAGCCAGGGGAGAACTAATTATAGTTACTCATGTTCATCAATGAGCATTCTTGAACCTTTTTTTCCAAGCTAGGTCTAAAACCACTCCAGCATGACGATCTTAACAGCCAGTTTGCTTTCTCTCTAAAACACACAGAACCTATCTGGACACTGACAAATTATCATCACTAAATAACTGAATCTCTTACAACAAAAACATTATCCTGAAATGTTACCCTTGAGTCCTTCTGTCAGAGTAGCTTACCCAACTAACAACTTCTTCCAAAGAGTTCCCCTGGACTTCAGGTTCGTAGATCTCGGTTCCATTTTGGAAGACGACCATGGAACGATTCCTGGCCGGCAGCTGTGTTGAGAAGCCCATCTGCAGACGAGCACGCGACAGGTCCGGTGTGCCGTCGCTCAGGAGAAATGGCTCGACGATGGCAAAGTCAAATAAAACCAAGAGCTGACCGATCTCGTCTATGAGTCGGTCACTTACAATTGGGACAGAACTCACCACAAAACTGAAAAAGGTGAAAGAATATAATTTGTTTCGGAGCATTTGTACTTTAAATAGCTAACTTTCCTCAACTTTCAAAGTCAGTAAAAGCAATTGCACAGTGCACACCTGAAAACTAATTATCTTTTTCGAAGCAGAGAACAACCAGAACATTTCCAATATTATGCATATAAACTAGAATTCAGATAGACCAGATTAAATCCGAATTGTCTCCGACAGCATCAGCCCCAGAGATTTGTTGTTAAACCCATAGATAACAATTTGCAAACAGAGTTAATTTAACTCCCTCTGGGCCTGGGGTAAATGCCTCCAATCAACTATCACAACCCCCCCCCCCTTCCTGAAAACTAGATCCGCCCCTGATACTGCATGGATCAACTAGGGGACCAGTTTTACTATTCCAATCTAATGATGTGCATCGGGTCGGGTTGACCAGGCCAAACCGACCCGAAACATTAGCGATACAAACTGAATCCGAACCGAAACCGATTTTAACTCCCTCAAACCAACCCGACCCGACCCGAACCGACCTGACAAAAAATAAGGTAAAACCAACCTGAACCAAACAACCCCCCCAAAAAACAAAAACAAAAACCAAATACTTTGCTTGGACAAAGTGATCACTTTTTTGTGCCTGCCCTTACCCACGTGGCATGAATTCTTTTGCAAAACCATCGTCTCTCTCTCCGTCATACTCAGTTGGTTGATCGAGAGTAACTCCGCTTATTGAACAAACACATGGTATCATCACGAGGTATCATGAAAACTGTTACAATGTATCTATTTCACTGTCAGTCCCGTCCACTAGAGAAATTAATACCGTGGGAACTTGATAGTAGTACGCATGTTGGCCACCGACCGACCCGACCCGACCCGAAGTCGGGTCGGGTCGGGTCGGTTTCGGGTCGTTTTTCCACATCATTATTCCACTCACAGCAGTCAATAGTTGTAAACTATCTACCTTCAAACACTTACTTGACCATTGCAATTCGTGACAGCCTCCACACAAGTTTAATGTGCGTCTGAACGTAAGCCACTGCAGGGACGTGAACAGCGCCCCCTGGGGACCAATCAGGTACAGGGCGTATGTTGGTAGCGTAAAGGACGGTGGTGTACTGAATCTCCTCAAAATGGATGCTAAAATCCCAAATATTGGACCCATCCGACCTCTCGCAGTAAATGAAGGTGTCGAGATTGCCGTCATAACGGATCTGTTGACAAACAAGAAATCATCAATATCAGAAATTCTGAAAGAAATTAAAAACTGTGCTAGATCCAAGTCCGCCACAAAAAGAAAAGTCAGCTGAAGTATGCCTTCTCCCTTTCTAGCATCCTATCCTAATAATGGGGCAATTTTATGAGATTTACAATTTATTTGTGATGCTCCAGCACACACAAAAACAGTCTGAAGTTGCACTGCCATATCTTTGAGATAGCTTGCAGCCTATAAATTACATAGAATATTGATGCAAAATGTGACCTGGAAATACCTTTAGTATTAATCCGTCTGATTTGTCTGATTCCCATATTCTATACATCATTGGAAAGCTTATTCAACGTCCATTCCCATGAGCCTAAAATCCTAGTTTTCAAAAACTGTTCCAAGTGACTGATTTAGCTCTAGACGGTTACATTTGGTCTTAAAGTTTTGAGAAAACATTTTGTCCTAGATTAGACATGGTTCTAGACTGACAAATTTATAGGGTAGTAATATTTCAAAAGACAAGACAGTTTCAGACCAGACGTTCGCTGGTATTTAACAGAGATTTTGAAGAAAAAAAGAATTTGGAGCATCCAAACTGGCCACTAACCTCATCAAGACGAATCCCGGAAGTTGTATTATCACCTCCTCGGAGATACTCAGAGAAAAGATTCTTGACACCAGAGCTGTTGTGGGACTGGAAGAAGTCATCGTCAAAGTACTTATCGCCCCATCTTAGGTTCTCCTCGATGTTGGAGCACAGGCCGGTTCTACCGGACCACAAATCGCCGGTTTGATGGTTGATGGGAGTAACCGTCTTGTAGCGGTAAGGCTGAAAGTCAAGAAGCCAAAGTTCTCTTGCACCTTGGAAAGAATGAGGTTTGGGTGAGAACAGTTGGAAGGAAAATAAGGGGAATATGTACACAAAACAGGAAAGAATGACCAACACAGAGGTGGGGGATTCCCTCTGTCCCATATCGCGCTACACATGGAAGGCAATCCACGTTTTTAAAGGGAATTCCACTTTTTTAAAGGGAATAAACAACATTTGCTTTTGCTGTAATTTTCAGATATAGTTGGATGGGGGGGGGGGGGGTTGTTCAAATATTGTTACTCTCAAAACAGGAAAGAATGTAGTATTTCCAGACGCCACTTCTGTGGTTGTGTACAAAGTCTATGGAGAGTCAAGAACAATTTCGAAGTGTTTCCTAAAAAAAAATTGGAAATGTTTCTCAGTACCATATTCATGTCTTTTCAACATTTTTGCAATGACTGACCATCATTGAGCGTCACGGTGCAACATTCTTTCCCTCAGTCACGCCTAAATACTACACAAGTAAGGGGTTAGTATCGTTCCTTCTTGACTGACCGTATGTAAATCACATCTCACCGATGGTATCTTCTAAGACGACATCAAGTTCCGCGGTCTCACCGTTCACCGTGAATTTCCTGATCCTTGCCCGGCCCATGTCGCCAAACAACCCATCGGTCGTCTTGTCTGGAACGACTACACCGAGCTGAGATCCCTGCGAAATCCAAGTCATCTGACGAATGCACAGACACATCCACAGCACGATGATCTTCACCATCGACTTCATGGTGTTTGACGGTGGAATGCAGGTAAAAAGACTTCGACTTTTATTCAGCTCATGGCTTTCTTTTTAAAATAATGGGGTTGACCAAAAAGCCCCCAAAACGCGGCGCGCCTCCACTCAAGAAAGAATGCATATAATGGCGCCCGTTAGCGCGCGAAAAAAAATTGCACGTGGTTCGTTAAAGTTTACTATCGCCAAACTGTTGATTCTCAGAAATAAATATTATTTTAACAAAATAACCAATGTGGAAAGATTTAAGGGGAAAAGGGAAAATCGGAAGAACAGAATGCCGATAACTTCTTTCATATTCAAGCCGTCTATTGAAGATTTGAAACAAACTAAGTTTACGCAAATACTCTATACATGTAGGCCTAGGCATATACACGTTAATAACTAGCGGGAAAATTAACAATTATAATCAAAGGAATCAAAATATCCCGGGGGGAATTAAAGAAAAACTTTTGAATCGAAATGACCACAATGAGAAAGAAATGTTCCAATTTTCACCCAGCAATATTTTATTTTAGGCAACGATGTTGATAATGTAATTATTTTTGTTAACAACACAGCAATATTGTTCATCTCATGCAGATCTGTCTTTTAATTTATATACAGGCTGGGCGCGGCGTAAGCTCCAACGCGGTAAGCTCCAACGAATGGACCCACTTTTGAAAAACCATCAAGTTCAAGAAATCAAGAGATTACACAAAAAGTTTAGTTCAAATTCAAGGAAAATATAAAAAAAGGGAATACTTTTGTTTGCAATCATGTGCGGACAACACCAAAATAATGGGAGAAATGACAAGTCTAAAAATGTGAGCAATTCAGTTCGCAACATTTTCGCAGGGCATGCAGGGCCCTGCCATTTTAACGAACCATTCTTGTTTTGCCAAAAAAATGTAAATAGGTCCAGGAATGAATAGGATATAAATTTATTCTATAGGCCTATTCATGGAAACAAAACAAATTTCATAAAACAAGAAGTATTCAATAAATAATTTGAAAGGTTTGCCAAAAGCCTTTTCTTTACACCAAGATGAAGCCCCAAAATTAAAATAATGACAGAACACTTTTTATCTACTCTAAAACAAACCCAAAAATTAAACAAAACTTAATATGTTTAAAGAATAGTATTTAACGAAGTCACATAAAATTATGTGACGAATGTAAAGAAGTGTAAAATTACAAGGAACAGGCATACCAAGTAAAGCCGTAAATAATAAAGGGCTTTCCAAACAATCATAATTAAATTTTTTGTTCAAAAAAAATCGCTTATGTGGTCCAAATTCGTATTCATTTTTGCCTGGTCCAACTAACAGCAGATTTCACGCGCCAACGATTCAAAAATTAGTGGTGAAAACTACTAATTACTATAAACAAATAATCATATGTTTTTAAAAGGCGAGTGCCAAATTTAAACCTCACAATTAAGTTGAGAAAAAAATATAAAATACAACTAAAATACAGTCCGTTTGAAACAGAATCACACATCAACTGAATGAGCAGTAAAACATGAATTTAAATTTTGCCAAATTTCTAGGAAAATATATACAAAATTTGCTTAATTTTCAAGCCAGTTTTTGTTATCTATACATGTTTAGATTCAGAGCAACATATATAAATAATTCTTATATATTTCAACGGCTTTTCACCCGTGATGTATGACCCTGTTTTGGAAGGACAAAAACATAATTAAAGAAAGAAACATAAAATAAAAGCTAAAGTAAAATCATTAGAAGTCATTTCAGGTAAATTACTTTTAACTGAAAAAAAACATCTTTCTGTAAATATCATTTTAATACAAGGCATTTTGAATCTGCATGCTATCCTACAGATATCACTGTAAAGATATCATTTAGAGAAATAAGTAACAACTAAATAATAAAGTTGTGCAAATATATTTCTGGCTTCTCTTTTGCCAATCTGTGTATCACTTTTAAAACATTTCTCACCGCTGTATTTCAGTCAAAATAAAATAACTTGTAATTCCAAGTAACTTCAAAAGTAAAATACTTGCTTACACATTTAGAAACACTACAAGGTAGACTTATTGTTTTCTGTGTACATTTCATTTGTTCACAAATACTTTTCTCTTCTTCTTTTTTTTTGCATTCATAATAATGCTTATTATTTGAGCGCTAAGTCCCAACGCACTGTTAATTAACATTACATTACATTCTATAGTTAATGCAATCTTGGTACTTGTCAAAAGTGTCAATGTTTTCGTAACGTCTTTAACCTTAACTTCCTCGACATTTCTGCAGGTCCCAGAGTGCCAGGCTTGCACCTTTTTTCACTGACTGACTGACTCCCTGACTGACAGACAGACTGACTGACGGTTAGTTGAGAGTCAGCCTGGTTGTTGGCTCGCGAAGAGAACCGTGCAGTGCTATCATATATGATAACCCCTTAATTGACTAAATCCAGCCAACAGTGTACACTTATACCCAGTAACTCCTTGTTTTTCTTCAAATTCTGACTTTGGTTGGTCCTGCTAGTATGACCGACCAAAGTCAAAATCCAGGAAAAAGGGAGTTCTCGTGCCCCAGTTATACTGGGTCTAGTGTACAGCAGATGACAAGAAACACAATATAGGGGGCCACTTTGCATCCGTCACGTTAGCAGTTTTTCCAATGGTTGTCATTTTTTTTTACAGTACCTGAAACCACCCGAAAAGTTTTTGACATGTGAATGAACATGTAGGCTTATAATCAAGTAATGTGTTGAATCATTTCTTTCTTTCTTTTTCAATTATTAAAATCACCCTCAAATTTCCATCAAAAATGGACGGAAAAAGTTACCAAAGTTTTCCGTCCACTTTTGGATGGAAATTTGACGATAACATCAAAAGGCAATATTTATAATCAACTCAAATCATCTAGCGAAAGGCTGCATGTCCATTCATGTGTTGAAATTCTTCTTTGGTAGTTTCAGGTATTTAACAAAAAATAACAACCATAGGAAAAACTGCTAACGTGATGGTAAATAAGTGGCCCCATTTATTGTGTTTCTTGTCATATGCATGAAAAGACTTCTAGTGAGCAGCCATTCTGAAAAATCGAAAAAGCGTTTTATGATCTCTGGGACCAGCTCTAATAGTCTTGCCTTGTTCAGGAATCTGACAAAATCTAAAACAGTGCAGTAAACAAATAGGCACGTTCTTTGCACTTTCTAAGTACAAGTAAAAACAGGACATATTATCAGTAAATTGACAGAGTTGTGAAGTCCTGAATTCATCAAAAAAGCGCAAAAAATTGGAATCCAATTTTGACGGAATCCGGTAGTTAAGGTTGAAAGAATTATGAAACAAAGTGACAAATGTTAGGCATACATCGCCCTATCAAAGCACACACATTATGTGCAACATCTTTACAATAATGGCTAACGGTTTACTGCATTGAAAGGGCACATTTTCAACAAGTTATACAATTTTTCATAATTTCACAGCAATCTAACTACATGTACATATTCTTTCAGTTGACTATAATTCTCAACAGACCACAACTACATTATATTTCATTACCTTTGTACAAATTGTATTGTAATTACATCACATGCCAATGACATTAATTACCACATTTATCACCACGTTTTATTACATTTTCGTCTGCTTTTTATTCAAACATTTTGATTTTATTGATTAGCTTTGTTTTTTATTTTCATACTCCACAGTTGCAATGGGAAATTTTAGTATCATAAGAAGGCAATATACCCAGCACAAATGGGACGAAGGGGTACCCCCCCCCCCATCTCCCTATAACCTATACACACCCTAGACTATTGTTACCTAACACATCCCCCTAGATATCTCAAATGAATTCCTGAGATTCTGGTAACACAATGACCAACACAGAGGTGGGGGGGGGGGATTCCCTCTGTCCCATATCGCGCTACACATGGAAGGCAATCCACGTTTTTAAAGGGAATTCCACCTTTCTAAAGGGAATAAACATTTGCTTTTGCTGTAATTTTCAGATATAGTTGGATGGGGGGGGGGGGGTTGTTCAAATATTGTTACTCTTGACTTGTTTGAAGTTTTGTGTTCCTAGATGCTGGAAAACCAAGAAAGACAATCATGTTCAAGTGGTCTGGTTCCCTGACCCCACATAAGATGAAACGGAGCAAGTTATAGACATCAGGGAATTGTAAGGTCAGGGAACCAGTGTAGATGGCTTGTGTCCATTAATAGGTGTGTAATCGATTGCAAACAAAATGCGGACTAATAAATATGGTAAATTGGGGGCAGTATTTGAAAAAAGCCAGTTTTTTCCAACGCTGGTTGGCCGACCAGCATTGGAAATTTTTACAAAAAAATACCACTTTTCTTGAAAATGACAGCACACCAGGTGCAATGATTTTACAGGATGCTTTAGACTGTCATTCACTAACAGTCCAGGTGATTTAAATTAACACCCCTGTTTCCTCTCAGAACCTCTTTTAAAGAGAAATTTTTCTAAAAATGACTCCAAATGCCCTTTTAAAATTCCTGACAATTCATCAGGTGGCTGAAGGAATAAGAAATACCCATTCTTTAAAATGACTTACATATTTTTTTGATTCTTTCTAATTTTTTTTTTTTTTTTTTGCTTTCACTTATAACGCACCATTCAAGTATACATTATTGCTTGGGAAAAACACATACTGTTACATGTACTATGGAACTAGTGTACATCCATAATGCACTTTTTTAATGTTACAAAATGACTAAAAATAAACAGTAGACATATTTCCCGATCCCTACACCACGAAAACAAAACAAAATCCATGAAAAAAAATATTTCAATTTCAAAATACCTTCACTTTAAAGTTAATTCCAGAAGCTCGTCGAAACAATCTTAAAGATGACACTTCCCAAAATTTAAAAAAACGCGAGTAAAACAAACAATAATAACCTTTAAAATCTGAATCTTAAAAAAAAGGATAAGAGAACACTTTTTTGTGTGTCATTGGCGTGGTAGATTAAATCTGATTTTAATATTAAATTTTGATATTATTTTCAAAAAAAATTTTTCCAAGTTCAAGGATCAAAGTAGTTTAGAAACCACCTTTCCTTCCACGCAGCTGCAAAATTTCCAATAACAAAATCCATGATTTTCTAAAATGAACATAAAATCAACAGCTTATTACCGGTACTGTTTAGTGTTCCGTAATTTTTGATGTTCTGCATAATAAACAAAATGTTGAACATAAACACAAAAATGCTAGTGTAATAAAGCACCCTTAACCATGAGTGATATACTCTCCATGACAAATGACATGTCCTTCTCGGTTTTTGTGTCTACAGAAAAGACTGCCTTCTTAACTAAGTTCCTACACAGAGAACCTAAGAAATGTTGCACAGCACTGGAATTACATCGTCGTATACCCCACTCATATCCCAACAACATGAAAGTTGAATCGGACACCTTATAACTTGAAGTTAACTCCACTTAACTTGGTAACCAAACTACCCTACAGAGAAAGAAATAAATTAAAAAATGCTCAACGCAACTCAAAAAATGAACACAATCCAAACCAAAATTGCTACTAACAAGTTCATCACAGGCCTGAGATCATTTATAAAAACGAAGTACGGCAAGTTAAATCTGCGCGATCACCCTGGCATGCTAGCAGTGTTTATAGTCAGTTAGTAAGCACAATTTTTAGTGTACCTTACCAAAACCAACAATGACCTCATTTGACCCTAGATGGCCTTTGACCTCAAATATCTTAATTCATCTGAAGTCTCCTACCCAAAGATTATTGTCAGCAAGTTTGGTTGAGAATTAAGTCTTACTTTTCATATGACAGCACTATTACAGTTAACCAAATGGAACACACACAGTATACATGTTTATGTTACATACCTAGTGTGGACATTCCTTTGTTGTCGTATAGTTCAATTTTTCAATTTAATAGACATTTATTTCCATACATTGCAGAGAAATAGACAAGGAATAATAGAAGGTAAAATAGTAGTTAAGAATAACCTCTGCAAAACTCCAGAGGGGGGGAAACACCGTGTGGACCTGGGCAAATCCACACAACGTCGCTGCTACCTGGTTTATGTGGACATCTTGTGTTCAGAAGTCCACACACGCACACCCACGTTTCTTTATGGTGTAAATTGAGTATTTTCTATTGTTCCTCCTCCCTTTTCCTTTGTTTAAACTCAAACTTGTTTGCAACAACTCTCGATTTGGTTCCTTTCCTCAATTCATCGATGATGTTGCACATGTGTCCTCAATTTACACCATAGACAAACGTATACAAACTGGAATTTGTAAGTCCTTGACCCAGTCCTGAAGTTCAGTTGATATTTTTGTACCTAAGAATCTAAGACATGTTATGATGGTTTAAACAGCCTCCACTTCCCAGCGCCCTACTTGCCTTTGAAATGCAACATTTTTCTATTAAAGAGACAATGCACCAATAAATCGCAACATTTCATTCTGGGTTTTTTAATCACCAAAATCAACCATTTCCCGCATGAGCGTCGCCAGGATGGGGCAAGGGGGCGCTTGCCCCTCGCCCCTCCACAAGAGCCGAAAAAATGTCAACAACAAAGGAAGAAAAAAAAAGAAAAAGAAAAGAAACGAAAAAGAGGTTTGAAGCCATATTTACTATTTATTTAATACACATTTAACAAAATGGGCATATGCATGGGTGTAAATAGGGGTCGGGTGCTTATGGGTAGATATCCCCCGCCCACCCTTGAAAAATGAGAAATTGAGAATATGCTCGAGAAAGTACAATGATTTGGGGGGAAATATGTGCTTTGACCCTCCCCTGAAAAATCCTGGCGACGCCCATGATAAGGTAAGTTAATCCAGTTTCTTTTCCTCAGCAACAACGACAAGGAATTTCTGCATCTTGTAGGTGGCATTATCTGCGTATAAAAAAGGAAAAAAATTGTGAGAAAAAAATATGAAAAATTGCTTATTGATTTTAGAATTTGATTAGACAATTTTGAATAATTAGTAAGAACATAAATGTGGATTTGGGAGGTATTATAACACTCTGTTTAAGACCGGTTGGAGTCTGGAATCAAAACAAGTCAAAGACTAGATGTTGCCAACCATTTTCTTCAACAATTTTACTTCATGTGTTATGAAACCAAATGTTTTACGAGTCCAAATTTCATGTGACACTGGCAAAGTGTTTAAGACCAACCAACCATGTCTTTATCATCCGTTTAAGACCGGCCACGTGACGGGCTCTTGACCAATAGGAATGGGTAAACATTAGGTATTTATGAATGGAAATTTACGCTCGCGTTTTTTTGGAGTGATATTCCTTAATTTAAATGAATTTGGAAGAAATGCAGTTCCCCCCAAAAAAACAGAAGGCAAAATTGAAAGGAATATTGAAAAGCTTTTTTTGGGGGGGGGGGGGGGGGGGGGGGGGGGGGGGGGGGGTTGGAGTGGCTGGTGGAGAGGGGTGTAAGTATGTACTTTGAGAATATGATCGTGGCAAGTACATAATTTGGGCGTTTTTGTAGGTTACTTACGTATAAAGTTGACGAGCCAGTCCGGCTTGCTGGTCCAGTAGACTCCAAAGAAATAGACAGGGAACCCTGTGCAGATGATGGCGGAGCCAATCAGGCAGTCAATCGGTGCAGCTACAAAACCCATGATGACCAGGAACAGACACATGATCAAGAAGATGATAGGCAAGGCAATGGGAACCTGGTGTGGGACACAGAGATTTGGTTTAAATACACTTGAAATATGACTTGGTTCCAAGAGCTAGATAGGAACTTCACGACCTCCGTTTCTGAACAAGAGAGGGCACATTCAAGAGCTCAGCGGTTGGGAAATGCCACATGCAGATGCTGGTCCGAGTGCGTACGGCATGGCGCAAAGTGTGCACAACTTATTTTATTTTGAATGTGCACAAAGCCACATGGCATCTTTGCATGAGCATCAGGCATCATCGGCAGGGCATTCGAGTGTCGCGTCATCCAGTGGTTTCCCCCAACTCTCCCTTTCTTACCGTTAAGGGGGGACTTGTGCACGGAGCCCATAGGAATACAAGTTGATTGATGTCATACGTTAGTGCATTGCATTCTGGGAGCCAGGTGGCAATGTGCTGCCATTAACAGATCATTTCAAGTTCATCATGTTCATGGAGAGGCATTTACTGGCATTTCAAAAATCATTTAAATCATTCTTCAAGAACTGTTTTCACTGTCCAAATTAAACAGCTACACTTCTGAAGGACTACATTAGTTTTTTCACTATACAGTCGACTCCCGTTATAACGAGGTCCGATGGACTTTCACAATACTGTCGTTATAGCCGGAACCTCGCTAAAACCGGAGCGCAGTTTTCCTCATTCGTTGTGCACAAGGTACGGTACATGTGCGCGCGTGTTTTAATCGTGCAAGACATGAAAAGGATAGTCGTTTGTTGGTATGTACGTCTGTTATTAACTCTTTCGCTACGGCGAGCCGCTGACAGCGGCACATACAAATTGTACAGGTCGTACGGAGAGCCGCTGGCAGCGGCTCGGTTGCGTCGCTATGAATAAACAGGGTATCCCCATGACGTGGGCCATATCTACATAATTTATATTGTATAACCTCTGACCCTAGTTTCAGCCGCTGCCAGCGGCTCTCCGTCTGGCCTGGGTGCGCTTTTGGTTATTGTGAGCAGTTTGTTTACGGAGATACATTTAAAGATGGCGGCGCCCACATCGACGCTCGGCAGAATTTTCAGCTTTTAATTACGTCCAGTTGGGACGAAAAAGGTAAATTTAATTCCGTAGCGAAAGAGTTAATGTATATTAAATATTTAACTGATGGTGATGAATAAATGAAATAAATAAAATACCTTTTTAAGGGAACATTGTTTAATATTTGCGGACCTGAATCCGGAGGAAAAGGCATCATCGCTGAGAAGAATCGCTGAGGAGAATCAGGCAAGTAGGTCACTCGCACAAATCGTGCCGAGCGACATTTTGCTTTCATTTTGCATTTGCTGGAATCGGGCAAGAGAGGGCGCCAATACATGTATTACTTCCAGGTTTTAATGATCTTTAGATGTGGAACTTTACTTTTTGTTGTTGACCTTTTGGAGCAGTTGGGTATTATTGTTTCTGAAGGGATTCTTTGAAATTGTAATTTTTTCGGTTAACTATAGCGCACATTCGTGCCAAGTGACATTTTGCTTTCGTTTTGCATTTGCTGGAATCGGGCAAGAGAGGGCGCTAATATTACTTCCGGGTTTAAGTGTCTCCATGTGTAATTGAACTTTGACTTTTCGCAGCAATTGGTGATTATTGTTTCTCTGGAGGGATTCTTTTAAGTTAATAATAATAAATAAACAAAAGCAGTACTTTCGGATTAACATTTGTACATGTGGTGGGGCATTTGAAGTTCTTGGAAACCTAGCTGTTTTCATTGGGATTGTTTTTTCTGGGGCCGGAGGGGGTTCTTTATTTGTTTTAAGATTTTTATTTTTTTCTTCTTCGGATGAACCTTTTTGGGGGTGGGGACCACAGTATGTTTTAAACTTTATTTTTTCAAGACAGACTGAATTATCTCTTTTTGGAAGTTGTGGTGGCTCTGAAAAGAGCCGTTTGTTTTATGATGCTGTGTTCTTTTCTACTGGAAAAAGTCGGTGATTCTCCTCTGGATGCTCGTCCCAAGCTGCTCCTCTGACAGGTAGTCCATGATGCCAGCTGCGTTGTGGTAGACCTCATCTGTCATGTTGGCCCGAGTGCAAAGGAAGTGTTGCACTTGAGTCATCATGTTGATGCACTGCCGGACAGTTAGTTGTTCTTTCTGGACCTCCTCTGCTTCCGCCGCCGCCTCCTCCTCGTCGTCATCATTACGCACCCGATGTTCGGGCGGCAGTACTAAAGCCTATTCCTTACAATGTCAACACTTATCTCCTGAGCGCCCCCTATTGTCCGTTTGTAATAATCTAGAAACGTGGTACCGCAGTCGTAAGCAAACTTCAAACCCTGGTCATGCTAAGGGAAACCGCAGCGGGGGATTAGCGACTAGACCAGCGGTCCACTGCGCCGATTATCACAGTCCCATTGAATTTATTTATAAAGATCGGCGAGATGAAATAACGTTGGGTTGAAGTCATTACAAAGGTACATTGATGGGTGAAGCTTAAGTGTGTTGCTTGAATTGGAAGACGGGAGCATGATACCCGTTTCGGGACAAAAGGTCTGTCGTTGACAAGCTGCAATGCCCGTAGTTTTGAAAAGATGTCGTTGTAAATGGGTTGAGAACAATGCTTTTCCTCGCATTGGGTCGGCCAAAAATCGTCGTACCAAATATTTCCCCATAGTAATGTACACAAATTGATCGGGACTGGGAGAATGTGCTCGTTACATCCGGGTTATCGTTATGACCGAGCTCGTTATAACGGGAGTCGACTGTATTTGCTTGTCAATCTCTGAAGGTGAATCAGAATTTATTTTGCTTCATAAATGATTCCCCTTGAACAGACCAGTACAAGGTTCATGCTTCTAGGTCACAACGCAAGCAACTGTTGCTATAAATCTTTTTTTAAGGTTTCTCACAAGGGCATTCAAAATTGCAAAGTTTCTACTAGACTAAGGTGTAAAAAATGCTACCGGTGTGCAGAGATCCGCACTCATTATAACACAAGATCTGAATTGAGTGCAATTTTAATCAGGTCAACTTAAGTCATCATTTTTGGCCAACAAATGTAAGGCATGGAAAAGATGTCTTGATTCAAAGTCTTTTTTCTACTTGTGGAACAGATTTTTCCTCAACGTTTTCATCATTAAGTGAAACCATGTGATTTGAATTTGAATATCTGTACAGTAGAACACAGGGTCCACAAAAGATTGGCAAATGTCTAACTTTTAAAAAGATGCACCATTTAGTAATCTGGTGGTATAACATACAGAGGGAACACTTGGAATTAAAACAAAAGTTTAGAAGCAGATGTTTTGTTGACACATTTACTTGTGCAATATTAACCCTAACCCCTTGAGCACTTTTACCAGAAAGTATCCTGAATCCACCAAAATCCACCTATTGTGTCATGCACAAGAATTGTGGTGTTGGTGACTGCTCAGTATGGAGGTACCCTGAATACATCAAAATCCTGTAGTACCACTTGGCTTACAATCCTGAATCCATCAAAATCCCCCTGTTTTCAATATGGAGGTACCCTGAATCCACCAAAATACTCCAAAACAGGGGTATGGATTTTAATGGATTCAGGTACGTTCGGGTTAAAGGATTGTAAAACAAATTATTTTACGACAGTCCATTTTCTTGTATTGCACGGATGATGTTTTGAACATAACATAAATAAGGGCTCCAAATAGACAGAGTTGAACGTCCCACAGAATTGAGACTTAAAGCTTAATCTTACCTTGACAGGCCTAGCCATTTCTGGTCGTTTCCAGCGAAGGAACAGCTGCCCAGCGATGGCGCTACCGGTCGCCAGCCAGGTGACAAAGCTGAAGTAGTTAATCAACTGAATGATGTTCTGCGCAGGCATGTACAGCAGGGTCAGACAGCACTGCAAAATAAAGGAGGCATGTCAAGATCTTAGAAATTCATGGTTTTCTGTCGATCAAGTCCAATTTCCTTTTCCTATTGTTGTTTTAAGGTGCAGGCCAGAATGCACGATTTCGGGTAGGGAGTGTGTAAGCTAAAGACACCAGACCAACTCAGAGAAGTGTGTATTTGCCTGCACTCGGGACCCCCTATCGTCCCTCTTTTGTCCGTACATTAACTTTTTAGGAAGACCTCCCATATGTTTTGTACATGATCGCCAAATTGGGGACCTTCAGGAATTGGGGACCCTATTGTCCTCTATTGTTCAACGTCCCCTATTGAATGCAGAAACAAACTCATGATCATCATACATGTACATCAACTTGTATGCATACCAACACATGCTTATTGTTTAAACAAATATTTGTACCAACATTTTTTTAATAGTTATATTGTTTCTGAGTACAACCAGGGGATTGCTGTCACTTATCCTTGGGGGAGGGGGGAGGGGGAATTTTACAATGGCTTGGTACACTTAGGTAAGATCATTTCATCTCCAAAGTATCAGGAAGAACAATGTCTGATCTTAAATCTACACAGCAATCTGATGATGTCTGTCTATGTACTCACAGTGAGGATAAGGGAAGGCATGGGTGTCTTCCAGCGGACGCTGATCATAGCTAAAGCCTCGGGGAGGTGGCCATTACGAGCACCCACAAAGTATATCCTAGACAGACAAAATAGGTATCGAAAAGTTAAAACCTTCAGGTGCCATATTAGGGTCAAATAGTCTGCATTACAGAACGTCTGATTGGTGGGTTATTGATCACGTCATGAATATTCATTCCAACCCACGGCCCGGCCACACAACAAAACTAGAAGTCCCATTCCACTGTAACTAATTAATAGAAGTTCCATTGCAGTCACAATATTCAGGCACTGTATAAAACATTTAATGAATGTTTCACATTCGCGCAAAGGAAAGAATAATTTCATGAGGTGACAGATGGAATGTTCCATTCCACGAGGCCATCATTCTATCTGTCACCACATGAAATTATTCTTACCACTGCACTCATAAACATTCATTATTTGTCTACTGTCTAACTCTTATTATGATTGCCAGTAAATTTTTAGCATACACTAGTGAAGTACAACGAACACAATTTTACTTGAAAACTTATTTTCTTTTCTCGTTAGAGTTTGTCGTAAATCAAAAGCTCGGAATACAGTGCGTTACATCTTTATGAGTGTAACTTTAACTCCTTTGGAACTTTGAATAAAAAGCTTTACTACTCATTCAAGAAGTATGTTACTTGGCTCTTCCTCCCTCAATCCTGCCATATCTTCCAGAACACCAAGGTGTTTGAAGGATCTAGGATGGTTACCTGGGGAAATAAGCTCAAATTGAATTCGTCTTACCGAGATCCAGTCAACAGAAGGCCATTGACCCCACCGAAGGTCGACAAGGCAACAGCGACAGGCATGATCCAGGCCATGGGACCAAGAAGCTTGAAACCAAAGGTCTAAGAAAAGGAGAAAAGGAGAAAAGACGAAACACATCAGTCAAACATCAGCTTGCACTACTTGGGAAAGCCAAACTATTCTTGCAATAGTAACAAAGCAATATCCCAAATTTCTGACAATTAGTTTAACTTAGTAAAAATTTCAGATCAGGTTGCCAAAAAGTACTTCTGAAAAATTCCATCTGAAAGTTACAAGGGGAAGGATACCTTTTTAAAAGATTGTGGTGAAATTGGGGAACATGAGCGAATAGTTAGCAAAGCGATAAAGTGTGTGAAGGAAGAGTGCCTTGGCCTCGTGGTCTGGAGCATTGAATTTGTGGTCTGTGGGTAATTCTGCCGATGGTGGGTTCGAGTCTAGCCTGGGGTTGTGTTGTATGGGCAAGGCACTTTGCTTCTAAATGGGTACCTGTGGGGGTAGAGATGGTTATTGTGATTGATTTTTGCTGCTTTGCACCGAACTGGCTGCATCGAGCTGTATATAAAGGGAGCTGAGATTGTCTTGGGGATGTTTCATTGGCCAATGAGCAGGGTAATAATGATGTCGCTAATTGATACAGATGCCACTAATTGATACAGAGTACCCAACTCTGATAAAGCCAGATTCGCCCCGTACGTTTTGGCTCACATGCTCTAGAAAGATGCGGTAAACATTGGACAGTTCTCAACAGGATCCGGATTCCGGACTTTGCCAACACGGAACACCATCTACACAAACCATCCACACGCAATTGTGAACATGGGAACAGACCAAACCGTACAATATGTTGAAGACAACACCCTACAATGGTTTCCTGGTGGCTTCAGGCTATAATCTTCCAACAATGACGACAATGCCAAGCAACATATGCCAGTCTAACAGTCATGGCAACCAAAACTTGAACAGACACTTTAAACTGCTCATGGCCAATGTCACTCAAGAACCAAACTACCCCAACAAAAATTAAAAACTTAAAACTTTCCACTTTTGTACTTAGCTTACCAGAGCATAAGCATGAAATCAATAGCTGGCTGAGTGTCTCGCAGCTGTTAACAGATGTAGTATGTGAAAAAAAGCCGTTTTTTTTTCACAGCGATAATTCGGTCTGAACCATTATTGGTACAGATCCGAAGTTTGTATTTTCTTTAGAACGACAGCATACTATAACCAGGCCCTACGATTTCGCAGAATGCTTCATAATATTATTTACTTACAATCAAGCAGGGTATTTTGTAACATTGTGGCATTTGAATGTGATTTGATAAAATGAAACTTAAAGAACCTCCTGCTTTGTATGCACAAATGAGATGCTGAAATGGATAAATACCCTTTGAATGCCCCTATATGTAACCTTGGTATTACCATGGCAACCCTTTCCCTTAACTAATCCCCCTGGACTGAATCCAAGCCTCCACTATATATGAGCATGAGTCCAGCTGTCTCCAGATGACAAACAGAGCACACTGTTCGAAACGTCCGGTTAAAACAAGTGGTTCTTCTCAGAACCACAAAACTCAAGAGATGTTATTTATATGGTGTTAGCGAAACTTTACATTCTCCATTTCAGAAATCTTTGAAAAGGTTTGCGGAATTTAAAGAATTGTTTTTTTTCTCCTTGCCATTTGTTCTGAACTTTACATTCAACTGACAAGAATAAGTAGCTTTCCACCCCTTTCCACCCCTTTAACAGCTATACTAGACAACAATAACACTTAACAGCAAAGTGTCATAGCTTTTTTTGTTTACAGTTTATATAATACAGTACTTGGTAAAGTAAACTGAAAGGGAATGTACATCATTGGCTTTTGCTGTAATTTTCAGAAATGAACTATTTGAGGGGTTAGTATAATACTCTATTGTTTAAGTGACATGTTTGAGGTTTTGTGTTTGAAAATGCTTGAAAACCAAGAAAAACAAAAATTGTTTAAGTAGTCTGGTTCCCTGACTCCACTAAGGATAAAATGGATCAATTTATAGATGTCGGAAAATTGTAAGGTAAGAGAACCAGCCTAGCTGGCCTGCACCCATTTATGAACATGTAACCAATAGCAAACAAAATTTGGATGAAAAAAATTGTAAATTTGGAGCAGTAGTTGAAAAATAGTTAGGTTTTTCCAAAGGTGGTCGGCCGACCACCGTTGGAAATGTATACAAAAATACAATTTTCTTGAAAATGACTTGACACCAGGTGCCATAATTTTACAGGATGCTTTAGACTGTCATTTACCAACATCCTAGTAGGGTATTTCGTAAAAACTTGGTAGTTTTATTTTTTGATGTTTGCAAATGTTGTATATTCCCTTGAACACTGGCTGTGAAATATCAAGGTGTAAAGCATTAGTTAACCAAGAAAACGTTACATGGGTTATTTAGGCATTTCTTAATGTTTATTGTACACTGCTGAGAAAGGACGCAACAACCGAAGCAATGCAAATTCAGGATACTCTGTATGGCAACACAGAAAGCACAATGCTGTCTCTGAACTGTAACTATACAATGCACAAAGCAGAACAAATTCATGCTTCTTTGCAAGGACGTGTTTTAGAAATCGGAATCTGCGCCCAACCTGAATTTGTGCCACCTTCCTCTTGTCGAAAATATTACAATGTACATACTCAAGTTCCTTATCATATAATTGATCGTTCAGCCAGGGTAGGCTAAAAACTGATAGTGTGTCCAGACCCAATTGTCCAAAGAAAAAAAATACACGCTCCACATCAGCTGACAAAATAGGCTGACTATCTGAATACAATGCAAATTCCCCAGCTGTTCGATTCGCAAAGTTTACAATCCAAAGTACATCCGTGCAATTTAGCTGGGAATATGGGGTTTCCTTCGTTTCTGTCTGAGTTTTTGTGATGGTCTGAAGACAGGAATAGGAAGTGTGGTATGACTAGCTGATTCTTAAATCTGCTTGCAGAGCAGGATGTTCAAGTTGTGATTTTAGTCAATCGTTAACGCAACTGTGCACTTGGAAAGATATCAAAATTGTGCACACACAAAAATTGGCCCAGTTTTGTGGCTCTGCAGTATTTTACATTGGCAATCACCATTTGGTGCCTACAGCCCTGGCACAAACATTCTGTGCTAACCCTATAAACACATTATATTTACACGATATGCACATATACACAGGCCAAGTATCATACCGTTCCGTGATCACAACCATATTGCAATTTTTCGTACTGCACTTATTTTGTTCTTTTGCAGTTACAGTTTATTACAATCTTTCATTGCACCCATAAATGTATGGTTGGAATAACTTTTTACGAATAGTGTAAAGTTTTACTCACCACAGCTACAGCTTTGGAGGCTGTTAGTTCTGCTGTTGACATAGCAGAAAAATATGCCACGTTGGCCAGGACGTAAACAACGATCACCAAAGGAACAGAGATGACAATAGCACGGGGAAGGTTTCTGTAAATATGTTTAAAAATATAAAAGGCGGGAAAATATCAACATGTTTTTCCAGCAAAATCTGCATTGATTCCATTTCAAACTGGAATATAAAAATACATGAATTTTGAACTGAATTTCATGGAAAACAATAACAGATTTTGAACTTACCTGTACGGATTGACCAACTCTTCTGTAACAAAGTTCAGGTAATTCCTGTGGAAAAATCAAATAAATATAATAAACAATTGACCAAATTTGCAGTTCTTTTCGGGATACCCTGTATGGTTCCACAGAATGCAGCTTCACATTGGACAACTTTAAAATGGCCATGAAATGCCTGTGGTATTACTTGCACGGTGGTCAAAAGCATTTCTGAGACTATTACAACTAAAACTACACGTATCTGGATGTTTATTATTTCAAGTCAACTTAAAAATTATTCTATTCTTCTGTCATTTCTGTTCAATACCAAAAGTTAAAGGAGAATGTTAAGTTATATAAACTGCGGTACACACAATGCAACAGCTAGACCACAATGCAATGCATGCCCACAAAAAGGACAATCACATGTGGTGGACCTAGCAACAGCACAAGCTATTAATCTCCCCCACCCCCCCCCCCAAAAAAAAAAGCTTTTGGTGAAAGATACACAGCCACACATCGCTTTGCTGTTTAACAGTTCCGTGTTCCCAGAAAGTCAGACTAAGGGAACATGGTTGTTTCTGGCTGATAACCCTCACCATCCTCCGTAGGCAAACAGGCCAGAGTAAAGGGCAAGCACAATGTCTCCAACACTTGTGGTAGAACCTTCAAAGGAGTTCTCAAAGTTCTCGGTGTTACCTAAATCAAAAGACAACAGATTTTAGAAAGTGACAAACCACCGTTCTCACTCTAATAAAAAAAAAGGAAACCCCTAGCCTATTCTTAAATTTAAAAAATATATTTAACTGAGCAGGGCCAGATCCAGGAATTTTCGCAGGGGGGGGGGGGGGTTTAATCAGCCAAAAAATCTGAAAATGTACACAGGTTTTTTCTCCGGACACTTGGCCTCCGTAAAATCAAAAACTGGAGGGGGGGGGGGGGGGCTGGTACCATATTTCAATAGGGGGCACTGTTCAAATTTGATGATTATTAACACTAGATTACAGAATGGTGTACCGTATTTTGAACAGGGGGACATTATACCAGTATAATTATTTTGGGGGTGTCATGGTTTTTTGGGGGTTTTTTTTACCCCCAAACCCCCCCCCCCAACCCCCTCTGGATCCGCGCCTGCTGAGCAGTGTATCAAATAACATCCTGTAAATCTGTGCCATTTGAATTACAATTTTCCCCATCCCCACCCTATTTGTCACTTTATGAAATGTTTGTTGGGGAGGGGGCAATTTCTTAAGCTGTCAACAGTGGTCATTTGTTTAAATGCCTAATAACAAATTCAAATAAAGATTGCCACATGAAAGAGTTTATCAGGATGAGAAACTATCTTGATGTACTTGCCAGTATAAGTTCTGGCTCCAAGTCTGGTAAAAGTTTGGACTAAAACTCACTACCCAGGGTTCCCAGCACTTTATGAAAACACAATTTCGGAGGTTTCCCTCCAATTTCCCCGAGAAATTTCCAAAATTCCATGAAATATATTTTTTGCTTTAAGGTTGCTGTGAAGTCACTGGTTGCAACAGAGCAAGTAAGATATGGATAATTCACAGGCAACTTGTTGACAAGCGATGACCTCCCTTCTGCCCTTATAACCATCCTTTCTCACCATATGCAACAGAGACGCACATACACCAAACTGGTGAAAAACTTTCCCTTCTGGGTCGCTGTCAAATTCCCCAAGTTTTCCCTGATTACTTTGGCATTTTTCTCAAATTCCCTGAGTTTTCCCTGACTGGAAAACTGGAAACTCATTTTCAAGGTTTTCCCTGACTTCCAGAGTGGCTGGGCACCCTGCTTACAACTCACCAAGGAAGAGGTGGACCAGGCCAGCGACGATGATAAGGAGGAGGGCGATCACCTTGGAAGCAGTGAAGACATCTTGGACACGGGTTGCTGCCTTAACGCTAAGGCAGTTCACAAAGGTCAAGATCACTGCAATGAAATCAGAGTTTCTTCATTAAACTCGGGCCTTCTTAGAGAGAGTAACCTTGCCGAATGCAGCAACATTTTATCCAATACTTGCGCGGTCTTAAAGGGAATGTACATCATTGGCTTTTGCTGTAATTTTCAGAAATGGACTATTTGAGGGGTTTGTATAACAGATCAAATATTGTTACACTGACATGTTTGAGGTTCTGTGTTCGGAAATGCTGGAAATACCAAGAAAAACAAATATGTTCAAATAGTCTGGTTCCTGGACTCCACTAAAGATGAAATCGATCAATTCATAGATGCCGGAAAATTGTAAGGTAAGGGAACCAGTCTAGCTGGCCTGCACCCGTTCATGAACATGTAACCAATAGCAAACACAATTTTGACTGAAAAAAATGGTAAATTTGGTCGGCCGGAAATTTATTCAAAATACAACTTTTCTATAAAATGACTTCACACCCGGTGCCATAATTTTACAGGATGCTTTAGACTGTCATTTACCAACATCCTAGTAAGGTATTTCGTAAACATTTGGTAGTTTTGTTTTTCGATGTTTGCAAATGTTGTATATTCCCTTTAAATAACAGTTCGTTTTCCAATAATATCTCAAATCTGCTCGATCTCGATGATCGGAGAAGTGCGCAGTTGGATCATTTCAGATTCAACAGGTTAATATTTCAAAACAGATGAAGTAGAATCCAGGGAAATTAATTGTTTGTACTTAATTTGAACCCTTACTAATTTGGTACATTTCATTTTAGGTAAAATGTCTGGGCGTTCCGCCATATTAAATCCGATACGGTAATTTTGGGGGGTTTTCCCAAATAAGAATTTCCCAAGGTTTTCGCCCATCCTGATATTAGCAACTCAACCCTCATACTTTCATGTTTAAAATGAACTTTGTGAAATACGTCTTAAGTACTTGTATTTTATAAGTATTTACATACCAAGTCTGTTTCACCAATGCACTTTTTCCTTATGAATTTTGTTTTGGTTAACTTCATTTAATAATTTGTAATGTATGCAGGGCCCCAATGGAAATAAATTATAATTTTATAAACGATTTGGGCATACCCTGGATAAAGAAATGTAATAAATACATTTTAAAAAAATCAAAATCATTAAAAAAAAATGTTTTTGATGAAATTTGTAGGATTTGTGAAGGTAAGTGTAGGAAAAAAACATTGGTACAAAAATATAATTATTACTTGCTTGCAACTACATTGCTGGCAGTAAAGCAATTAATGACCCATTCTTCTCAGAAACGACCAACGCCAGCCAACAGCCCCCACATTAATTAACAGAGGTGGCTCATTATTTACCACACACGTACAACCCTCCCTCACAATAAACACAACTAGAAATCTCTGGCTATTTTTGACGTTTACTGACGAGTCCACCTGAGAATTATTTGCTGATAAAACACCACTGCTAATCAGGGCTACTTATTTGTTACATAATGATAATTGTGTGTGCTTCATTATAGAGCTAATTTCAGCGATTTTATTTGGTACATGTAGCAAATGAGGACTGCAAACTATTATGTCGTTTTCAGAGTCAAATTATATCGTTGCAGTTTTCAAATTGAAAACATTTGAATAGAAAACTGAAAAGAACCGAATTAAGTGACTCAGTGTCACTACTGGTAATTTTGTGTTATCAATTCAAGTACAAATGTAGCATTTTTGTACAGTTGTATCTATATCAAACTAGACAAAATTGGACAAGCGATGTATGACAAGTTCATCTTATTTTATTATTTTGGACTTGACCTTGTGAAAGAAAGAACAATAAATACATATTTGTCAAATTTGTCATTTATCTTTCAATGAAAATTATGACAAATGAGTTGGTCAAAATTCACGAATAGGTTTATCAGTAAATAAAATAGAAACTTGCAAATTATCAATTCACTTTAATGTTTAATATTTAAGCAGTTTGTATCGATCACAAGAATTCACTGGCACATAAAATAATTTTGGTTCCATTTATTATCGAAACGTCTGAAGTTGTTTGTAGTAAAGTAACAAAATATGGATCAATGGGAATCAGAATTTATCAGTACAACTGGATTTGGGAGCTGGAAAGTATTGCATTTGCCTCACTGAATGTTCCACCGCTTGTCCCTTTAGAATCATGCATGCATTCTGTAACTGTTTACATGAATCATGCATGATTCTGTAACCATGGAAACATGTACGTATCAAAATGTTAAACGTTTTTGCATTATCGACAATGCAAAGCCATTAACTAGAGTCGTATTCTTCATACACTCAATGGAACCATGGAGTTTCCTACCTCCATGATCGAACTGAGTTTAGATTGTGTCTTTGCTGTAGATTTCATTATTGTCAAGGTGGTGGCATTATCATGTAAACAAGCAAGCAATTTCCCTTCGATTTAATGACGCCGAGGTGAGATTCTAAACATCATCGTAAAAACACAGATATAGGCAGCTGCAAATTGCTTTCACGACGATGGCAGTGAATGAAACACCATATAAGGGAATCATTCATCTATGAATGGCAGGGTCGCGATGACGTCACGAGCGCGCCGCCCGGAGGCGAGGCAGTTGATACACGAAGCAATCTTCCTCCTCCATCATCAGTAGAAGAGTTTGTTACCACTAAGAAGTATTGATCCAGAGGCTGGCTGCGGTTTATTTACTACTCCATGGCGGCGTTTTGGCGACCTAATCCAAGCTTGTTTTTCCCCCGACCCCCGGAGATCGAAACGTATTTCAGGTTCCACCTGCCGCCAATGATACAGCCTCTCGGCAAAAAGCGACCAAAAAGTCGAAATCGACGTCAGGCCCACTGAAGTACAGAACAGCCCGAACTGCGCCAGAGAGAATAAATCTACCTTCTACTACATGTACTTTGAATTAGCTTTGCGTTCGGAATCACCAACACAAATTGGAGGTACTAATTAAACATCCAAAATGCATCAGAATATTGTTCACTCAATGCAGAAATCAACACTACGGACAAAACGACAGACTGGCTGTATATTAAAAATTATTATACACTGTACATCATTACCTGTCCACGCACGGCACGCGTGTGATCAGTTCATTGACGAAACACATGCATGCACAACCCACATGTCTGGTTGTGAATCTTGGCTGCAAGCCAATTTTGCCCGCGGGAAATGAAACAAAAAATTCCCGCCCCTGCGTCCATGTATATTCTCACTGATCTGTGACGCCACAGGCCAGAATAATACCTGGCCATAAATTATTTCATTTATACACCAGATTTCTTTCTTCCGGCTAGCTTTTGCCAGTTATGAACATGATGGTCAAAGGCAACCTCTTCATAAGACCTCAAATGGGACGTGATACTTTGTGAGGGGATTTTTGCGTTGCGGTGATGTAAATCAAATTAGGTTTTGCCCTTCACCGACGTATAAACACTGTATACTCAGTGTGTAACCCCCGAGTGAAAGTTGGAAACTTCTGCACGTTATGTAATGTTTTCCGTTGCATGAACATTTTACTCCATTCCTTTTTATCCTTCCCGATCTCTTCCAATAGATCATTTATTTCTTCACCCCTTCTCTCGGGGGCATTGATAGCGAGTTGTATTACGGAAATGACAACGGAAAACTCCGAAGGCACACTGCTAGTACTTCCGCTACTTTCTTGTTTCTTTGGAAACACGTAGAATTTGTATTTGACAGACAAGTGGATTTTGGAGACAAAGAAAATTCAAGAATAAAGGAAAAAGATCATTGTGTGATCCGACCATTTGGGCAGATTTAATTAATTGGAGAGAAATACTATGATCAGTTGAGCGCACAATTAAATTTTAATGGACGTCTTAAAAAACAAACAAAGCCTCGAAATTTGACAGATGTTTTCTAGTTTGTTAACTTCTAAATTGGATTGAACTTTCTCATATGCCGTCTTTTGTTGTCGTTTTGGTTTATTCCACAGCGCCGTTCTTCCTGTTTTTACCTTACTGGCACCAGACAGTCTACATCCTTACACCCTGCTGACACCCACCCATGTCACATCAGGTACGGTACAGGTACTGCAGGCAAGTAAAAAGGCCCTAAATCTCCTGCGTGGGGCAAATCACGATTGACATGCCCTCAAATTCTCTATTAGCCCTAAAATTTACTCTTTTTTCCAATAGAGGAATCATTTTTCAAAATGGCGACGGACCTTCGGGTAACTTTTAGGGGTGATCATCTTTGTAGTAAAATTTTAAGACATTATAAACCCCCCAAATGGACCAGAAAGTGAAAGATGGTGAAATAAGTTTCAGTTTGATGTGTGTCTCAAACACATTGGAGAGTTGCGAGTATTTGTCGTGATCGTTTGAAGTGAGGGCATTTGTCATTGGGGTTTATGGCAATTGATTCACTTGCCTGCACCCTGAAGCCATAACACGGCCGGTGTTCTCGTTTGCTCTATTTTGAGGGAACTGGTAACCTCTCATTGGCAGACTTGTATTCGAGTCATGAAACATCGAGTCCAAGTCCAAGTCCGAGTCACATTTCTCGAGTCCAAGTCCGAGTCCTCCAGGTCGAGTCCGAGTCACGAGTCACAAAGGTCGAGTCCAAGTCCGAGTCACGAATCACCTCTAACATTATTGGAAAAACGTACATTTTATGGAATTCAGAGATTCAGAGTCACCTTTGATATAGTATTGGAAATACGTACATTTCAGGTCCTGTAAATTTCCATTTTTCCCCACAGCTTTTCTCTGGAATGTTCTCTGGAAATGAGGAGTTCATTTGCAAAAACAGTTATAAAGGCAATTCAGACGAAACTGGTATTGTCCTAACTTATGCAATTAAAGTTCAGGTGTTTCAAATATCTTTTGTTAGACTTCTATGTATGTGTGCGTGTGCAGTGCGGTAATTTCCGTCGAGTCACAAGTCAGTTCGAGTCCAAGTCCGAGTCCGTAGCCCCGAGTCCGAGTCGTAAGTCAAAGTGACTCGAGTCCGAGTCCGAGTCACTAAAAATGTGACTCGAGTCGGACTCGAGTCCG